GAATGTTTGGTACAACGCCTGGTCAGGACCCACTCATGAACGCAGTCATCATGGAGCATCAAGAGATCGCTAGTACAGAGACAGATCCCGCTTTCGCTTGGGTCTCCAATGCAAACCCAGCTGCCCAGCTACGTCTGCAAGCGCCGCGCCCTGTTCGCAATCACTTCTTGAAGGGTATTTTGTCGGACAACGCACGGATTGCCTTCAATGTGACTGTGAAAGCAGATCGCAATCGCCTCGATGCATCTCTAATGCAGTCGTTGTACGAGATCACTGATTTTTCTCATGCTTTACACGTCTACGCGACCCGCAATGGTTGTACACTCCCCGGCCAGCTCCTATTCAATACATGGTTGAAATTTCGCATCCAGTTATTTTCCGCATTCCACACTTGCAGGATCATGCCGAGCCAACAAATTCACGCCGAGCCACCTTCCAGTAATTTTCCTAGAGGGAATTGCGATGCCGTATTGTTTAACCAGAGGGTCGATGGTCGTAACGATGGTGAGTATTACAAAATTTACCGGTGGTGACATTGCCTGATGGGCCTCTACAGGGTCTTATGTCGCTCAAGTACGAGCCATATTCCAGCCAACCCTCCCCAGAGGTTCTCGTGCGCAGTTCCCCGAGCGCTTGTCTCAGGTGCTGGTATATATCCAGCATTTTGACTTCGTCGTGCCTGGCCCCGAGCCATCTACGGGCATGTGGATGGTCAGACGATCTTATACTTGATATTCTGCACAGTCGGAGAGGGTGATCAGATGCGGATCCATAATTCCTCTCACAGACGTTACACATGCGGTGGAGATTATACCTGTCTATCAAGGACCATTGGGCAAGGAGGTGAATTCTGGGAACTCGATGGAGGTGTTCGACGACTATTTCTTGAATAATTTTGCAGACAAAGAACTGTACCACTCGCTATCAGTGATCTCAGACGCCTAGATAGATTTTTATGTAGCGCAGTTATCAATCTTAATCTTGGACTGATTTGACATCTTGATCATATCATGAGCCTATCTGTTGATCTTAGCAGGTGCCGAACTGCAAATTTGGTGTCCGAGAGTTATAATACCAGAAAAGGTATGGTGAGCACTGTGTACGAGAGTATCCCTGAACTATCCCAAAAGCATCGCTCTGAAGTGTCTCTCAAGATGAGCCCAAACATAGATGTGTTTGCCTTGCATGTCTCTGACGTGACCTCGACATTGCCACCTAGTACTTTCACGGCACTTTGTGGAAACTTCTAGGGGACACTATACAGCACTTTCTCGGGGCGATCAATAAGCTTCAGCGTTGTAAGCTATACGGAACTCATGTGAAACGGATCACGACAATCATCAAAATGCTGCTTGCAATCAGTACTACATAATGCAACACCCTTCGTTTGATCGAGTGTAGAGATGTGGATGAAAATCAGATGGCAAGATATATCCTGCATCTGGATCTCTGCCTATCTGCCATTTTGTCTTTTGTGCGTGCCACCTTTACCGTTCTTGTTTTGATGCTGAGTCTCGTATTTCCTCCTTTTACTACTGGTCCCGCCTCTAATATAATACCGCTCCACCTGCTATTATCTGTCCTGGGGGTACTTTCCTTTGTATGGACACATACATTCTGCTTGTAACACGGTCTTGGCCACCGTGCTAGCATTCGTGGGAACCAAGGCGTGGTGGCCTGTTGGATCTGGGATCTAGGTCTCTGCTGCTTGTGGTTCTGGTTTCGGGAGTTGTGATCCCATCTTTTGGGCGGACGACAGCAAATTCCACGTATTACTATATTATTGTTCACTCCTTACAATTGACCCCACGACCGAACAGACGACTGGGTGTACCATACCCTCACTTTCTGCACAGTCGTCATCTGTTTCCGATGGTTTTGTTGCTGGAGGCAACTTCACTTTGGTACGCTGCTTTGTGTTTTGTTTTGGCGCAGAGACCTCTGTGTTAGACTTTCGTTTCTTCATACTTGCACATCCTTCGATGTGTTTGGCGTCCATTAACATGGCTGAAGTGCTGGTCGAGTCACACCAGCAAGTACTTGAACGAAGCCACTTCAGGCCCGAGGAACCGAATTATGAACTGAATGCGGCTGATTTCACCTGCAATGAAATTCGCTGGGACCCCTGTGGGTCCTTATACATACATGATGTGTGCAATGTAGTCTCCTTGGTAGACTGATAGAAGGAAGTAGTCAAAATACGCGCGGAGGAAAGATACTGTAGATACCCGTACAATGAAGTGGTATGCACCAGCTGTGAGACATGTGGTGGAGAGTGGTTATCAGGCGAAACATCGAGCATTAAAGGGTTCAAGGATAAATATTAATCTACAAAAACTGAATACCCGAGCGTTGAAGGCCAATGAAGGCCACGGGCATCGAGTTCGACTCTGGCGGGGATGCTGGAGTGGGTAACCAGCAGCACAATCAAGTCTTTTTCTCTCTCCTGCGTCCGTGGAACATATCCGACCGCAAACGTCGATATGTTTGGGAGTTCCCGACGCGTGTTGCATTGCGCAACAACGGCAATCATGTGTCGTACTGGATGGCTGCGAGATCACCAGAGAGGGAGCGGAAGCGGAGGAGGACATATGAAACTAGGTAGGGGCCAGGGACTTCGGGGATAGGATGGGCATTGGGTTGTCAAAGTCAAAGTGTTGATGAGCGCGTCCGGGAGCAATGAGATGATGATGCGTCCAAGAACCAGAAGGAGCGGAGACAAAGATGGGTGTTCCTTAAGTTAACTTCATAGATTGAGCGACTCGGCGGGATTTTTGAACCATAGTCGACGGCAACCATTACAACAATGACGGGCAGGGATGAACGAACACAAACGTGCTGCCCAGTCAAGCGGTGACAGAGTTACAGGCCACCCGCACAGACAGACACTGTTAGACAGCAGGGAAAGTTGATCTGCTGTGATTCTATCAATAGTTTTGATGGATAAGTCCTGCAGAGCAACACAACGGGTCACGGTAGAGTGTCAGATCTTCACTGACAGCTGATAGATAACAACAGATCAGCGTATGGGGCAAGAACAAGTCCAAATATGTCGGAGAGGAACCCATCCGCATTCGAGTCCAGGTTACGGACTGCAGCCTCGGAAAAATGCATGCCTGGAACGGGATGGCTGAGCGAACTCGGACGGAGTGAGGCGAAAATTGATGGGTCTCATCAACAGATAATAGTTCGACGCCTTTTGCCCAGGAATAATCCCACTATTTAGATCCAAGGGCATCCGGGAAATGGAAACTCTAGGTCCAGTCTATGATAGACTTGTCTGGGTCCTGGGGGCCCTGCTATATTTGAGCGGAGTTCAAGTCCGAATTGGGAACATAACATGACTCAGCTTGGGAGCTCATCATTGTCATGGGTGACAACAGTGTCAGCCCCTCGTTTGTCAATGTTTGCCACGACGACCACGCACTGAGGCCTTGTCATGTACCACTCGTGTTACTCTAGATTTTCAGGCGATGTATCTACATATCAATTTTGTTACAGCATAAATGGTGTTATTTAGCAGGAGCAGAATTCTGCCCTTCTACATAGTAATGTGCATGGCCCGGCTTCAAGCCGTGGGCCGGCCCAAGCCAGGCCAGGCCAAACTCACGGCCTGAACATGGCCCAGGGCTCAGCTTTGGGTTTTGGAAAGCCCAAGCCTGTGGCTCAAGCCGCGGCTCTTTGTATGATCAATCATGATCGATCTGTCAGGTACGAATCCATTTGCATTGCCACTCTTCTACGACTCTAACAGATGCTTAAATCAAGAACTCTCAGCCGATGTCAGGCATGTCACTTGTTTGTCTCATTTTGGGTCGCACTCGCCCATAATCGACTAGGCTGAATCATCCTGCTCATTCTCAGATAGATCAGATTCCAACGAAGTGACAATTTTGATTGAGATAAAAAGTAAGTACTAGTAGATGTCTTTGCTCCAAATAATCTAATGGTTGGAATGGTCCATACAGATAGTGACGACGAGCCGCGTATAGTGCGTCCAGTGCGCAAAGTCAAACCGACTGCTGCGCTCCTGGAGCACTCTGAACAGGCTGCACTCCCCTCTCAAACCCTGGCTATCAATGCCTTCCGTGCTGCACAGGCCGCCAAACGTGTTGCCAATGACACCCAGCCCACTGTCCCACAACAAATACCGGCACCCAGCCTGCCCACTCCTGAAGCCACGCTTCCTGCCCCTGAACCTGCAAACAAAAGAGCTCGTCTTGAGGAGATCGAGGAAGATGAAGAATCCAGCGATAAGGAGCATGAAAATGTGCGGGCAAATCCAAAACATGAGTTTTCATCTGTCATTCACATTTCCGTTTCTCACCTGACACTATTAGCCAAATGAGCCCGTCACCAGAAACCTGCTCAAGATCAAGAAGAGGTTGACGAGGATAGTGTTCTTGTGGACATCAACGTGCAGCCCATCACCAACAAATTTGGTCCCACATGCGAAGATAAGACTCACGAAATCGACGAGTTCTTTGGTAAACCATTCAAGCACACTGGTACTAATGGCATGGTGAAAAAACACCGCAAGTGCAAAGTCTGTCCGTATGTGTGTTCCATTTCCATGTATTTAATTTTATTAATGCTACATATCAACTACTAGGGACCACTGTATCATCATAAATGAAATGTCGACACTGTGCCATCACTCTGAAGCTAGATTTGCTGTAAGTTTTCATATTTTTGTCAGGTGAACATCTAAATTTAACATGAATCCACTGGCACATAGGGCAAATATCGAAAATGGGCAAGGCCAACACCTTTGTATCTAAATTGCTGGGTGACGTCGCAGCTGAGAAACAGAAAGCAGCGCAGGCGCAGCAAGCGATCGATGCGCATATGACTGAGCGCAAGTTATCAGAGCGTGTTATTCCATACAGCAACCAGCTTTTTAGAAAAGCTGCAATCGAGTGGCTCGTTGCCACGGATCAGGTAAGTCTCTGAGTTGTTTGTATCATCTGGCTGCATACTAATGAAAATCAGCCCATACAGGCTCTCGAGCATCCAAAATTCAAGGACATGGTAGATGTGGCCTCGCGTGCTACTCGAGGCGTCAAAATTCCTGGTCAAAAGCGAACCCGCGCTGAGATCATCCGCATGTTCAAGAACCACATGACCACGCTCAAGAAGAAATTGAATGTACATACCATCCTTTGCAGTTTCTATTCATTCCTGACAATATTCTAGAGTCAATCTGTCAGTGGCGCGAATCAATGTTACATGTGACGCGTGGCAGGCTGACAACACAGATGGGTATTTTGCCGTCACCGGCCACTGGATCGAGGAGAACAATCCGATGCAGTGGGAACCCTGGGAACGTGTTACTTGGCTTTACGAGGCTCAATAATGCACACAATGGCCAGCGTCTAGGTGGCACATTATTCAAGGTGCTCGATCAGGATTGGTGTTGCACACAAGGTTTGCATAGTATTATCTCCTCATGATTGCTACCTTGCTTATATTTCCACCTGCTAGATTGGCCATGTTACATGTGACAACGCCACCAACAACAACATGATGCTGGAAGAGTTCTCAGCGATTGTACTGAGGTGAAGTACAACAAGAAATTTCCATGGCGTGAACAGCAAGATAAAGTAAGAAGTCTTCATGATTTTTTTGCTGCGTACTAACAATTTCAACAGCTGTCTAGCGCACATCATCAACCTTGGCACACAAAAGCTAATAAGTATGTATAGCCAAGCGCCCCACTACAATCCACACGATCCGCATGGCCACGATCCGGATATGTCTCAGAAGGTTGAGCGTGACGAGATCGGCCTCGTTCGCAGCATCTGCATCAAAGAACGTTCCTCGGCCAAACGGAAAGAGTTGTACAGGACTATCCAGACGAAAGCAGGTGTGTCTTTGCCGACACAACTGCTGATTGACATGAAGGTTCGATGGTCTTCAACCTATGTTATGCTTAATCGTGCCGAACACAACAAGAAGGTGCGCATTTGATCTTGTTGTACCCTATTGTTCTCACTCTTACTTAGTATGTTGACACGTTTGTGTACGAAATGGGCCGCCAAGAACCCAATCTAACCAAACGAGCGAAAATCGACTTTTTGCAATTGTCACCCGCTGAATGGTCACGACTTGGTCATTTTGCAGACCTTCTTTCATACGCTGACGTTGCTCAACAAGCCTTCTCGTCGGATCAAGGTTCAACTCTCCATCTCGCAATTCCTGCGCTGGAGACACTTTACAAATCTTGGTCTTCGCGAGCAGAAAGGCCCAAGTATGCTCGGTTCGCTGATTCACTGAAGGCCGCCGCAGCAAAAATAGATGAATACTACGAGAAGACTACAGATTGCCCAGCCTACGTTATCGCTATGTGTTCGTTCTCTTCTGTTTAAGCTAGCTGAGTTTGACGGTGTGCCGTTGTAGTACTTGATCCGACGTCAAAACTGGCATACTTCAAAAAGCACTGGCCATCCCACTTGCTCGATGATGTGCTTGCTTGTGCTGAGAATGTGTTCAAAGCACACTTTTACAAGCTTAATCAAACTCTGTCGTCGTCGCAGCCTACAACCACGAAAAGCAAGGCCGCTGGCCTCAAAAAACTTATTCGAGAGGTTCAAAGTGACTCCGATAACGATTCTGAGGCAGACCCAGGTGCCACGTCCATTGGCGACCCAGCAACACCATGGAGGGCCGAGTTCGCGAGCTATATCGAAACTATCGAGGCAGCTCCCTCAGCAGGTATGAGTACTATCCAGTGGTGGGGTGTAAGTGACTTTCATTTCCTCTGACTCGAGGCTGATCACTGTGTCCATTTAGATTAATGCCTTGAGGTATCCTGTGTGGGCTTCGCTGGCAAGAGACTTTCTATCCATTATGGTAGCGTCTGTCTCGAGCGAGCGAGCTTTCTCGCAAGGAGGGATCACGATCAGCAAGCGGCGTAATCGGCTGAAAGGAGATATCGTTGAGGCTCTACAATGTGTTAAGTGCTCCCTTTGTCATGAACTTATATTCCGCGAGGCCGGTCCTTCATCTCTTGTGGAGGAAGAAGCTGATGATTCTGAAAATGAGGCTGAGGCTGGTGAGCACGAAGTATCCAAAGACGAACCAGCAGATGACGAGGGGTGGGATGTGCTGATCTTGGAGGATGATGATGACGACAATATGTCAGAGTTTGATTCATTAGGTGACGAATAAGCGCTGTACAATTGTTGATATATTATAGACCGTTTTTCAAGATATTTCAATGTTCAAAGCCGTGAACAAGCCCAAGCCAAGCCGCGGCTTAGGCCTGGCTTTGGCTCGTGGCCCGGCCTGAGGTTTTTCAAAGCCCAAGCCTCCCCAAGCCAGGCCTAAGCCGCGGCTTTCAGGCCGAGCCGGGCCCGCACAACACTAGATCTAACGGCGGGCGGGCGGGGTATTTGAGCAGCTCAGAGATGGTTCGAGCGGCGTCTAAATGGAGGACGTCGTTGACACCACCTCCAGTGGTGGCGGGCGGGCATAGAAGTAGCATTCCTTCGAGGTGACAGCTGGCGGGCAGCAGCCGGCAGGCAGCAAAGAGTCGGGATGAAGGATATTAATATCCTGCTTAGGTACACCTGCAAGCAGACTCCGTTTGAATTTGCCGAGCCTGCCGAGGGGTGCCCAGACTTGTGCCCAGACCGCAGACCTAAAGTCTACGCAGACTTGCGCCAAGACCGGCCAGAACTCTGACATTCACGGGAGGCGTAGTGGCCACGTCGCTGTGCGGCACGCACCGTGACATTATCTGTTTCCGTTTCACTATTAAGAAGTCGTGGGGAGACTTGACTACTGCCAGAAAATTAGCTGATGATCTATGAGTCCCAGTGAAAACTGGCTGTGATGGGAGCGGGCGGTGTATGATGAGATATGAATTTCCATTTTCGTACTATGCCAGAATATGCTTCCTTCTGATAAGCACGTACAACTTGATAACAACGCATAAGCTCTACATTGCACCTCTTCGTTTTTATCAGCAAACATTGTACATTGTACCGGCACACTGTCGCATGATTATACAACATGCAAGGTATGTCGATTCCAAGTGCGGAGCAACTCAACGATAGTGGTCGATGCATATGTGTGTGCAAGAAACATGGGGATCCCCATGTCATTTCAATAGCAACCTGGTACCGACATCTCCACGACGCTGGTACGCAAGAGGAGAAAGAACATATTCGAACTGGAAGACTGTTACGAGGAGGTAGCTTGCAACCTCCGAGTCAGATCCCTGGCTCTGCCACTAGCAGCGCTTCTGGAAGTGCCACTCACAACGGTTCAGAGCCTCCGAACATTCACGGCAATGTTGCGATGGACGAGCAAGATGACGATGCTGCCTGGAGAATTGGGCGTCGGAAGCGTGCTCGGATCGCTAAGATCGACCCAGTTGACCACGTCGAACAGGATGAAATCCCGGTGTGTATATTTCACCCAATCAATTGAACCATTGATATTGACAACTACATTCAAGCTACCAGATGATAACCATTACCTTCCGGATGATCAAGACAATTTTTTCCATCGGCTTCAATATCCTCCACCTGCCAGACACACACCGTCTCCCCCTCCTGCCAGACACACACCGTCTCCCCCTCCTGCCAGACGCACGCCGTCTCCCCCTCCTGCCAGACGCACGCTGTCTCCTCCACCTGCCAGACGCACGCCATCTCCTCCTCCTGTCAGATGCACGCCGTCTCCCCCTCCTGCCAGACGCACGCCGTCTCCTCCACCTGCCAGACGCACGCCGTCTCCTCCACCTGCCAGACGCACACCATCTCCTCCTCCTGCCAGACGCACGCCATCTCCTCCTCCTGCCAGACGCACACCATCTCCCCCTATAGACGCTAATGCAGATGTTCGAGCCCTGTCTCCACCCGCAATAGACATCGAGCGCAGGCCTCGGCCAAATATTAATATTGATGCACTCGCAGAGAGCGCCGTACTCCCTAAACTCAGGGAAACGTTTGACTTCATTGTTGCTCTCAAGCATGCGTCACTAGAAGACCCCGTTTCCAAGCTAAGCGACGACGCAATTGAACGGCTCCACAATCCACCCAGGGGTCCTATTGACATCGACAACCCAGGAACCCGTCAAAGCATCGCCATGTACCTATCGCTGCAACTCGCATCTCAAGAAGCTTATAATCGTATACGAAGAGCAACGATACGCAATTACGCTCATGAAGATGCAGACAGTATCCTGAGCTTTTACAACGTCGAAAAGCTCGTTGCGCACTACACTGGCGTGGAGTCAGTCGAACACGATATGTGTTCTGATTCCTGTTTGGCGTTCACGGGCCCATATGCTGCCCTCGAGATCTGTCCGCTGTGCGATAAATCACGCTGGGACCAGGGCAAGATCAGAGCAAGCAATGGCCGTAGTAAGGTTGCGGCTCAAAAATTCACTACCATTCCCCTCGGTCCCCAACTGCAGGCCTTATATTGTGATCCCGACAGCGCACGCAACATGCAGTACCTTCATGAGCAAACCCAGCGCATCCTCGCACAACTAAGGGCCACACAATCCATTCCAGTAATCGACGACATCGCTGCCGGCTGGGATTACCTTGCTGAAGTCCTCGCCAATAATATCAAGCAAGATGACATCGTGCTCATGGTGTCGCTCGATGGCGCGCAACTTTATGAAAGTAAACAAAGTGATTGTTGGATGTACGTATGGATAATTCTCAATCTCTCACCCGACAAACGGTACCGGAAAGTGCACGTACTCCCCGGTGGATTTATTCCTGGGCCAAATAAGCCCAAGAACTTGGATTCATTCCTGTTCGTCGGCATGCACCACCTCGCCGCCCTTCAGAATCATGGCCTTAAGATCTGGGATGCATCCCGCGACACCGTTTTCACGTCCGACCTCCATCTCCTCTTTACGACTGCCGATGGCCCCGGACTTGTCTACTGGGACGGAATGGTTGGTCACAGCGGGAAAAACGGGTGCCGTGTCTACTGCGGCGTGCGAGGGAGACGTAAAACTGGTGGTAGCCATTATTATCCCGCATTGCTCAAGCCAGCGGACCGTTGTGTTCACGGTAGCGATCACCCTGACCTTAATGTGTTTGATCTTCCTCTTGGCGCATCTGACGGCTATGCTGAAAACCTCGAAAACGTTGTCAAGGCACCCAACACACGGCAATGGGAGAAACGGAGGACGGAAACAGGAATAACCAAACCTCCTCTTATTCTCGGTCTCAGCCCTTCGCGATCCCTTGGCGTCCCCTACTGTATGACTCCCGATATCATGCACTTAGCGGGAAACCTTAGCGACCTTCTCCTCAGTCTGTGGCGTGCCACCATAGACTGTGCACCTGCCGATGATACGGAGACCTGGGATTGGGCTGTTTTGCAAGATGAAGATACATGGGTCGCTCACGGACACGCTGTCGAGCAAGCAGGTGTATATCTTCCAGGTTCCTTTGATTGAAAACCCCGAAACATAGCTGAAAAACTCAACACCAGTTATAAAACGTGGGAGTTTCAGCTCTACACGTTCGGCCTCGCACCCGCACTTCTATATGGATTGCTTCCAATGAAATATTGGAAAAATTATTGCAAGCTCGTGCGTGGATTCCAATTACTCTGTCAATATCGCATCACAGTCGAAGACCTTCAACACGCTCAATCGCTTCTGTGCTATTGGGAACAAGAATTCGAGCACCTCTACTATCAACGCAAAGAGTGTCGGCTCCATTTCGTGCGCCCGTGCGTTCATCAAACAAATCATCTCGCTCAAGAAACTGTACAGAAAGGTCCGCCAATCTGCTACGCTCAGTGGACGATGGAGCGAACCATCGGGAATCTCGGTCAAGAGATTCGACAGCCGTCGCAACCATACGCAAACCTCTCGCAACAAGGCGTTCGACGTTGTAGGATCAACACTCTTCTTTCCATGATGCCCGAATTAGATGAGCCACCGAAGGGCCTTCCAGACGGTGCCGTTGATGTTGGAGATGGGTACGTGTTGTTGCGAAAACGAGAGAGGTACCCAATCCACCCCACTGGGCAACATGCTCTCGCTATCTCAACCTTTCTTCGCCATGGACAACAACTCCCTCGTATACGCAAGTGGGCACGACTTCGGTTACCAAACGGACAGACGGCACGTTCGTCATGGAGAGAAAAACTCAAACCCCTTGAGAAGACTCGCACATCACGCAATGTCAAGGTATATTTCGAAACGTCGGCTTGTCGTTGTCGGCTTGACTAACTTCAATTAATAGATAAAACTTAACAATCAAATTCAATTCGCTGAAGTATTGTACTACACACAGCTGCCAGTTAATGTCGCCGGACAGAACGAAGACGACTCAGACGACGACAACGAATGGCACTTCGAGAATGTCGCCGTCGTGCAGATGTACTCCATGCCGCACAAAGAACTCCTCAAACTCTCGTCGCAGACCCTCGTATCCTGCACGCTCCTTGATGATATTTTGGCAATTGATGTCAAAAATATCGTTAGCGTTATTGCAATGATCCCGCACAAACCAACATTGCCTTCCGGAGTTACAGAGAGCCGGTTTTTTATGATGGAGCGGCCTGGTCTTGAAATTTCGAACCTGGGAGTACCATATTCTGGTTTTGATGCCGGAGGTGGTGACGAGGCAGAGGACGATGATAACGAAGATGGTGCTGAACTTGAATAATATTATTCTTACAGTAGTACAGTATACCATAGCGGGAATACTACAACATTTGAAACGAGCGCAAAGGCGTGCAAGTAAAGTAAAGCGAGAGTGTGCAAAGCAGAGGACAGCAGTTTAAAACGAGTGAAAAGGCGTGCAAAAAGTGAGAGTGTGCAAAGCAGAGGACAGCGGCAATTCACAACAGTGACCTAGAAAAAGTTTGAAGTTTGTCGTACATTTCGTAGTGGATCCGTTGATAGAGGGCCCTTTTTTTAGCCGCCTCCGCCGCTACCTCTGAGTGATAAAAAGGTCGAACAGAATAGTGCCATGGCCTGAACGGGTCGAGCGGGTCCGGGTTGGGATTTCCGTGAAGCCTAGTAAGGAGATGACACGGGTAAACTGGAGAATACCTTCAATATCATGTCAGTCGAAGTATCATAGATACGAAAGGACGCACGTGGAAGTAGGCTCGTTGCTTTCCACTACCTCTACTTTGATCCCCGTTTGCTCATCTGCCTCTGTCTTTGTATCGTCTCCCGTTGCGCTCACAGACATGAGTGCCTCGGCTTTGTTATCTTCGTTCTTGATCTTGTCACCAGCGGATTGATTCCATTGACTCTTGCTGTCTTAGATATCAATGTGAGTCTACAATTGATTGAAATAGGACTTACATGGTATCCAGGAGGTTTGGTAGCGGTTTCGTAATGGCCGAGTCCTTGATACGAAAAATGATCCTCTAAGGTATATCCAATAAGAAAGATATCAGCAAGAAAACAGAAACTTACTTCGAGGTGAGTGGGTATTTCTAGATCAAAGCAATGAATGTCCCATGAAGAGACATCACCACTGATCTCAATGAGGCCGACACTACCAAGCACGCTGATTGTTGCGGTCGACATGGAAGATATATACACTGCGCTGACTTGATGGGACTTAGATAATTTCGAGGCAGCCTGGCGGACAATTCCAGCGGAGTTTAAAAGTAATATTACTGGTCTATGCACGACGTCTTTCTCTCCAATCTCCCTACCACTATCGATTGTCTAATATGTTTGATAGCAGCTCATTTTCTCATGGCGGACACAGGCCATTTAATTTTCCTTCATCAGGCCAGAATTTTCAGTGGGGAGGGGATTTGACACCATCCCCCCTATCTGGCGCCACACCATTACCAGATGACCTTTTCGAATCTGGAACTTCACATGGACAGTGCATCCCACAGCCTGTTTTCCATCAAGTAAGTGCTTATGACGTGTTTTTCTCATCAGAAATTTATTTTTAGGGCGCATATATCCACGATCGCCAGCAAATCACGGTCCTACAAGGCCGTTGCAAGATGTTAGAGCTGGAGGTGGTGAAATTGACTACCGAGCGTGACTCCATCAAGTAAGTGTATTTTTGTAGGGGAAGTTCAGCTAACTTTAATACACGGCAGGGAGATGTTCGAACGGCTTGCCAGCAGTACCGGCAGGCTTCAACAGGCTGACCCTCTACAACTCAACGCTCCACTCATTCCTATTTCTCCAACCGACTCTCAGCGTCCATCACGCGCTACACATCCGAATGTCCGTTTCTGGGATCAGATCGATTTTCAGAAGTGGTGCGACACTCCTGCGGGTCAAGGTCACAGCTCTTCCCCCGTAAACCTGGTCTATCTTGAGGACGAAAATGGTCGCACCGTCTCGTCACGAACGATCAAATCCATACGGAGGGTGCTCCGCGGTGGCTGGAGTGAGCTCGTTACTCGCAAGATCGCCCCGCATTCTTGGGGTAAATTGTCGGCATCTGGAAGACAATTAATCCATACTTTCATGGAGCACGAATTTCCCCTTTTTAAACTTGCTAACAACGGATGGAAACTAGATCACCTTGCTACTACGACATACCCTGCCTGGCGCAGAAACAATCTTGACGCCAATGGTGACTGGAAGTCAGGCGGTAACATCAAAAAGGAGGATGACAACGACGACATCGATAACGAATGCGCTGAGAGTGATGGAGAAGGCACTAACGCAAGAAAACGCAAGCAGGTGGCCGAATCAGTCAAGTGCGAAGGGGGGAAAAAGAAAAGAAAAAGTTCGTTATTGTTTTGATTTAAATACAACATTAACGCAATTATATCTTAGCTGCTCCTGCTCTCGGATCACCGTCTCCAGCTCTCGGATCACCGTCTCCAGCTCTCGTATCACCGTCTCCAGCTCTCGTATCACCGTCTCCAGCTCTCGCATCACCGTCTCCAGCTCTCGCATCACCGTCTCCAGCTCTCGCATCAACTTCTGCTCTCGTATCAACTTCTGCTCTCGCATCTTCGTCTCCTGCTCTCGCATCTTCGTCTCCTGCTCTCGCATCTTCGTCTCCTGCTCTCGCATCTTCTCTGTCTCCTCTTGCATCTCTGCCTCCTGCTCTCGCATCAACCGTACCTCTCATTCAGCCTATTGTATCCGTAGATGCTCCTGCCCCGCCCAATGCCGTGTCTAACGCAGTCAAGGAGAATATCCCTCTCGAAAACCAACCGATCATTGCACCAAAACCTGTTAGACTCACGATCGTGAATCCACTGTGAGTTCAAACCCCTGGATATATGCGCTGCTAACTGCCGTCATCAGCTCTACACTTGCTCTATGTGCTGCAAATATGCAGTTTCCAACCCCGGCCCCAACAGTTCCTGCACTCGAGTGCGAAGTCCAAAAGGCGACTGTCAACTCGAACCCTGCTGAGCCTATGCCAAAGCCAAAGAAAGCCAAGGGGAAGATGCGTCCAACTCAAACAAGGAACGGGCGGTAAGCACACCACCATTTCACGTAGCTCGACACTGACTACTACTGACTACTACACTACAGTAACTTGTGCGCGCATCGCTGGCTCAAACAGATCAAAACGAATGGGACAACTGACGAGTTTGGTGTATACTACATGAGTCTCGCTGAGAATCAGCGCACTGTACGTTATTTCATTGCACTCTTACTCATTTATTCATCTCGATATTCTAGGCCTATGATAAAGAAGTTACTGACCTCGTAAGTGGCCATCTGACGACATTTACTCTACTGACGAGTCAAATAAATTATTCACAGGTTGCTGCCAACAAATGGGACAAGACCATTGGGCAGGGCAGGATGTACTAGACTCCCGGCGCATCGACACGTATCCTCCTCGTTTTCATTTCGATCCATCCGCTGTATCATCAGCTCGTTCTCATCATACTTGCAGCATTTCCCATTCCCACTACGTCTACTACTGTGTACCTACTATATCCTAGGCAATTGCAACGTGCAATGTAATCATATTCTACACCATTAGAGCATATTCTGCGAGGGCAACTAGAGTGCACGTGTGTATGCGCTGATATGATTCCGGTGTGCTCAAATCATATGGGAGCATCACAGACTTTGCCCCATAATATCGCAAATGTGATATGATTCTCATCTTACTTGGTAAATATCACCTCAAGTGATTTTTTCGACACCCGCTCGGCAAATCATATCTCATCATACACCGCCCGCTCCCATCACAGCCAGTTTTCACTGGGTATGAGTCACGGCCTGTGGGGCCTGATTTGTCGCAGGTCCAAAGAATATTCAAACTCCGGTTGGAAGATACAACTTGAATGTGATGGAGTGGGCCGAATGACAGCGCAATGGGTGGAATGGCGAAGTGCATGAGGAAGCCTATCATGATGGATGTCAATATTAATAATCATATGGCTTTAGTGAGGCTGCCATTGACTGCTCCAGGTTTACTTCACCCTATCCAAATTGTTTGTCGAACCTGCTGGCAGTGGTTGTGTTGGAAGCAGTGTATGTAGCTTGACTTCACTGATTCAGAAGCCAATGATTTACGTAAATATCCAGCCTTAGAGATGCACCCATTCGCATCCTATGTGCTGCGAAGTTATTATCGTGCAACGGGATGGAACGAAGACAACTTATACGCCAACTTGACCCGTTCTTCTAACGGTACGCTTTTTTAGAAATTGCTTTGCTGATCTGAGCTGAAGCACATGTACGGAACAACCAGCTATACTGGATTTCAGCGTCCCTCGTGGGTTGCATCTGTCCATATCCAAAGCTCCCAATGGACTCTTCAACACCTCGTATTCCATGAACGCCATGCCGTCGCTCAACGGCTCAGTAGGCTATATATTCACATCCTGTAACCTCGACGTGAAGAGCTCTGGCAGTGTCCGTTTCAAAGATATGGTCGAGCGTTTCAAGGTGTACGACCAGCCTCGCAGGCCAGAAGGAAAAGAGGAAGAATGGCTTGCTGGAGAGCGCGCAGACACACGTGGTAGGTCTGCATGCGCGATCCGAGTCAAGTGTTGACGTGCGGAATTCAGACTATTTGCTCTATGGCCGGTTGTACCTGCCTACGGGTAGACTCGATGCGCTCTATTCTACGCGCCTATCACCCACTCTACAGGCACTTATCGCAACCATATCAGATCCACGGTCCAGTTTCTCCTCCGAGAAGCGGTCTCGAGGCGACAACAGTAACGTCATGTTCAGCCTACAGCATGACATCGGAAAGTGGTGCTCTGAATACACGTATAGTGCAGAAGACGGGATGTGGGGTGTACGCGTCTTACATAACTTTGGCAGGCTCGGAAATCCAACTGAGCCTCCTGAAGATCTGAACTCGTCCCCTGGAACAAGACCTAAGCGTGTTGACGAGGAAGAAGCGACCGGCGGTGGTCTAAAGGGCAGAGTTTCTGCTGGTGCTGAGTTCTACATTAGCGCAAAAGAGAGGAGTGCCGGAGGTAAGACGAATCGATCCAGTATTGTTCAGACACTGACAATCTACCCCAGTATCCACGGGAATTCGTTTCACAACTCTCCCTGATGCGACCCCACCATCTTTCCAACTCCCCCCACCATCATCATCACCACTCGCCCAATCCTCTCGGTCCCCTCCGTCCCAACCACCGACGACTATCACCGCTCTTTTTAATCCTATGATGGGACATATATCCACAGCTTATGCAGCGCGTGTCTCACGCGACCTGTCCATGTGCTCTCGGTTCGATTTCAACGTCTACAGTTATGATAGTGAGTGGACAATGGGTGCTGAGTGGTGGATGCGACGGGCTGCCTCGAAGCATGAAGATGAGCTCGAACCGTCACTTATCCCTCCAGAGCAACCATCAGTTCCCGTTCCCGTTCCACAGGCTGAGTCTCTCGATATCCCTTCCGATATCCGTGGGGTAGTGAAGGCGAGGATCTCGACGAACAACGTGAGTTGCATTACGTCAGGATATGCCGAGGTTGCTCACAGCTTAATTAGAATGTCTCACTGATGTGGGAGGGCCGCCTGAAGCAAATGCTGGTTAGCTTGGGTTTCGTGTCTGACCTCTCCAGTAGGTCAAAGCCAATAAAGGCCATAGGACTCGAGTTATCATATTTCAGCGCTGGTTAATACGAAATCCCCTACTTGCGAACATCTCAAACTGACAGGAAACGTCGATCGATAGTCAAAGAATCAGTCAATAATTGCGTGTAAGGTATAGTACATACACCTAAGATCAGTACAGGTAAGAGAATGGAGCAGCTAACAATGGAGCAGGGCGCGTAGAAGGGTATTTATTATATGTGCAGACAGTGTTAGGTGCAATTTTCATTATCCAAAAACAGAGCAAGGTTGACGTGCAACCAAGAAACCAGAGCCGACTGGACGTACGTCGATGAGCAAATATGAAAAACCACGTAGATCAGATGGGACATTTGTAACATGATGGGTGGAAATTGTAGAAACATTTAATCTTTTGCGACAACGACACCTTGCGCACGAGGCACGCGTGGCATACCGCCAATTGTTCTTGCCACCCGAGATATTGCATCTACGGTGAGAACCGGTCGAACGCTATGCGGGGCACGTTGCCCCGCCCCTCCAGGAGGTGTCGAGTGATTCCGCGCATGCGCGTGTACAGGCGGGCCCAGCGGCGAAGATGTACCAGAACGAATCGCTCTGTGATTTATCGCCGCTGTGCGTGGATGTGGAAATGCAGGGCGACCTTCCGTCTTCGAGCGGCCATGCGAAGGACTATATGCGCGCGCAGGAGATGGGGCACCCGGGCTCAGCAACGATGGAGCGGAGTGGGATTCCGGGAGGCCTTTAGGCGCGTGAATAGATCCAGCGAGGCCGTGGTCACTGGAAGAAGAGCTGAGGGTCCTTTCTAGTGTTTCTACCTCGGCAAGGGAGGGAGCGTGAATAGACTGTGAAAGGCCTCCCCCCTTGGTTGCCAGTGGGTCTTCACCGCCTACGATCAGCGCTGCTTTGGAAAGCAAGTTGGGGCGTGCAGAGCTTGCGCGCAACTTATCCGTTGCAGCGGCCGGCTTGGGAGGCAGCGACGTGTGAAGCGAGGCCTTCTCGGTATGCGTGATGCTTTCAGGTGCGGCAATGGTGGCGGGAGTGTCATGCACATCTGCGGTGGCCGTGACAAAGGTATCAGGTGTATTGGATAGGGGTGAAGAATCCGATGAGTCCTTAGTGACTTCGTCATCAGGATCATTATCTAAAGGTTCCATGTGATCTTCATCTTCATCTGCCTCTTCATCATCGTGTTCTTCATCATGTTCTTCATCATCGTCATCATCTCCTTCCGTCTGAGGCTCCGGCAATGGCTTAAGCGCATCCGCCAATATAGGTGATATCAAATCACCTCTGCCATCTGCGCTGGTATTGGTGCGAGTCGTCGTAACGCCCCAATCATCAAGGTCAGGCAACGAGTCATCCTCTTCACCAGCCCAATCAATATGGCTTCCAGGTGTTGAAGGCCTGTTTTCAGCCATTGCAACTGCCCTGACACGTTCAACCAAGGCGTCAATATCGTGACGAATTTCAGCCTCGTGTGCAGCTGCCAGATGAGGAGGGATATCTTTACGTGGTGCGATAGAAGATGTAGTAGGTGCTGCCTTTGGTTTCTGTGGACGTAATGATGTGGTCGTTGGTGTACTCCCGTTTAGGGGGGGCTTGGCATGCTGGGGGGTGTTGATGCGTCGATGCCGGTTAGCATTATTACGACTGGGTGTGGAGGGCACGTTTTGTACGGAATCTGGAGTTGGAGAAGCTGGAGCTACGGTTACAACTGGAACACCGCGAGGACCACGACTCGAACGAGATCGTGCTTTTGGCTTGGGCGCACGGTCAGCTGGACTAGCAGGAGGCTTTGCCGAAGTAGTACTAGCAGCTTCCGACTGGGAAGGACCCTTACGAGCTGGGGAAGGCTCGACCTTAGGCGTGGACACGTCTGGGAGGGGACCGTGGTTCTCCGAGGGTTCTGTGTGTGAAAGCTTGCTGCTTCCTCTGATCACTGGGTTGTTTGGGGAGCGACCACCGCCCCTTCCACCACCACGTGCGCCTCTGCCCCTCCCTACGCCGCGAAAAGTAGGTCCTGCCTCTCCACCACGGAGCTTATTCCAATCTCGTGGCCGAGATGGGGGCTGGGTAGAAGGGTTTGCACTAGTGGGAGGTGTTCGGCTGGTCGGGCTCGCCATGAACCGTCTTTGATAAACAACGATTTGGCGATGAAATCTTTATGGATTAGCTAGCCTGTTATATGGTCTAAGCAGCATTCAGCAGCTGAATGAATGCGACAAACGCTAATAAATTTGATCTGGTTCTGGTTATTGGAGGAAGGGTACGCCCAGTCAGATTCTATACTGTGTAGATTGCAATAAAAGGCCAACCAGCAAAAAGGTGATTGGGGCTTGCGAGGGCGTTATGAAGCTCCTCTATAGGTTTAGCGTTGAACCAAACACTGCAAAGCAACAAACCTGCTCAGCGAGCCTGACAGTGACCATCATCACAGTGTAATAATCATGTCCAAGGCATCACAACCAGAGCTTAAGAAGGTAGACCTCTATCCAAGTCCTGCCTTTGTATGCTAAACGGCTTGATACAGTTTATGGACAAGAAGTTGTTTGTCCATCTGCAGGGTGGCCGCAAAGTTAGCGGCGTTCTGCGTGGATATGACCTTTTTCTGAACCTCGTCATCGACGATGCTCTAGAAGAGACAACTCCAGCTCAGAAGCATCCCATTGGCACGGTGGTACGTTCTAAAATGCTCTGGGATGACACCTGCTGAACTGTATCTTGGCAGGTCATTCGTGGTAACAGCGTAACATCGATGGAAATCCTCGAAGCTGTCCGTCAATAGTGTTGGCACCTTTTAGTTGTTGCACTTATAGATTGCGGAACGGTTCGGCTTCTCCTATCGCTCCTGGTGCCCATGCTAACTCCTTCTCTTTTAGCGAGCTTTACAATGTAATCCTTCATGATTTGGCACGACTTCATCTCATGTCGCGATCGCTGGGTCCGATGCAGTGTAACAGAAAAGTACACTCACATTGCTGTTGTAATCGTATCGATTTTTTTCCCAATCAATTCTGCCAGCTTTGCAATCATGCGAGTCTTGACGAAGAATTCTGTCATTCGATGACATCAAATACTCATTGAAGTCTTTTCTCATTAATCAGTGTCAGTCAACACGCACCTTGGTCACCCAATCACTTTCGAGGATTGTGCTTGTGGACTAGACTAGAGCTCATTTGCACGATGCCGCAAACACGAATAGATTGGCGCGAGATGGCAGTGATTATAACTCTGCCCGCGGGTTGAGATACAACAATTTATTAGGCGATGAACGCTCTTGCATGCGCATGTACAGATCTGAGCATGGGTTACGATTGCATACCTGCATAGACAAAGACGCACATAACGACTTCCAACAGTAGCGTCGACGTATACAACTAAATATAGGGAAGTTTAGTTCCAGGACCTAGATTCCATCTTTGTTAATGCAGCTGGAAGCTAAGAATTCCCAGAAAGGAAGTCGGCACATTTTTCGTCGGAATCACTTGGTTTACGCACTGGCTGGCATCAAGAGGCTTCGAACACTGGCCAATCCTGGCGCCAGACGAACTACTGTTCCATGCGGAGACAGCTTTCAAAAAACTGCTTTTCTGCTAACACCCAATTTCATTCCCTACGTCGACTTGTCCATACATCTGCTCGCTGCTCCTCCGGAACCTTTCCACTTCATATCGTGCATGATGCATCTTCCGGCGCATGCACAACCACTCCTTCACAAAGGAACTTCAAGGATATGAATTCTAAGGAAATCATCCAGAAGGAAAAGCTTTCCGCTCTTATGGAGGTCCTCTCGCGTCAGACACGGAGTCATGCCAGAGTATGGTCATGCTATGTCGATTTCATGAACTACGCGGAATGCGATGACCTTCCTCTGGAAGTTCATCAAACGGTTCTCCGACGCTGCGTCCCAAGCTCGTATACCCTGAGAGCTTGGACAGCGCGTCGCATGCAAGCAGGTCAAGTTCCTCGCATCCCTCACCATTATGAGGCCCGTCTCAAGACCGTCGTGCGTAATATCCGAGCAACAGGTGCAGACGCAACTCTCGAGGACTACCATGTTATTTTGCAGCAGTTCGCTGCTGTGGGTCACTATACCGGTGCAATACAAGTATTAACCGAACTCACGCATGTCTGCAAACTGGACCCTGAATCGAAAACATTCGGCTTATGTCTCAAGGCAATCGCACACCGCTTGTCAATGCCAATATACAAGGTGCAGCGTGCGGACATGCTTGCTGATGCGAGCAAACTTTGTCGGAAGCTGCTCAAGGAAATGTCGGCTCGGGATATGCCTTTAACATCTTTCAACCTTGACTTGGTCATGCGTATCTTGAAGGAGGTTTTGGATCAGGAGGGCTTCCATCAGCTCATGAAAATTGGCTATGGTATAGACCTGGATTATCCAGACCACTCACCATTACAAGGCTCCAGTATGCTGTCACCTTTCTCCACCGCCGCTCTCAATACCACCCTTGATATGCTGGGCCGGCTCGGCAATGTAGCCAAGCTCGTCCAAACTTTCGAGGTCCTCACCCAACCCCTTCCTCCACAAGCAAGCCGGCACTATTCACAGGAATTTGATGAAGAGGATGACTTTGGAATCGCAAACCCCGCGTCAACCGAGCCACACGTAACTCCCAACGCCCAGCCCAATACCACCTCATACAACATCTTGCTCAAGCATATATCGCGCGCAGGCCACGCCACCTTTGCACGACATTACCTCTTCCAAGCTATGCGCCTGGATCGCCGGGTCGACCGTCATTTGCGAACTCAGCTGTATCGTAACCCCCATGGCACGCTTGCGCCGCATTTCGGCCTTAACCGGGGCACCATAATACCTGTCTTTGGAGAGGCTAACAGAGACAAGAATATGGAGTTGATGCGATGGGTCGGATGGGTAACGAGGCAGACCATACGGAGGAAGAAAAATGATATTGCATGGTACTCTGAGCTACGCGACAGCCTCCCTCCTCCACCATTTCCCTCAGAATCGACTTCTTCTAGTTCTCCCCGCGCTCCTCCACCAGACGTCTCGACAGCTCTAGACGTTGACCTCGACACCCCTTCGACACCCCCAGATTATTCCCCACCGGAGAAAATTTTCGACATAAACCTTCACCTGAACATCCTCCAGAAAAGTTTAGATGAGCTCGTAACGTGGTACGAGAACCACTATGAAGTCGCACTCTCTCGAGCAACGCAACGGGTGAAGGAGCGACTTGGTAGGCGGGTGTGGGCTGGAAAGAATATTTATTTGCTCACCGAGAATGCTCGGGTAACTGTGCCGAGGAATGCATGGATGAGGATGGTGAACTTCAAGCAAGGACAGGCGAGGTTTTCAGGAGAACAAGGTGGAAGGGTCATGCGGAATGGATGGGTTGCAGGATATAAAGGGCTAAGAGCACCCAGGCCGCAGCCCCTGCAATTCTGTAGGTGATTCTCTAAACGACTTGTTAATTTTACTGATTGAATCTCTTTAGTCGACCCGTCATCGATGAGCTGATCTGACCAAGTGCCCGTCCGGTGTCGTCATTTGGTCGTTTATACCACCTTTTTCGATACATCCACATACGTCAGGGCACTAAATTCACGAGGTTTCACTGCAAATTTAGTGTTGATACACGTGGATTGATTGCGGTTGCAGGTATCATACATGTTGAGATATGGGGCAGAGAGTGCAAGAAGACAACAATACACGAAAGTGATGCAAACATAAGAACATAATTTCGACTATGTAAGTTTTCCGTGATCTGCAGCTCGATCATCGAGGACCTTCTCCATCGCATCCAGCCATAAGCGTATGTCAGTTTGGAACCGGGAATTGTTGATATTGCTGGGGGATGATGATGTACTAACGCCGATGCCGATGTATCTCGCTAGCGCGAGAACGGGCAAACGTCGAAGGGCGCGTCCTGAAAGTTGCTGTGCCTGTGGAAGTTCCTGAGCCACGAACACTGAAAACAGCTGGTGGACCTACTCGGCATTTATCAGCAAGAGCAAGTAAAGTCGACGCAAGATCCATCATGGCATCACTTGCGCCGGAGCGATTTTTGTTGTTGCTTTCAAAGTACAGCGCTAGGTCAAGCGCAGGAACTGTCTAAGAGGTATCATCAATGAGATGACCGGATGAAGATCATGGGCAGCTTACCGTCTCCTGTAGTATTCCTTTCTTTACAAATTCGCACAGAGAGCTACGAAGAATCTCATAAATGGCTTCGCGTGGTGGCAAGTCGACGTATTGGATGATGTCTGCTCGATCAACGAAGGCCGAGTCTTCAAAATGCAAGGTAATCAGACATTTCATGTGCATAGTCCCCCTCGCCCTTACCTATTGCTTTTGCGAGGTTGCTTGTGGACATCACCAGAACGTTCTTCTGATACCTTAGCTTGTCCAGTTGTGTGAGGAGAGCATTGACTACCTATATACTTCGTGAAAAAAATCATATCATGAGAGGACTGCAAAGACGTACCCTCAGGCCGTCCGATGGTTCTGTGCCTGCCATAGCACCAGCTCTGGCTGCAGTAAGGGACTCAACTTCATCTAGAGCGCTATAAGCGGAGAACACAATAACCGAGAAGCCCATATACCTATTAGCACAACAACAAAACAGTCTTCGTCTTCCACCATTTCCATGATGTTGCTGAACAGACGTTGTACAAGTTTACCTGACTCCGAGAACCATCGAGAAAAAAGGGAGTGAGAGTTGATTTCTAGGAGACGTGACTGAGAGTAACTGTTTTTATGTGAAGTGCGTCACGTACAAGGATAGCGCATATATTAGACTTACCGATGAGATAATCGTATTGATAATTTTTGGGCAAGCGCTCGACACAGTGATGTCTTGCCTGTACCCGGGGGTCCATGCAGCAACACAACACGGTTCCATGTCACCAAGTTGACTGGGGTAGGGTCAGCATACATCACAGTCACCCAACTGCCTCACCTACAGTCGACATCAGCGTCGCTCAGAACAAAAGTTGCGTGAATATAATCGAGTAGTTTTAGCTTGATATTGTCCGCATATATCAAGCCATCCCACAATCCCTCCCATGCCTTACATGGGAGTTCGCACACGCTCGCGGCGAGCACATTTTCCTCACCATCTCTTCCCGGTGTTCCATTAGCATATTCTTCGACCGCATCGGTTTCGTGTGGTTGGTAAGCATGAATTTCCAATGAGACCTCTTTGAGGCGTAATGATTTTGATGGACATGGTGATTCTGATATTGCGATTCGGTCCACCGATGAAGCAAGGGTTGGGTCTACTTTCCACCCATCGAGGACGGATGGAAGTTGAATGGGATCGTAGTTATTGGTGATAAAATCTCGAACAAGACTTTGGATGACGTCTACGCGTCGTCTAGATTTCGTCGAGAGTCGGACCTCGACTATGCATCGCGATGAGCTGTTTACTATGATTTTACTTGCTGAGACTTACCATGTACGGTCCATATTACATCTGGTTTGCTCTCGTCCATGTCCAAGCGCGATGTTGACATCGCATCCCCGTTACCGTCATTCTCCATCTTTTGTGCTAGGGACATCTAGAAAGATGGCGGTGAAGGAAAGACGCGCAATTCAATTGGAAGGCAGGCTCGGAGAATCGGGGCAAACAACGCGTCAATAAAGATTGCGTGTTCACGTGACCTACTTATCACTGATTGCCTTGTCGACATCAACTTCATCATTCGCCACGATGACAGAGATGACTGACGTATCCTGTCCGCTACCCAGTGAACAAGAGAATGCAGATCAGGCCAAAGGAAATCCTACTCTTGACTCGTCGACCTTTATTCCACCAGTTCCACTGGCATACCCCAGCATTATCATAGAATTCTGCGACCGAGTACGCAGTACTTGTTGTAAAAGCTTACTGATCAGCTTATTGTGATAAATGTACTATCCAGTGTCGATGGTAAGTGGCATGAGTGCTGCTAACTTTCAGATTCATTCATCCCTTGCAGGCTCCACCGAGCAACCTGGGTTTCCACAGAATTGTTTCTTACATTTCCGCCTCCAGCCTTGAAGGCAATATCAATCATTCCTCTGAATTCTGAGGAAACTGGAGGTCGTTTCAGGGTCTGGCTCAACCTCGAAGGCAGTCCCCCCCAGTTGATGTGGGACAGGAAGATCGAGGGTGGTTTCCCGGAGCTGAAAGGTCTGGTTAGTTCAAGTTTCGATCTATGCGTGTATAAGATCATCACTTAATGCCCTATCAGAAACAGCGCATCCGCGACCACGTACAACCTGGCAAATCGTTGGGTCATTCGGACAAAAAGAGTGAATAACGTGTCCAATATCCCTTGTCGAAGCAGTTTGTGAATAAGAAACGGTGCAATACTACGTCACAATACATATACTATAGAGTGATCATTCGAGCGTAACTCTAATGTAAATTATAGTGAGAATTGGTGTCGTTGAATAAGTCCGTGTCGCGAGAATTATGTGCTTTGTTCTTCGCCACACTCGTGGGCGGCAGGAAACCTTTGGGACTCACTGAGCTCGATTAAATTCGCGCCTACCGGACCGTTCTCTCTTCTTCTCAATCAACCATGAGCACTGAGCGGCTCGAAAAGCTCATTAATCAATGCAAAAGTAACGGTTGGTATCACGCCTTGACAATTCCAGGTACCAGAACTCACAGTGTCCACAGACGTTGACCAGAAGGTTGATGCCGTTACAAAACTGCAAGCAGAGTTCGAGTCGGGCATCGAAGTACGTGCCCAGTTACCTGTTCAATGAGCTGCGTGTCATTGACTGCTGTCTATTTAGATCACCGAACCAGAGCCAGTCATCTCTGCTCTCAAAGCATGTCTTCGTATCTCAAATCAACATCTAACGACCGCCACGCTCTCTGCGCTCCCTCCTCTCCTCCCGTTGATAGTATCGCGCAATACCGTTGTCGCGAACGGAAGCGTACACCCACTATCAGCATCGTCCTCCACATCGTCCACTGCCGGAGCGTCGCATGACTTGATGGTTCTCCGCCAGCTTATGAACGCGTTCCTTCCCGCTCCTGGCATTATCGAGCGTCTCGGTGATACTCGCGAAAAGGCTCGTGATAAGGCGCGTGAAACGCTGGTTATACTCGGTGGACTGGCGTTCAGGGCTGCTTCAAAGATGAAGGATGGCAAGGGGGGTCCCGAAACGCCATTTGCGATATTCGAACGTTTCTTTAGAGACAATGGCTTTGGAAGCAAGGTTGCCAGAGTCCGAGAACAAGTAAGTAAGATCTTACGAGCAGGTATGACGGCCTCTCACTCTCTACCGTAGTCATTACTAGCCCTCGTGCATATCCGCCGAACTCACCATCTTTTTCCTCTTCGACCATACCTTTCACTACTAGTGGACACTTTGGAAGACACGGATGGTAATGTTCGCGCATGCGCGACGCCTTCCGTTATTGAGCTCTTCACGGGACCTGGCGTGACAGACGCTGCTCGCTCAGACCTCAAGAAGGAACTGACGAAGAAGGGAGTACGCAAAGCAATGGTCGATAATATCCAGTCACAGCTTATGCATTCCAGTCGTTCTACTGGAGCAAGCACACCCCAGAGCGAGGGCTCCGCGGGCAGTGGAGAGCCCCTCGCAAAGAAGGAGTATGTTCCTCCAAGCATGATGCTGCAACAGAATCGCCGGCCAACGGTTGGCGCGGCATCCGGAGCTACTCCTGGTATGACCAGGGCAACAAGTCAAGGGAATGCGAGAGAAATTCCGAGGCCAGCAAGTCGAGCCGCAGTTGCCTCTCCGCCTTTGTCACAACCTTCAAGTGAAGCAGCTAGCACAATTGAACCTGCTTTTGTATGCCCTGCTTTGATATCACACCTCGTTATCTGACCAACGATTATAGGTTGCATCCAGTCGCGATCTGGAAAACGAATTTCTAACATTTGCAAAATCATTCGAGGTACTGTCAACACCCTTGAAAACTTGGCCAACCTTCTTAACTTGCAACATAGGGGAAGGAAACAGAACACAACTGGGCTGCCCGCGAACGTGCCATTCAGCGTGTCCGTGGTATGCTCTCCGGAAACATCCATATCAGATATCCTGATGTATTCCTCCAATGCCTAAAAGACGGATTTATGCAGTTCTCCCTGAAAACAGTAAGCATCCCCAACTTACCAAGCACTTCGTACACACCGCTCACCTTTGTTTCAGCTCGTCAGTTTGCGGACAACGGTTTCTGCGAACACCTGCTCCCTTTATGCCGAGCTTGCCATTGCGTTGGGCCTAGGGATCGACCCGTTTTGTGAAATGTTGTATACGAATTTGCTCCGAATGGCAGGATTTACCAAGAAAATCGCTGCTCAACAGTCCCAGCGCTCGCTCTCGGTCATAATGGAGCATGCTTCAGCACATCCCCGGGTTCTTCTCTCCCTCCTTTGGAACACTCTGCAAGAAAAGACAGTCCAATCTCGATCATTCGCAGTATCTCACATCACCCACTATATCCAGATACACGGAACACGGGCAAAATTGTATATAGAGGCGAATGGTGGTTTGGAGATCCTCGAGAAGTCAATGAAGAAAGCTTTGGCTGATCCCAATGCTGCTGTTAGGGAAACGGCCCGCAGTGCGTTTTGGGTATTCGACGGTGTCTGGCATGACAGGGCAACTGTAATTCTCGAGTCTCTTGACCTCACAGCACGCAAACAGCTGGAGAAGGTATGCCCGGACCCTGAAGTTATTGCCAATTTTCCTGCAACTGCACCAACTACACCAAGTCTCAAGAAGAGCAGTGTTGCTGCCGCGATTGCCGCCAGTCGCGCCAAGGCGAAAGCCATTGCAACTGCGCCCCCTACCCTGAGACATCAAGCCACGTCCTCATCGCACGCGACGCGTGCGACATCACCTCCAGCAAGGAGGGTTGTCTCGCCAATAAGCCCTACGGTTAAACTCTCAAATGGGCGCAGCTCGCCATCGCCAGTTTCGAGGTCCTCGCTGTCCCCTCGTTCATCTTTTTCTCCCCTGACGCCCTCAAAATCACGCGTCCTGGGTGGTACCATGCCTCGTTCTGTCAGTTCTAGCGCGGTACTGGCGTCTCATTCACGCTCCTCTACCGATTCATCGTTGTCTTCCAGCCCCGAAGCAAACCGACGTCGAGGATCCTCTCCCCTTGTCCCGCCCATCTCTCCTAGCCGCTTATCTACCACCCGTAAGACTATGCAGCCGCCTCTTTCTAGTTCCTACCACGAATCACCAACCCCTCGGCGTCATGCGCCCCCTGTGCCCCCAGTTCCAGTCCCGGTTCGCCAGTCAACTACAATGCCTGATATCAATGATGAGGAATCGCTCTTACTGGCAACCGTTATACCCATACCCGACGACAGTGACTCTGAGATGGATGATGACTCTGTCAATCTCATGTCTTTTTCGACTCCCTACAAGGTGTATCCTCCGGCACCCAGTCAACAACGCTCGTTCTCTCCGCGCTCGGATCGCTCAACGCCTTACACTAGTACTGATGCATTGTCGAACGGAAAATCTTCAGAGCCAGCACCTGTCGAGGACGCTCTTATAGCTCGAGCAGAGCAAGCGCAGAGTGCTGCGGAGCGGTTGCTGGAGCTGAACGACCCCGATGGTGAGGATAACCAACACTCCACAATTCCTCCGTCGCTGCTACTTGGTAGCGGTTCTGCGACGCCAAAACCCAAGGCGCAAAATGCGCCAGCGATAATACGAAGCCTGGCTCCTCCTGTGACTCCTGAAAACCGAACCGCAGCTATCTTCCGCCAGGCAGCGCTATTCAAGAATAGTCCTGCGAACATCAGAGCTGCAGACAACCTCGTTAAGCCAGTTCAAGACCAGGTGCATGAGACTGGTTGGTGGTTGAAACGCACGTCCAGTGGGTTGTCATTATTTACGAATCCTTGCTATTTTCTGACTTTTGGTTCCATGAACACAGCCCTTGGTCATGCCACACCCCTCAGAGCAACTGCAGCTGATGACCGAGTACAAGAACTCAACGACTATATTACCGCATTGGAGAGCGATCAAACCGACATTCGAGTTCTCCAGAAGTTGGCATTGTTGTGCAGCAGCAATCCCATATCTGAAATGACGTCTCCCCTGAGTCCTGGACTAGGGCTTCCTTCCACTGTTTCACCTTTCCTTGGCATTAGTCGCTCTCTTCCTCCCTTGGTCCCTGATATATGGACGAAGGACAAGAGTTTTGAACGGCTATTCAATGCTCTGATCAAGTTCCTTGATCCTTCAAGGGTGCGCCAGCTTTTTTGTTGCCATCATGATCGACTGAAACCTCATTCGACATATTTGAATAGGATGCCGAGCAACTTGAATACGGCCTCATAGTTCTCTGGGAATTGCTGAGCAGCCAAGCACCATTCGTGGAAGGTCGAGAAGCTGACATATTCGCGACTCTGTTTACCGTGCGGTACTGTAATGCTATTGATGTAAATTCCATCCCTTCTAGTGTCCTCTTGTGCTCACGATAGTTTCAGGTTCTCGAGGCGACTAAAACAATCCGCGATGCCCTTGCAACACGCATTGAACCCGTTTACGGTCTAACTACAATGCACGGCAGCCTGCGGGCATTTCTGGCCGAGCCTTCGTCAGATGCAAGTGCCAAAGATGCATCACACGCCTTTGGACTAATCGCCGTGGGCAAATTCATCATGCGCTTGCCCGCTGAAGTACTTGAAGAGGAGCTTCCGCGCTTAAAATCTACCTTGATGACAGCGTTAAACGACACCACTCTTGTCATTCGTGAAGCAGTGTACGCCACTATAATCGCTGCACAGCTTGTGCTCCGCGACGAGACTCATCTCTTCACGTTGCTCGACGGTCTCGATGACAACAAGAAGAACTTGCTCACGTACTACTTTGACAAGCACGACGCAAGGGACCTTGGCGTGAATGGCAACGGCGTTGGAATGATGAAGCTGGAGGGTCAGATGGGGAGGTTGGATAAGCTGATGAATACCCCGCAGAAAGGCCGTGCATCGGAGTGAATGCACGGTATTCTATGATATGCTTATGCTCAGTGATTGATATGTTTCGCAATTACCACACTCATTGATATGTCTATGGTTTCGTCGTGGCTATTTTTGTGCTGTTTGATTTGTATTGCTGGCGTATTTATCACATTCATTTTCTATTCCACACAGCGCCAGTCTTGTTTATATTACACCTCATATGCTGCGTAATAAATTCTTCTATGGATTGAGTGGAGCAGGAAATACTATCGCAGCAGCAAGTCTAGCGTCGAAGAGCCATTTTCCATAGGAAGAAACCTATGCCTGATAGCATTCCGCCGACGTGACCTGCTGTATCCGTTCGCGTTTTCTGCAACATTGTTCAATTGTCTGAATAGTACAAAGAGTTATGAAGTCAACTCACGGCATCTGTTACACTCCTATACACATCAAACGCGAGGATCCCGGGCAGGAACGCCCATGCAGGACAAGGGACGACGAAGAAAATTAAAAATGTCGTCCTTGGGAATGCGCAGGCGTAAAACGCGACGGTTGCCAGTATCGCGCCTATACAACGTTTCAATGGACGAAGAGGAAGGAATAGGCGAGGACAGACCACTAGCACCGTGCGAAGACATGTTGGAGTCATGCTTGTAGAAACGGTTCCACACGAGACTCATCATGCTGGATGCGATGCCACCTTGTCTTTCGTTAGTGGACATCACTGTGTGAGGTGTGGAGGAATACCGAGAAAGTAGAGGCCCAAAAAACGCGAGTTCCCGAGGACTTGCATGACGCCAGGGGCCATGAAGTAGAATGAAAGGCCATTGAACAATGCGTGCTCTATGTCTTGATGGGAGAAGCACGAGGTAATGAGCGTCCACCTGCCCGATGAATCAGACAAGGTCCGAAGTAATTAACCCAATAAGACGCACACGCGACCGGAGGTGATGTTCTCCCAATTCACCAAAAAGTTGTTCCGGAGGAAGATGTAGAGTGTGGGGTCGCGAGTGGTTTGCTGTGGATGACGGTCAGTCGTGCCCTATACCTTGATGACAGCACAGCGCCTACGAACGTATGTGGACTTGGCGCCTTGCCAGAGAAGAAAAACGCCAGCGTTTATTGCGATGATGGCGACGAATATGACGTTTCCGTTGATTGAATCTAGGCGGTTTGGCCTGCGAGGTGGGGGACGGGAGGAAGCAAACCTGAAACGAAGCACGTCTCTATGAGTTGCATTACGCAGCTGCGTACGAGCAAATTGAAGGAAGAACGCAGGGAGTGAACTGATAGTCGATGGTACAGTCGTGGCGGGGGTGTGGATGATTCGCACAGGGAACGACGAGAACGGTCTCGGTTGAGGAGTCGAATTAAATTGGGAAAGGGTGTTGTGAGCCAGGCGACTGTTGCATTTTGATTGCTTGTTGAAAGTGCGTTGAAAGACATGCAAGCCCCTTCTCGACATCATGCCATGGAGCAAGTTCGGAAGAGTGCGCATGTTGACCGCAACGTCAAAGCTGATGAAATTTCATTGATCGTAAACAACATTGTCAGTCCTGACTAGCGCGCAGTTGCTAGCCGAATGTCTCATCATCTCTTCCTGCTCTCTCCGTCTGATACACCAATATACAGTTTAACGCACTATTCTACTAAGCTGCCGCAGCCAACATCCTCGTCTCTTTCATCAAACTTGCCTACATGGTCTACTTCGGCGTTCGCGGGCACGCTTACGGCGTTGTCGGGAGCCTCTAGTGCTACGCAGTCTCATCATGTCCAAGGGGGCAGTGTGAGGATGGGCGGAGGGCAAGATCGACATGTGATCCAGATGATTGCGAACGCAAGTCTGGATGTTATTGAAGATGTCATGCGAAAGGAAAGCGCCATGTAAGTTATTGAATTCCTTAGATATCATTATGCTCCACTGATGACAGTGGCAGGTATCTGAAATCTGTAGATAAATTCAATGAATGGACGGTGTCTGCGTTCATCACTCCAGGCAGTATGATGTTTCCCTATTCCCCTTCCCTGGTTTTATGCTCATCCTCACGTCAGACATGAAATTCATACTACTGCACGAGACGAAGAATGATGATGGGATTCGGTCCTTCTTTCACGATGTCTGGGAATTGTACCTCAAGGTGAGCCAGCAGCGTCTGGTTTGTTATGGAGGGGGGCTGACTGGTTTGGTAGACAATGTTAAACCCATTCCACACGGCACATTCTCCGATACGCAGCATTGTGTTTGATACACGTGTTCGGGCCAGTGCGAAAAAGTACCTTTGACATCAGCCGTAAGCACCTGGAGAGAGGGCCTCCGGCTGTCCAAGTGTGGGGAACAAGACAATAACCTTCATGCACGTGTTGTTGAAACGGTTATTGTAGAACACCCGAAAGGATGACTGGAAATGTATTTTACACTGCAATTATGGTGCATCACGGAGATCCAGTAGGATCCAGTTCGTGGTCAATTCAAGTAAGAGTGACAACGAGGCTGTGGAAGATGTGCTCGACGTTGACGACGATATCAAACCTATAGGGGGTGCCAGGGGGAATGAAAGACACTGCCACTTTGTTTGACGCTTAACGATTTGATCTTTATGAGCTGGCTTGCTCTGTTCTCTTCCGAGTCCAGGTTCTCTCCGCTTTGCTTTGCTCTGGTTTCCCTTTCTCTTTCATCGTCCACAGCATCCTTCTCCTTGTTACACTTTAAAAATCATCTAAAAATCCTATAAAACAGTATCTTTTATTTTCTTCAATTCAGCCGGTCCACACATATTATAATCATCGAGCTCGTCACTTGTCGCAGCTACCACAGACCTCCAGCTGCCTGACTCACTTTTTTGTCTCTTTAAAGAGACCCATTTTATACCTCAACTGCTCGTACGTCCACTGCTTTCATGTTGCCCACCTTCTCCCTAACTCTCCTCTAGTTGTAACATTTCATCCTCTATCAACAACATAATCTGCCTTTTTCAATAATTCTTTCAGTGTCGTTTTAGTATCAAGGCCATTGTCCAACACGCGCTCTCTACGCAATCTTCCCATTTTTCATTCAACCATGGCCGCAACGCACTCCAACAACCGTGCCTCTCTTCTCAACGGCCTTCGTACCGGAGGCGTGCGTTCTACTTCCATGTCTGTTCCTCATACTGCCGCTCTGGGCGGTTCATTCAACGTCCAACGTTTTGCGTCCAACTCTCATTCTCCTTTCGCAGAGGAGGATGATATGGATGAAGTTGCCGAGCTTTTCTCTCAGAGCATGTACATCAACAATCAGGCCCGTCCCCTTACTGCCGCAGTAGATGGTCCAAACAACCGCTTCGTACAGCAGCAAATGGCTGCTCAGAGTGCCCTCAATCCAAACAGTGTTCCATTTTACCCCTCCTATTCTCAGGGGATGCAGCCACAAAGCGCTAGCGACGTTCAGTTGCATGCGTATCAGCAGATGCAGATGATGCAATTGGAGATTGCGCGGTTACAGGTTTGTTGTATTATTTCATATTTCACACGCCTTCTGACGACGATCATCCATGCCTCTAGTCTGAACAGGCCCAACGTAATGCTCGTGCTCAAGCTATCCTCATTCAGCACGCTTTGCGTCAGCAGATGCAGAACAGGAGTGTCAGCGTTACAAATCCTCCTGCCACTGCCGGTCCCCTTGAAACAAGTTTTGATATCCGTCCTGTTAGCGGCTCCCCGCCTGCGCGGCGTCCTAGTCAGGCTGAGCTTCTCAAAGCTCAGCTCGGAGTCCAAACTCCTCCACTGGAAGATCAAGTGTCAATGACGGCCGCACTTGGGGGACGAGTCGGCGCTCGTGTCACCTCTAGTGTCGCATTCCCGAGTATTCCCGAGACTCCGCTTAGGGGATCATCTCCTCCCGGTCAGACCACCGTGATTAGTGGTGGTACTTCACTCGGTAATTCCCTGCCCAACGGAAATGGACACACAATCAAAGATAGCACGCCTTCCAAGTCAGATGTTGCTGTGTCTTGGCGTCGCGGAAGCACTACAAATTCAGTTTTGAATGGCCTCCGCACCGTGTCTGCTGTCTCCCCAAGCGTCAAAATTACACCACCTCCTGGTGAACGTATCTCACCTCCTCCTGGCACTACGTCAGCCAACAAGGTGCGCCCGCGCCCTTTGAGCTTTACAGCACCTCTTTCGCGCACGCTTCCCGCTGTTGTCCTGGACTCTGGCAGTGAACACGACGATGCTTACTCAACTTCGAGTTCTGCATCGCTCTCCAACCCCACTACCCCTCACTCAGCATCTTCTTTGGACACATCGCCACTCTCGCCACGCGAGGAAGCAGCCAAGAAGTTGTACGAGGGGCTGGGAATGGGACGTCCTATCTTATCTCCTGCGCCCGTTCCCGTCGCGCATAAATTTATCGGCCCTTTCAGACAGCCTCGTGGTCCTCCTTCCGGTGCTGATGAATTAGGACCCAAGAACTTTGCCACGCGTGTGCGCCGCAAGGCCATCGGCGGCCTTGGTGTTCTCATGGGTGCTCGCGAGCGCAGGGAAGCAATCGAGGCATACTAAACACCCTCGCTTCGGCCTACTTCAACAACCAATTCTTCGTGATGACTCGTCTCTTTGACTTCATACATTCCACTCTTTACGACAAAACCAACAACTGCCTTGTGTGTTAAACCTGGAGCTTTTTGGTTGGAACGAACATGTTAGTGCTAGCGCTTGTTCAACCCAGCCCTTCCTTTCATTTCATTTCACTTTTTTTTTACGTTCGACTTTATCTATTACTCCCCGGCGAGTGTGTTTTAGCTAGTGTGCGCGCTTTTGATGCGGTTGCCTAGTAGTAGCCATTCTTCATTCCACCTTCTTAGTTAGGGATTGGGCTTTGGTGCTAGTGGGAGTTGAGCTTCCACAAGTGCACGTTGCGTCTACTCTAGCTTGCCGTTGTTTCATACTTGTACCAGTTGTTCATTTGAGCCGTTGTGCGAATGCGTATGTGCTCCTTTGTAAAGCTTTGGGTAAAGTAAGGATTGATCAAGATGACAGTTTGAGTGGGTGACTCGGCCATACGATGAAAGGCGCAAAATGCATTGCAGGTATAACCATGGCATTCCTGCGGCTGCGGACATGTAATTACATTCTGCGATAACAACCTAACATACATTTTAGGACAAAAACGAGGACCGCGGTGTAGGCTAACTTGAAGTAGCTGCATTTTCGCAGCCACGATGTGCCTTACCAGCAGCGAACTCCTCATATATGGCAAGCCTATTTACACCTCTGCCCCACAATAGGCTTACCGTGCTCCTGAGAAAGCGTATCAGCAAAAGCCAGCACTGGAACACGAAGCAATTACCTCCCACTCTTCTCTGCTAATCCACAGTTGATGGAAAGTGCCGAGACTCGCCAGAATACTTCCCCCTAGCCAACCACCATACCTCCGCTCGATGGGGTTCCCAGGAGCATGAATCTTGACCTGCAGACAGCACCTTAAGATCGATGGAATAGGTTTAAAAGCATTTCACTCACGTGGGGGAAATTCCTTGATAGCTCTGCCTCCAAGCGATCAGCGAAACCAGGGAACAGGCTACCTCCGCCAGTAAGAACTACATTTCCCATGAGAACTTGCCGCAGATCTGGGTCACAGGCGCGAAGAGACTCTGAAAGCAACGTAGGGATGTTCTTCGGGAGATTTGGATTTTGCGCCTGCAGAGAGTGAGCAACTTTGAGATCGATTCGGCATGGACACGTACCACTAGTTGCGGTGAGTGGAAGAAGAACTGCTCGCCAACCTGGTATCGCTCCGGTCCGAAGTACGTGTTGTAACCTGTTGGGAACTCGTACTGGCGTGCTGGACGAGAAGCCGCAGCTCTGCGATCTACAATGAGAAAGATCGCAAAGATGCGCGAAGTCGACTTACTGGTCGTTCCATCCCTGATCAAGAACGCCAGCAACGCTCTGTATCCACTCTTCAACTTCACGACTCTCGCACCAAACCCTCCAGCTTTCAGTCGTTCCATGTATACGGTCTTCACGGAGAGTAAACTTTGGTGGTGCACCGGGCTCGACAGGCTGAATTATGTCGCATTTATGAAATCAGCCATTCGAGCATGATAAACAACGCACCAGTTTGTTGGCGATGAGCTGGTGAGGGAGAAGTTCAATACCCCTACGCGTCGGTGCGGGGTTACTTAGGATGTGTCGTGCATGGGCTTGGACAAGTTTAGGTAGTGCAGACGAAACCAAACCTGCGATATGTGAGAATGAGAAAGGCAAGATACTATCAACGCACCCTTTCGTAGCACAAAGCCATCGACTACTGGGGTGATGCTGGCCATTGCATGCCCAACGTCAATTACTAGTGCTGAGCCCTTCCCTGCTGCAAAACTACTCCAAGTTATTAGCGCCACTCAGGCAAGCGAATCAGATCTTACGCATTCAAAACGCCAGTATTGGCAATATAAAAGGCAGGAACATGGAACTCCTCAAACATGATCTCTGCCATTCTTTCTCTATTTGCGGGTGTGTTCCAAGCTGGCTCGGTCACGAGGATGGGATGTTCTGAAGGATTGACTCGCATAACGTCGACCAGCGCATGCGAAATTAAAGCAGGAACCGGATTGAAGTCAAAAACTACATAGTTTAGATGTCAATGCCATTCATGAACGAAGTGTAAAATTACTTACTCAACGCATCCCGCACAGGGTTCCCAATTTCCATACCCTCTCTCCAGATCGAAGGGCCATTCTGCCCAAGGAAAAGCTTCGCGTCACTCGGGGGTTTTGTTGGCTCGCCATTTTCTGGTGCGGTTTCGTCCATTTGCACGTCGCCATCTGCTGCCCCTGCAGTCGCCTTATAGCCATAAAACGACGGGATAATGGCCTTGGGGATATCATCCCCGGCGTACCCTGCGCGTACGGATGAGGAGCCTATATCAAGAACCAAAGCAGACACTTCATCTGTGTAAAACGTGTCAAAATCATGATCTTCATGTCCAGCGACGATTACTGACCTCCTCCGTAGTTGACCATCGCGGTTTATGCTAAACGATATGCCCGATCCAGATCTAACAAACATCTAGTGGTCACGTGACTTTGACCAAAAAATGAGATGGTAAAAAGATATCCTTCACTTGAGAAACTCCCCTAGTATCGTCTTTGTCCCTTTCCTAGAAAGATGGCGGTCACCGGTCTGGGGAAAGCGCGGAACAAGCGTAAGCAGGAGGAGTATGAAGAGGTCGAGAAAGGTCCTTTTGCTGAGGCCGTGGATTTGGAGATGCAGAGCGAAGAAGAAGCAGAGGATGAGGACCGAGAAGGGGACGACGCGTCGGACGATGGAGACGTAGATGATTTCCCAGAAATTGATGCTGCCAGTGACAGCGAGGAAGAAAGTGAGGAAGAAGAAGAAGAGGAAGATACAGATGACCTCGACGAAGAAGACGCCCTTGATGAAAACTCTGACGCCGACTCAGACTTGCATATATTCCCAAAATCTAAAGTGGTGGTTTCCGACATCACTGGCCAAACAAAAGTTGTATACCCAGAGATCGATCCTGACTACGATTCGGACTCCTCCACAGAAGATGTGAGTGGGGTCTAGCTTTTCGCATTCATCCTTGTAATGTAACAATCCACAGGATCCTAACCGCGTTGGTAACATACCAATGCATTGGTACGACGACCTACCTCACTTAGGCTACAACATAAATGGCAAAAGAGTGTTGCGTCCAGCCAAAGGCGATGAACTCGATAAATTCCTTCAAACAGTAGACGATCCAACTTCATGGTACGCAATGTTTTCCTTCCAGTCAGGTCATACGCTAATGTGTCGCAGGACGACTGCTTTTGACCAAAATGCCCAAATGGACAAACCGTTGTCCGCTGAGGAATTAGACATTATCCGCAGATTGCAGACTGGAGAAAACCCTGATGCCGAATACGACCCATATGAACCCACCGTTGAATGGTTCACGGGTAAAGGCAAAGAAGAAGTCATGCCTCTCTCATCGGCTCCAGAACCAAAACGCAGATGGCTACCAAGTAAATGGGAGAAGCAAAAAGTATGATTTTTCCCGAGTTGCGTGCTACATTGCCTTATCACATTCTTTCTAGATCATGAAGATTGTTCGTGCCATCCGGCAGGGTCGAATCGTGGGATCTAAGCATACTGCAGCGGACAAAAAGCAGCAATTCTATGCTATATGGAACGAGCCACCATCTAATCAACCGCCTCCGTTGCCGGCACCCAAACCAAAGCTTCCTACGAATTCTGAATCCTACAATCCCCCCGAAGAATACTTGCCAACTGAAGAGGAGCGGAAGCAGTGGGAGAATACTGAAGCCGACGAACGTGAACGAGACTACCTCCCGAACAAGTATCTTGCACTTCGTCTGGTTCCCGCATACGACCGATTCATCAAGCAGCGTTTCAATCGCCAGCTTGATCTATATCTTGCACCACGGATACAGAGGGTAAAGCTTAATATCGACCCCAACAGCCTGCTACCCAAACTCCCAAGCCCGAGTAGCCTACGGCCGTTCCCCAACTACAAGTCACTGCAATTTAGGCATACTAAAGCACGAGTTAGGTGTCTGAGCATAAGTCCTGATGGCGCTTGGGTGGCTAGTGGTGACGAGAGCGGAGTGATTAGCCTTTGGGAGGTTAACGTGGGGCGAGAGGTTAAGCGTTGGAACCTGAGCAGCAAAGTTGGCGCCATTGAATGGTGCCCAAGACTTGACGCTTGTTACTTCGTCGCCGGAACGTGAGTATTAGCTCGTCACGATGACCGCATTACTGACAAGCGCCCCAGGGAGGAAAAACTACATTTCTTCATACCCCCGAATATTTCCTCTGCCATGTTGACCGTGACGCAGTCAACCTTGGCACCCGCAACTCTTCCCCCTGCTACTCAGTCATCAATTAAATGGGTATCGTCATCCGGAGCTGCCGAAGACGGACCCATCTTGACCATCGAATTACCAAGCGCGTCTGGACTATCACGACAGTTGACTTGGCACAGAAAAGGAGATTATCTAGCTTCAGTCTGTAAGCAAACGATTTTGCGAGTACTATCAAACGCTGATGGGCTCTCATTCATAGCCAGCAGTGAGACTCAAGGTAGTGTTTGGATGCATCAAATCTCGCGCCGACACTCGCAGGCACCGTTCAAAAAAATCAAGGGTGCTGTCCAGATGGTGTTGTTCCATCCTACGAAGCCCCACTTTTTCGTTGCGGTACGTGTTCAACTTGCCGAGCTCCTCGCTGTGCTCATTCCAATGTATCAGACCCAACGTTATGTCAGACTGTATAATCTGGCTGAGCAGAAACTGCTGAAAACTCTCATGCCTGGCATCAAATGGATATCGTCTATGGACGTACATCCGTCCGGCGACCATGTCATTGTCGGCGGCTATGACCGAAAGCTGTGCTGGTTCGATCTAGAGCTAAGCGAAAAACCATACAAAGTTCTTCGGTAAGTTATTCGTCTCAATTCAAAGTCGGCCATTAATTTCGGCGACTTGCTATCAGTTATCACACAAGAGCCATTCGATCACTCCATTTCCACCCAACCTACCCTCTCTTTGCGTCTTCATCCGACGACGGCTCGATCCAAATTTTCCACGCAAGGGTCTACAGTGATCTTATGACGGATCCGCTAATTGTCCCTCTCAAGATATTGCGCGGCCATGATGTCCAAGAGGGACTTGGTGTACTCGAAATCAAGTGGGTCAACAAGCAGCCATGGTTGGTTAGCGCAGGGGCGGACGGGAGTGTGTCGCTGTGGTGTAGTTGAAGATCAGCCCTTTGTCTGAGTTTTGACTACAAAATAACCCCCTTTGTTGAGTTCGAATTTTCAAAGTGATGTGGCTGTGAACCTGAGCATAACTGACGTGGGCATCAAACCGCCACGATATGTCACCAGAACGGGGCATAGTAGGGTGACACTGACCAGTGACATGGGTAATGCGGTGTGTTGCTCAATGTCAATTTTTTTTCCTATAACGTATCTCTCATTTTGAATCTGCGGCAGGATCTCCAACGTCCGCCGAGTGTATGAGCCGCTCGTGGAAATCGACAGACTAACTAGACATCACCTAGTAGAGAATCATCGATCATCACCCGCTACTGCTACTGAGACTACTAGTCGCGGCTCCTATCCAGCAGCTCATTGCAAGTATATTGATTGTCGGAAGTCTGTCCCATATTTGCACACTCCGAGGACCAAATTCGGTAGTTCCCAATCCCCTCGTTCAGTGGAAACGATCATGCTCACTGGACAACCAAGCAAGAATACCATCAATGAGTCGTCGCACTTTCACCTCTGGTGTTCACGGCCGCATCTGGTACCTTGGTGATATTGTGGCAACCCCGCTGCTAGACAAAGACGCTGACATGCTCAGTCATGACAACATGAATTATCATAGCCCCGTACAAGGAAATTTACCTCTGCTCCTGATGCGTGCTAGGGAGGTACGTAACAGTTCTATGGACACTTTTTTTTCGCTGCGACCGAAAGAGATCTCGACGCCACGTCGATCAGGACTGAATGTTGAATACCTCGTCTAGGAAGTATGTATATATATCCGATGGAGCACTCCAAGAGACTCAATTTGCTCTTCACTACTTGCTCCCTCAATTCACTGTCTTCCTTACTGCCACTCGTTATATCGTCCCAAGCTAATCACAATGGTTAATTGGACAAACCCGAAGGAAAGAGAGGCAGACGGCAGTGAGTATCTCACTAAATTTCCAGTAAATTTCTGACTCTAATCATTGTGCCCTTGTAGTCGCTTTCACAAAGGCAGTTTATGTCCTGTTTGGGATTTACATATGGGAAATCTGTACGACTGGCAGTTTTGAGTTATCCATCTTCTTGGGTAGGCGCAGGCTGGCATGGCCTTTGGTACGTCTCTCTCTCACATTTATGATCATGACTGACCATAGCGGTCACAGAGTACGTATATCAATCGTCGGCAATTTCCTGATGCTTATGTGGTCTAAAGCTTTCTTCTTTCTGTGCCGTTACAGCATGCTCTTTGCTTTCATTGGATTGTAAGCAGCTTGCTTATCCCCTTGTATTACTGACTCAAGTTACCCCTAGGATCATCTTCAACAATGTATTCACGAAGGTAACATCGCGTTTGTCGCAAACATAAAGTAACTCACACCAGGACTCGGTTAGATTGATTGCAATGTGTGTGCTGTTTCCCACATGCGTACTCCAGCTGACATTACTGACCATTCTGAAGGCTCTGTACACGTTCACTTCCGTGAGCTGGTGGAAATATCATAACATCGATTGAAACTAATATGATACTCGCAGATCGCAGGCAATTTGACAATTCTCAGTGCCTCCACTTCGCTGATGACCAGGACGTAAGTATTGTCTCGCTTTACATCATTTAGTTGAAGTCATTGATCTTACCTTCGAAGCATGGCGCTTTGGGAGTGGAAACGCTGGGCAGTTCTGTCAATGCTTGCCCTTTCGTTTGGGCAGTGGGCGATCCTAATTCGCACTATGACGGTCGTGCAAACATCATGGGATCACCAGGCTAGGGCTTGCGTGGTTTTGAGGACAAATCACATCCTCCTGAACCTGAACTACGTCTACAGTCAGTGACTCAAGTTCTCCGCTGTATTTCGAAGCTCATTCGGCGTCTACCAGCCATAACATTTGACTTCGTGATTTTGGTGATGACACTATTCGCTCTGGGAAAGCGTTTCAGGCATGAGGATCTTTCACGCTTTCTCGTTCGCGATGGCTTGGTTTACTTCCTCATCACATCGACCTGCAACACCATTCCAGCCGTAGGTGTTCTTCTCGGATATGCTGCCACCGAAGTTGACATAGACACAGGTCTTAACTGCTCTCAACCTCAACGGTGAGCCAGTCATGTTTCAATGTTTTTTAGAATTAAGCCTGACTCGTATTTCAACTCTTAGATGAAATGAATGTGTGAGTGACTTCAATTACGATCAATTTTCACGGGCTAAAACAATTGTTGAATTGAACTGAACTAGCATCGCGATGGTAAATTTCATGACTGCTTTACTTTTCTGAACTCAATTCTCTATTTCAGGTGCCCGCTGCTACAGTCTCGTATGTGCTTTATTTTATTCTCATGGCTACTTTTTATAACGTTGCTTAGAGCGATTGCTGCCTGTCGTGTGTTCATTCGCCTCGATGCATATAAGAATAGCAACAGCGAAAAAGTTCGCAATAACTCGTTGGTTAATCACGATTCCGCCTCTCCCTTTAGCCCTGGAAGTCCTATTTCACCGCCGGGTCTCGTCAGCTTCTTGCCCTTGCCCAGTCATAAGACTATGACACCGGGGAGTCGCGCCACTATAGGCACTATGACGACGCATGTGTTAGGGTATGTACTTGTTCAAAAGCAAATTCAGAAGGTTGATCATAATGCGTCGCAGCTCATCACAATCGGCCAGGAGCAAATCACCTTACGAGCGCGACAGCGACCCCACTTTGATCGACTAAGACTCAAGGTATCCTGGTCCTTACGAGGACAGGCGTTCAACCACTCGATTTTCACGGTATCTCCGCTTTGGCTCAGTTGTTTGGATGGACAGTGCTTTTGTTACCGTTTTTTTTTCCATAGTTTGGAGGTCGTAATTTGTAAATGTATGTCTGTAATCAAGTTACCTTGCTCGCAAAAGTTTCCCTTTGTCTCCTATAGTCAGGCCTTGATAGAAAACAGCCGAGGGCGTCTCTGAAATGGCCGGTCTTGGCGCAAGTCTGCATAGACTTTAGGTCTGTGGTCTGGGCACAGGTCTGGGCACAGGTGGCGATGTTCAGACGGAGTTTGAAGATACCGGCGCCCCCCCCGAGCAATGGCTGACCGTCATCACACGCCTACCCCGCCAGTCACATCACGCCTACCCCGCCTCCGCCAGGCGCTGCGTACCAACGCACGGGCCATGGACATCAGGTCCCTGTTTTCTGCCATGCAGCAACATGATCAGCTTGCCATCATGCCATTTCTCGATCTCACCACCTTTCTCCGGTGTGCCAGCCTTCTCAAAGATGATATCTTACAATCTCAGCCACACACTGTGTCTGTCCTCATCGCACCCGACGTACTACCCCCCTCTGTCAACGAGTTTCTGGCTGAAAGATTCGCTTTCTCTGAGGACACTGTTGATGTCCTATGGGATATCGTCAAGGATCTCGTTTGGATGTTACCCACAGCTGGAGAGGCCGCCGACGAGGAGGAGGAAATATTCAGATTGTATGGCCACAAGCGAGGGATCAGCAAGTCCATCATTCGTTGTATGTTGCCTTGACACTCACAGATCTTATAGCGAAGCACACTCTCTACCCTCCAGTCAAGACATGCATCAATCCAGATTGTAATGCCTGGCGAAACAATTCTCTATTGAAGAAAGAAGAGCAACGACGCGTAGTGGTGTTTACCCATGCACAGGGCGCTCATCCTGCTTGGTCTATTCACTTGAAGTGTCGAGGTAAGTGTTCGTGCCCTCGATATATTGAACTATTGTTAACTTACAGTCATTTTTCAGTGTGTCACATGAATTATCACCACAATTACAGCGTCAAGGATGGAACCAGGACTTATTATGATGGTATACCATCCTATCTACAAGTTGCCGAACATCAATTCATTCAGCTTGAGCTCGCGATGAGCTGGATGGACCTCATGCAGATTCCGTGAGTGCGCACCAGCATCCTTCCTTTCTCTCTGACCGTTTTATTCAGTGTCTCAGCCATGAATTGTGCGCGTGTCTACGATATCGGTCAGTCTCGTCGAGCTCCCAATTGCAATGTCAACTGGCAATTTGGGAGCTCGCTGACAACGGAGGAGGTGTGGGACTCCTTCACCCTCCTCGCGTTGCTCGATGACCACCACCGGACCGGGATTCATCTACGGGTTCCCCATGGAGGAGATCAAAAGGACCGTTTCACGCATGCCATGCGCGAGCGCACTGAGCGCATCATTACCCATGGACAAGAGGAACTTCAGCACGCCTGTGACGGCTGCCTGCGGGTGTTCGAAGCGCCTGATGGGACACTCAGCCGCACCGAAGTCGTGGTCACTGACGGCGTCACTGTGGGGCATCCATGCTGTGCAGTCCCACGATGCACCAACCCCCTCGCAAATACTCGTCATCAGTACTGCACCATAGACCCCACACACAAGCGTCTGGAGGTGATATGCGCCGTGGAGGGATGCAATCGGCCTGTGACTCGCGACAGTCAGTCCGGAAAGCTTCGCAAGGCATGCGACGACCCCATCCACCTTCAAATGGAGGTTCTCAATGTTGAATCCATGCGAAGCGGCAAGAGTCGGACACGACGTCAGAAACTCGCAAAGTCTGGTGATGCCATCACCTCCATTGACAACCTCCCCATCCAAGATGGAGATGAGTGGTACGAGCACGATGGACACACCGGAGACACTCGCCTTGTGCAACCGGCGGTGACAATTTCCACCGGAGTCGATGACGAAGAAGATCGTGCCTGCGAGGCAAAGGAAACACAAGGCAAGCTCAAGGCAATCTTCCGACGCCAACGGACGAACAACGAACAGCTCGTTGTTCGTCCTTGTGGGATAATCAACGCGCGCAGTACTATGTACCATCACGAGGCAGTATCAAATGTCCTAGTAAGTGTTCTAGCTTGTTCCGTCTTCCATCTTACTGATGTTGCATAGCTGCTTATCGAGCAGATATACTCCCTTCCACGCGCACGGAAACCACAGCACCTAATCTACAACTCCAACTGCAATGCCCTCCGCGAAGTCAGGAGCCGTCAGATCAAATTTTTCGATGGCGTCGGCATGTGCGTTGACGCATTTCATCACCGGACAAAGCATAAGGCAAGTGACACTTTGTGTCGCGAGCACTGCGACATGAAGGCTTATCCAGAGTTGTTGGATGAGGATGGTGGATACTACTTTAACTCTTCAATTGCAGAGCAGATCAATGTGTGGTTTGGCGCCTTCCATAACATTTGTCGCGAGATGACACCAGTTAAGTACGAGTTCTTTTTAGATGAGATGATCATTCGGTGCAACCGTGTTACTCTAGCTACCCTACACACACAGGGTAAAAGGCCCCATCATCCATGTACTTAAATTGTCGTCGTGAATATATTTGTCTCCTCATGCTGTTCCACCATTCAATCCCGCCTTTCCTGCCAAAGCACTCCCTGCAGCCATCGCCGAACATATCAGGTAACGCCTGCCCAATCTTGTATGTCAGGGGAAGCTCCTTCTTCGCGAGCTCCACAATATCAAGGGCGCTATGGATGCCGCGTTCATGCGAGGCTTTTTGGAGGACGCGGTTCCGCAGGACAAAGTTCAAGAAAAAACTGATGAGGTGTGGTGTGTTGATGAGATTCCTCTCCGACCTATAAGAGATACTCCAATGAGAAATACGTAGCTCAGAATTGATTGAAAGACCGACCAGATGAGGCCTTGTTCACGCATGTGAGACGATAGGAAAATTGTCACTGATTTCTCGGGGTCGTTCAAGAACACGAGGAGCTTCTCCTCGCGCTGTTCCTCCAGATCGGATTTGCGTGCCTGCAGATTACCTTCGTCATCATCGTGATCGTCCAACTCAACAGAGAAACCTGGAGGAGCACATCGAGGAGCGGGGGGACAAAAACATATGCATTGCCATACAAAACGAGTTAGAATAATGTGCTACTGAGTGGTATGCTACTTGGCCTTGCTAGGCCTCTGGCTCTTCTTGCTCTGCTGCCCAAGTGCCTTGCGACGAGCGTCAAGGTAGTGTGACCATAGACCCGAGGATGAATGACCCGCGGCCTCATGCTCAGCAAGGACCGTGTGATCGGTCACTCGCCACACCTTGTGATTGTGGTGATAGGTGGCTTTGACGAAGGGGACGCCAAATATGAGAGGGAACAACTCATGCTGACGGTACATCGCTCGCAGGCGCTTGTCATCCATCTGCTGAAAGCCGGCCACCATATCAATGGTGTACATGCCGTGGGGCCACACCTGCCATAACTTTGCAGGATCATAGTCGGGTACGGGAATGGCAGTGATGGCAGGTTCCTTAGTGGAGATTGCTCGTTGGTGTGTGCGCACCTTCACCGGGGCAGTCGAGTGATGCGAGGACGTGAGTGAAATCACAGAAGATGCTGACGATGAAAATGACATAGAGATCGTGTCACGAGGGGGACTGGATGAGGGAGAGATGATGCTGCGACTGCGGAAGAGGAGTGGAGAGGGAGTGGGCGACATAGATGTTGCATAACGGCTGTTGAAGTCCTCGGCAGTGAGTCGTGGACGCACAGGAGTCAAAGCAAGCTCGCTACTCTCCTCCCGTTCGCGCTTGACTTTGCTGACAGGGGGGGAGGACATTATTTCGATGATCTCGGCCTCGGGATCTAGGAGTGGTGCCTGCTCCCGCTTGGCCTTGAGCTTGGTTCGCACAACGTCACGCTCACCTCTCATATTGAGCCGAAGGTGACGAGGGCGTGAGACGTATTTGGACGCCATCAACAGCTCCTGGAAGCGGTCGCACTGCGTGACACCATAACGTCGGAGGAAGATATGACAGCCAGACTCGAGGGAGATGGTATGCGTGAGGGCAGTGGGAATCCAGCGTTGCAAGTGTGCATCGTACACTTCGATCTTCTGGATATCTGTGCCCAAGGAGGCAACAAGCTCGGGATCATCGGCAAGCTGCCATTGAGGATAGTAAGGACACTTGGACACCCATTCAACCCTGACAGCGGCATCATCCTAGGTATAGTATGAGCAGAGTCATGACAGAAACATGGGATGACACTTACAGAATCAAACCAATGCAACACGAAGTGCTGCTTCGCTTCTCGTTCCATCTCCTTGCGGCGCTCCTCAACCCGCTTATCATCTGCCTCCTGCCGGGCCCGGGCACGGAGATCAGTCGCCCATATAGGGTCCATCTGTTGGGTGATTCGCGGATGCTTTGCCATAGGTAGCACAGGAGGAGGAGGCGAATCAGCCTCAAAAGGCATGCTTGGGGGGATAGGAGCAGGCGGTGCAGACAGTAGGTCATGCATAGAAGGGACTGGTGCACCTGGGATCGGAAGGCCAAAGTCGTCAAGGGAGGCCTTCAATGCTTGACGGAGCTCCTCACGGCCAAAGCTACCATCCTCAACCTCCTCAGTCAAAAACTCATCATGCAGATCCTTGTCGTGCAGATCCTCATCATCTCCATGCATAGTCAGGCCGTCGAGAAATCCATGGAAATGACATCCGCCAGCCTCGCGACAATGCCTTGAGCACAAGTTACGGCTGCAGTGCAAGGCACGCGGGCGACGGCAGAAAGAACCTAGACACCGCTCACCCCGCTTGCGTTGTCGCTTGCTCGAGGGCTGCGTCAAGGAGGGTGGCAGCATAGCGAGGGTAGTACTGCTAGAGGAGGCCGAGGGCTGCGTCAAGGAGGGTGGCAGCATAGCGAGGGTAGTACTGCTAGAGGAGGCAATAGGTTGCGAGATTGGTTGAGAGTTGGGGGGACTCGGTGATGTGGTTGACATGGGAATTAATGTCATGATGTGCGGGAAGGCAAGTAGTTGTGGATACCAACGGTAGAAAGAGCACGATCGATGCTGGTGATTGACATTAATACTATGCGTTGAGTGTCAGAGCAGCACATACCATTGCCATGGGTTTTCCGCCATTCCCATGCTTATCGGACCGACAAATTGACAGCGAAACTGCACCACCGCAAGTGATGCAATCAGTGACGAGGCCAGTAGGAGACAGGCGGAGGAACGACTGCGCAAGAAACACGATGTCGGCATGAGACAATGGAGTGGACATAGCAAGAGCAGGATGAAGTATTATCAAGAGGACAGGCACGTAGAAAGAGGGGAAGGAGGGCAATGCGAACAAGGCAATCCAGGAGAGATGTGCAGGAAGGAAGGGGGATGGATCTAACTAGTGATGTGCATGGCCCGGCTTCAAGCCGTGGGCCGGCCCAAGCCAGGCCTGATTAGGCCAAGCCAAGCCAGGCCAAACTCACGGCCTGAACATGGCCCAGGGCTCGGCTTTGGGTTTTGGAAAGCCCAAGCCTGCGGCTCGAGCCGCGGCTCTTTGTATGATCAATCATGATCGATCTGTCAGGTACGAATCCATTTGCATTGCCACTCTTCTACGACTCTAATAGATGCTTAAATCAAGAACTCTCAGCCGATGTCAGGCATGTCACTCGTTTGTCTCGTTTTGGGTCGCACTCGCCCATAATCGACTAGGCCGAATCATCCTGCTCATTCTCGGATGGATCGGATTCCAACGAAGTGACAATTTTGATCGAGATAAAAGGTAAGTACTAGTAGTCTTCGCTCCAAATAATCTAATGGTTGGAATGGTCCATACAGACAGTGACGACGAGCCGCGTATAGTGCGTCCAGTGCGCAAAGTCAAACCGACTGCTGCGCTCCTGGAGCACTCTGAACAGGCTGCACTCCCCTCTCAAACCCTGGCTATCAATGCCTTCCGTGCTGCACAGGCCGCCAAACGTGTTGCCAATGACACCCAGCCCACTGTCCCACAACAAATACCAGCACCCAGCCTGCCCACTCCTGAAGCCACGCTTCCTGCCCCTGCACCTGCAAACAAAAGAGCTCGTCTTGAGGAGATCGAGGAAGATGAAGAATCCAGCGATAAGGAGCGTGAAAATGCGCGGGCGAATCCAAAACGTGAGTTTTCATCTGTCATTCACATTTCCGTTTCTCACCTGACACTATTAGCCAAACGAGCCCGTCGCCAGAAACCTGCTCAAGATCAAGAAGAGGTTGACGAGGATGGTGTTCTTGTGGACATCAACGTGCAGCCCATCACCGACGAATCTGGTCCCACACGCGAAGATAAGACTCGCGACATTGACGAGTTCTTTGGTAAACCATTCGAGCACACTGGTACCAATGGCACGGTGAAAAAACACCGCAAGTGCAAGGTCTGTCCATACGTGTGTTCCATTTCCATGTATTTAATTTTATTAATGCTACATATCAACTACTAGGGACCACTGTATCATCGTAAACGAAACGTCGACACTGCGCCGTCACTCTGAAGCTAGATTTGCTGTAAGTTTTCATATTTTTGTTCAGGCGAACATATAAATTTAACATGAATCCACTGGCACATAGGGCAAATATCGGAAATGGGCAAAGGCCAACGCCTTCGTATCTAAATTGCCGGGTGACGTCGCAGCTGAGAAAAAGAAAGCAGCGCAGGCGCAGCAAGCGATCGATGCGCATATGACTGAGCGCAAGTTATCAGAGCGTGTTATTCCATACAGCGACCAGCTTTTTAGAAAAGCTGCAATTGAGTGGCTCGTTGCCACGGATCAGGTAAGTCTCTGAGTTGTTTGTATCATCTGGCTGCATACTAATGAAAATCAGCCCATACAGGCTCTCGAGCATCCAAAATTCAAGGACATGGTAGATGTGGCCTCGCGTGCTACTCGAGGCGTCAAAATTCCTGGTTGAAAAGCAACCCGCGCTGAGATCATCCGCATGTTCAAGAACCACATGACCACGCTCAAGAAGAAATTGAATGTACGTACCATCCTTTGCAGTTTCTATTCATTCCTGACAATATTCTAGAGTCAATCTGTCAGTGGCGCGATCAATGTTACATGTGACGCGTGGCAGGCTGACAACACAGATGGGTATTTTGCCGTCACCGGCCACTGGATCGAGGAGAACAATCCGATGCAGTGGGAACCCGGGAACGCGTTACTTGGCTTTACGAGGCTCAATAACGCACACAATGGCCAGCGTCTAGGTGGCACATTATTCAAGGTGCTCGATCGGATTGGTGTTGCACACAAGGTTTGCATAGTATTATCTCCTCATGATTGCTACCTTGCTTATATTTCCACCTGCTAGATTGGCCATGTTACATGTGACAACGCCGCCAACAACAACACGATGCTGGAAGAGTTCTCGCGATTGTACGAGGCGAAGTACAACAAGAAATTTCCATGGCGTGAACGCAAGATAAAGTAAGAAGTCTTCATGATTTTTTTGCTGCGTACTAACAATTTCAACAGCTGTCTAGCGCACATCATCAACCTTGGCACACAAAAGCTAATAAGTATGTATAGCCAAGCGCCCCACTACAATCCACACGATCCGCATGGCCACGATCCGGATATGTCTCAGAAGGTTGAGCGTGACGAGATCGGCCTCGTTCGCAGCATCTGCATCAAAGAACGTTCCTCGGCCAAACGGAAAGAGTTGTACAGGACTATCCAGACGAAAGCAGGTGTGTCTTTGCCGACACAACTGCTGATTGACATGAAGGTTCGATGGTCTTCAACCTATGTTATGCTTAATCGTGCCGAACACAACAAGAAGGTGCGCATTTGATCTTGTTGTACCCTATTGTTCTCACTCTTACTTAGTATGTTGACACGTTTGTGTACGAAATGGGCCGCCAAGAACCCAATCTAACCAAACGAGCGAAAATCGACTTTTTGCAATTGTCACCCGCTGAATGGTCACGACTTGGTCATTTTGCAGACCTTCTTTCATACGCCGACGTTGCTCAACAAGCCTTCTCGTCGGATCGAGGTTCAACTCTCCATCTCGCAATTCCTGCGCTGGAGACACTTTACAAATCTTGGTCTTCGCGAGCAGAAAGGCCCAAGTATGCTCGGTTCGCTGATTCACTGAAGGCCGCCGCAGCAAAAATAGATGAATACTACGAGAAGACTACAGATTGCCCAGCCTACGTTATCGCTATGTGTTCGTTCTCTTCTGTTTAAGCTAGCTGAGTTTGACGGTGTGCCGTTGTAGTACTTGATCCGACGTCAAAACTGGCATACTTCAAAAAGCACTGGCCATCCCACTTGCTCGATGATGTGCTTGCTTGTGCTGAGAATGTGTTCAAAGCACACTTTTACAAGCTTAATCAAACTCTGTCGTCGTCGCAGCCTACAACCACGAAAAGCAAGGCCGCTGGCCTCAAAAAACTTATTCGAGAGGTTCAAAGTGACTCCGATAACGATTCTGAGGCAGACCCAGGTGCCACGTCCATTGGCGACCCAGCAACACCATGGAGGGCCGAGTTCGCGAGCTATATCGAAACTATCGAGGCAGCTCCCTCAGCAGGTATGAGTACTATCCAGTGGTGGGGTGTAAGTGACTTTCATTTCCTCTGACTCGAGGCTGATCACTGTGTCCATTTAGATTAATGCCTTGAGGTATCCTGTGTGGGCTTCGCTGGCAAGAGACTTTCTATCCATTATGGTAGCGTCTGTCTCGAGCGAGCGAGCTTTCTCGCAAGGAGGGATCACGATCAGCAAGCGGCGTAATCGGCTGAAAGGAGATATCGTTGAGGCTCTACAATGTGTTAAGTGCTCCCTTCGTCATGAACTTATATTCCGCGAGGCCGGTCCTTCATCTCTTGTGGAGGAAGAAGCTGATGATTCTGAAAATGAGGCTGAGGCTGGTGAGCACGAAGTATCCAAAGACGAACCAGCAGATGACGAGGGGTGGGATGTGCTGATCTTGGAGGATGATGATGACGACAATATGTCAGAGTTTGATTCATTAGGTGACGAATAAGCGCTGTACAATTGTTGATATATTATAGACCGTTTTTCAAGATATTTCAATGTTCAAAGCCGTGAACAAGCCCAAGCCAAGCCGCGGCTTAGGCCTGGCTTTGGCTCGTGGCCCGGCCTGAGGTTTTTCAAAGCCCAAGCCTCCCCAAGCCAGGCCTAAGCCGCGGCTTTCAGGCCGAGCCGGGCCCGCACAACACTAGATCTAACGGCGGGCGGGCGGGGTATTTGAGCAGCTCAGAGATGGTTCGAGCGGCGTCTAAATGGAGGACGTCGTTGACACCACCTCCAGTGGTGGCGGGCGGGCATAGAAGTAGCATTCCTTCGAGGTGACAGCTGGCGGGCAGCAGCCGGCAGGCAGCAAAGAGTCGGGATGAAGGATATTAATATCCTGCTTAGGTACACCTGCAAGCAGACTCCGTTTGAATTTGCCGAGCCTGCCGAGGGGTGCCCAGACTTGTGCCCAGACCGCAGACCTAAAGTCTACGCAGACTTGCGCCAAGACCGGCCAGAACTCTGACATTCACAAACAGCCAGCTTGAATTTTCGACTCTCGGCAAACGGGACCCTCCCGAGTTCGGAAATACCCGCTCAAACTCTGTGACATTGGTGCGCGCTTATTTACCTACTCCCCTTTTCATGGGGAACCACGGTCGATTTGTCGTCATGACCGAGCACTTCAGGCTCTGCATCTCTTTATCAAGTGAACATCGGCTGCTGCTGCTGTTTCCCGTAGGCAGAACGACAATATCTTTATTATGAGTTTTGCAACTCTTACTAGGCTATGGCGAATCAATGACAAGTCTCGTTGAAAATTCTGGAAGTCCAACTATTGCGCCCCAATTGCTAGTACTTAATAATGGTCAACGTAATAAAAGGCCGGGATCAACACTTGGTGCAGTTTTCAACCTGTTACTCTCGTGCTGACTAGTCAATTTATGTGCAGGTTACCATCGGCTCATGTCAGCGGCATTTATGCATGAAAGCCCGGCCGTGCCGTACATCTAGAATCGCGCGCGAGGGTTCACCGGTGCACCGTGCACTACCCTTTGTCATAGCACAGTCAGGATCGTCCTTTGTACTTTGCGAGCTAGCCTAGAACCAAGCTCCGAGTCCATGAGGCTCATGGATCTTTCTAGTAACAGAGCCTCGCTCAGTCAACGTGTTGTCTGTGCCCTCCAAGTCCTTCCTGACCTGCTCGTTTGACTACTCTACCATCTTCATTTACACTTGCTAGCTCGAATCCAACACCAAGATCATGGCCCACCCTGCCATATGGCGAGGAAAAGTGTACTTCTATCCTATTGGCAATACGTCTGCAGTTTCCCTCGCACAGGATCTCTGTCCAACTGAAAAAGCAGACATGCTGCTTCTTGGGTGCGGCGACCCGAGACATATCCTTTACACCGTATATACAAACAGCGCTAGCTCGCAAAGTAAAAGTATGTTTCTGGTAAGAACCTTTTGAAAGAGTGGCGTGCTAATGTTTTATGTTCAGAATCACGAAAACTGGATTTCACTTGCTGTGACATTGAGAGCGCAGTCATTGGTGAGCCCAAATTTAATACTCGATGCGTCTTCCTAAGCCAATGTATCAAACAGCTCGTAACGTTATCTTATTCACCCTCCTTGCCGATGAAGGCGCTGCGCAGAAAGTGCCACAAATTTGGAACATTTTTTTCCACTTTTATCTCGACAAAGCCTCCCATGACCTGCTCATATCACAGTGCAGGAAATTGGTCGAGCTATCCAACGATCTGGACAGCTGGAACAATGGTCCTTACGGTTATTTCCTTCGTATGTGCACTGGACATACTCTCGCCGAGTTGCGGCGCCTTTGGCAGCTCTACATCCAAACGACGACTTGCTCTCCTAGCCAGGCAAAAGCATTTGCATTCGCATATGCTGCTGATGTCAAGGCTTGCAGGTCTAAGTCCAAATTCGTGCTTACTGCAAGTCGGGCAGCTGGGCCATTGTCGATGTATGCGATCAAGGCGGCGGGTGATCACTACAACATTTACTGGGAGACAGGCGTATGCTCTGCTGTCCCTAAGAGACCCAAAGAGGTGTCACATCCAAACCCGACCTTAGCATACTCCATGGCTGGTAACAAATTTGCGGTCCACTATGGAACAGATCCTCTCTCTTGCTTTCATTTGGCAGAAGCGCTTGCACCGGCTGTTGGAAGCGCTCGCCATCCCGAGCAGACGACTCTGAAAGATTTAGTAAATGTCTGCAAGATCCAGTTTTCCAGGTGGTGCACTTCGGTTGCTGAGGTCTTGCGCAGTCAATGTTCATCTTCTCCGAGCCCGCTCATCATACGTTGCTTTGTGGGTGACGCTCTCAGCTTGTGTCAAGCCCTTGGCTACTACCACACCACGAAATCCACATCCACGCCATTCCCTGTTGCACCTTGGAAGCACACGTGCATCACATTTGATCCTGACACTTACGGAACTCATATACAGTCACCCGCACCGACTACATTCAACGTCATTGATACTTCCAATCTTCTTGATCACGTCGGCGTGTTGAATGTCCTCGTTGTTACTTCTCCTCTTCTTCAGCGAACTCCATCTGCTACGTTGTACACAGAAGGTCTCTCTGGGAGCAGCCCGGAGGACGCGTTGCCACAGCAACTCTGTGGAGATATAGCGACTATTGGTCTGCTCCTCGGCCTCATTCCCGCGTCCTTTATTTCGCAGTTTACGAACCGGTCGAATATGCATGAGCTGCTCGTGCGGACCGTGCAAGGGCAAGCAACCCAGAATCACGAGCGCCTCGCCTGGAAGCTGATTGGCGGGGCTGAGAAACTCGTGACTGATTTTGACCACCCCATCGACATCTCTCCCGAGCAGCTTGCAGGCCTTCTCTTCAATGTTTACCTCGACATGTTTTTTTTTCAGAACACGTTACGAAGTATGACTATGATTAAGTGGTCTTCGTCGTCTTCGTCGTCACTCAAAATCTCCGGGGTCGTACATTACCATCGTCGTTCGTACGCGAAGATTTTGGGTGTCGTCAAAAGGAGGGTGGTCACAGAATGGGCCCCGACCATGAACATACTTCTTGACAAGATTCTGGGTGACAGGACCCTTCTGACAGGGATGAACTTTTACCAAGATCTCTGCTGCCAACTGCACCTTCTCGGTGTTTTTACTGTAGATTGGATGTCTCTGCAAAAGGTGCAGGAGGTGTATAGCATTGAACGACCCCCTGTCCTACGCGATTGGAAAATGCTCCCGCAAACTGTCTGCGTCGTCCTCGTTATTCCTCGGGGTCGCCTCCAGCCGCTCTTACCTGCTCTTGACGAGTCTGGAACACCTGTGTTGCAGTGTGACATAAGGGGAGTAGCAACCTCGAATACGTTCTCTTGCATCAACACAGTTTTCGGTACCGTCAATATCAGCGGCAAGGGCGATGGCAAAACTGTAACCATTAAGGAGGACGCCACTGGACGGGATGGAACTTCCCCTCTCGTGGTGTGGTTATGGGTGCCGTCCGTTGTAATGATGAACGAGCGTCGTTTGATGGTCGCATTATCTGTTCTATCCACCCCAGCGACTTGCATGACACTCCCCATGAAGCTGGGGCTCGGCCTTTCATTATTCAACGCAGACATAGGAGACGAGCAACTCGTGCATATTCTCCGACAGCGTCCTGATGCTGGTCCAGAGAGTCCCGAGGAGATGAATACACAGATCGGTGGTTGTCGCATGAAGACGTCTGGTGCACGCACATTCGTCACCTTAGACAAAGAATGCAAGAAACCTCTGACATTCACCACTCGTGCGGATATCGTCGAACCGGGGATGAAAGCTGCCCTGATCAGCGGTGCTACTCCCATTGTGAACCAAGTTTCTATGCATTCAATCGCCATCGTTCTTGGAGGCAATTCTTTGCGATTGCATTTCCCGCTTCCTATTGATGCAAAGAAAGCCGATCTCCGCATTGTACAAAAGTCGCGATACATCGAAGTGCGTTCTCTCTCTTTCTCTTTCTCTCTCTTTCCAACCACTCATTTATGACTCGGCGCAGGTTATCTTACCCCTGAAACTTGCTCTTGGAGGAACCGACCTGATGGACATGTTCCCTGTTATTCCGCAGGGAGGCGACCTTGTTCTCTGGAACATGCACCGCGTCAATCTCGACCAATGCACGCCTTTCAGCATCGCCAACAAGAAGGCTCTCGACTGGCTCAACCCTCACGTCTCCCTCATGATGTCCGAGCGTGAAAGGAGAATCCCGGTTGAATTGACAACAGGGTCCACGCTGCTGGATGTCAGGCGTACACTTCATTTCATCTTTGGGCACGCAAGTGGTATCGCGAATGGCAAACCCCCTCTATGCTACGCCTTGCGGGAAGGTCAACAGATCTTTGTTATTCTCTATATCACGAACCTCCGCTTGGACGTCGGATCGCACGCCATGGTCGCTGATGTTTGGGTGATGCCGTCTTCTCCCTTGCCTGAGAAAGTCCAGGCTTTCGAAAAAGTTTCTAAGCATGTGATGTCAAGAAATATGAAGACGGTGGCGATGGGTGTTGAGGAGAGGAAGGCATGGATGCACCTCCTCGTGGCCGCGACGGAGCGGTGCCGTACCTGGGAGCATAAAACCAACTGCGAGTATCGCATCCAAGGCGTCATCCCTCTGACTTTGGAGCCAAATGATAGTCCTATCTGCTCTTGCGGTGCCGGGGTTGGGACAGAGGCGTTTGTGAAGCAATATCCGATGCTTCGACCGCTTGCGCCGTATGTGACGAGGGCAGCGATCAGTCCGCTGTTTGCGCTGTCGTACATGGAAAAGGTCGGTAATCCGGAGGATGACGTTACTACTACCAAGGCCCCGCCGACGCCTTCGCTAGGAGCAGCAGTGAGTCATGTGTGCGCCGCTTGTGGAAAGGAAGAGGGTGCTTCTGGGTCATTATTGATTTGCAGTCGGTGCAAGGCTGTGCGGTATTGTTCAAAGGGTTGTCAACGCGAGGACTGGAACAGGCACAAGACGTGTTGCGTAGCACCACCTTCCTGAGGAGATTGTTCATCACGAGTAGATGTTATGATTGATTTTTCTGGATCCACACACGATTAATGATGTAGGCAGCTCCTTCGTTCTTTGTTCAGTTTGGCTCATGAGTTATACTAGTTCCTTCTTCACCTCTTATCTGCCAAATGTTCCCTCCTTTGACTGGAGTTGAGGATATGTACTTCCGTGTACTAATTACCCGAAGCCTGCCTAAGTTATACTTCTTTCCAGTCTCCTATATTCACATCTCTAGATCTAATGCATTCCTTTGAATACATGCTGCTGCAATGTCCATTGATCATCATCATTCATTTACAAGCATTATCTGAACCTCGGCTAAATATTATTGCTGCACACTTTAGCCACTCTTCGTTAAGTAAGGTTTCTGCCGACGCAGGCTATCTAGTACGGATGTGACTCGGAGATGGTATGGAGATGGACCTGAAGCTCTGTTGTCGCAAGTATAATGCTTTTTGATGTGGTATACAGATGGCATGGTGATAAGGCAACCTGATAAAAAGACTAGGGTCGTTTACCACGCATCATCGCCGACGTGACGGGCGCCCAGACTTCCGCCGTGCTGCTGGTAGTCCCTGGCGGTTCATCCTCGTCGACTTCGGTACAGGCGTCATGCCTTTTGACTTTCTCCACTCCTCCCTTCGTGAGTTCCTTGGACCATGAGTCGAGACGTGCGATGATTTTGTTGTCGACGCTTTTGCAGAATCATCGAGATCCATAGCATCTGGAAAAATAATCAGGTTAGAATTTCAAGAACAAGTCGAGAGAGCTTATAGACCTGGTGCTGTAGAATCATCTGGTGGGATATGTAAGCGAAGATGATCTATGCGTTAGACAAAACGAAACAAGCGAAAAGATGCAGCTCGTCTCCTCCCAGTACTATCATTGTAAAGCTTTGAAATGCGACGAACCTTGTGCAGCATCACCTTCCACAGGTTCTGCTAATTCCTCATCTCCACCATCAATTTTTGCCGTCAATTTAGAGTTGAGTCTCTGTAGACGTGCAGCCTCAGTTGCTGCGTATACACCTTCATCGCGTTTTTTTCGCTCTGAATGAGCGCTTGACTTTTGATCGAGTTGATTTTGCCATGTTGGTGACAGTGCGGAAGGATTCACAAATGGCTCGCAAATGACGGGACCTCTGAAATTTCTTGAAGCTGACGCACACGTGACACATCGAATCATGCTCGCTCAGCGCTCAATGTCTTTCAAGAACTGCAAGGACTATCTCGAGCAGCCACTTCAAACCGTCTATCCGATAGATAGTAGCCGTGCATTACGCATTTCATTGCGGGCACATAGTTCAATCCAAAAATCGGATGAACTGAGAATAACTTGTTCACCAACTCGTGCAGTCTTCGCAGAATGACTGCCAGTGTGGTAAGTACCTGAATCCGCCGCCATGACTGCTGCTGACAGAAGTCCGACATTTGAATTTGCGTCCACAGCACTGTGGGTAATTAGTGATATTACGATGCAAGATCGTCTTTCAAGTCTAGACGCCCTCCACTGCAAACGCAGGTTCAAGGACGGACGATCATCCAGGTATTTGATGCATCTACATCGCGATAGATCATACAAGCAGTGTACAAACCTACGTCAATCGAATAAATTCGATAAGTCCTATGATACAACAAGACCAATTGTCTGGATAGCCTCGAGCCGTTGGACAAGATGTTTTGATCGATCACTGCATGATCATTCTGGAGGGGCTTCCCTGTAAAGTCGCAAAACATATAAGCATGGAGAACCTTGACAAGACAAATGATACTCATGATGTACAGCACGTTGTTGCACCTGCGATAAAGCTGGTAAGAGTGTCGACAATAGATAAATGAGACCACATGCCTGATGAAGACTTCGCCCAAAGCACCATTTGATTTCCCGTCTTGGAATTCCTCTGTGTTAGCCAGCTATACAATGTATTAGAAATCCAGAGAAATACGCATCAAGCTTGTCCATACCTGGAGGTTCATGTACCCATCCGTGCTGACAAGGAATCCTTTGTACTCGAGCCCCCATTTTAGCTTCACAAATACTGGCTTCCCAGTAAGCTCCTGCATGAAAGGCTTGGGGTTGACAGGGTTGACCTAGGGTGGGTTAATATCTTAGGCATCCAGCTACGAGTTTGTTGACGCACCGACGACATCTTGGTTGTTGATAGAAGATAGATGTAAGGTAAATTCGGACTTCGAAAAAGGCAAAAAAGGAACCACCATAAAACACAACCTGTGACATACTCACTTTCATTCGCTTTTGGCCGCGTTCGCGCCCTTGTACAAAATATGTCAGACCGCGAAGGACACTCGGGAGCTGGACCGTCAGATGAAGATCTATCGCTGCCGAAGGCAACGGTTGCAAAGATGATTAGTGGTATGTGCTCCGAAGGATATAGTTCATTTTCCGACCTCTTGAACTGTTTATTCATTCCCCATTATATGGCTCTCAGAACTACTACCAGCTGAGGTCACATGTGCGAAGGAGACGCGAGATCTGGTCATAGAGTGTTGTGTAGGTGAACATCGTCAATGATCTTCCTGTGCCTCGTTAGGGCTCACGCATTTGTAGAATTCATTCACTTGATCTCGTCGGAGGCGAATGAGATATGTGAGCAGGAATCCAAGAAGACAATAGCGCCGGAACATATAATCGCAGCGCTGAAGGTATGTTTATATGACTGACGCTTTATTCTCGGCTGACTTTGCTGTAGCGGCTAGGCTTCGATTCCTTTACAACTGAAGTTGAAGATGTCTTGAAAGATCACAAGCAGCAACAAAAGGTGCGTGAAGTTCGTATTAACACCCAGCGTATGATGGACTATGTTTCAGGACAGGGAAAAGAAAGCAGACAAGATAAAAGATTCGGGTTTAACGCCAGAAGAACTTATGGCAAAGCAGGAGGAGCTTTTCGCTGCAAGTCGTGCAAGATTCGCTCAACCGCAAGGGCAGCAGCAGCCATCGGCGTGAATTTAAGTGGTAACGCCAATAGCAAACACTCATGGTACCTGCGATTCGTATTATTGTTGTATCGGACCCTGTACATCAGCACTTCTAATGATTTTTATTTTCTATTTCTCTGTCTTGTCGTTGCCGCAGAACTTCAAGGCGTCTGTGTGGGGAGTCTTGGTTCCATTCTTCCACTCCGTTGCTCAGAGTAAGGTGTGGAAGACCAAGCTGTTCAACTGTGAAAGAGGCTGACACCGAAGCATATAGTGTTGCTAGAATGTGATAACGGGGGTCCAATTAGTTGTGCGTCAACATCATGAGCACACTGACAGACCTTCATAGATATCTCCTTTTGCCTTGAACAAGCCCGCAGCAAGCCCGCCAAGAAAAGAGTTACCAGCACCTGGTTTTTTATCAGTATAATCACACTGATACAAACATTCGCCCAAAGAATCACCTGTGACATCGACAACCTTGTCAATGTTCTCGGCGGAACTCCAGAAAGCGTCAACCCATTGCCCTTCCCTGTCAGAGGTTATGACGTATGCACCAAGGGCACCACTGCGTATTATAACGCTTCCACTATTTGCTTTACCAACCCCCATCTTCAAGAACTCTGATGCAGCATTCTCCACGGCAGTTTTCGTAACAATAGACGGAAGAGAAAGCAGCGCTAAGGCCTCTTCAGCATTTGGACTAGTGTTTCGCGTGAGCAGAAATCGGATGTGACCACATCTCGCCTACCTCAGGATTGCGATATGTGGGAGGACTGCTTTCAGCGAAGGCAACTCCTCGGGAATACATCTATCCTGCTTGACATTCAATCATTAATTTGTGAGACAGAACCCTGCACGAACAGGTATGGGTTCAAAGATTGCGGTCGGGTTCCACCCTTCAATTTCTTGGATCTCTGATATGATTTGAAGCGCACGCGTGGGTGAGCAAATGAAATGAACAGAAGCAGGACGTGTCAGCCGCGTGCTGTCCAAGTCGCGAGGCGTGAGTCTGATCCGCGGAGTAGTGTATTCAAAACTACAGTCATGGAAACGTCAGATGGCGTGGATAGGTTGTAAATGCGAGGAAATAGTGACCCTCGATATTCTCCTCTGTACGAATTCATTGATCGTGTGGTAACGCGATTCATGTCGTCACGGAAGTGCCACATGCCAGAACCATACGTCAGTAACCGATTCTGAATATCCTGAGGGAAATCGTTCCCCCGGTCGACAATCATCCCAAGGGTATCAGGAGGCAACCTGCAAGAAAGGTCGAGCCGTTCACAACCCAAGTCATACAACACAGCAACGCTGACCACATGCGAGCACCGATGGCAGCATACGTTCCTCCACCTCCAATCTAATGTAGATATATCGCGTGAGGATGTTGACAGCCGCAGGAGAGTGTAACTAGCTTCCCTGGGGTGGCACCATTTCTCCGGTAGGCTTCCCTTGCTCGTCTGCATAGGAAAATTCATCGATGATAAACATCCCAAAGGTCACAAATTGAATCGTCATCTCGTGGTATGAAACAAACACGCGTAGCAAGCCTGTGTTGCTAACCCGGTTGCTTCCGAACATGGTGTTACCGTGGCGTCTCCGCTGATAAGTATGTAATGGAGTCATGCAACTGGATAAGTATCTAATCTATAGCACTCATGCAAGTTTGGAATGTCATATACGACCCGCTCGAATTCCCAGATTCCGTGCGTGCCACGTCGTTCACGTTGCAGTTCACGTTGCCGTTCTGATCGCCTCATACGTCCAATTAGCTCTATCGCAGCGCATTGCCCCTAGTTGATCAGATTGCCCAGAGCAAGATCAGCAAGTTTCATCGCCGTGAAGACGCTTGTCGTACGTACGCAACCCAGCAGGTTATACATCGGCGCCGCCCATACTGATGCCTGATCTTTCATCCCAAGGATCGCTCATTGGCAACCTCCTTCCGAGAGTCTTGCTCAAGAAGCGAGGCGTGGCTAAAGATGCCATGACTTTTGCGGCAACGGAAACAGGGAAGCCATATTGCGTATGTCTTTTTGCAAAATAGTTCATTTTTTGATCTCCCTGATTCCGTCCGTGCCCAGACCACTCCTGGAATAGACCCTCCCTTGGCTTTCAATGTTACTCATGATGAAGGCGTCATCGCCATGGCCTTCGGAACGGGCGATTTAGGACCCCCTGCATTCAGCATAGGAGTTGATGTCATGAAACTCAAAATTCCTCCGCGGACTACTTTCATTCAATTTGTTGACATTGTCGACAGTCAGGTGAAAAAGTCCGTTCTCCGTATCTTTGTGCTGTGCTCATTCCCTCGCCTTATCACCGGAAGCTCACGGCTCGGGAGAAGAATCTAATTCTTGCTGATGTCACTGAGGAAGAGGCAATTCGCAGATTTTACTGGATATGGACCTTGAAAGAGGCTTACACCAAGGCTCTCGGGATTGGCCTCGGCTTTGACTTCAGAAGAATAGAATATGATGTTGTGGAGGAGAAAGTGACTGTCGATGGCGAACCTGCGAGAGGATGGCAGTTTATGAAGTTCGAACTGCCGCAATGTGGACCTAATTATGTCGGCGTCGCTGCAAAGTTCGTTGGAGGGCGAGGAACAAACATATCAGATTTGAGTGAAGGATGTCTCGTTTGCTATGATGCTGTATCATTTGTTAACCGCGCGATCGAAGAAATGAGCTAGACATCTTATATCATATTAGAGATGTACTCGGAATAAATGCTTTAAGTTAGACTACTGCGTGAATTCATATGGAGTGACGAAAAAGAGTATACTGCACTGATCGATATAATTACCTGGAAGTTTATGCTCTAGAAGTACGCGTCAAAGTGTAATCAATATGCAAGGAAGATTTCTGAGCCAAAAAGTAGGTCATCATCAGGACGGCTCCTGGTTTGGAGGGGCGCTGATTGCCAAACCCTCTTTGCGCCATCATTTTGCTTGGCTTGAGAGCCCCAATGCATCCCGGAGAGCTCGAATGCGCTGAGCTCTGCGAAGGACGTCAGAACATTGGCCACCTGCTCATAGAATTCCTGTATCGCGGAAATTAATGCTCCTGAGCGCTACGGGTGAAAAGCTATGGTAACTTACGGCAGTGGGAGCCTTGAAGATGTCCTTGGTTGACATGACTCGCAAATAGATTAAGTGAGGCACATGTCTGTGCAACGTCTCCAGGAAAGGGACAGGAGGTGAATTTGTGACAGTTCCCAGAATGACTACAGGGGCAGTCGAGCGGGCAAGCAGAGGAATATCATCCTCCGAAAGACCTCCGCCATTGAGATGAATACTCCTCAGCGGACGGCCGGGAATGATCAATTCGGCTGTCCGGGTGGATCCAATGAACTGTTCCAGTTGGGGAATAGAAGTTGGAGCAAGGTAAGGAGGCGGGGAATCGGGTGTGAACAAGGTAGGGATAGAATCTACTTCAAGCTCAAGAAGGGCCGGGGTCCTATCAAGGAACCTGGCGACGTTTTCATCGAAAGGAAATGAACAGGTGAAGTGAAACAAATGGGGGAAGTGGATACGACTTGACGCTTCCTTCAACACCCAGCTCACGCTCGAATCCACGAGGAGAGAAAGAGAGGTCAACTCTGACATATTAAGAATGGCTTTTGTAAGTTTGCGATAAAAGGCAAGTAAGACAGGCGCAAGGGAATCTATGGCAATGTAAAAGGACCGCACGAAACGCGCGACATGCGGTTTCTTTGCGAGAGTGTCAACGACACATAAGTTCTGGGACCAAACGGAAGCAGAGACAGTGCAGTAGAGGACGCGTTGAGCCACTGGACAGAGAGTGGAGCAAGTTTGAGCAAGAGCAGCGAGAGAAGAAGAAGGAAGATACTGGGCGACGGTATCAAGAAGCTCGACTGGTAAGCTGTGGATAGACATGGGGGTGCTTGATGGACAGCCCGAGCTGAGACTGTGGACCTCTTATAGGGTAAGCCTCGGGCGTGCAGACAGGTGTCTATAGAATATTTTGATTGCCGCCGTGTGAAGGGAATAAAGAATGCAAGCGAACTGAACTAGTACTAGGACTGAGAAAGTCCATGGAGGGAGAATGAATGCAATGTAAGCTTAGATTTGAATGAAATTACTTAAAAATAAAAGGGAAACAAGATGGTGGGTATACTGCATAGCCACCTAAGCGATGTGTACGGAAAATTATATTTACCATTTATTACATAATCAACGAACTTGAAATGACCTGGCTGTGACAAGTCTGGCTTCAACCTAACATTACACATAGGTTAGTTACTGATACTGATGCGCATTCTAGGGATCAATTCTTTCGTGTCACCGTTCACGAAACAACCCTCCGCGAAGTCGCACCATTTTCGAATTCCTGCATTATGGAATGCAAGGAGGCACTTTCAAACGCCAGGTTATGCTCATTCTGGTCAGACAAATATCCCCGTTCCTCACGCATCCAACGTTTATACTAACTCGTGTAGCTCCGTATCCAAAAAGGACTCATACCTGTGGTGAGCTAACTCCCGCGCACGCTGGCATCCACGTCACGTTGACTGGTTGGTTGCTCCCTGAGCGGTGATTACCTTTTACATATCTTCTCCCTTCAGTTTGCTTACTTTTGCTAAATAAAGCAAAGTGTCAAAGACAATGTCCTTCTTTCCCATCAAAGATTCTTCTGGAATCACCCAATTGGTTGTACGCAAGGGGCATGTGAATGCTCATCTGACCTCGTTGTCCGATCTTCCTCTAGAGTCCACTATTGCGATCGAGGGTGTAGTCCTCGTAAGACCAGAACAGTCTCGCCGTGATGTTAGTAGGGTCTTTCGTTATTGTTCTAGATACTCATCCAAAGCACCCTCAAGGAAGGCACGGGTCAGATCGAGGTCCAAGTAAATAACTTTACTCTCCTTAATCCTGCCCATCGCAACATGCCATTCATACCATCGGACAACCAGACACTGGTATGCGGAGGTGACGCGGAGTTCTTCCACTATTAATGAGCTCAATAATAGGTCAATGAAGACCTCAGGGCACGTTATCGATATCTTGATCTTCGCAGGACAGCCCTTGCGGACAACATCAGAAAAAGGAGCCAAGTTGCTCGAATAATACGGGATACTCTGCATGACGATGGTGCGTGCTCTTGATATCCGTCAAATGTTCTGTGATCACAGTCACTCCTAGGCTTTCTTGAAGTGGAAACACCACTCCTTTTGAAGTCATCGCCAGAAGGCGCAAGAGAGTTTTTGGTCCCGTCACGAGTCGGTCAATCAACTGCACAGCATGATGGAAATGATGCCCCCCTATTCTATGCTCTTCCACAGTCTCCACAGCAACCAAAACAGTTACTTATCTGTTCTGGAGCTGTTGACAAGTATTTTCAGATAGCGAAGTGCTTCCGCGACGAAGATGGTCGCAAGGATAGACAGCCCGAATTCACGCAGATCGATCTAGAAATGGCATTTGTTTCATGGGGTGTGGACCCTAAGATTTTCTCAACCAACACATGGCGAATTGGAGGCCACGAGGTTCGCGCCGTAATCGAAAAGCTTGTTCGACGCATATGGCAGGAAGTTGAAGAAATCACGCTTCCCAGCTCGTTCCGGGTGATTTCCTACAACGAAGCAATGGCACGTGTAAGCTAGTCACTTTACCGATCGAGGGACATTGTAATTTGGTCATATTAATGATCGTTTAGTATGGTTCAGACAAACCCGACACTCGCTTCGATCTAGAGGTTGTACAGACTGTGCTTGTGCGCTGTTTATCGCTTACGCTGCCTATACCAGATCAAGGACATTACGCCCTCGCTACCAATTCACGCTCAGGCATCGTTTGAAGACCTTGGCGACATTCTCGAGGCGATCATTCTTCGTCCATCTGAGAGCTCCTCATTCCTTCCGGCAAGTGAAGAATGCAACTACGAGAACGAACCAAATGTCGTCAGTTGTCCATTCTTGAGCAGTATCGATAATTTCACATGGTCAGTTTGTAGAGCCGCTCTGTGATCGCCGATAGTAATCTGTTGAATTGGCTGTGTGATAACCGGTCTATCAATTTGAAGCTGACTGGCGAAGAGCATGCCCTTTTGAATAAGACGTTGGGAATAAGTAGCGGCGATACACTATGGCTATCTCGTCGTCGCAAAATTCCCGAGGTGTGTCTCTATACTATCTCCGCTCCCCCAAGTCATATATTCTCATGTGGATAGGGTGGGTCCACAGCCCTGGGTCGCATCCGAACACGCATTTCTGAGTTGGCACATGCCCGCGGTATGTGCTGTCGACTATTGTGGCGGAGAGGCGTTGATGTTGTTTGTAGGAGATTACGTACCGCACGCGGTCCCCCACTTCCTATGGGTCACCGAGTTTCCACTATTCACTCGTGCTGATCCTGACAAAGAATTCTTGGCTCACGGGCGATGGAGCAGCACACATCACCCTTTCACAGCGCCGATGTGGCAAGATATAGAAGCCATGTACGCAGGCCGTATCGATCAGGTTCGTGCTAATTCGTTTTCGAAGGGATCCATCGTTTCAGTTTCTTATCCTCGATCTCGACCTTTCAGGTTCGGGGACAACATTACGACCTTGTTCTGAATGGTGTTGAGATTGGTGGGGGCTCGGTTAGGGTACACGATGCTGCAATGCAAGAGTACATCTTTTCCCAGGTTTTGCAGGTTCGGTTCTCTGTTCTCGCCCCTGTGGCGTGTTACACTTTGTCCCGACTCACTCGTATTTTTTATAGCTGAGTGATTCTGAAAAGTCATCATTTGATCATCTACTGCATGCCCTCAAATGCGGTGCACCTCCTCATGGCGGAATTGCTCTTGGTAAACCGTGCAAGTTTCTGTAACCCACGCACTAAAAGCTGACAAAACCTCCGATCTAGGCTTTGATCGCATGATGGCTATCCTTTGTAAGACGCCAACCATTCGGGATGTCATCGCTTTCCCAAAAACTGGAGCAGGCACAGATCTACTTTTCAGGAGTCCGGCGGCCATCAACGAGCAGGTGCTAAATCAGTATGGTATCCGACCCACACGTTGTTGAAGCGTGTCCCGGTGTTTTTACTACTAGCTAATCAGATGCATTATCGTAACTAATGGCCACATCGTGGAAGGTATCAATGACTCGTAAGCTGTCTGTCCACTACACATATCATCATCTCTCATCGTAAACACAAAACAATAAAAATTAGGATACGCAATTATTAAACACGTGAGAATTGTAGTGTTTCATCTGACTGCGGTGACTGGGGAATTTGACTGAGGTCGGATTCCCCTATGTCAGTCTGACTCGCATGTCTGATGGCCGCATCGACTAATGCGGATTGAATTGGAGTGGCATCGTCCGTGACGGAAGGATATGGCGATGCACCATAGGTAAACGACTCCCAACTCGTATCAGGTTCGAGAGTGCCTCCGTGTATATCGGGCGGTGAAGTCTGGGCTTCTGAAGTATCGATAGGATCACTCGAATGACGGATGTGTGTCTCATCGATGACTGAAAGAACACTCCGAAGCTTAGACTCTGCCTTCCGTGCATGTTGTGTAGTGCTCGGCGGATGTGACTGACGACGCTTGAGTTGGGCAGAGGGTGATGCCGACCGAGGAGGAGTTGAAGAAGGCGAGACAGAATCAGCCCATTCCGAGGTAGTGGCGAAGAACCCCCCATTTGGAGCCCAAGAATTATTAATGATCGCTGGGGATACGTCAGCATTTGGGGGTGGTGGTGTGATAGCCAATGGGCTCGGCGAGGGTGATGGTGCATTGGCCATTACGGCCAGCGGCGGAAGAATGGTGAAGATCTGGTCCTCCGCCTGAGGAGGTCCATATGAGTCAAATGGGTCTGGAACAGACTGGAGCATCGCTTCCAAGATAGGGTCCGATCTACAAGGCGGGGATAAGCTTTGAGTAATAGAAAATTACAGGGTCTTCATTTGACTCACGCCTTATTCGTGAACCTGTCAAACACATCCATTGTCGAGCGTACGGCTACGCAGACCTGGAGGCGAACAGGTCAGCATTTTACGAGGGTGTGATGATTTGTCAATATGCATACCTTGCCCTGCACTACGTCCCAGACTTCTTCCTCGTGCTCCATTATTTCTTGGTAGTGTTGTGCCTTGAGACCATCCAGGTCATCCACTTGGCGCTGGAGGACCGCCAGGGCTTCACGGAAGCTTTGCAGGTCTGGACAGGGTAACAGACGTCACTCAAAACCCGAGAAGACCGGGAGAACGGACCCACTTCGCTGTTTTTTATTCATGTTACTCATTTCTGTTTGGCGAATGATTTCACTCTTTTCGCGAAGAGCCTTCTCATACGATGCAGAGCGCTCCTGTGACAGTGACATGTGAAAGGGTCCGACATGAGGCTGCGGAGGAGCTGCGTACGTTTACGATCGTTCGGTATGTGTCCAAATGTTGCCGCAATGGTTTCTCGAAGCTCTTATCAAGCGTCTCCGCCTATTCAAATGCATAAGAATTGAAGTAAGGAAGAACAAGGGTAATTCGTACAAGGACATGCCAGTGGTTACCGATGAGATGATGAAGTCCTGAGGCGGCCTGTAGTCTTGTGCCTGCTTCGTAAGTAGGTCCCTTCAAACTGCATGAATGAGCCCTAGTTTCTCCCTTGATAGACAGTCGGAGCATACCCTGAGCATTTCTCCAAAGCGTCTGCAAATGCAAAAGTCACTTTCGACATATGGAGTAAAGCAGCACGATAATTTGCGCTTGCACTCATGAGCTGTGCAGAAGCCATATCATGTATTAGACTCTTCTGAACTTCAACAACATATTGACAAGAAACGCACATCGTCATAAGACTGCAAGCTAACTTTGAGGTTAGCCCGAGTGATGATCTTCTCAGGACCATCTGCGCCAAAATTCATTGCAGAAGCGTGTGTCGCGTCTGAAAACGTGGGTGATGGAGGACCGGGAGAGGATGTGCGCTTTGGCGATATAGCAAGTCTACGCATAGAACGGGGCTCTCGAGGCATGCTGGAACAATGAGGCTAGTCAAACTGCCTATAGGTGATGCAGTGCGGCAGCAGAGAATGATGTCCCCTTAGCACACGACGCTCCCCAATTGGGTAACGTTCCGAGCGGCTACCAAACCTGATATTTCTCGTCGTCTGACCGAACGTTGCTCAACTAGATGTTATGGGCGTTGCACACGGAAATCAAAAATCACAGCTGAGCCCAAGTAACAACTCCATTGATGAAATACCGGAAGCTCGGGTAGGAACGAACAAGTTAATGTAGCGGAGTATGCAACGAAATTCAATATTAATGCAACCCGTCTGCCACCTCCTGTATCCACGGACCACCGCCCAGATTTCCCTTCTAAAAATTCACCAACGATGTGCAATTTGCGTGGGGTACTGCCGCAGTAATCGTAGACGGATCGTCCAGACGATAATCTGGTATGCAGGCGTGAATACTATACTTTAAAAATACCAGGGAAAATCAGCCATGAAGCAACCTCTGAAATTACAAAATCCCTACCATGCTCAGGCCTTCACACCCGCAGAGATAGCGGTCATCTTCTCTGGCGTGTCTCTGAGGAAGAATAATTTGGCCCTCCGCTGCCGTCTTCCCTCCTTGCCACCTCCGCCGCCAGCTCTCTGCAAAATTTTGATATCTTTCACATGCGGTGAGTTCACGAAGAACTGCATCTCCACGCCTGTCCGCTGTATGACATTTCGCAGGGTGAAGGATGTGTCAGGGCCCCGCCGTCGTATGGACAGCAGAACCCCAGAGAAAGTAGTAGGTGAATGTTCGAGGGTGACGGACAAAACCGACCCAGGAAGAAGTCTGTCCGGATGTCTTCTTGCAAACCATGTAGCAAGCCATTGTTGCTTTGCAGGGTACGGGAGACTTTTTTGCAAGTAAGCCATTATGCCTTTGCCTTGGCGCAAAGCTTCCATTTGGGCGGCAGGTACTGCTGGCGGCGGCGGCGGAAGTATGACAGCCTTCGAGAAAGGATATGCCGCAGTGTTGCTCGACAAATGTCTGATGAATGTTCTACATGGCTTTGAGAACATAGTGACAGTCGCGTTGATTCAACCTCCGTTCAAGTTTCGTACTTAGTAGATGTGACCGGAAAATGCCGTGCCAGTGTCCCGCACGGTAATTATCGACAATTGCATTGTAGAGCAAGCAGAGTATGTATGAAAATAATACATAGCGAGAAAACAAGATATAGAGCGCGGCAAAGGTCGATTCGTAAGTCGCGCAGCCTAGCTTCCAAAGTGCACGCAAGAACAGAGGACAGCTGACATAAGGGACACGAAGGCCGCGCCGCGCTGTGCGCGTCAAGGTCCTCAGGTTTGTAATTAGAATCCACGTCCGCGCCCTCTGCGATGTTCGCTTAACTTGGCGCATGGGATGTATGGTGAAAAGCTTACCTGCCGCGTGCTCTATAGGGGCTGTATCCGTACCCACCACGGTGACCACCTCGGTATCCACCGCGGTACCCACTTCCTCGTCCTCTCCCCCGGTTGAACCCAGGAACATTAGTCCGCTTTGTGGTTACCTGACAAGGGAATAATCAGAGGACGTCCTGATGCTTGAGAGCGCGACAAATACTTTTATTAATCGTCCGCGGAATAAGGAATTGTCCATAGCTAATGCTGCATCTATGTGATCAAGCTCTGCGAATTCGACATAGGCGAACCTGCGAGCGAAGAACTAAGACAGACTGAGTGTTGGAAGCGAAAACACCACGTACCCTTTAGGGTGTCCGGTGAATTTGTCACAAAGAATAGTTACACGATTGATCGTCCCGCAAGCCTGGAAGTGCGATTGGATTTCTTCTGGGGTTGCTCCATAGTCCACCTGGATAGAAATAATAACATGAGCAAGGTCACCACCGCGGTGGAAGGCGCAGACAGTCGCACATTGCCAACAAATACACTCCGGCCGTCGGCGATTGACTTTTCTTCCTCAGTCTCCATCGGAATGCCTTGGTCCGCCTCAGTAGCAGATCCTCCGTTTGCTGACTCTGCAGCTGCCTGCAACTCCCTCAGTTTTTTCGCTTCGCGTTCCATTTCTTCGACCCGTTGCTTCATGAGCTGAATTTCCTGGAGTGCAAAGACTGAGACATTGAGGTTTAATAGGCGAGGAAGCGAACCTTGGATTCAAATTCATCACCATCGTCAATTATAGGGTCCACGCCTTCCACAGTGGGTGTTTGCGTCACGTCAATATCGGCCATGACAATAGTACTTGTGACAAGAACGAAAGTTTCATGGCCACTAACACGCCGTGCCAAATATGGGCAAACAACTTCGATGCCTTCTCGAATCTCCGTCAAGTGTTCAATTGCGCTACAACTCCCTAAGTACATTAATTGGGCAGAGTTCCTCGTGAGTTTTTCTTGCAGTACACATATCATTCCACTGTACGTCTCACTTGTTCTCACCGCCTGCAGTGGTCACTGTAACTATTACTCTTCTTTGAAACTTTTCTGAGGCAGCCTATGCAAAAGCCGAGATAACACATAATACTCCTTCCATGCCCCATAGGCCTTTACTGAAGAGACAATCCTTCAAGCGGTGAGATCAAGCATTCAGGCAGTCTGTAAAGCGAGCCTTGCATCCCGATGCATTGCCATGAAGATGCCTCGTTCCAATGGCGTGCATTACCGTAAAGGCAGTTATCACCTCACTCGATGCTGTCCGCTCTAGCCGACACTGCAGCTACTGGTCGCCGCGCCTCTCACCCTGCTTGTCTTTGATCAAAGTTCTTGTTCTTGGGGCGCTTGTATGGGTTCTCTCGATTCACTGCCACGTAAGACGAGAGAAATGGCATCTGTTCTACAAATACGTGGGTAAGCTCTGCAAGGAAGCTGTATCATCACATCTTCGTAACTTCTCCAGTAACTTTAGAACTTGTTTGAGGTCGCTCTTCATCTGCTCTATGGGCGTCATGCGCCCGCGAGATGAAGTGCTTTCTGATGCTTTTTACAGGATGCATCCCTACATATATGAACGTCTCCGTCATTGATGTGAGAGCGAAATTTTCGCACAGGAGACACGTTGCCTTGTTTTACAGGTGATATGGACCTGCCACCCACATTATATGAATGACGGAAGCCCAGGATGATCAAATCAATCATTTGTGAGCTCTCTCTGCTTTGTCTGCCACCCATGCTGTCGATATGTTTTTGTTTTTCACATCGAAATTAATTGCTTTTGCTTCCTTCCATTCTGTGTCGTATGGGACACCTTTGAGTTATAGCGTTGTTTAGAAAGCTTCCGCAACATGGCAGGACGCGTCGGAATTGGTGCCTCGTGCACAATTCTCATAATCCCCTTAATGAGTATCAGATTGGATAGTCGTATACGCCGACTAAACTCGTGACACCGCAGTGTGGAGTCTGACAGTGCCTCGTGCAAAATTTAGGCATGCCATTCCATTCGGGAGGTGGCTTGGCCAAAGCACTGGGTTAAACCATTGCCTTGTCACGTCACGTCCATATGGAGTTGGGAGCCCCAAGAAGAACAGCTCTTTTGGGCAGTTTGGCACTCTAACCAAGCTCTAAGCCTCTAACTGGTATGCGAGCAAGGTCAACTCCATATGACTACGTTGAGAGCCTGGCCAAAGCTTAGGGCATGTCCCCACCCTTGCGCTGCTTTAAGATGGCACGCAATGGGGATCGTTTCAGATATATTGTATTACGGGGACTTGACGGGGACCTTGTGAAAGGCGGAGAAATACATGGAGCTCGATTCTGGTTAGTTGACAATATCTTCCTTCCGCAATTGAAATGGTCTGACATACTATTATTAAATCGACTCGGGTCCTGACCGTCTCCACAGATAGGATTTTATACTGAAATCAGAATGGAAGTGCATGTATAGCAACCCTTGTTTTGATGGAACCACTAGTCACCGCCAGACAATGTATCCCGTGAAGGTGATCGGAAATCAGCAATAACGTACTGCAGTCTGCAGATCCCCCATGAGCAACTCCGCAATGGTCCTTATTGCATGGCCCTGTTAACGCTGAACAAAATTTGAAAAGGTACCACACCCAAAAGGCTATTGATGCGTGTGCTGTCGAACAGACGAAATTATTGCTGGGATCCAACATGCTAGCGACTCTGAGTACTTGTGAAGCAGCAGCAAATTTAAACTGCGCGTGCCATTAGTTGCATGTGAACACATAGGAGTACATTCACGTTACGAATTGGAACCTTGATACGAAGCTTGCCAGGGCAGAATGCAAGTCGATCATGACGTGAAGGTGTATGCGAGTGTGAAATTGGAAGCCTAACAGGCGCTGGCTCAGATCACATCATTTATTGCACCCGCAACAATGTCAAGGGTCTATGGGTGAGTCGTATGCCTCCGTAAGAGCCATATGGCCAGGGCACAGGCCAAATGTTGCGCGCGATGGTTGGCAACACGAATATAAGAACAATGTTGGAGACACCGCATATGGTAAGTGGAGGAACGAGATGCCGTACGAACACACTTGCAATAAAATTCACAGGATGTAGCGATCAGTGCCACCTTCAAGTGACTCACAAGCCACGTCTGTGAGGGTAAAAACTTACGTCGAATTGATCGGCGAACTAAAACAGTCGAGAAGGATGGAGTGGCAGAAGTAAGGGTGATCACCTGAGCGACGATACCACAACTGAGGTCCAATCACGCATCTCAACACGTTTGCCCAAACGATAGGCGGCCGTGCCCTTCACAGATCCCGAGGAAGTTCCGGCGAACCCCCGAGGCAAATGCTGGCTAGAAGCTCTTGTCAAAGATCGAAGAGAGTAAGAGGCGAGCGTACACCTCAAATGTGATCGTAGTTTCGGAAGGATGCGAGCCGCACTTATGAAAGGTATTGTTTGGGGATACAGCTGCAGATAAAACTGGTACAGGATGACCCTATGTTTCTATTGAAAGTGATCAGAAGGTGTGGCATTCTCTAGGAAAAGTGGACACAATGTCCAATTCAGTTTTGACCCTGTCGGGACCAGAGATTCGGGAGAAACAACGCAGAGCCGGAACGCGAGCATTATTCAATTCTGCCTAGAAACCAGATTGTGAAGAGCAGAGAATATGAAATTTAAGACGTACGCAGAGACGAGAGCGGGTTAGAACATCATTCTTGTACTTCGTCCACTTCCATTGCTCGTCACGTGTAGTCGATCATTGACGACCGAGAGGTAAATAATGATGTTTGTTCTCGGGGAGATTTGTTTTCCGGATGGCTGATGAGCTCTTCCAGAAGAAAATTTTAACTCCAAGAGACATTCCATGCGCTAGAACATGACATAATTGTATGGCGCAGCATGGTCCCTTAATGGACCTGAGAGTATGGGTCAGGTCTGTATCCGATAGATGTTTGCCGGATGCGAGATGGAATAACATACGAGGCACAGAATTTACTCCATTTAGAGGATATACGAGTGTGTTCGAACAGCAATACTTAATGAGATGATCGGGGGACAAGAAGTTGAACCCCAAGAGTTGGCTGGCAAGAGCTACAAGAAGAGTCCTGTGTCATCGATTAACAGTCAATTAGTAAGTTGAGCAATGCCTTTAATCGCTTGGAAACATATACCCAACTCAAATTTAGTGCTATGAATCGTGCCGTTTCCAACGGGTTCGGGTTCAGAGACGTCCCCGGAGGACTTGAGATGAAGTTTGTAGACGCGGCAGGTATTTGCTACGCGATTCATTTCCGAAAACAAGAAGTATAAAGGGAACCAAGCGTCGTCAGAGGAGTAAGCAAGAATCCTGCTCCGAACCTGACCTTTGACAATCCTTTGTCTGTCAAGACTCTGTCTTTGTCCAAGCCTTCCACGGTGAGTCCTCGTTTTGGTCTGACTTACAAAACACTGACTCCGCCGCCCTTAACACAGCCTATGAATCCGCTTAGTAATCCGTGGTATCGGCCCGACCCGTCGACCACCTTCCGAAGATATCTTGCGGCCGTCCGACCACAAGGTCAATTGCTGGCAACATACCACGCTTCTCCTGAGCGTTTGGTACAGCACGACGATTTTTACTCAATGACACACCAATCAAAGAAGAAACGCATCGAGGATGACCCTCTTCCCACCGATGCTGGCGCAAAACCTATACAGCTTCAGCGGCGTAGAGTCTGGAGGGCATGTGAAAGTTGCAGGCAAGTCGATCGAACATCCTCTACATTTTGTTCCCCAACAAGAACTAATCGCGCCGATCGCAGACGAAAGAAGATCAAGTGTGACGGATGTGAGCCCACTTGCTCTCAGTGCCAGTCATCTGGATCGCAGTGCACTTGGCTTCAGACCAAGGACAGAGCGGCTTTAAGTAGACAGTAGGTGTTCCCCCACCATCAATCTCTCCCTTTCACTCATCGTCCCAATAGCTATGTCCAGGAACTGGAAGCGCGTCTCTTGCACATGGAGTCGCTTTTCTCTCAGATTACCCCTGTACTTGAACAGTTGGGGCCATCCTTGAATTTGCCCAGCGTTGCTGGAACCTCAACTGGAGGCAGTGAAGGCTTTCCACAGGCTTCCACTGTGCTCCAAGCAATGTCATCCAAGGCTCTTGTGGACACCCACAGCAACGTCTCCTCGCCAGAATCTTCGTCAATCAAAGTAGAAGACGATGTCTCCGAGTCTTTCGGACAGCTTGCACTGGATGAGCACGGCCACATGCGCTGGATAGGCGGTTCTTCCACCATGTCTCTCATACAATCCTTCCGTACTCTCACGACATCTCCGCTCCACAGAGTCTCTCCAATGGAGGAAGACCCACGCGCGCCTGGCCCTAGTGTCAATAAACTATATTTCCCAGCCTCTGTCTTCTTTGGGAAGGTTCATGCTCTCCCAGGCCCAGAAGAAGTCGAATACCCGGACGAGGACCTTTGCGATAAGCTGGTAAGTACATCTTCCCGAATTATCACTCCCATCTAACTACATCGCGTCAAGGTGGAAACCTATTTCGAGCGTCTTCATTTTCTGATGCCTATTCTCGATAAACCCTCGTTCATGCCAAGATACAAGCAATTAATGGCGAAGCGTGATGACACTGATTTTATTCAAGCAGAGGCTTCCTTCATCTCCGTCGTCTTCGCAGTGTTTGCCTGTGCAGCACACCTAGTCAACGACCCCCGTCTGACTTGCGAAAACCCAGATGATGGCGGCGCGGGGATGATTTACTATGAGAGGTATGCCTCTGGCCGCCATGGAAACTTGATGTCTTCGCTAACGATAAACCCCGCTAGAGCTCTCATATTGCACTATATCAGCCACGCATCCATTCAGGTGTCTCACGTCCAATGCTTCATTCTCATGTCTTCGTTCCTGTGTTCGGTCAACTGTCTTCCGCAGGCCTGGTTACTCGTGGGACAGGCAGTGCGAACTGCTCAAGACTTGGGTTTACATGTAAGCACCGCTCATTTTTGACGTTCGGGCTGGTCGATTCATCTTTGCTGCAGCGATCCCCGCGCCGCCTCGCGATCTCTACCACCGACAAAGAGACTCGGCGAAAAATATGGTGGAGCGTGTACTGCCTGGATCGCATGCTCGCTCTCGCTCTCGGCCGTCCACTTGGGATCGAAGACTCTGACTGCGATGTTGAACTACCTGTTGCCATCGACGACGAAAATTTAACAGATTATTTCGCTGGAGCTAATCTCCCGCAAAAGTATCCGTCGCTCATGACCGGCGCTATTGCTTTGACAACCCTGTACCAAATTGCGGGACGGGTTCTGCGGCAGGTCTATGCCATCGATAACTGCAAGGAAGTGATCGACCAAGAGAGACGCGTAGAACTTCAGCGTTCTGTAGAGGAGCTCGACGACGAGCTTAACAAGTGGTGCGATGATCTTCCTGCTACATTCAGGAACGAGGCAGTCACCGAGAAACACGTTTCTATGGGCGCGGTGCTTTGCAGCCATTACTATTCCGTTTTAACCACGCTACATCGCAATTTTTTGCCGGTCAAGCGTGACCAGCCTGTATCACCTAAATCCACTGCCAGGGCTGTTTCATCTGCCCGCTCCTGCATACGACTAGCGCCATCTATCAGCAATGTAGTTCCACCATCACACCACCTTGCCTTCTTCATCCAACATCTTTTTAGCTCCGCTGTCATCGTCCTGCTCTATGCCATGCACTGCTCTGATGCTAGAGCAGCTGCCGCCGCCATGGATGAGGCCAAAAGTTGTTTGACGGCACTCGAATCTTGGGAAGGACATTGGCCGGGGGCTCGCAAATGCAAGGAGCTGCTCGCGGAGCTGACAAACACCGCAGAGGAAGCAATCAGAAAGGGCAATGGCGATACTAGACATGCTCAGATGATGCCCATGGCACCTCCTGTCGCACCTGCTATGCTTGAACGAAGGCGATCGCTTGTGTCGTCCCCCGGCCAAGTTCCAACGGTCAATAGACCTATCAAGAGCAAGCCACGGAAGATCAGCCGATCGCGAGATCCCGCTTCCACTCGCCGCCCGATGACTTCATCCCCCTATCGTGTTGAATGTAAGCAGACATGACCTCTCTGATGATGACCTTGGCTGATGTATCACGGACTACAGCGCAACGCAATAGGTCTACATCACGCAAACGTGGCCACGACGAGAGCGAGGGAATTGCAGGCCAAAGCTTGAGCTACCAAGGTGCCTTCTCCACCCCACAGGCGTCGAAACACAGCCCCCACAGCTCACCAGCGTCTGTGAACCTCCCATCACCGTCCATGTCCACACTCGAGACCCCGCAGCAGCAAGAGGGTAGCCCAAATATCATGGGTTCTCCGCCGTATGGTTATTCAGGGCCCCCTCTATCGCCTCTGCATGTCTCGTCGCCATATGATTATGGCATGCATCACAGTCCCCTTGTTTCTTCGAGCACGCGCCAGTGGGACACTAATACAGTCGAGCCTCGTGGGACTGATTTGTACCCATCTCCTTCGCATAGCAGTTCTCTTCCATATGGCAATTACGAACAATCACATTCCAATACGGACACTGCGTGGTACTCTCCAGACCAAGGATACTCGGGCCTTTCAACCACCCCGCCCACCGCTTCATTCGCTGCTCCTGGACTACCGTTCCTGGGGCTTGATTATATTCGCAACTACAACTCAAATGGTTACTCAGTAGGTGGCGAACCAGATTCTATCTGGCAAACTTTTGATGCTGGCGCATTTGGGTTCGATCCTGAGTTGCCCTTCACCCTTGGTGATGCACCATCAGAGCTTCACGAAGGGCAACACTCCTCGCCGCCGCACCCTTAATGCCTTTACAGGACGCTTCTCGCTATTGTGTTTTCTTAGTCGACAATGTACTTCTACGGTTTTTTTTTTTACCTTCTTCACCTCCTCATTTGCCTACGAATATCTGATTCTCAATGAATGATATCCATATGTACGCAATGCTCTTGGCTGTTTTGTTTGATTGACCACTCTGCTACTTAGAGTCCATGTCATTTTTCGCGCTCAGAAATTATCCACTACTAATTCTTGACTTCCGGGGCTTCTAAGACCATACCAGTACAATATTGTAATTTGGGACATCGATGAGGGCTTGTACTACGTACCACTTAGCAATCACGCCGACTACACCGGCTCCGGCTCGGGTATGAGGTTTACCGTTAGTCCGAGAATCCGAGAGTTAGGCGCCCACCGCTTAAACTGGCTGTGTGGTTCTCTGTCATGTTTCCCGCATACTCCCAATCATCACGCAATGTCTCCTCACCCAGTTGTGGAACTGACCTCGGAAGCATCCTGGAATCTCGTACGCTTTATGGTATTAGTTTTGTAGCGAAAGACTCATGCCGTACAGATTGAGGACAGGTTTACTCCCTATGGGAAAGAAACACTCGCGAAACTCGTGCATTTCCTTCAGGTAGGATCCCTGCAGTACTGCGTATTCGACAGGTTTATGATACTGTGTCAGGATGAGATTCTTCCATCTGTGAAACTCGCACATGCACAGGTTCCTAAAGACCCTGTGCAGCGGTGGAAGACGGTGATTCCCGTAATCGAAGAGCTCAAGGTGAAAGCACGTAAACTTGGGCTGTGGAACCTCTTCCTGAGCAAGACGCACTACCCTGAGCACGGCGTTCCGTTGACCAATGTCGAGGTGCGTTATTTTTTACTCTATGCTGTAAATGCACTACTGATGATTGGGTTAGTATGCGGTTATGGCTGAGATTCTCGGACGCGGAGGGCACATAGCTTCCGAGGCGGTCAACTGTTCGGCCCCTGATACTGGGAACATGGGTATGTGCGAGGGTTTGCTACTTCCCTGATTTCTCTTGAATGTTGCGCGTAAAGAGGTGCTTGCGCGGTATGGTTCTCCGGAACAGCAGAAGAAGTGGCTTGTTCCTCTGCTGAATGGCGAAATTCGGTCTGCTTTTGCGATGACTGAGCGGTTTGGTTCGTGTTCGCTTTTGTGCGGGCTCTGGTGGTTGACCGTGGATGACGTTCTTAGTGTCTTCTTCGGACGCTCGCAATATCAAGACCTCTATCAAGAGGGAAGGCGATGAGATTGTCATAAATGGCCACAAATGGTGCGTGTTCAAGTCTCATGGACTGACATGATTCATATCGTAATTGGGGCAGGTGGATATCGGGAGCGGGCGACCCACGTACCAAACTTCACCTCGTCATGGGAAAGAGCGACCCTGACAACGTGAACGTGTACCAGCAACAAAGTGTGGTTATTGTACCCGCAGACGCGCCTGGCGTGAGGATTATTAGGCCCATGGAAGTATTTGGGTATGATGATGCGCCCGAGGGGCACTGTGAGATCATATACGAAAATGTGAGAGTGCCTGTGAGCAACTTGGTGCTTGGCTGGGGACGAGGATTTGAGGTAAATGCTGTTTTCTGCCTACCGCTCTCGCGTTTTGGCTTACGGTTTATTGGAGATAATTCAAGGCCGCTTAGGGTATGTAGTGTCAGGTTTTGTTGCTAAACTCTACTCGAGTCTGACTTCCTGATAGTCCAGGACGTATCCACCATTGTATGCGCTCAATAGGTGCAGCATCGCGGGCTCTGGATCTTATGATCCAGCGCGTCACAGACCCTACCCGAAAGACTTTTGACAAGTCCCTTTACCAGCATGGCGAGTAGCTGATTGTTCATTGTCATCAATTGGGGATGCTCACACGACCTTACTTGCGATTCAGGTACGGTCGTAGCCGAAATCGCGCGGTCGCGGGCTGAGATCGAGTCCGCACGTCTTCTCGTCCTGAGCGCGGCCCTCCAAGTGAGTGCCTGTGTTCCTTGTCGCGGTGTTCAGAATTAATGTATCTTGAAGATCGACAAGCAACGGGCCAAGGGTGCGCTGAAGGAAATCGGGATTGCCAAGGTACGGCTTCTCTCTTACTCAATACTTGATGCATTTATTTTATTTTTCTAGTTCGTCGTGCCTGCGATGGCATGCGGAGTGGTCGATCGCGCTATGCAAGCATATGGTGCCGAGGGCTTGAGCCAAGATCAAGAACTCGCGAGCATGTTTGCTGGACTGCGGACGCTGCGGTTGGCGGATGTGCGTCTTCTGTTCCTGCATCGTCTTGTACTGTTGATTGACGGGTCTTTTACAGGGACCTGATGAAGTATGTTTCCATGGCTGAAAATAGCAAATGTCTTACCCCGCGTTTTAGGTTCATATCCAACAGGTTGGGCAACGGGAGTTGAAGCGTGCGCCAGGACTCCACAAGCGTGCTGCGGAATTGAAGCAAAAGGAGGTTGCTGTGCTGTCTAAGGCGGGTATCAAGGCTCATCTCTGAGGGATGACGACTGGCATGATACTATGTACATTATTTAGGAATGGATGTCCTCGAGTTTAGGTAGTTTTACTGCGGGCCGCTGGAGCAGCTTCGAATTGTGCCATCGGTTGGCAATTCCCTGAGTACTGAGTCCCTGACAGGCTCAGGCAACGGGGAAGACGTCATGAAGACTTGATTTAGGAACCGGCGATCAGTGCGTTATGCCGCGGCGTGATCAAAGTAGGTTAAGCAACTCTTACACTCGACTTTCATGCATCTCCATCGGATTCTCTAAGCGCAGCAGCAGAAAACCCACGGTCACTGAACTCATGTCTAACTACGACGAAGGGTCGTCAAACGAGCGATACGACGTGACCCCGATTTTGCAGTCGCGCTACTTTATTCTCCCCGCTTCCGCAGCTTTCGTGGGGGTATTCATCGGGGCAGTGCGTGGATCTCGCCTTGCATCACTCCGTTTTCTCGCCGAAAATGCACACCGGCCACCAAAGACAATTCGTGGATGGTATCTATACAGTAAAACAAAAAATTACAAAAGAATGGCTGCCGGACTGAAATCTGGTGGTAAGGACGCGGCTAAACTCGGAGTAACCGGACTTGTCTGGGTCGGAATCGAAGACGGATTGGGGCGGTGTGGGACGCCCTGGGATGATTTGAAAGAGCTTGGAGCTGGAGTGGGGACTGCAGGGGTGTTCTCGGGTGTGTGTAAGTTTGACCTGTTTGTGGTTATACATATGACTGATTTGTTCCAGACCGATTACCGTGGCGTACTGGGAGTCGTGCATTATTGCTTGGATCTATGATTGGTGGTGGAATGGGGTTTCTGCGCTGGGCCAGGGAATACTTGCGAAGAGCTGTTGAGGAGGGTCGAGACGACGGCGACGGTCTGGACCCTTGAGTCTGAGACAAAGAAATATTGTGAAATTTTTAGGGTCGAATGGAAATAATATTATGAGTCTGACAGATATCGCAAATTGGATGTTCGGTTAAAATTTACAAGTACTAGTTCTCGCCCCATGATGCAGGTTGGGCTGCGGCTGCCCGACATGAACGACCAGCACTCTTTCTTAAACCAGAAGTGAGCTCCACAGATCCCTTGCTATATCAGAAATGAGGGCTCCATCTGTCTCCGATAAGTCCTCCCATCATCCATCTTCATCTCACCCCCCATCATCATCATCATCATCTTCCTCGATATCCTCTTCACTGTCTTTTTTCCCGATTCAAAAAATGATAAAACTCTGGCCCTCTATTCTCGCCGACCAGATTACACCCCGCGCCTATCCTGACGGCCGTGAGCGTCCGAATCCTTTTGAGGTACCGTCAATATCAACCTCAACACAATCCTCACCCTCCTCGCCGTCCCTAACGTCGACCAATGGTCTTGCAACACCCACTTTATTATCACCAGGCGGATCAATTCACCACCATTTACTTGGAGCAACTCCTTCCTACAATCCTACCACGGCGAACGCCGATCTCACGCCGCCAGGTCCTATAACACATTCATCCGGTGCTTTTGCCGCTCGTATTCCTACAACCCAAATTTCCCTTCATGCACCTGATTTTTCCATGCGTAACACCAAAAAATCAGCCAACCTCTCAGATTCAATGGAGAATAAATCCAATACGCCATCGTCATCGTCCCCCTCGACTAGGACATCTTCAGTTGCATCTACCTCAACGGCGACCCCGCACCCGACGGGGACGTCAAAGGGACAGATCCACGTCAAGCTCATATCTGCCCGTGGTCTTAATGTCACCTCCGTACGCTCCCGCCCTTATGTCGTCGTTCAATTCGAGCAGAACGAGTTCGTAAGTCGCGATCCCACTGACGAAATGGACAAAGAGGTCAAGGGCACAGCGACGGCCCTCTCTCGGGTGTCTTCCTCTGTCGCACTCTCAACTCTCTCATCTATCGGTGTTCCTCGTCCACCAGGAAAGGCTAGTGCCGGAAATTCCCCCTCATCATCTGTTTCATGTAAACAACCTTCCCTCATAAACCTTCCTTCCACCACTCATGGCCTTTTTGGTCGCTTATCCGCTCACAATCCTGTGTGGAAACACGAGGTGTCATTGTGAGTATCGATAACCACTTATCAAATTTCGCTTTCCAATTTTCTACAGCGATGTTACGTCCGAAGAATCCCTGATTTCATTTAACCTCTATGACCGAGTCGCGGAACACCTCTTTCTCGGCACAGTCCAAATCAAGCCGGTGCTCATCCATGATCATACTGTTGATCAATGGTACAAGTACGTAGCCCTCTCGTACAACTTCCCACTTGCTTTGTCAAATGTCGTCCCGTCGTTCCGTTTACTAAACTCATTTGCTTACACACAGACTTCGGCCGTTCGAGAACGAAGTAATAAGCGGGGAAATGCGGGTACAAATCACTTTCGAGCAATACAAGGTACGTTACACCAGCCTAGCCTATTTCATTCTCACCGACTCCACGAGTTCGGCCTCCCTTTCGCACCACTTAATCATCCCTCCTAACAACGATTCTCACTCACTCTTGATTTTCACGTGACAGACCAAACGCGCGCTTACCCCACGCGACTTCGAGTTCCTCAAATTGATCGGACGCGGCACGTTTGGCAAGGTTTTCCAAGTCCGGAAACGCGATACAAAGCGAATATATGCTATGAAGGTTCTCTCCAAGAGAGAAATCGTTGCGAAGAAGGAGGTCGCACACACGATCGGAGAGCGAAAAATCCTACAGCGTTCTCTAGAATCACCATTCCTCGTTGGCCTCAAGTTCAGTTTCCAGACCGACACAGATTTGTACCTGGTAACCGACTTCAAGAGCGGTGGCGAGCTGTTTTGGCACCTCCAGAAAGAGACACGTTTCTCCGAAGAACGTGCACGGTTTTATATCGCAGAGCTGGTTCTGGCCTTGGAGCATCTGCATAGATACAACATTGTGTACCGGGATCTCAAGCCGGAAAATATCCTTCTCGACGCCACTGGTCATGTCGCGCTCTGCGATTTTGGGTTATCAAAGGCGGATCTACGGTCCGACGAACTGACCACAACGTTCTGCGGCACAACGGAGTACCTTGCCCCTGAAGTGCTCTTGGACGAGCATGGATATAGCAAACTCGTCGACTTTTGGTCGCTGGGTGTACTCCTCTTCGAGATGTGCTGCGGTTGGAGTCCATTCTATGCCGAGGACACTCAGCAAATGTACAAGAACATTTGTTTTGGGAAGATTCGCTTCCCGAGGAACGTTATCAGCGAAGATGGCAAAATGTTTGTGAAGGGGGTGAGTGCCGTGATGTCGTCGTTTCGACATCTCTGACAGTCACTTATCAAGCTTTTAAACCGGAACCCCAAACATCGCTTAGGTGCACAGCGCGATGCCGCAGAACTGAAAGAACACCCGTTCTTCTCATGTATAGATTGGAAAGCTCTTCTCCTGAAACAGGTGACACCACCGTTCAAGCCTGTCGTAGAGTCGGATGAGTCGACTGCGAACTTCGATCCGGAGTTTACAACTGCTGATATCAAGGAGGTTGGCGTGGGCCTCGACGGGCATGGAAGTCCGGACGAAGAAGATCCTAGCGAAGACTGGACGCAAACGCAGGGCGGCTTGCCAGGATCGCATATGCCGAACGGACCGCTGGGTAGTGACCGTCATGTCAATGGCGTAAACCCAAACGGTCCGGCGGGCCCCCTTTCCCCCTTACCTACTGTCAATGGTAATGGCGCGGGTCGTGCCATCCAGATTGGATCACGGAAGAAGCAAGATATAGCAGGGTCGCCGCTGACGAACAGCGTACAAGAGAATTTCCGCGGGTTCACGTACTCTGGAGGCGAAAGTGTGGTGATGCAAATGAGTCTCATGGGTAGAGAGCCTGATGACGATGACGATGAGGCAGTGGCCGATGAAGAGGTCCCAGAGGTGACCACAGAGGATGAGTTTGAGGAGGAGAGTTTCGCAGGACGTTACTCTAACCGAAGAAGAGGAATTGATGATGACATAGCTGTATGATGTGTTGGTCCCGCCCAAGGCGGACGGCGCCTCGCGCATGTTACGAAGCTGCTGTTCGATCGAGTCGTCGTCGAAGGAAATGGACTAATTTGGACCTTGCATGATTTGGTACATGCGCTCACGCTACCCCGCTTGAGGTACTGTGCCTCCTCCCATCACTATCATCTGATTTAATCGCATATTTGTTCTCGCCACTTTTCCCCATGCAATTTCCCCCCTTGCTCACGCTTTCTAATATCCTCTTTATGGAGCATGTTATATATCTCCTGTTCGAGTCGAACACAATTGTCCATCCGTTTGGATTGTTTTACCTGCTTCTGTTATCCCTGCTGTTCTATAGTATAACGTACCACATGTCACAGGAGCTGTAATAATTCATTTGTCCTGTATCCTTTCGTCGTTTGGGTGGCTGCAACCAAAACATGCGTGAATTCCGCCCACAGATTTACAGCATCCATCATGAGTATCTAGGTGATGGTTTCGTTACCAATCGTACAATGATTTTTTTCCGCGGCAGGCGAGGTCCACCCCACCACGAAGAATAATTGGGAGGACTTGGCCATCAATAATTGTGTGCTTGACGATCGATTCTACTTCATGGGGCGTGACACGTCCATACCACACACCGGCTCCACGAGGAGTGTAGATCTGTGCAAGATCGACGTCACTGTACCTCTCAGATGACAACAGGAACATTACTCACAATACAGTTGCCTGCGAATTTATGCCCGCCGACATGCGAATTCTTGAGGATCAGTGCCTTGTGCTCGGCTTGAAGAGACTTGAGCTGAGTCTCGATTAGTTGTCCCTTTTCGGTGGTTGAGCTAGCTTGTGACTCGAGGGAGGGTTCGGAGGTGAGATCGTGCAGGTCAGTATGGACTTCCCAGCCTTCTCGCTCGAGATATTGATGGAAGGCTGTCGTAGGCGTCAATATCATGATAAATGTCTACGGAAGTAGTATGCCGGACTCACCCTGCTCCAAGATTGGCGCTGCGACAGCACATCGTTTATCTCGTCTCTTATGCGAGCCTGATGGAAACCTGTGATGAGATGAACTTCATACACCGGTGGGCGGAACTTACACAGCAATATCAGACACGAGTACGGCAGAACCCATGTGTTCAGATTGTCCGTTCGGGTAGTTACTCCTGCCCGATCAAGGGATGGGTCAACAGCAGCCTTCCACAATGCCTCAGCGCCCGCCAACGTGCGTGGGACTCCAGACACGACCATGAAGTCCGGAAGCACGATGACAGTCTCTTCCGACTCGTCATGAGAGAAAGGCTTATGGCTTCCATTGAGAATTGCAAGCCTTCCTGCTTCGGTATGAGAGAATACACCAGGCGGTGAGGAACCGTTGTTGGACTTGGGCTTCTTTGAGGTGCCCAAGGAAGTGTTGACAGTGTTCAAGAAGGCGGCAAGCGTGCCTTCGGCTTCGGTCACCTCGTTCGCCCAGTCTGTCTTTCCGGTTGATATGACCACCTGTGTCATCATGAGTAAAAAAGCCGTAATCAGTGCGCAAGCGCCAGGTACGCACCTGTCGGTGGTAGGGCTTCACTGATCCCAGCATGTCCGAGTCCATGTCGATATCCAATCTGCTAGAGAAGTCATCGTGGTCTACAGATCAATGCTGGTGCACATAAAAAGGGAAGATTCTGATGGTGCTCACCCTGATCGCAAGGGTCGGCGCAGGACCTGCATTCGGCGGTCGTTACTGGGATGTCAGCAGCCTGGAGATTCTGGTAGACTTTTTTGGCATTAGGCGAACCAAGTACAAAAGCTTTGAGTTTACCAGTCAGCGCGGAGCTCATGGTGGATCGAGTGTTGAGGGCCAGGTAAGCGCAATTCTGTACAGTAATCAAGCACGGGCTCTCTATAAGTACTGGCAGAACTTAGTGGTTTTGGCTTATCAGATAATGTGGCCGACAGTACTAGTCTAAGTATGGAAGACACTTACTAGTATGCAATATATATTTACCGGCCCAAGTCTCGAATAAATAAAATCTAAGACACGGAGTTCACGCATTGCTCATCGCGCCTCACAACTTGGCCTTCAGTCACTACAGGCCCACGATGATGTCAAAAGAGCATCCATATATCTCCAGTGGTTCAGTGGTTCAGTGTCAATATAATGAGATAGCGAAGTATGGAGACGAAAATAGGGCTGAATCGCATTAATGGTAGTCTGCATAACATCCGCAGGCCAAGTGACACTTCTGGACACGCAGTTAAGATTGGACTAAACAAAAATATGAATCAGGTTAACCGCTTACCTACTTAAACGCCCTGCCGTTGATCCTCCTTCAGTTGCTTTTCTATTTCCGGTGCACTCTCCTGGACTGCAGTCCACAACGGCTTCCCATCCTGGCTCATCCCTACGAGTGCCTCCATCGCCCTCGCCGTCCTCTGTCGGTCATTGTTGGGACTTGAAGATGACAGTGATACCCTTAGGCCAGTGGAAGGCGGCTTGTTGCCTCTTCCGAAGAAATGGCGTGGCTCCTCTTCTCTTTCGACGACTAACCTCCTCAGCTCTGCAAAACTGCGTTTGTCGAAGTTGGAGGTTAAGTTGATGGTATTTGTCTGAGAAACAAATGTTTCGTCTATTTTCTGGGAGAGGTTTTCGGGAGTTACAAAAGAGTCGCACTGGTGGTATAGGGAGACGAGGGCGCGCATACGGACGTGGTGTTTTGAGGCAGCCCGCGATATGTGGCGTTTAAACACGGATGTGCATTTTGACGGGGACGGTCGGCAGGGTAGCATGGCACGAAAGGTTGGAACCTTGCGGCGACGAGGTCAATTGCAGATGGGCCAATGCAAGTCATAAAATAAGCACAAATAGTATCACGTGATCAGTTGTGGGAGACAGTACTTGAAGTTATCAAGCATAAGGACTGTGTGTACCACGATTTATACGACAAGAGTCTCCCCTTTTTGTCAACGTCGGGTTCGAGCAGAACATCAAGAGTCTTGACATTTGCACTCAATGAGCACTATTACCTATGGCTACAATGTTCCAAGTGTTCCCCACTCTTCCCAAGAAAGACCACCTGCATATAGCTGTCCGTCAATATTGCCCTTCTTTCCCCCATTGTCTTGTCTGGATTTGGATTTAATCCGGTTGTGCCAAACATTCGTTTGATTCGTCAATCAACCGAGCAACCATTTCATCGTTGAATCGGGAAGAGACAGACCATGATGTATTTTGTTGTGTCAGACTCGGAGAGTTGTATTAAGTCGCATACTGAGACAATGGTCTCCACGGCTGCAGGGTCTGCAAACTGACAAGACCCTCCAAGCAGGACCGTCTTGTGCGGCATATACAGTCGGACGGTTGTCTGTCAACATCCTGTTCTTTTCCAAGAATTTTGAAAAAGGAGCTGTGTCAAAACTACATGACAAAAGTCGTGCGAAGGCGACCTTAGTCCGCGGAGCCAAAGTGCATTGCGTCATTTTGCTAGGTACCGAGAACAATCCACGCTGATTCGAGGAAAGCGACACGACGACAGGCCCTGCTGCTTCAGAACATGGCTAAGTATCGTTAGCGTTGTCCAACGTCGAACACCCTTGTCGTGTATCCCGTGATGTAGTTGTTGCGTGCTCGTAGGAACACCTGCTGTGAACGGGATGAATTTTCATAACCCGCCATGTTCAGATCGTTTGATCGCAAACGACAAGTATCCATATTACCTTGGTGGATGTGGCGGCTCCAGTGCGCGACATGTTAACTCCACCATCTAGAGCACGTTAGTAAGTAGACTTCTTGACCCGGAGATTGTGCCAAAAGGCTTGTTGGTGCAAGACTAGAGCTGTGAGGTTCAACAAGGTCATTATTAGGGCATAATTCCTGATTTGGCGCTAGACACAGGATAGCAGCGACCACCGGACATGTCTGTTTTTCCGAGCAGGGAAGACATGAATAGGGAAATCAAGCCCGATAGGAGGATCAGGACTTCCTAGAAGAATATGGGTGACGAGATAGCAACAGATATTTTCGCACTGAGTAGGGAGCCAGGTGCCTGGTGCCGTGAGGCTATCTAAACCTAAGTGCCTATCCCTGGACTCGAAGGATCGAGAATGAACCGTGAAGGAATGCACAACCAGGATCTGGAAGAGGACAAGTTGAATTATACATGAAGATTATTGAGTAACATGGTCGGTTGACGCGAACTTTGTTTGTGTATTGGAGAGCGTGGTCGGTTTGGATTTTGTTTTACAGTGTCATCCACAATTTGGACACTTGTGTCGGTCTGTATGTTGGTTAGGCAAAACAAACAAATTAACTTGTATTACACTTACCACAACGCTCGTCGTCGTTGCAGTCTACGACGACGAGCTATACTTCGACAACAATGGCTGTATCTGCGAGTGGAAACTGGCCCGTGCGCGACCTCATTTCTCACGCCTGACATAAGCCGCACATGTTCCCCTTGATGAAAGCTCTTTTCAACATCAACGGACCTCCACAGGTTGCCAGCAAGTTCAGCGCCTTCCGCTTTTCTTGTTTTTCGTCGCAAGAGACATGTCACAGCAGCCACCACCGACAGTGATGCCACAGAATATGCTCCCTCCTGGTGAAGCGGAGCTCGCTCAAGCCAACTCCTACTATCCCCAGGAACCTGCAGACCTTACGGGCGGTCTTCCTATCAACCTCGACTCTCTGCGTGATGGTCCACCAGGAAGCAAACCATTTTATCCATATTCCACGCTTATTCGGTAAGTCGCTCTGAATCTACTGTAGATGTTCTAGTAAACGGTCTCTGTCTGTCTGTCTGTCTGCCTGCGGGTGGGTAGGTATGCCATAAAGGGTTCTCCAAATCAAAAGCTACTCCTCGAAGACATTTACTACGCCATCGAGTCCCGCGTACGTAGTAGCTTACTCATTTTGCATATTTCGCGAATTCCTGATTCCACGTTGTACAGTTTCCTTATTTCAGGAATGCCCCATCTGGTTGGAAGGTGAGTAAATTCATTCCGATGCCGTTGGCAAATGACTTCTGTTTCATTTGTCTTTTGTATCCTATCTTATGGAACGCGAAACGCGAGCGCGATGTTGATGTTTGATTGTGTTCATATTTGTTTTGATCAGTTCCTTCAAACCAGGCACCAAACTAACCTAACCTTGCTTCGTGCATATCTAGAACTCAGTACGACACAATCTTTCACTCAACCCATGCTTTGAGAAAGTGCCGCGTCCCCTCACTGACCGGGGAAAAGGCTCGTATTGGACTGTCAATGATAACGTTGACCCGAGAACGGGTGTCCATCGAGTGAGGAAGAAGAAGCCGAAGGGCGCAAAGGGTCGGCAGTCAGAGGAGGATCAGGATGTGGATTATCATCCTGAAGCATTCAACGACCCTAATGCACAATTTGTGCCACCGCCGCCTATGCATCCTGACGAAGCAGGTCCCAGTCGACAAGCGCCGTATCCGCCTTATCCTCCCACGTATGTCGTTTGGTCTCGACCATTGATACTGAACTGACACATCCTCTAGGTTTGATCCCAACTTCCAGATGATGCCTCCCCCACCTCCCGGCCTTCGTTTCCCTCCTGTGCCCATAGATGATCTGGAAGTAGACGAGAGTGGGAACATTTTATGGCGTTTGTCCTTGATGAAGGAGCTTGCGCATTTGCAACAAATTTCGTCAGAGAAGGACATGGGCGAAGATTGGTACCGCGTGATGCTCTTGCGTATGCGTGGAGCTGTCATGGCACCACCACCTACATACCATGATGGTATGCACCCTCCGCCCGGGATGCCGCCTCCACCTCCGCCCAATGCAGAGTTGCAGCAGTGAATGTTTTAACTCTGTCCCAAGTTTGTCATTCCTCATATTATTAATCGGTTCCTGTGTCACATCCCGTCTTCTTTCGTCTTCTAGCATTAATAATGGTCTTGAGTGGACAGCATTTTGAATTCATTCTACTACAGCATGTTGTCTGTATGTCATTTCTGTATCCCCAATGGACTTTTTGGCCCAACGCGCGAGGATGCGCGATTGAATCTGATAGTATGTAAGTAGCAATTTTATGTGATTGACTTCCCTGCAACACCGTGATGCCCTCATACGCCCGGCCTCAACTCCTCAGTCTAGCCCGACAGTAACGTTCAAATTAATTCATAATCAAGATATCAGTCGTTTGTTGAGTGAGAATTGTTCCAACTCACGGGTAACTTACTCACTGGCAGGTCCGAAAAGGAACGGAGCTGCCATTCTGCTATGACACTGTCGGCGCACAAATTCACCCGTCAAGATCTATCCGAGGACGTCGAAATTAAAGGTGCAGATGCATGCGCCATCTGCAAATATTTGAAGGTACAAGGCACTCCCTTCCTTCAGTGTTGTAATGCCTCCATGCACGCGCGGAGAAAAGACCGCATCATTTGTTGTTCGATCGCGCAAGAAGATGAAGTCCGGTGGCCTGGTGCCTTCATCGCTTAGTCCTCACATGTCGCCGCTGTAGATGTGCCTCCACGATGTGCTCGTGGTATAAAGTCTGCCCATCATGAACTGTAAACTGCAGTTTTCATTCTCCAACTATCTACCCCGAGTATTCACACACTCACACACCATACAATATGTCGACCTTCTTCCCCCCCTCGCAGATGATTGCCCCCGGCGAGATATCTTTTGCCTCAGACCGTGCAATCAAAGACTTCCAAGGTAAATATCATATTCTCGAGTACCTCAGCTCAACGCTCATTCCGCGGTTTCCTAGCTATTAGTCGTGAGTACGCTGGCCAGCAGACGGACCACCACCCTAATTTTTTGCAGAGCACTTGGATTACTTCAAAGCTCATGTCGAAAGTGTGAAGCTCGATGACGGACAAGTCCTCTACACGCACCGGATGGTGACTAAGGCTGACAAGGGCATCATAAACAAGAAAGTCAGGATCAGCCTTGTTGAGGTCAGTCCATGTTGCTGGTGGTATTCGTTCACCCTTTTGAACGGTGTCCACACCCTCCACCCTAGGCCGACATCACCGTCAACACGTCCTCCCGCAGTCTGGCGTTTCATGTTTTTATCGATGCCCCTATCATTGGACACATCCTCCTCGTGTCGGCCATAATTCCTCTCAAGGTCGACGACCACGTGAAACTTGATTTCGATGGAGCGGCCAAAAGCCTTGCGTCTGGATACGCGAGCGTCACAATTGATGCAAACAACGACGTTATCCTGACCTGGGACTTCGTGGCTCTCAAAGTGGAGTCAAAGGGTTCCCACATCATCCTCCACATCTAAACTTCGAGGTATTCCATTTCGCGGCTTCATTCCCGTGTAATTACTTAATTTATTCTACCCTGTAGATCTGGCATGTAACCTGTGGAATCTCAAAGAAGGTTCCTTGTTGAAAAAGCCTGATGGGTGTGAAGGATGCAATTTCGCAGTAGCGCTGTTTTGAATTTATGCACGCTGAATTGACTTTATTCGGTACTCTAACGTTTAATTTCGACAATAGTGATATTAGTTATCTGGTTAATTCTGCTGAAGATTAAACAATGATCAGGTCTACCAGGTAACCAAGAGCTCTCAATCCTTTCGACGTGGCCACTTCTGCGGATGGTGAATAAATTCACCGAGCGCAATTCACAAGTAGTCTCTTCCTAAGCAGAATACTCAGAGCGGACTTGCTGGGCGACGATGATAGCAGTGAATTTTTATCGCCTACAACAGTAACTGGTTGCTACGAGAAGTCGGTCGCTGTTTAGTTTAATCAATGATCATGTTTCAGGTCACACCATCTGACTACCTTTGACGAGGAATGTCATGATATCCAACTACTGCACACAACCGTGCAACCACCAGTATCCAATTCTGCTCAAATCATACAACAAGTCAGCCAATCATAATAATACATACATAGACAATGAACAGTCGTTGCTTCAGTTATAATGCTTCACCACGATACCCTCGATGACCTCTTCCTCGACATTATGTTCCGCTCCCTTCTTAAGATCAGACCTCCCATACGACGTCGTCCTTCCCTTCCTCTAGGTCTCGCACGACGGAGCATCCTCATTAGCGCACTGCCGCTCAATTCCAACGCGCTGCAACACCGGGCTCTCAGCACACGGCAACAAACGAACGTCATTGTCCGGCATCGCAAAATAGTATGCACCCAAACGATCGTAGTGGTGTTGGTCCTCGGGTGACTGGATGACGCGGTGGATCGTGGGCTTGTAGTATCCATTTGTGAGGAAAGTCATCATGTCGCCCGTGTTGATGACCTTGTGACGGAACATCAGTTTGCGCTTGTTATTGAAGTTCTCAAGACAGGCGTACCAAACCGTTGTCGATGTGACGGACCCATTTCCATCTGCCGTCGGGAGCCAGAATTTGCAGCCCTCCGATAGGCTGGCTCCATAGAACAGTGATGCTGCCAATGTGTGTGCGGTTCAGGAGATAAGTGCAAGTAAAAGAGACATCACGTACCTGTGTGTCCCTTCAGCCAGACATTCTTTGATTGCTCTTCTTCGTCCTTGGAGCGCCTATAGCTTGACGGGAGTTAGTTAGTTAGGGAGCACCTGAGAAGGAAGGGCCTGTTTACTATTTCATGAACCTGACTACGAATATACTTGTCAATCTAAATCTAGATGCAGGGGAACAAAGACTAACCAGACGTTTCTCCCGTTCGGTCAAAGTTGTGTTTTTCCACCAAAGTATCCTCGGGCAACTCGACAGCATTGCAACATACATCTAGGCCGATAATGCATCGCATGTGTGAATTTCGGCCGATTGAAATTGTTCTTGTGACCGCTGCTTATCTAAGCGAACCTCTATTTATCTGATTAATGCACTCCAGTCATTATTTTTCAGCTGACCCTGTCCTCCTCCCTCCCGTCATTCTCTCCAAGTAGGTGTACAGTGTTGAGCATTATGATGGCACCGACGGCTATCTACACTCCTTCTCCCGACCCAATCACATCAGAAGTCAAGAAGTCACAAATCAATGGATCACCTTACGAAATTATCAAAGGGCCTGCCCTTGCGATAGGTTCATTGGACACTGCTCAGGACGGAAAGTACCAATCGCTTCTTTTCCGCCTCAATGCACAGGCAGGGCAGGCCGCGGAAAAGCAGATGCTTGATCGGCTCCTTGATGGAGGTGTGTCTCTACAATTCGGAGCATGGATCATTAATCATGATTGGCGCAGCAATATCGTTGGCTCCATCAAGTTATGCTTCCATCCATGTTGTACTCTCCCCATCAGAATACACTTCACTCTCGCCAAATCTACAATCTCTCCTTCAGCAGACCATCGCTGGTCTGACGCCCCTGGGAACTCTTCATCTTCTTAATTTAACCGCGGGCTTCCTGAGTCTGCCTCATGAGCTGACTCTGGCTGGATTCACGATCATTGAGAGTGTGAAAGATGGTTCTGACGCCAGAATAGTTGCTCAGAAGCCTTTGCCAATCGTAATGCCTCTACCTTCTGCACTTCCTCTCCGAAGGAAGACCGACCCTGCCAAGCAGTCCTCCAAAAAGGCTCTTTGGGCACTCTCATCATCCTCCACTCCCACAATTGATGCCGAAGCCCTCTTAACAGCGGCAGATCGTGTACGTCCAGTCCCAACGTGCGATCCTGTCATTGCAGGTGCGCCAAGGAGGAAGAAGGCGTGCAAGAATTGCTCATGTGGCCTTGCTGAGCTGGAAGCCGAGGAGGCCAAGTCAAGTAAAGTAGTCCTGCTCGACAGCGACAACGCTGTCGAGGTGGGAGCTGGTGACATGGCGAAGAGTTTGATCGCTGCCGCTAAAGCTGCACCCAAGGCAACTAGTAGCTGTGGGAGCTGCTTCTTGGGCGATGCTTTCCGATGTGCCAGCTGTCCTTATCTTGGTGCGTTTATAACAATGCTTTCCTATTGGTTCAAAGCTCAGAAAATCCGCTGAAAAAGGTCTGCCTGCATTCAACCCGGGTGAGAAAGTGGAGATTGACTTCGGGATGGATGACATTTGAGCACTATCGTTACACTTTAATCATTGTGACGACGTCGCCATACCTCCATGTATGTAAACCGCTGTATGATATTATTTATATTGTACTATATTGCTTACAAGACATTAGAAGGCAATGCCAAGTATATCCTAGCAGTCATCTGAATCTGGCTCGGGCCATTCTTCCCGGCTGCGAAGATGATCCACGTCTCTTATCATCTCATAGTGGGTGGTCGGAGCTTCCTCGAAATAGCTGGCTCGCCAGTAGATGCCTGGGCGCGCACACAGTTTTGCCCAGGGATCGTATCGGCAGCTGAACATTTCGCACAGCAACCGCAGTAGGTAGCTGATGTTGTCGTCCGGAGTGAAGGATTTGGGAAAGTACAAATCAGGCTTGGCAAGGCATTTCCTCTTGTGCGAGCCACCCACAGCCCGTCCCCCACCATCGATCACATACTCCTCATCAAATATTTGGAAGAAGGTGTTCCTCTCCTCAGCATTCATGTTGTTGGGGATATATCGACCCAGAATGTACATCATGACGTGCAGGAAGGATTCCAAATCATCTGCCAGCTTGTGGCGCTTGTCGTTGGCTTTTTTGTCCAACAGCTCACCGGACATGAAGGCTGGAGTTCCCTGTCATTTGAAGTCGTGTCAGTATATTGATGTATATAAATAAATGTTGCATATACCATCTGGGTTTGCCATAGCCCTCCACGCGATGTAAAGGAGCTGCATTCCCAGCCCATGAGAAGTCTAGAACCATCACTGGCGATGCCAATGTTCGCCATGTTGATGTTTCGATGCAGAAGGCCGAGACGTTCATAAGCACTCTGATGGGCTACACTGACCAGTCAGAAACCAAATTTACTTGAGAAAGTAGGGATGAAACTCGCCTCGGAGAGCATCCCTGATTGCAACTACAATTTCATCGGTCGACGTAACGGTGCTCAGGGGACGTCCGACATCACGAAGGATTATTCGATGCTGTATCAACGGGGGGGTTGCCTTACGGGTGCGGACGCAGCACCACGAGGCCTCGTTGAATGAGTGGGTGACGGTTTTTGCTCCGATGGCAGCCATGTCACCACCGTGCTCGAAGGACGGGATATTAGAAATGCGGCGAGAGCGCAGTACCCGGTATATTTCTGACTCCGGTGTGGTAGCTTGGGAATCTTGTCTCCAACTTTCTTTGAAGAAAACGACTTTCTTCTGCTGGGGGTCCCAAACATGGAAGGCGCGAGTTCTTTGCTCGAGTAGACTGCAGTACTGGGAGGTGGGCCGTGGGCCGACGTAAAAGCGATGAGTGGGCAAGGGGCGACCTTGTGCGTCTACGGTATTTTGAAGTGCAGTATCGACGGGAACGATGTACCCATACAGAGGGTCGGAACTCCCCATGCCCAGGAGCTCCCAGGTAGGGGGGTCTAGAGTTTGCGAAAGGGAAAGGGGTATCACGGACACGTCGACGCCACGGTCCTCAGGCGACGCACAATTCAGGCTCCATAGGAAATAAGCCAATGGAGCGACATCCTTCGTGTAGTCGAACCGCATAGATACGAGAGCACCAGCCCGGTCCCAGCGCACAAAACGTGCGCAAGAGCCACAGATGAGAATAGAAAACCCAAAGCGGCGGAACTGCGTCGCGAAGAAGGCATTGGCACAGGCCAGCATATATGCGCGCGTTGAGATGGACTGCTTGCCGTCTAGCTCGAATGAGTGATAATCCGGGACGCCCTCATAGGGGTCGTTCTGGAAGTCCTCGTAAGGGTCATGGAAGGGGTCTTGTTGCATAGAAGGCTTGATGGTGATCCATGCCTCCATCGCGGACATGTCTGTCACTCCTTTTCGGGCGCTTCCACTTTTGTACAACGCGATGTCGGGCTGGAATTCATGGCCATCGACGACGACAGAGGGGTCAGGGCAACTGGAGGTGTCGACAAGATCAAAATTGGCGGTGAATTTCCGCAGAGCCATCATCTGCAAAGGGTACCAAAATCAGACGGGTCAGAGAAGTGACTTGAAATTCTTACAAAATGTTCGAACGTGGTGCGCTCCGGTTTGGGCTCCTCGCATCGCGTATTTTCAACGACGGGAAACTCATCATTGTAAAGAACTGGACAATCGTCTCCCGCAGGGAGGAAATTGTCAAGAAACTCGCACACGGGCATTGCGCCAATGAAGCGTTCTGGGAAGGATCCCACAAGTTTGGCTTGAACAGACTCTTTGGATGGCTTCAAGACTGAAGCTTGAGATGCAGGAGTTGTATAAGCCATAGATTTAATAGAAGAGGGGAGATGGTTGGGATTTAAAAGGCGGAATGACAATTTCTGGCTCACTATTTATGGTCCACGCTGTGGATATTTCAATGTCACAATAGCCACAGTCGTAGCCGCTTACGGATGTGGACGCTCGGAGATTCAATGGCGTGGAATGCAAGTCCCTAGAATCGATGTAGTTGACTTGATCACAAGAAGGAAAAATGGGCGAAGGTCTGCAGACACAGCAGGGAAGGCAACAAGAAAGGGTTACTCCGCTACGTCTTCATCCCAATCGTCACCCCAATCTACCGCCTCCGAATCATCGTCGGCTGCGCCGTGTGCTTGCTTGATCAACTCGAGAACGGCAGCATAATCAAGCTCGGGGCCTTCTCCTTCATCAGCTGAGAAAGAGCCTGTGCTGGTCATGTCATCTTCAGCGGTGCGTGCCTCTGCAGGAGAGTCTTGGTCGCCATTTTCGCTTTCCGCATAGCTCCCTAAAGCCCCCAGCTCGTCTCGTGTCTCGTTTGCCGCTCCTTTTTCCGATGCAGACTCGCTATCACTTCCGTAGTCGCCGACGAGTCCTGAGATTGCCTTTCTCCCCGCTTTCGCACTTAGCTTTCGCCTTTTGATAGCTCTGACATCGTGCTCGTGCTCGGACATCGGCGAGGGCTGACCCCTTTTGGCCACAATATTTCCAGCGGATGTAGACAAATCCGGATCGTATACGTGGATGGTGGGAAATTCCGCGAAGTGCGTTCCCTGAAGCAATTCGTGAAGAGTCTGAGAGGGGCAAAGTTTATAGAAAGATGGGCCGGTCTGCACTCCGACACCTGGATAATACGGAATACTGGCCAAGTCCATTTGTGCAGGTAGGTAACAGAGAGGAATTTTGAAGCCTTCGGGATCGTCTGGATGGGGGTGAACAAGAGAAGTAACCCAGTCTGGACAAGGATGATCTTTCTTCGGCTTGGGATGGTCCTTGTTGGAACATGGATGCTGAGGAATATGTCTCTGAAGAAGGGTGATTAGAGAGGAATTGATGGGGTTGCGGTGCACAAGTGTGGTATATGGAACTGATGCCGCAGATGAAGAAGATTGCGACGCTCCGGGGTAAAACCTGAACTCTATCGTCAATAATGCAGCCTGCGACCTGATGAGAGTTAGCACGAGCTTAAGGGTGCAAGACTAGGGCGCACTTTGCATCAAGAGTTGACTGGTTTACCTTTCTGCGTTGCATTCCAACGGGCAGGACATCCATCTCGATGTCCAAGTTGTCTAGATGAGCTTTTAGCAAATCTCTTTTGGATGATCCACCACCCCTTGAAAGGCCCCTTCCACCTCTGCCTCTTCCCCTGGCACCCCGTGCACCCCCTCTTCCCCTCGTATCTTTTACCTTCGCATTTGTTGCATAACCTTCACGAGCAATTTCACCTCCCCATCCGCTCACTTTTCTGCCTACTTCTTCGAGAAAACAATAGTCGCGCATCATCGTGCCCCACCCATAAGCATTCATCTGCACATAAGCCGCCTTATTGCGTTCACCGTTACATCCAGTGTTGGATTTGTGGGTACGAGAGCAGGTTAGAGAACATGTTGGAGTTGAGCACCTCGGACAAGTATAACGTGCAGGGATTGAACAAAGTGCACAAAGACGAGTTGATGACCCGCTAGCGATTGACTCCATAGACGCGATAGTCTGCGCTGGAGATGTAGAAGTTAAATGAAGGTAGGATGGTCGTGGGGTGTGTTGAGGTTTAGATTGACATCCTGATCAAATCTAAATTTACTATTTTACCTGACACCCAGTCTCCTACCCACCACTGCTGAGAGGTTGAAGACGGACTAATAGGGCAGAGCAGATTGAGGGCAGATTGAGAGACCACGTGTTCCAGCAAAATTTCAATCCCAGCACAACTTTATTTCTTCAACCTCTCAGCAGCGGCTGGCGGATAACATTAATAAACATCGTCAGCCACAGCGGCTGAACACTGCCGACATCGTGCGGAGTGTAAAATAAATTCCTACCTGCCAGGAATATAATGATTAAATAAACCGATCAAGTCGACGCAATGTTGGAAGCTTTTGACGTTGTTGGGATCTCGCCATCAGAATTCATTATCGAGCTGCTAAATGATCATCGTTACATCAACCACGAGACAGTAATCAATCTAAGAGAATCTGGACAGCACCTCGCGGAACTTCTCATGGTCCAGTCTGATGTGGTTAAAGGGTTATATGTACGAGAGGTACAGACACTGTCAGCAAAAGAGAGCGGCTACCATTTCTCGGTGCTAAATACATCTGTCGAACAACTGGAGGAGTTTGACATTGATGTGTTAGGTAAAGGAATGGAAGTACACGCACCAATGTTATGGAATTTGCTTGATAGACTGCTTTCGGCGAGGGGAAAGGGACAAAAGCGAGACAGCGGAGACCCGCAAGTTGGTAAGGATGATGTTAGTGAAGACGAAGAGGCTCTTTGGGAGGAACTAGGTGACTTCTTGGATCTGGAGGAAATTGTAGACGGATTCGAGGGGAACATGTCGAAGAAAAAGAACAGGATCATAGCACAGCGAAATGAGTTGACTACAATTGTAAGTTGAATCAAAGAACACGAACAGAATGCAAGCTAACTCACGTCGGCAGAAAAAGGTCGTTATTCTGAGTATATTGATGCAAAGCTCGAACCGAAATTCAAACGCGCTGCAGAGCATCGTTGGCATATTCCTGCAGTCAGTCCACACACCCCAAAAGGTCATCGACACACTATCGAAAATGGGTGTTAGCGTGTCCGTCGATGCAATAAATGCAGCAGTACTGTCGTTGCTTGCCAAAGCGCTCGGGAGCGAGTGCTCGTAAGTCGGCGAAGCTAGGGGCTTCGGAATTGGAAGGCAGCATATGGCAAAATAGAAGTTGCACGGTTAAAGAATTGGTTTATTTTACACATATATTCCTTCCGGGTAGGTATTTTTTTATGCTCCGCACTATGTCGGCAGAGTTTAGCCGCTGTGGCTGACGATGTTTATTAATGTTATCCGCCAGCCGCTGCTGAGAGGTTGAAGAAATAAAGTTGTGCTGGGATTGAAATTTTGTAGGAACACGTGATCTATCTAAAATTCTCATGCCCTAGCAGTCCGTCTTCAACCTCTCAGCAGTGGTGGGTAGGAGACTGCCTGACACCTTGTTATTTTACCACAACATTTTTGCTATAGCTTCGTCAATGTGCGGGATCATCGATCATTGATCATCATGGATGATTCCAATTCACACCATGGTGTCTGTAGTTGCTTCACTCAGAAAATGGGTCAAGCGTAGACTGATTACAAGGGCATTGACGCAAAATACTAGTAGCAGGCGACCATCTCGAGTTCAGTATAAGTAGCCAGAAAAACATAACCAACTGTGCGCTTGAGCGATTTAGGTTACAAGTCCTGTCGCCGCAGGTCCAGCAGTCCCTTCATCACAAGCTGAACTTCGAGAACAGCATCAATAGCCGCACGGACTGTGCTTACTTGCACGTGCCCGCCAGATGCTGGCGCGGACGTATTAACCTGAGTGGCAGTCTTAACCTCAACCTCCCAAAGCGTGTCAGTATGTGCTGGTATAGGGAGGGAGGTCTTTGGGTCGACCTAGTCAAAAGTAATATTAACTAGCGGCAAAGGAAACGACAATACCAACACAGATACGTACCTGCTCTTGCTGGAACATCTGTATTATCAGAGCTCCTTTTCGAAATGCATATCCACGTTTGTAGATTTGTGATCGTTGTCTAGTGACACTATGAGTGTAAGAACAGAAGATACATTCTGGAGCATACTGACACATATCCCAATGCCGAAGCGAAACTGAGGGCATCGCCGATCACTTCACAAGTAGCCCATGGTCTGACAGTGGCCTCGGGATGAACCCGCACGGACTCCGGCTTGAGGTATGAGAAAAGCGTCCTATGTCATGGTTGATCCTACGCCTTCGTTCAAGTGGGTTGTCCAACCAACCATCCACTTTCTGTCCCATCTCCTAGTTCTTTTTTTGCTCTTAGCAACGCTGGCTCGTCTCCTTGTACTTGTGACTGAACCCCGAACTGTTCGAATAAAATTTCACGGGTGTGCATGGGGACTGCGGACTCCGTGTGCAGTGTAAGGCGATTAAGAATCGCCTTCAGATCTCGAGCGAAGAATTCACCGAAAAGGGCGACTTCGTAGGCATGCGCATGCGTTTGTGTGTTTGCGAACATGGACATTGTAAGTCAAGAATGGATCTTGTCGGAGTGAAGGTAACGTGATCTATGGTAGGCTCGGATACGAAAATATAAACTTTGACCGCATATAATTGCCCCATGAAAGATATCAGATATCAAGTAGTATTATGTGCTCAGTCAGGCGCAAGTATGGGTGAACAGCTAGTTCCAGCAGTTGGCCCAGAACTATTCCCCTGTCAAACCACATTGAAACATTCTCGTACACCCTGCTGAGCAGCCCGATTGCTTGAAACGTTTCCAGCGCCAGTAAGTGATAGCGGCTCCTGTAGATCACTCGGAGTTATGCCGGCTCTTGTAGGGTTGGACTCGGTTATGAGGTTAGCAAAATATTCTCGAACATTAAGGATGAGGCGCGGTCCCAGCACAAACATCTGCATGACCGAGAAGATGTTCAGAACGCCATTGTAACCCATGGAATTTGAGTCCTATAGAAATGATGAGCAGCGGTCAACGCAGATGTCAGCGAGAGTACCGAGGCCGATGGAAAAAAATAATTGAGGGCGATGCAAGAGCCAACAACAAAGCTGGAGCGGGCGGAACTTCAGCAGAAGAAGATAACTGCGGTCAAATAACCAACTAACCTTGCAAAGTACGCCACGTGAGTCTTTATTAAAATCATGATGATCCTATTTTGTGCCGGCAATGATCGTCGCAATTCACGGAAGTGTTTTACAACAATCCAGACTGCAAGACACAACACGAGGACCTCCCATACAATGCGGAGTATCCAAATGATCGGCATCAGGAGGCGAGCGTCTCCCTCGTAGTCATAAGTGCACTGGTAGATGCCAGAAACGACGACTTCTGGAATTGATCTGATGAGCCCAAAGTTGTTCGTCCGAAATTCAAGCTTACCCTTTGAAGGACGACTGATAACTGTTGCAGTGATCGCTCCACAGGCGATTGTAAAAACCAGCAAGATTACAATGAGAAAGATCAACATCTTTCTCGACCCCCGATACATGGCATGCAACCGAGTGATCATGATGACTTACAAGATAAGATATTTCAGCCAAGATGTCACGGGGAAATTGCAGCCGAGTAACTCACCGCCCAGCATGGCAGTAACCATTACATTTATCCAATTTAGTGCGACAAACATAGTATTGCCTGAAAACCCAGTTAGAGATGAGCATCAGAAGATCATGAACACCCAAACACACTCACAGCTGTTACGGTCATTACATTGAACCAACAAGCCAATAGGGAGCTCACCCCTGAAGTAAAAGTACAGTTTGAACGAAAATGACAGACATCGATGCAGCATACTCACTAGATCTGTCAGTGATACTGACGGAAGACTTCCTGTATGCCACTGATCAGCACAAACGATTGTGGTATACGTGAGAAAACATACCTAGCATGTACATGCTGATTATGAGAGATGACTTATTAGCAGTGTTAACCTAAGGATTTTGACCTTGCAAACATACGCAGCATATGGTATCCCAGCATAGCGCGCCTAAAATGTTTTGAAGTCAGCGCGACTTGCCAACTGCATGAACACCGTAATCCACGTACAGTGAGGTATAGAGCGGTCAGGAGGGACCAGCGTCGTTTCTGGCTCGAATGAATTGTATAAACCTGTTGTCCTTCCTATATCGGACCCTACTCACCCAGACCAGTTCCACCTATAATGCCATTCTTAGTGAGATGTCTACTCCGATACTAATGGTATCAACATACCTCTCGTCCGAAGGTCAATGCTAGAAATACCGTAAGGATATTAATGGTTCTTCGATATTAAACCGCTCACCCCAATCATATATCACTGCAGCAAAGGTCGCGACTGCGAAACCACATCCGAGGTTAGATCGAGACATCACCGACATCATCCGACTAGCCTACGAACCTGCAACATAGCTATGAAACGGCGAATTGACGACTGGAATCATATTCGACGGATCGGCGAGTGGCAAACTTGGTGGACATAAACCGATGGCGTTCGTGATATATATACCGCCATCCAGCACTTTTATCGTCGAAATAAGCATCGTGAGGATAACCCTCGTGACATATATGATAACTTAGCATGCGGAAGTCCTCGATTGAATCAAAGTGGAGTTTGAGTGGATCTGCAAAGCAGCGTCACACGCGCAGGATGTTTGAACACAGGAAAAGTTCGAAAAGCTGTTCGTGATGCTTGATACTTGTTTTCTAATTATGTCCTTGACACGCTGGCATTCAGTACAATTTCATCAGTGGAACCATGTATTTCATTTTCACACATGCGTAGATGCGATGCGACCGCCAAAAATGCCTGCGGTGTCAATAATCTTCAATGAGGATCGGCACTCGCCCCGCTAGTTTAGGCCGGAGAGCAGGATGACAGCTCATTCGAGGTATTAACAAAGGTCACAACCTGTCGGCAAGGCACAAGAAATGAAAGATAGGATAGGTCCATACACGGCAAGCAGATAGCTTACCTCTCCACCAGGCTAAAACACCCTCAACAGTTTGCCTTCCTGCAATCCAATACCCCATGTCCTCCTAAATCTTCAGCACTGTCGCCTCATCGCACTCCAGCTATAATTTCATCAGGATGCGGGAAATAAAAATCGCGACTCTGATGAAAAACAGATGCATAATCCATCATGCGGTTGATGGCATCGGTGTTGCATCAATTTGTACAGCCAGATACATCCTGATTGATCATCCGTGTTGGGTCTGGGTGCATATATAAAGCTAGCTCAAAGCAAAAACAAGAGGTCACAGGAAAGACGACTCATGACACAGCTGTGCGATTACATAGGAAGCCAGATGGCTCATCTCGTGTTGACGACCATTTATATTCAGTGATCTTCTGTCTCGACTTCCAATTCATATATCATGAGAGACAAGGGAAAGAACTCACTGATGATCTTCGTCACCCCTAGCGATATCACAAGCAGGGCACAAAAGCCGCAGTAGTTTGATGATTCCACCTTCACGGACGGCCAAAGTCTGACGGACCGCATGCCATCTCAGTGCACGCGGTTTGAAGCATTCTCAATCTGAAATGCAAGTCAATGAATGAGAAACAAGCGCGCATACACCGCTTACGATTTCCGGTAACCCATCCAAGTTCGTCTTCAAATTGTGTGGCCAACTCGTTGAAATTGGTGATCGAAAACGTGAAGTCCTTATATACAGGTCCGAGCATCGCATACACTTGCTTCTGCATACATTGTACTGACGAGGAACAGCTCGATGGTCAAGATCGAGCGACAAGTCCCTGAAACCTTTCGGGGCGCCACTGTTGAGCTTGAGGTATGTGCTACGGGTCTCCGGTGCAGTATTTGGGACTAATGCGTGAGTGAGTTGAGAAGACATATGAAGGTTCAGATAGGTAATATGTAGCACTGCCCGCAGCTCAAAGCGTGCGTGGGGCGTGTCATAGTACTCGTCAAATGCCCGGGAAGGATTATCGCCCTGGAGATACTACAGAATAACAACGATGTATTTATGTCAGTGGCCAACAACTCGTAAAGTTAGATGGAAATTACCTGAAACACGGAATCAGCACCAGCGCTATATCAGCATCCCTCAAATTCATAAAATAGATGCAAAGCGACATTAATAGCCGAGCAATAGCATCAACTAGCGGCCCATAGCATTTCAGATTGAGATTATAAGTCCACGAGGGGGAGGACGCCATAGTACCGGGTAAAGGGAGTTCGGCATTGAGCGTATAGCTGAGCAAGTGTCACATATTTACAACTTCCACACCTGGTGTGATTTGTACCCCAATGATCGCAACATTCCGCCTATTGGTCCTTGTGAGTAGTTTCGGCCATAAGGGCCTGCGATAGCCTCAACCATTCTGCGACACATCAATGAGCAACCTCAGAACAGATGAGACAAGTGGGGACTGACTGCTGAGGACCACAAACCAAAAACAGTATCTTTCGATCACTGACATCGCTGTCTCGCGAAAATAAACTGCGCCACCAAGGAACACGAGAGGCAGAATGAAGGGCGCCGCATATCGAATCTTTACCAATACGACCCTGGTGTATCTCTAAATCTGTGGAGCTTTGACCATTGGATTCGCCAAACGAGTCAACGAACAACTTCAGCCTGAACTTCCCGGGATTATGCTGCGCAAGTTTTAACAGGGGATCAAGGACATCGCGCGGAGGCAACTCAGAAGGTATTCTTGAGGAATGTAACAGTGTGATTCGGCCTTGAAAGGACGAATTCTCAGAGAATACGGTACGCAGCAGCTGGTAGAATGGAGTGATCCCAGTACCGCCAGATATCTGGGTCGTAAAAATGATTAGAAAGAAGTGATGCCATAAATTTTGCTATTCCCTCACCAAAATAATCTCATCCCAAGCATCATCCTTCCAAGACCAGGTTTTGAGAGGCCCTCGAATTTCAATGGTCTCCCCGACTTGTTTCGAGTACAACCATCGGCTTACTTCGCCATGCTGATACCTTTTGATCCAGAACCTCATATTTCCCTCCTCGTCTACCCCATCGAGCGGAGTGTAAGGTCGCTCCACTTGTATGTCGTCGTCTTTGATAAAGACGGACCAGATAGGCGCGAAGAGATCGCTTCCCTTGGGTAAAAGTTCGGGAGGTATCGTGACAGTCAAGATTTTCGTTCCACTTGATGCAACAGTGGACGAAACGAGTTTGACTGGTGTGAAGTGAGACGGATTGAGGGGTATATTGTCACAAGTTGGCGCGCCTCGAGAAATGTCAGGTAAGAAAAAATAAGCAGCAACAGCAGCAGATGTGCCTGCTAGGAACAGTGTGGTAGTAGCCCTCCGTAGTGATTTCGATGTATTGGTTGTCGCATGACGCCTAGCATGAAGGCCAGCATGTCTGGCTAATACTTGGAAATGGCACGGGAAGTTCAGCATCTGGTGTTGAGTTCCCAAAATGGCATACGAGTAGAAGCTCTTGCCAAACAAAAGTAAACACAAGGATCGGCATTTCCATTTTGTAGCTTTCTCCTTTGCTCGAGTTGAATCTCGCCAGCCAGCTCGCTCGAGTGCAAGAAAATTACGACCTTCGCTCTTTCACAGTCTATTCTACTTTAATCACATTTAATCAAACATCATGAGACACGTACGCGACGCGACACGCAGCTATGCCCCAGGAACAACTATTCATATGACTTCTGATAATTCCGCGACGCTGGCGTCGCGATTAAATCGAATGGCTACCCCCACATTCTTTTCCCCTTCAGCCACGCAATATATAGATTACGGGGACCATATCGAGCTTTCCAGGTCATCTCCAGAGTCTCAGTCCAATGGGTTCCTAAAATCACCTTCCCGTTGCCTCCTCGCTGGGCTTGGTATTCACTATCGATTAGATTCCGGCAATACCATGGAAATCGGCGAGAGACACTACTTGTACGACGACGGACAAACCGCCTCGTATATGCAGGCGGACAATTTCAGTAGCTCTTCAAATCATTCAACTCCCCCGGGCTCGGCATTCCAACTAATAGATCATACCGCCGAGAGCCTCGGTCGCTTAAGCGAGTCTCAAAGTTCCTTAGCTGTTTTCAGCGACACCTCGTTGCCTGATCTCGGGTACTCCTCTTTATCGTCCTCGGTTTCCTTAGCTTCTACTCGGTCTGCCTCTGACAACGAGGAAGGTCAGGCTTCAAGAGCGTTCTCCCTGGCTTATAACCTCGCGGATGATGTTCTCTCTTGCTCACCTTCCAACATTGGTCTTATTCCTGACGTCAACATGTACAACCTTGCACTATTCACGAAGCCTCCCAGCGTAGGTGTCGACCCTTCAGTCATCATGGGACAGTTATCTGCCTCCCCTCAAGCGTTTCTGTCACCTCACCTCACCCCTCGCAGTGCCACCTTCTGTGGTTTCTCTCCACTGTTTATTCATGATCCAGGGTCCTCCACTCTTGGCGCTATGGGAGAACTGACACCCGGCCAGCTATCCCAAGATTGTCCATCGTCACACATAATTCACGATATTGTTACCATCTTGTCCACCTCTGCAACACATGAACCTGACAAGCCGGAGTCACTGACAGCTATATACAGCGAACAGCCGTCCTTCGAACAATGTGCTCCGCAGAAGAGAGCTATGGGATCTCCGATAGTCAAGATGGAGACATTGCCAGATGCACCTATTTTGCGTGTGTTCTCCCCAAAACAAGAACAATTTTACATTCTTTCTAGCTGTGACAACTTCTCGTTCCCTTCGTCCGAAAAGGCGTTTCCCCCAAGTCAAAGCAAGGGCGAGCCAGATCTTACCACTCATAACGACCCACATCCATCGCCAATTTTCAACGCGCATATGGGAATTGAGTTGTCTGAGCTCGCCTTCAGAGCCCAACGCTACAGGGTACGCCATCATACACAAGAGATTGACCGAGGATGGTTGATGCATTTCGCGGGCAAGTTGAGCGACCGCGGGGAGCTTATAGAAGAGTTTCGATGCTACGTCGTCGGGTGTAGCCAGAGAAACAAGCGCCGAGATCACATCATAGTACATGTCGGGGCTCACGTTGATCAACGGCCATTCGGCTGTTCCATGTGGTTTGTACTATTTTGCTACATATCTGCCAATCACTGTTTGACGATTGCCGACAGCCCGCAGCGGTTCCTCCGCAAGAATGAATGCAAACGTCACGAGGCGAGCCATACCGGCGTGAGACCCTATCATTGCGAAGTTTGTGGGCAGACCTTCGTTCGTCAGGATTTGCTGAAGAGACACACAAAGCGGACTCATGGATTAGAGAAGGGGAGTCGTGGTGCAGGCTCGCGTCGTAAGAAGGCGAGGACTGAGTGAATTCACGGTTAACACTTCCTTGATCGACTCTGGAGACACTCTTCAAGTGAATCAAGTCATCGGTGACAGTTAAATCAATCAAAATCTTGCTTGGCTGATCAAGTTGTGAAAGACATAGTCAGACATTAATATTGCGACGACAAAGGTTTTGAGACTTACAATGCGGCTCATAGTATCAGTCTGGCCAAAGTCCGGAGTACTGAGCATAACACAAAATATGTTGTGTACTACTGGACGTGACGTGACACTGTGATGGTGTGTGATGTTGTCACTTCGCAATTCCCTTGCAAGTTCAAAAAATCGGGTAATAAGCTCAACCATGTCGACCAGAGGACGGTCCATCTCCCCAAAGCCTTTGCAAGATGCCGATGTAGACATGGAGAATGGGGGAAACGATGACAAGAAGTGCAAAGTAGTTGTCATAAACGGTCTGTCTCGCAACGTCGTGCAAGCCCATCTACAAGCCATTTTCGCGTTATATGGAGAAATCGTGAAGATTGACCTTCCACTCTTCCTGAAATGTAAGATTCTCGATAGTTATCGTTCTTGCATATCTCATTTATTCCCACATTTTAGCCGGCCAGAATCGAGGAAAGGCTGCTCTTGAGTTCACAGATGCAGTTTCCGCCCAGAAAGCCGCGTCACACATGAATGGTGGTCAACTAGATGGTTTGGTCGTGAAAGTCGAGTTATCTGATCTCCCAATCCGCACCCGTTCTCGTTCTCGTCCACGTCCTCCACGCAATGGTCGTGAAAGGCGCTCACCGTCCCGGTCGCGCTCCCGCTCTCGTTCACCGGCGTTCCGTCGGAGAGGTTATGAACCTTCTCGTTTCAATGAATCCTTCCGAGGAGGCAGAGGTGGTTTCGGGCGTCGTGGACCTCCCGGCAGGGACACATACCGTCCTTCTCGATCACGTTCCCGCTCGCCTATCAGGCGTGGGGATCGCTTGCCACTCAGACGGAGGTCTCCAAGTTACGAGCGCGGAGGGACTGGGTATGCGCGCAGGGGTCGAACCCGCTCAAGGAGCTACTCGGTGCGCTCCAGTCGCTCTCGTTCACGCACTCCTTCTAGGTCTCGTTCTCGTTCTGCATCCTACTCCTCTTATTCGCGGTACAGTCGTAGCAGAACTCGTTCAAGGTCTCCTAGCCGCGGAAGGAGAAGTTACAGTCGGGATGACATCAGAGACAGCAGGTCTAGATCTCCAGTGTAAAAAGCAATTCTATATACTCTGGTATCTCAGGTTGCCGTTGTAATTATGAAGGCTACTGTTCCTGTTTTACAGTATCACAATGAAGTCTTGATCCGTACTCTAATCATTGTCCGTGTCATCGTCATCAGCAAAGACAGGTCTGTTATAGCTAATGTTAAAAGTAGCTTCCAACCCGAAATATGCCACTTACCCATCCTCATAATGGTTCCTGGAGGCATTTGACATCCATTCTTCATCAACTTCTTGCTGAGAAAACCCTGGTCCTCCGGCAAGGCTAAGTACGACGGGTAAAAGTACCAAACCATGTAAAGCCCCGGAGATGATGAGAGTAAGCCACATGCGGAAGTAGTATATCTAGGGGTGCATGAGATCTGTGCACAATTCCATGGATAATTTGAAAGCTTACTTCCAACAGCTTGGATCGGGTGAGCGCAAGGACGGACATGCCGATGAGTTTGGTAAATGTGATACCAGACAGAACCTGAGAGATGTTTGTCATGATGTGGTATCGATAAGGAGGAACACTTACTGAGGGTCCGACGTCAACAAGGGCAGTCCACATCCTCTCATCTCGCTCTTTCTGTCCTGCAGGATAATCAGCTGGCAAACCAGAACCAGCACTCATGAAGGCCCTTGCAACATGAGCGCAAAATTCCACTGCAATGCCGATTGAAATAACCAGGTTCACCAGACTGATAGCATTCAGGCTAATGCCCCACACTGCCATCACGCCCATGACAGTCATTACTGTCAGCGCGACCACACCCGTTACAATTGTCCCTGTGCGCCATGAACCTAGCAGTAGCGCTGTGACCACTAGCACGGCAGCCAGACCAAGCCCGAGTATTTCCTGCGTGATGGCGACGATGTGTGCATACTGATCGAAGAAAACGTAATGCAGGGAATAAGGGAAAACCTGTGATCCAGTAAACTCTGATATTTTAGCTGCTATATAGCGCGCGGCCGCCATGGAATTGATAAAATCATCTTGGGATCGAAGAGGCGAATGTGATGTGCGGAAGTGGGATGCGACAACACCAGTTTCGTCGTTGAGCGAGAGTGCGGTACCAAACGATGCCTTGCCTGCCAAGGGGCATGTCTCGTCTGTGGGAGAGATGAGCCACTGCTTCAGATACCGCATGAATTCTTCTCCCTCGGGCAATCCGACCATGGTGATGTTCCAGGCAGGTTCCTTACCGTACAAGCAGGGTTGGCACAGCCGGTCTGAATCTCTCGGCGCGCAGAACATGGAAGGATTTCTCTTGCGCACACGGCAGCACGTCTCCATAGCAGGATCAAGCCACTTGAGGAAGTCATCTATCCATGACGCAGTCGGCTGCGAGATAAATGACGACTCGGGTCTCTTCCGTTCAGCCTCAAGAATATTAGCGACAGAAAACTCGTCACAGGTTGTGAAGCGACCGCAGAGCTCTTGTTGGCCAGGCCGCTTGGTCACGTCAAGGTCGTGAGATACGAAGTAAACTGGAGGTCCGACATCCAAGTACACATCAAGATGGTCGAAATAGCTGTTGAGGTATGAATCTGAGGGGAGAGCCAGCCTTTGGTCTGTCAAAGGATCAGCACAGTGAAGCTTAACTTGATATCAAATCACGAACCAAGTCCCAGCTGAATGTGCTGCATCGATATTACAGAGAGCACAAAGAATCCGGCGAAAGTCAGGAGTACAGCACCCTTGACAACTGGCCGGAGGAGGAAAGGAGCATAGTGGCGTTGGATGAAACGGGCAACCCGTCCAGTTGTGTTCATGGGAGCATCAAGCAAGGCGATGTGGGAAGGCCATCTAATGCAAGGGAAACAGTCGACTCGGCTTGCCTGCATAAATAATTAGTCCAAAAAGCATTAAGTGGACTGACGATTACCCACCTCGAAGCGCTTCAGATCAATAGCAAGCGCACTGACAAAGACGGTGACTTGGAGCAGCGCGTTCAAGAAGACGCTACCAGCAGCATATAAGGCAAAGTTGCGTACAGCTGGCATGGGCACCAATGCACCAAGGCCAAAAGCAACTGTTTCTGTCACAGTACTCAACAGAATTGACGGACCCATCTTCGCCAACGTCCGCGCAACCCTTTCCTCTGCAGATAGATATAAGGGTACCGAGGCAGTATCAAGAGATTCATCATGTGACGATTCAAAAGGTGAGCGGTGAGGGGTAGGGGAGCGAGGCGCCAGGTATCCTCCTCCTGGAGCAATTGCCGACGCGTTAGGCCCGTGGAAGTGATTTTGCCTATCAAGCTCGTGAACGAGAATAAATACATTGTCGACACCGACAGCGAGGACAAGGAAAGGAATGACTTCCGCGATGATGAGGGTGGTCTTGACGCCAACAAGCGAGAAGAAACCGACTGAAGATGATACGGACAAAATGACAAGTCCGATCCCAAGCAAGCCTAACGTGAATTTCGAGCCGACGAAGAGATGGCGAGGGAGTCTCGGTAAAATGTGCGGCGTGGTGCGGGAGTCGACAGAGACCGAAGAGGAAGTTATGCTTGACCGTTTGAATAGCATAGGAAGGTTGCGAGCCCACAGGGAGAGGGATGCCATTACACTTTCCTCCTCCCTTGTTGCTGACCCACTGCCCAGAGTCAATGATATGTAGAGAAACATTGCAAGATACGACAGGACGACAATCCTGACGTCAGTGTTGGTACTCCTGCTGATTTCTTCCTCTAAAGAGACGCCAGTGGAGAATGCAATATTCATGCCCGCCTCAGAGGGAATCTGTTCACTGAGATTGACGAGATATGCCCTCAGAGTTTGCTCCCATTCAACAGCTTTCGCGATCTCGGCCTCGTCGAGTGAATTTGCCACCACATAAGTGACAACTAGGGCCTTCGCGTAAAGGTATGAATCGCGCTGTGGCATATCCTCAGGCACGCCGCCTAGGACATATTGTGGGCCAAGAGGCTGCTGGAAATCTGGAAGGCAATCCACAGGAGAGTTTGCACATTTAACCAATCGGTCTTTCCAAGACTCCTCGTCGTAATCACTGAGATCATTACCAAACCATGCACCAACAGACTGAACGACACATGCTCCTTGTGGCCCGGCAGGCTTGAAACATACATCAGTGAGGCGGTAGCCATTAGGGGAAGATCGGAGAGCACGTATGTCACTCTCTACGTCCATCCAGTACCGTAGATGATCGTAACTGAGCACAGGATCTTGGGAAGATGCGCCAATATCTGTAAATGCAGCCGGTTCGATGATGGTGAAAAGGGGGTCTGGGAGCGCAGTGACAAATATTTGCTGTGGACGGTAGAAAGGACCAAAGTGTTCGTCGAAGTATTCTTTCTGTAGTTTGCTTTCTGAATCAGGAGCGACCCATAACCGAACCGGGTCAGTCTCGATGTCGAAATTTTGCCAGCCTAAGTTGAGCAGGCCTATAACGGTAAACACGAGTGAAAATGTCAAGAATGGCGAGGACGCTGTAGCAAGGCCTAAACGATAGAAACCGCGACGAAGGATCGTGTTGAGGCGATATTGGCGTGGCTGAGATGCTTCAATGGGGTCGAGGAGGGAAGCACCACGACCGAGCCGTCTGGATTCTGTTGAGTGAGCTCCGCTGGAGCCATTTGCGTCACCTTGCGGAAGTGAGACAGCACCAACAAGACCACGTGTGTGTAACATGGGGGAACGGGCGGATGCGGTGTCCACTGAGAGCGCCATTCTCTCGTATCTTTTCTCTCTTCGTTTCCTTATAGTGACCTGAAGAATATATCCAAATACAAAGGCGACGGCACAGAGGGAGTATGCGACAATGAGGACGAGTGAGAGGCATGAAAGCGTGCCGAAATGGCACGTTGGGCCATTAATCTGCGGGGGCTCGTAAGGAAGTGCAGGACAGACTGTCGGGCAGTCAATGCAAGTGCAGTGGCTTTCCAGGTCGTTGTCAGCGCAATTCCGTGGCGTGGGGTCTAGCGCAGTGAAATCAAGGGGTGTAGAGGGGGGATAATTTATCTGGAATGGACTTCCAAGGTCCTTCTCATCTCCTAGGAACTTGAGGAATGCAGAATATGTCTTCGCACCTCCCCCAATGAGGTCCATAGCGTATCCGTTGGTGGCACCGACTTGCACATTCTTGCAGCTATCAAAGAAGCCCGAAGCGAATTGTTCGCCGACGAAGAAATCAACTGCCTTCACAGCTGTCTCCCCCGAACTGGTCTCCTGCGTATCCGTGATGTTCAGGAATGAACCCTGGTATGGTGAACAAGTGAATGAGCAGAAGAACGAACGGAAGTTGTTTCGGCATGCAGGGCAGGACGAAATGATGAGCTCGGCTTGCGCTAGACTGTCACGCAGGGTTTCGACCTGACCAGAAGTGCAGCAGGTAGGGCCTTCTACGAATTGAGCACCACAAACGGAAACAAGCAAATCCCTGGATTTGCTGTCCTCGGGCTGGAGTAATGGTGAGCAGAGATACAGTTATACTACACTATCAAACGTACTTCGACCGGAGGGCCATCATATGGACACGGGAGTTGCTGCCCAAACCAACCCTTCTTTCCACAAGAACCCCTCATAGCACATTGTCCAGCTCCAGTATCTCCTTCCCATCCCGACATAGTGCAACGAAGTTGGGAGACCCGACGGCCAAAATAATGCAGTCGAGACTCGAGTTGTTCAGTAACACGACTGAAGATGGTCAAAGAAAACAAATCTGAACGAAACTAGCGGCAGCAGTCGCGCAACTGTGCTAGAGTAGCTAAGTAGACACGAGAACTCCACGCAAGTGCACCCACGCACGTAGATCACGTGTGTTCGAACAGAAATGGTCCAGGAACAACAAATATACGGCTTGCAATCTCGAGCTATCTCGAGTCCTCGATTTATCGCTACACTACCATCCATCCCCTTACTAATGGCAGAACAAACACAATCCAAGAAGCCGAACACCGCTGCAAAACCCCGAAAGCGTTTCGTCGGCTCAAAGTCTGCAGCACCATCCAAAACTGGTTTGCCAGCAGCGATCGCCAACCAAATACCCGATGAGATATTGTCGGATGCTCTGCTGAAACAGGCGATCAAGCAGCTTCCTTCAAATTACTCCTTCGAAATCCATAAAACAGTACACCATGTTCGCAAGAACAAAGCAAAGACAGTCGCCCTGCAGATGCCCGAGGGCCTGCAGATGTTTGCTTGCACAATAGCGGACATCATCGAGCGGTGCGCAGGTGATGGAATTTGCTTTGCAGAGTTGCATGCTAAGCTGATTCTGGATGTCATAGTTTCACCGACGCGTCGACTGTAATCATGGGCGATGTCACTTATGGTGCATGCTGCGTGGATGATTACACTGCAGTTGCATTGGGATGCGACATGCTAGTTCATTATGGTCACAGTTGTCTTGGTGAGTTCATGCGACGCGGTTTTCAAGTTTCCTTCCTCATTTGACTACAGTGCCCATCGATCAAACCACAATCAAGACCCTGTATGTCTTCGTCGAAATTGGAATCGACTCGTCTCACTTGATAGAGACGATACGATTAAACTTCCCGAACGACCGACCGACATTTCACAAGCAATTGCTCGAATATGAAGATGAAGCACGGATAACTGCTGGTCAGAAAATCGGCAAGACTCGCCATCTCCAAATCGAAGGTCCTTCGAGTGAAGGGGAAGCAGAACCTCCAGCTTCCGCAGACCTGACAAGATTTGCGTTAGTCTCAACTATCCAATTTGTAGCAGCTCTACAGAGGTTGAAGGAAGATCTGACGTCACCGTATTCTGATGTCGGAACGTCACCTAATGGACTGCTGCACGGTGCAGAATCAGATGCATTAGAGGGAGATGTCTCAAAGTCGTCGTCTGGTCATCGCCTTTGGACCGGTGTTTATGACGCCACGATACCAAGATCTAAACCTTTGTCTCCTGGTGAGATACTAGGGTGCACCGCTCCCCTACTTGGCGACATAGATGCTCTGATGTAAGGGAACATCTTTGTTTGTGTATCAGGTGCCTCATTGCATCTCAGATATCTTGGAGACGGTCGATTCCATCTAGAGTCTATTATGATCGCGAATCCCTCAGTACCTGCTTTCCGATACGACCCCTACTCCAAGAAAATCACGAGAGAGTTGTACAACCACGAAGAAATGCGGACAATCCGAGATGACGCAGTTCAAAAGGCCCGTAAAAGCATTACAGCTTTCTCCCCAACATCAGATTTCCATGATATCGTTGCCCCTACTGATCAAAATCCGATATGGGGCATTATTCTCGGCACTTTGGGGCGCCAAGGCAGTTTCAAGCAGATGCAGGCGATAACTCACCAACTCTCTACCTCAAAAACAAATATTCCCTATATCCCTATCTTGCTTTCTGAACTCTCGCCCGCAAAGCTTGCACTGTTTAACCCGTATATATCAACGTTCATTCAAACGTCGTGTCCGCGGTTGTCGATAGACTGGGGGTACGCTTTTGACAAACCGCTCCTCAGCCCATATGAGACAGCAGTTGCGGTGGGGCAAGCAAAAGGGTGGATGAATGAGGAGAAAGAGGGACGTGAAAGGGCTAAAGGCGGGAGATATCCTATGGATTTCTATGAGGCAGGTAGTCCATGGGCTGTGGCTAGGATGAAGTCTACGTATCTTTAATTCAAGCACGAGTTCTCGGCGAAGAATGATGGCAGTGGCACTGAGGGTTACCATAAGGCTGAAGTGCCCATGCCTCGTTTGTGATTATTAGTGGGTCTCTAAACGTTACCACCTGGTAATTATCCGGTTCATCTTCCCCTTGAATATCAACCTAATGAACTACAGATATGCGCCTCCAAAGTGTGTATAGTCTGTATGTTACAAAAGTCGTTGAACTCAAGCATCATCATTGACTCAGGGCGTTTAGCCCATCAGTCCGGCCAAATGAGCTCTACGGACACTCCGACATCTCTGAGACGGCGCATTCCAGGCAACATTGTACCTAAAGTAGATAGGTGAAGTACTGATGCGCACGTCGTGGCATACATAGGATTGACATACTATCACTTCCACTGCAATCGGCACCCCACAGAAGTCGGCACTTTCACAAAACTCGTATTTTTAGCTACTTAAACAAAAAATTCTGAATGTAAATATCATTATATCTCTAATACAGTTCATTATGAGGTAGAATGACCATGATTGAAACAGAATTGAGTGAGATGTACCGAAAACTTATCGTGGTGTGTTTAGATGTGCACTGACAGTGCCGCGTCACAAAAGTGGCGTCACGACCACGTCAATTTTCCCCTGCCCCAAACAAGCTGAAGCTTGAAGCCCCGGACGAATTACAAGAAGGAATGACTGTCTTCCTTCTATATGGTCTAGCTAGGGGAGACTACGGACGACAACCGCGAGCATGCATTAATTGATCTTTCTGGGCTCTGCACTATTCAATCATGACGATCAGCGAGTTCAGATATAAGGGTGCACGTGTGGAGGTATGTACACATGTTCAAGTCTGCATTCAAAGAACACAACTCACCAGTAAGCGCAAAATATTCTGCGTCGCAGGCGGAAATGTTGTTCCGGCTACACGCAGAGTCTGAACGTGGACCGACACATAATTTTGCATGTACCTACCTTGCGTGGCATGCTACATCTGGCATAGTGAATCAATTGTGCATTGATTTCCATCAACACCCGGATCATTTATATGTCAAGTTCGTCTAGATCTTGCCCTCACTGTTCCTTCGGCAATACCGTGGCCCGTAATTATGATTAGCGCTAGAATAAAGTCAACGTGTTGGCAATGCTTCGAAGCTTGCTGTCAAGGCTATTAGTTCGGCCCGTGCTACATGACCAGAGGTCTATTCTCTTTCCCCACCCACTACTTGCTGCGCCCCCACTTCGCTCACACTAATCGACCGCCACGATAAGCGAAGGTCAAAGGCCAGATCCTCCTCCAGAAGTCTGCGAAGCAACCGCTGGTGAAAATTCGGTATGTCAAGGTGTTCCCATGAGCTCATTCACTATGAATGAGCGCTAATAAATTCCATCCCTGCCTCTGACACGTTCTCCGTCCAGAACCGACCCATAGACGAGTCCGGCAAGCCATGCGGAAATTTACCAAAGGTATCCCTAAGAAAATTTCTGTGAGTATATCACTGAGTTGTCCGGATTCTGAATATGACTGACATTTTGCAGAAATGCTTGAAGTTTTCCCGGAAGCCCATTCCTGCGGTTCAGGACATCGACCTTCAAAGTGCACCGAATCAGAATATTGAGGTAGGTGTTCGAACTCTTTATCCTTCAGTTTTTCTCAGAGGTGCCCAGGATACGTTGCATTTGAAACCTCCCACCGACGGCATGCATCCCACCACCACAACTGGGGGTCCCGGTGGCTGCGTCGACCAAGGCCCATCCGGAGAACTTACTTCGAAGGTACTTGCGTCAAATTATCTAATTTTCGTCTCTAAATTACAATGGTTATCAGGTTCTCGTCACCTCCCCTGGTGTGGAGGAAACATCTGGTCCCGAATCGGTTAGCGCCAAACTTCAGGGTGCCGAAGACGCTGCAGGACGCATGAAAATACTTGGGGGACCTGCGCTATCCGTGGCGGACGCCGCCAACAATGCCCCAGCAGGTCTTGCTGCCGCAGACAACTTCCAGACCACATACCTTCAACCCCTCATAATTTTCGACACTATCATCAAGAAGATCGCGAATGTATGGGCCGCTCTCCTTAGTTGGTACAGAACTAACCAAGGTATAGGTACATCCATACGTAAACATGGCGCTGGGCGTACTTTCTGCTGCATCCTCAGTACGTTCCGTTGCGCCGGAGTTCTGTGTCCTTATCAGAAGTTATAACTTCATGTAGATCATTCTCGCTCAAGCGGAGCGCGACAATTTGGTACTCGATCTTTTGAAGAAACTAAGTGAAGTATATACCTTCATGACCCTGGACGACACTCTTGCCCAGATTGACTCGATGCGCGACATTGTTGGACAGATCGCACACCAGACTCGAGAGTGCGCCCATTTCATCAGGGATTATGCAGAGATCAGGAGCTATTGTGAGTTGCGAGCTATCGTGCTCGCACATTCTTAATCTTCTACCTTTATTACAGGGAAAAGGCTGGGGAAACATTTGGTCTCGGCAACTAAGGCTATGATTCAACAGTACAGCGACGCTTTGGAAAGGCTTATGCAGAAATTTCGGGACCGAGCTCTTCTGGACGTAGCCATCTTTGTTCAATGTGCGGGTGAGTATTCGGACGTGCTTCCAATTGTTACGCCTCCTCACACTCCTGCAGGCGACACAATGGATCTCAGCGATATCGCCTATGCAAAGGACGCAGGACTAGATACTAGGAAACATTGTCTACCAGGAACGCGCACCGACATTCTCTCCCAGATTACAGAATGGATCAATAGCAGCGACGATGCTGCTCAGCGTGTGTTGTGGTTATCTGGCCCTGCAGGCAAGGGCAAATCAGCCATCGCTCACACGGTTGCCAAGAGGTTCAAAGACAGGGGAAGGCTCGGGTCATGTTTCTGCTTTGACAAGGCCGAAGAAAAGCGCCATAAAAAAGTTTTCTCCACCATCGCTCGTGACCTGGCTGATTGTGATCCAGAGATAAGGCGAGGATTGGCGGATGCGGTCAAAAATGAGACTTCACTCAAGAATTCGACGGATATCTTTCAGCAGTGGAAGAACCTTGTCATGGACCCGCTAAAGAAGGTCTCTGCGTCAAGTGTAGGGCCTGTCTTGATCGTGATTGAAGCGCTGGACGAGAGCGGCGGAGAGGAAACGCGGCGGGACCTTCTTCGCATACTTGCCGGTAAACTTCAGGACAAGGAACTTCCTAAAATCACCGAACTCCCATCCAACTTTCGGATTCTTATTACCTCGCGCCCGCTTCGCGATATCGAAAAGGAGTTTGAGGGTGCCGATAATATTCTACGGTTGTCCATGGATGACATTCCGGAAGCGGTCGCGGAGCGCGACATCCATACTTTTGTGTCTAAGGAGCTGAACGGGCTGTCGGGCTTTGGGGACAGAGAGTTCGCAAACCTCGCCAGGAAAGCCGAAGGACTTTTCGAGTGGGCACGTCTTGCCTGCGAATACCTCAAGAAAGACCTGCTCGGCGCAAACTCATCTTCTCGCTTCAAAGCCGTCATGAACCACAATCCAGGGAGGTTGACAAACAAGTTGAATGAGATGTATCATCTCATTCTGAAAGAAATCATTTCAGAGGATCAATATGATGACGCTGACGGGTACAAGGAAGCGCTAGCGAAGTTTGGTTCTGTGATGGGACAGATACTTGGCACAGCTGAACCGCTTTCTTTCGATTCCCTCTATGCCATGCGGAGCTACTTTCCTGACCCGAGCAAGCATGACAGCATAAGCGTTATAAAATATATGGGATCCCTCCTCAGCGGCACCACGAACTCATGTTCCGCCATCCGACCCCTACATGCATCCTTCCGCGACTTCCTGACAGACAAATCATCCAGCGGAGACTTTTTCGTCGAGTTGACTGACATACAGCGCGACCTTGCATTCGCATCACTTCGAGTGATGGAAAATGGCCTTGGTTTCAATATATGTGATTTGAAGTCTTCATACATCCCTAATTACGAAGACACCGAGCTGCCTCAACGAGTCAAAAAGTCCATTTCCCCCCATCTGTCCTATTCCTGCCGATTTTGGGCTACGCACGTACAAGCAACGGACTTTGACAGGGAGCTCGCAAATGAAATACGGTCATTCTTCGACAACGAGCGAATGCTCTTCTGGATTGAAGCACTCGGCCTTCTCAATGCGATCAGCGGCGCAGTTGCTGTGCTTCCACTCATTACCCGGTGGCTGAAGGTGAGCGCATGCCTACCAGGCAGTGTCGGATGAACAACTCACAAACAATTACAGGGCCATTCTAGATACGAAGATGTGTGGTCCACCACAATGGATGTGCAAAGATTCATTCAAATCTTTGGTGGCATGATTTTGCACAGCACGCCACATCTGTATTTATCGGCGCTACCATTCTCCCCCATCAACTCCACCATAGCTACCAATTTCACTCCAAGGTTTCCGAATAGCCTTCGTCTGGCATCTGGACGTGATTTGGACTGGGCGGCTGTTCAGACCATGATCAAGGGGCACACTGACTCGGTTTGGTCAGTCTCGTTCTCACCAGATGGTACTCGCATCGTGTCTGGTTCAAGGGATAAGACTGTCCGGCTGTGGGACGCAGCAACGGGACAGCCATTGGGTCAGCCCTTGGAGGGGCACACTGACTGGGTTTTGTCAGTCTCGTTCTCACCGGATGGTACTCGCATCGCGTCTGGTTCAAGGGATAAGACTGTCCGGCTGTGGGATGCAGCAACGGGACAGCCATTGGGTCAGCCCTTGGAGGGGCACACTTCTTCAATTTACTCAGTCTCGTTCTCACCGGATGGTGCTCGCATCGCGTCTGGTTCTTCGGATAACACTGTCCGGCTGTGGGATGCAGCAACAGGACAGCCATTGGGTCAGCCCTTGGAGGGGCACACTGACTCGGTTTTGTCAGTCTCATTCTCACCGGATGGTGCTCGCATCGCGTCTGGTTCTTCGGATAACACTGTCTGGCTGTGGGATGCAGCGACGGGACAGCCACTGGGTGAGCCCTTGGAGGGGCACGCTGACTCGGTTTTGTCAGTCTCGTTCTCACCGGATGGTACTCGCATCGCGTCTGGTTCAATGGATAAGACTGTCCGGCTGTGGGATGCAGCAACAGGACAGCCATTGGGTCAGCCCTTGGAGGGGCACACTTCTTGGATTAGCTCAGTCTCGTTCTCACTGGATGGTGATCGCATCGCGTCTGGTTCAATTGATAAGACTGTCCGGCTGTGGGATGCAGCAACGGGTCAGCCATGGGGTCAGCCCTTGCAGGGGCACACTTCTTCATTTTACTCAATCTCGTTTTCACCGGATGGTGCTCGCATCGCGTCTGGTTCTCGGGATAAGACTGTCCGGCTGTGGGATGCAGCAACGGGACAGCCATTGGGTCAGCCCTTGGAGGGGCACACTGACTGGGTTTTGTCAGTCTCGTTCTCACCGGATGGTGCTCGCATCGCGTCTGGTTCTTGGGATAACACTGTCCGGCTGTGGGATGCAGCAACAGGACAGCCATTGGGTCAGCCCTTGGAGGGGCACACTGACTTGGTTTGGTCAGTCTCGTTCTCACCGGATGGTGCTCGCATCGCGTCTGGTTCTTCGGATAAGACTGTCCGGCTGTGGGATGCAGCAACGGGTCAGCCATTGGGTCAGCCCTTGGAGGGGCACACTGACTCGGTTTGGTCAGTCTCATTCTCACCGGATGGTGCTCGCATCGCATCTGGTTCTTTTGATAAGACTGTCCGGCTGTGGGATGCAGCAATGGGACAGCCATTGGGTCAGCCCTTGGAGGGGCACACTGACTGGGTTTTGTCAGTCTCGTTCTCACCGGATGGTACTCGCATCGCGTCTGGTTCAAGGGATAAGACTGTCCGGCTGTGGGATGCAGCAACGGGACAGCCATGGGGTCAGCCCTTGGAAGGGCACACTGACTCGGTTTGGTCAGTCTCGTTCTCACCGGATGGTGCTCGCATCGCGTCTGGTTCTTCGGATAACACTGTCCGGCTGTGGGATGCAGCAATGGGTCAGCCATTGGGTCAGCCCTTGGAGGGGCACACTTCTTGGATTAGCTCAGTCTCGTTCTCACCGGATGGTACTCGCATCGCGTCTGGTTCGGTGGATCAGACTGTCCGGCTGTGGGATGCAGCGCAGCCATTCCATGAGTCCACCGAGCCACCTTCCTCCGCACTCTCTCTAGACATAACACCTCGCACACAGGAGAGTCCGAGTCCTATCATATCCGACACCTGGAACAATTATTTTATTTGCTTCTCATCCACCTCGGGACATGTGCTGCGCAACCCCGCTGACCTGCTTGAGGGCACCCCTTATCATGATTCCGATTCAACACCTTTCTTGTTGGGAGGTGATGGATGGGTGGTGGGACCCAATCGTCGGCTCCTTTTCTGGGTACCTCCAGCTTCCCGATATGCATTTTATTCTCCTGGTACTGCAATGGTGATCCCAAGAGGACGTGTCGAGCTTGATTTGAGCTGCATGGCACACGGGACACAATGGTCGAATTGCCGAGATGCGTGAGTTCTTAGTCTTTCTTGTCCATCCCTCGCATTTTCTAAATTCGACATATCTAGCCGTACTCCACGATGATAGTATTGCGGTAGTTGATGTATGGAGAGGTCAGATAGAAATACATGAATCATGTTTGAACTTTTCTCCCTGTTCATCGTAATCGCCGCTCAACGTTGCTACTGTCCTAGACGATGTATCAGGACCAAATTTAAAGTTACGCTCTGCTCTAGCTCCTCATTGTCGTTATATTCCTATATAATCGAATCCATTGGCATCGAAATAATCTTACAGCCGTTGTCCTTTGGTGTGATGTGTCACCCAACGAGATCCAGTGCGCATGCATATATGCGGGAGTGATCGACTCATTGGGGCAGCGGTTGCTTGTCACGACTATTCCTGATGACAAGGGGGAGAAACAACAGGCCAGTGACATAGTCTAGCAGCTCTTTACACGAACATGTATCAATGCAACGTTGATTACACTGGTGAACAAGGCACAGTCCCCAAACGTTAGACAGTTAGTCCACACAAATCAAGTAATTATTTCATCAAATATTTCATTATACTGCGCGCACAGATTCTACCGCTATGGTCACCGATGTTTTGCAAGAAGATAGAAGCCTAGGGTAGTGAGCAGGAACGCATCTCTGCGGATACATCTCATCCTTGGCTCGAGAAACGTCTGACAATATTTTACCAACGCTCTGCGTGATGATATTAGATAAATGCATCTCCTACGATTTCTTTAAAACGACTTACCGAACAGGACGTGGGCCCTAGTCATCCCTTTTTCTTGGTATGGTGATCGGCGCGTGAACTAGAATGGAGGGATCGGTGATCAGAAACTAATGATGGTGAGGTCATGATAAAGGGCGCTTAGATCGCACTTGTGCCCACGACATACGTCCTGCACTTGATTTCGAATAAACGAGTACGTTCTTATCGCCATAGTCCCAGGAATATCAAGGTGAGCCTATCGGACAGGAGGTTCCTGCTGATCCTTGGTCTCGGTGCCATCTACAAATGCCTTAAGGAACAGCGCGGCGGTGCATGCACCTGCTGGTTTCCCGCCCGTTTGAAAAAAAAAAAAGACAACGTCAAGTTCAAGCAACGCTCGCATCAAGATAGGTGACTGACGTTGCACCAATCAGCATTAGAAGAGTAGATTTGTGGGCTATAATATTCGTGAAGGGGCATGCGAAAGAAGCGATCGTACTCGTTCTCTCTGGCAACACTCAGTCGGTTCCAAAGGGCATGGGAGGTCTGATACAAGAGTTTGGTTAAAGACGTCTCGGTAGGCAACAATGCAATAACGTACCATCAAAACACCGGTGTAGATCTCACCCAGTGCGGAATCCATAGCCCTACTATGAATAACTTATAAATTGAAGCTGAAAAGTGTGAGCAATCAATACATACCCGGTAAGAGCAGCAACGTCGATGATTGTGTGCGGCTTGAACTCGGTTGATGTGCAGTACAACGCGTCTTTGGGAAAGTTAGAATTCCTGAAGACGTCAGAGGATAGCAGGAGTACGGACCAGCTAGAACGAGACGACCTTCAGCATCCGTGTTGTCGACCCCAACAGATTTGCCATTCATAGCGTAGATTTTGTCCCATTCCACGAATTATACGATATGCTAAAAAAATAACGCGGAAGGGCCGCTCGCGGCAGAGCCCGCTACGTGCGTTTTGATGCATCGTTACCTTGTAACTATCAGGTCATTATCAGCCCATAATTGTGGCTGTGCGTACCCATTTTTTCACCCCGTGAGAATTCACGCTGGTTTTTAACCCGCATGAATTGCAGTTTCGTTTATCACCAACCACATCCCCACGTCTAGTGCTGGCCCCGGATCGCACTGTCATGACAGTGTACCGGGTATGCGAGACAGTGCAGAGCTGGCAATGAGACCCACCATTTCATCCTTAAATTACCTAGGATGGGTGCGAGTCCTCTGGCTATCGATTTCGTTTATCATGAACCACATCCCCACGTCTAGTGCTGGCCCCGGATCGCACTGTCATGGCAGTGTACCGGGTATGCGAGACAGTGTAGAGCTGGCAATGAGACCCACCACTGGATCCTTAAATTACCTAGGATGGGTGCGAGTCCTCTGGCTATCTTCCGCGGGTATATTTATTCAAGCATATAATGTGAATTTCAATGGTTTCCGGAGAGGAGACGAGGCTGCGCTACAGAATGGGTTACAAATACAACTTGAAAGAGACGAGACGCAATGAACAATACAATTACAAGTAGACGAGACATGAATCACATGATCAGTCCATTTTTTCTTTCTCTTTTCCTTTTCCCTTTCCCTCTTTCTTCTGTTCGCCAACAGATTTCTGTTTTTTGGTAGGATTGGTCGCGACATCGAAGGTTGAGAAGGCTGCAATGGCGGAATCATCTTTGTTTAGGGCAGTCGATGTTGTGGAGAGTACAGGGATGAAGCGTTCTTCGATAGGCTCATCTGATGGTGCGAGGACCTTTATCGCTTGTACACCGAGTTGGAAAGTCTGGAATTCGAGTCAAAGGTTAGTTTCTGCGTTGGTGAACTTTTTTTTTGATACACACGCTAGTGGGCAGGCCACTTTGTACTATGTTGTATACGTGAGCATCGCAGACGGCGAGAACGAGGGTGCCTGGTCTCAATTTCGAGTACGTCTCATGCATGGGGATCAGCTTTAGATTGTTCTCTGGAGTGTCGTAGATGTTCAGTTGCCGAAGCATGTTCTGCCTTAATTGAAAATAGGATCCGCGATAGTCAGGGAGGATTCTGGGGTCATACAATGCTCCTGCAGTGACTTGACTCAGATGTTAGTTCGGTAAGATGGTGATGTTGAACAAAGTATGTACCTTTGTTCGCGGTAGGTGCTGGTACACTCGTGTTTGAGCTCGCGCTCGCAATGGAAGCTGTGGAGATCGGAGTGGACTGTTGTTCCATAGCACTGTTTTCATTTGCAACCTTCCGTTTCGTACGTCGAGGAGCAGTGTTCTGGTCAGCGGATGTCGTGTTTTTGCCATCTGATTTCTGTGATAAGGTCGTCAATGGATGTCGTGTTTGTGCGTTTGTGATTAGACTTACTTCATAGATACGTTGAGAAGTGAGAATGATAAGATCTGCGTATTGTAAGTCCTGCGAGCTCTTGTTGATGCATACATTGACTTTGGATCCCTATAGAGACTGAGTGAATTATTGTACGTGGCCGTGAGTGAGACTGACCGTCGCTGCCCTCTTTTTTTCCTCGGTGATCCAATCCTCAATGGACGTCAATTGATTTTCCCAGATGTCTTGTAACTTTGGTGAGCACATCGTGGGCTTAGAAAGGGCCCATTTCCATTTGACTGTATCACTGTCTTCGAGTGGTTTGTTCTTATTGTGTATGTCAATTTGTGCTGGTGGACTAGGAGGGGACATGCGTACCTTTTTGGTGAAGTGTGTTCCTTTCGCAGAATGTTTTGTACCGCAAGAAGAAGTTGTGATTTGCCCGACGATGTTGGTCCTGAATGGGTGACCATCCTTTGCATTTACATAGGACCAGTTGGTCCCGCTGTAATTGTCTTGCACGGTCGTGATCCAATCAATGCCGAAGTCGGCGTCTCCTAAAGCGTCTTTGCCAAGGTTGTTTATTGCGTCGGCCACACGATCGTATATGCCATCAGCGGCACGCTGTGAGAAACACTGTACTTCTGTATCAGGGACAGTAGACATGATGGTGGTCTGGGTGTGAGAGTGGCGAAGGTGAATTGCGCTGAGTCTGTGTTTATATAATTTGAGGTAGGGATTACAAGGGTATGACGCACTGAACGGTATGGTTCGTTGACAAATATTCATATGAGGTATGCGATTGTTGACAAAGATTCATGCGGATGGCGGCGACATTATTTTGCGGCGCTTGGTGCGTCGCGGAGGCATGCTGATGTTGTTATCTGCAGGTGTGGGGTTATCAGCTGTTGAACAGCTGGGTCCCTGTGCGATTTCTTCGTTGTAGTGAACATCTGTTCGCCTCCTTTTTTCCCGTCGTGGTGGTGGTCGTGTTATCCCGGATTGGGTGCCTGCTGTGCTGGATTGATGGATATTAAGAAGAGTGATGGTCTGTTGTAGGTTGTTCAGTGCGTTGGCTGGGTCTTTTTCAGAGCATGGTTCATCATTTGTAATAGGTTTGCAAAGAGGTGGAAGATGTTGCTGTGCCTGTTCTCGTTGTTCACGGCTCGCATATGGTGTGTCTATCAGTGTATTGAGATTGAGTATATCTAGACGAACCATTTCTCGTCGGACATCTTCAGAAGGGTGAGAGCAGATTGTGTTATAAGAGAATGGACGTAGAATGAATAAGCTTTGTAGAGAAGTGGCGCGCGAGACCATAACATAAGGTTTTTCAGTTCCTCGGCACCATTTGTTACCAAGATCGACAATCACTTTCTGCATTGTTTGTCCTTGGGATTTATGCGCGGTGATCACGAAACCAGGCAGGATTGGAACTTGAGTACGAGTAATGCGACATGTTTTCTTAGAGTTTGGGTGAGTAAATCTAAGTTCTACAGAGTCTTCGAGGATGGGGATATGATGTGGGGGTAGGTTTGGAAGTGTTTCATCTGTCGAGTGACTGATTTCCACAATGCAGGACCTTAAAATTCGCTGTCCTTCATGGTTGAGTGAGTATCTTACTTTTCTGAGTGTTCCTGTACTCCCGTTGACAATTCCACCTTCAACATCGAAGTTTTGAGACACAAGGATGGGCATGCCAATCACCAGCGGAATTTTTCCAAGACGCATGTTAGTTTTTCCAGAATTCAGGTGTTGTAATTTGTTGATGAGAGCTTCGTCATGCAGGGGTTTTCGTTGATGTTTATCTGTACAGTGGTACCAATGAAGGGTGCGTCCAGTTCTTTGCGCGAATGCTATCGTCATCCTCACGTTCAGTTCATCTTTACTTTCATTATCGCAGACGATGATGGGAGCATCCTTCCATTCACAGTTGCTTGTGTGTCTCGCGCTGGTGGTTATCACTCTTGATTGCAGAAGCTGGTAGTCATCTTGGGTACATTTGCCTTGACGTAGGCGTGAGAGGCAGTCTACGAACTGTATGTTTTCCGGACCTGATTGACGCATTACTTCTTTTAGCAATACAACGGTCTTCACAGACAACCATAGCAGTCGGCCAAATATTTTCTTTTGATTAGATGATGTCGAACAACGTCGAGTATCAAGGTGGGCATATAATTGTTTGCCACTTACAGGTGAGAGCTGAGCGAAATCCCCAGCGAAGATGATGTTTATCCCTCCGAAAGGTGCAATGTTTCCTTTTGCATCTACTAGTGCCTCGTGAATTTTGGTCAAAAAATCACAGCTAATCATGGATACCTCATCTATGAACAGGTAATCAATGCCTTCCCACATTGCGGTGAGATCACGCTTCATTTTAGTACTCGGAGCTGACAACTTCCTTTGATTTAGCAAGAGTGATGCATGTAGCGTCATACCCAAGATATTTCGTGCTGCTACTCCCATGTAAGAGGCAAGTCTGAATCGCCGTGTCTGGTTCCTTTTGACGAAAAAGTCTTTCAAGGCATTAATGACTCTCGATTTCCCAGTTCCGGCAGGTCCTCCAATGAACATCCTTAATGGTTCGGGATTACTGAGTCGACTGTGTTCTGCTATTATCTGGAAAGCTCTTGATTGTTCGTCATTCAAAGTCCAGTCCTCAGCGACACGCATAGTATTGACATCACGATATAGATCAATTGGATGAATATCATGTTGAATGTCCGGAACGAGGGCATCAGGCATTTCCTGAGACCTGTTGTTAAGTGTTTTAATGGTCGCCGACGGCATGTTGTCATTGGTAAGTGAATGTGATTCGGGCGAATTATCCGCAGCTTGATTCTTTTTCCATCTCGTTCGTCTTTTTTCATAACAATCTCGCCACTCATTTTCTTGTGTAACACTCTGGATGTTCTCTTCCAATGGCTCATTATTGTCAGTAGTAATCACATGAGATTCATCGGCACATGAGGCATGCGAGAGGCTATCAAAAAATTGACATGATTCCATATGCTGCAAACAACTGATTAGGTCATCGTTGATGGTGGATCGGTGTACAGAACGACAAGAATCCATAGAATCTAAATGAGCGAGTATGTCTTCATCAGCATCATCCACAAATATATCATCCTCATGGTTACCACGAGTGTGGTTGATCATTTCAGTAGAAATTCCTGCTAGTTTATGTCGAAGTCGACGGTTTGCGAAATGGTCGTCCCGACTATCTTTACATTCATGCAATATCTGCATGTTGTTTAATATGCGAGTAACGGTGTGGGAGCATGTACGTTGAAATTTTTGGAATGCTTCAGTCCATGATTGTGTTGCTTGCTTAAGATCAGATACAGATCGCCAAGGCTTAAAGAGGACAAGCATAAGGCGGCAGTATTTGGGATAGACGTGCTCCTGATCCCGACGAGGAATACGGGGACCAATGGGTACAGGTACAAACCGTTTATCTGGTTGTCTGACACGCAGAAAGTGGGTACGTGATTCATAATGACCTGTTTGCAGCTCTCCAGAAGGCCGTTTTCTGGACGTGGATTGAAGAATATCTTCTTCTCGAGGAACAGGTGAGTGTGATTCCCCATTCTGTTTCTCAACCTCATCAAGCTCATCTACGTTCATTGGTTCTTCAAGATCATTTTCATTGTCATCATCAACTATTTCGAGGTCGTCATCATCAAAGTGTCCGTCAGAATCATTTTTGTCTTTCCTACTCTTTCTAACTTTGTCCACCTGTGCCACGAAATCCCATATGCATATGTTGTTGAATTTCTCATCTCGATGGAGATAGTCCATCACTTGAGCAGCTTTTGGTACAAGATTTCCAAAGTTATCACTGCTGATTCGGATCTCGTCGTTCTGAACTTGTTCAACATAGATACCGTCATCATCAAGCGTCCCTTCAACAGGCTTTTGTGGTTGATCCTCACAAGGTTCATCACCCGTTTCTTCAGTTTCATTGTCATGGTTATCCGTTGTTTTTGCAATCTCGATGTCCGTTGACGACTGATTACACTCAGGACTCGGGACACACTGTTCGACAAAAGACTCGAAATTCGTCTAGTACAAGCCACGGTACTCATCACTCGTGAAGTGGTCCTCAAAATCCATGAGGTAAGAGCACACTTGTTGAGCAGAGAGTTCCTGATGAGAAATCATTGAGTGAGCACATTTCTGCAGCAGCTTTTTCGCTCGCAACGTGCAATCATCATCATGTGGATCATACTCCTCTAGTTTGTTTATCGCTGTTTCCATTGCGGCCAGTGCAACGTGAGTTTTCAACTGAGATTTGGTGATATAGTCGGTAATATAATATAGTATCGCTTTTGCTGCAGGTCCAGAACCGATAAATTTGATATCCATGTTGCACCTAACAGCCTCTAATATAGTCGCATTAAAATGATTTACTAGACCATCAAGACATTTCAGTGTGATCTCACCGGAGACCGGATCAACAGTGCTTATCGGATGCACATTTTTTTCATCTAGATCGAATCGGCACTCTTTCGGTTCTGGTGGCCCTCTCCAGTATTTCCAGCATGTATTAGAATGCCGGTGAGTCTGACACTTCTTCGCAAGACAGTGTACGTCTTTGTTGCGCATTGCCTGTAACAAGTCCTCTGTCACATTATTAAAGTTCACTCCTCGGGTAGAACAAGGATGGGAATGTTGATCAGACTCTAATGATTCTTCATCTAAATATTCAGGGATGCACGTTGAAATAGTGTCCTCTAGATACCGAAGCAGACGCTCCTTGAAACTTTGTTCTTCGGTTTGTAATACTCGGTCCCTGATCTCATTAGGATTCAGACCTCCCTCCAACCATATCATCATATGGCAGTGCAGTGTTCCTCGACCTTGAGCTTCGACACATCCATAATATGCACTGACAGTGCCGAGAGCTCCTTCATGTAAGTCTGAACCCTTGCCCTCGAACCGCAGAAGGCATTTAATGAAAGCTTTCATGTAAATATTGAAGAACTTGGCTGCAACAGCTGGATTTCGGGCGACGAGGATGGACTGTTCGTAGAATTTCGGTACTTGTTCTGGCAAAAGGTTGTCAATGTCTATCTCAGCACCAGCCAGAAACTTAACAAGTGGATTATAGACATCAGCCGGATTTATCGTGACATAGAAACTCGGCAGGCCTCGTTCACACATTAGTCCGCGGATTTCGTTACGCATGTTTAATCTTGCATGCGAAGATCCTCTAACATGTGAGGTTATGACTTGCACTTCTTTCATTAGACGCAGTACACATTTCTCATCCTCGTTGTTTGCAGAAACAATGTCTCCTCGAGCCACACGCTCTGTCACACAATGCACAGCCCATGGAGAAACCGAGGCGAGATTAGTCGCTATAGTGGGAAAGGAATCGCGCTTTACCTTCAGAGAGGTATGTAGGAGAATTTCCCGCCTTTGCAAAATATTAAATGCTGTGAAGAGGAACGAGTAGTGTTCCTGAAAACGACGATCAGCGAGATTGAATAAGTGCTTGACATGCCTCTTCATCGATAAGCGTTCTGAACGCAAATGATCCTCAAAGCCTCCCAAGCCATATGGAAACAAGGTGGGATAAATCATCGGAAAGAGGTCGGGGTTGAAAAACTCATTCACAGGTTCAGGATCATGAGGGATTTGTAGATATCCACCACCTTTGTTTTTGATATGGCGAACTGCTGCCGCGCGTAACTCATTTGCAGATGCATGTCCATCAACATCAGTCACTACCATGCTCTCAAATTTTGAATCCAATGTTGCTTCATGCGATTCAGCACGGTCTGCTTGATCCTCCAATTGTACTGCTTCGGTTGCATCATACCTCGAAGTCAACGAATCTCTTGCGTCACTCGGAAGAACATGATCAACATGAAAGGGCATCAATGTTTCATCCTCCATGGAATCCAAAGCACGGTGGTCAATGGTGATGTCCTTGTACAGCCTATTATGTATTTTTAGCCAAACCAACGCTGAACGAACTTTCTCTCTTCGTGCTATCAAAGGTTTTGCTTTCTCTTGAAGCCACGCACGAGATGGTGGACTCGAACCCACAAAAACTACGCAAATTGGAGTGACAATATCTTCAACCGTAGGAGGTAAGACAGCTGCGATCCCTTCTGGACGTTGGGGATAGATGATTATGTGACCCTTAATTCCTCGCTGACTGGTAGGAAGTTGCAGGTCCTGGTTTTCTTCTTTCAATTGAACGATCCAACATTTGGCTCGGCTACGAGCAATCATAGCCTCTTCTACGACGGTCAAGTCCTTCAATTCATTTGGTACGTCACCCAAAAAAGTCCTATTTGCAAGACTGAGAGCTGGTCGTTTGCCTTTGTTCAAAGTTCGACGACAAACATCGCAAAGTGATAACTGAATGTCCTGATCACTGCCCTGTAGGACCCCAGACGGATCAATAAGCAAACCATGGAGTGGATCGTCTAAATCCGAAAATGGGAGTGGAGGAAGAGGACAGTCCCCATCGAAATAATCATTCGACATGTGCTGATCTGTTTGTAAATTGGGCCTGCGCAAAAGAGACAAGTCAATATCCTGCAAAGGTAACATTGTCCGTTCGGAGCACAGCACACTCTCAGCACAGGACGCACAGGTAAACGTAGCTAAGTTCTGTGACGATGTTTCATCCTTGAACATCTCCACCAAACGCTGCTTCAATTGCGAGGTCGGAATACGTGGCCATTCTCGACAGAGTTGACGACGACGGTCTTCACGATCACACAATTGCGATTGGATACGAGTCTGCTGAGAAGATTTGTTCTTTGCTTTCTGTAACGAGTTGATATGCTTCTTCAATTTCCGACGTAAATGTCCTGTCTTCGATCCCGGTTCAAAAACAACTTCATTCGCCTTCAACAATCGCTCTAAAGGTCGCCGTTTCGTGCGTGCCAACATAGCTGTTAGGAATGCTATTCTCGCAGACAACACAACCTCCTCGTCACCGCAATGCATGTCAAAAACGCTCCGCAATGACTCACACCCTTCAAATGTTTGGGACTCATGAGAACCACAGAGCCCCGTACCAACATGACGAGAAATAGAATCACGCAAATCTTCAATAGACGAATCCTGATCTTTTGCAAGCCCATGGGCAGCTGCCAATGCATTGAGAGCCGGCATTCGCAATCTCTCGTAGCCTTCAAAAAAATCATCCGCATCATGATTATCAAACTGCATTACAGATGAACCCGCTTGGGTAGCTTCACATGAACCCGCTTGGGTAGCTGAGAGACAATCTTCTCCTATAACAATAGCATGTGAAGAAGTACCTGCACTCCCTCTGTCAACACCCTCGCCAACAAAAACCGATCAATGTACACACCTCCAGACTGGATAATCCAACTGTGACCAACGGGAAGCCGCGCGACATCGATTTTCGAAGGGCGCTGAAATCGAGAACCATCGAAATTCGCATTCACAGATGCGAACCAATCAAGACCAAGCTCGACATCGCACCCGCTCAGATAGGCCGGACGAAACGGCTGTCGGGAATTGTACCAACCGTCGACAGTAGGCACACGCGCAGGACCAGAAGTAGACTCCACAGCCACCCCGTCGTGATTAACGACAGAACGCGGCACATTATAACGGTGCAGAAAAGTCAAGGATACGGAGGAATCAGGACACGTTTTGTCGACACGAATAACGGCTGGAATGTCAGAAAAAAAGCCAAGGAGCTCGCAACAAGTAGAAGACATGATTGACTTAGGGATTAGAAAAATCCGCAAGTAGCTATAGCAGAATCGATATGCGTGCGAACTAAAGGCCATTAAAGAACAATTTAGGGCCGGAAGTGCATTTTCCACCCAAAAATTTGGTCGTTCACGAAAAAAGGGCGATGACAGAACAAGACCCACTACTGACGTAGCGGGAATCGCGCCTCACTATCCTGTTAACTGGAACCAACAGAGTATAATACCTCTCCCAGTCAACTGCTCCTTGAACGCACCCGTCATCTCCAAGTCACCAATTCCCATCTGGTGCGTAAGACATTCATTTTACCATGTGCACGGGAAACTACCCAGAACTTTCCCAATCACAAACCTCAGCACACAATCACCACGCATGAATCTGGTGCCATAGCTTTGACGAATCGCAATGGCTTCCAGAGCAGCGATAGTATTCAAGGCGATGTTTGTCCTAAGAAGGCGTCATGTCTGTCAAATAGTCCGGATCACTGGGGTTCACGTCTTGCAGAGGCCTGGGGGCAGCGACTCCCTTAGTTGGAGAACAAGATACCCAACCAGACGCATTGACCTTCGGAGTGGTCTTGCTTAGAAAGGAAAGCTCTAGTTGTGTTGGTGTACATCGCGGTTTATCGTAGCGGTGCACAGCACCGAACGCTCTGCTTCACTATTTTTGTTGCGTACCAACTGAAACAATTCAAATTCATACTGCACACCGATGCTGATTTGATGCTTGTATTGGACCATCTAAAGCAATGCATCGACGATTCAGTGAAAAATGATACTGTAAAATGTTGACCAAATACACACTGCCCTCCATCAAGGAAAAACAAAACATTACTTCTTGCGATATCAAACAACAGATATACACGCAACAGTCTAACACGTTACACGCTAATTATAGCGTGAGTTTGACATGCTCGCAAAAATAATGGCTCGACTTACCCATAAGCATACTCGACTTCATCAACACCACCACCAGAAGCGAAAGGACCATTGGTCTCGCGAGGTATAGGACCGAGCTCAGGTTCATCATCCTCCAAGTCAATGGGATTCTCATCGTCAAGACCAAACGGCAAAACAGGGCGAAGTCCCGCTCCTGAACTAGACCGACGGTTGCCTGCTGGAGATTTTGGCAACGCAGCCATAGTCTTGGGGCTCATATGCTGAAATAAATCATGAATGGGATGCAACTCGTTTCGAATATTCAGGCGTTAACTTACCTCCCAATCATTCAGGTTTTCATCTGGTATGTCACGATCGTCCCGACCGACGTCAAGTCTGGAGTCATCGCCCAAGTCGCCGATTGATACCACGCTTTCGCTGTCACTGATGTTGTCAGCGATACTAGAGACAAGTTCTGGGAGTCGCTGCCATGCGTTCCCGCCCATTGAAATCGTTCCGAATGGTGGGAGGCCAGATTGGTCGTCGGACCAACCGAGGTCAGACAAGTACTCCTCGTATTCCTCCTCAAACGCAAGATCCTCAGTAGTGTAGGGGAGGAATATGGATGGATCCGGTGCTTGAGAGCGCGGAGGTGGGAAGACATCAGCTTCGACGACGTTCGGAGTGCCAATTGGTCGGATGATATTTCCAAGGTCTAACCCTGGAGGCAGGCCTTCCATGTTGTGAGAAATACTGACAGAGCGCCGATGAGCCTGGGATTGCTGGCTCGGGGCCTGAGGTCCATAGCGTTTGTTGTTGTCTAAGGAGTGGGTTGCAGTGAGCGTGGTACATAAAAGTGCGGGAAAAGGGCATACAATACTTGACGAGGTGACGCAGCGCTTGCTCTTGTGCCTGGAAGGGCATCGGCATATGACACTACAGTAACGAGACTCGTGACGCACCTGAGCGTCAGAGATATCATCAACCTCGGTGCCAGTTAGCCACTCATCGCGCAGATCCGGGCGACAGTTCAAGTAGATCGACGTGATAACCTTCATATTTGCTAACAAGGGGTAAGTGTCAACGCCTCCTAACGTCATTATCGCGCATACATTGCCGCCACTTCCTCCCACAAAAGGGTACTTGACTCTTGATGAGTTTCAGAACATGGAGCTGAAGCAAAGGATGCGAAACTCGTAGCACGCGTTTCAACACCGCCTAAACAAGTTTCGTAAATAGTCAATGGCAGCTCAAACAAGCACACTCACCGAGCTCTTGTATTGCACAAGCATCCATATGCGATGTGACCGGCTCTTGGACAACTTCTGCATAATCTTGGCAAAATTAATCGTGGAAAAAAAGTTGCGCCATGAGAACTCAGTCAGCATCTCGACTTCTTCTTCGTGCTTTTGGCCATTCGGAAGAACTTTTGTCTGTAGCACAACGTGGGCACCAGCACGAGGTTTGTCATCCTGCGGACGTGGAGCGATCTTTGCGTGATGTATCTGGCAATACCGGAAGAAGCTGGGTGATGTCCAAGATGAGCATCAATGCTCGCAGATTCTGTCTCACTCACTTGTGGTCGGGAGAATCAGCTTTCGACACGACAGATGACGAAACTTCTTGCAGACCAAACATCTTCAAAATCAGCAGCAAGCAATTGGTGTCCAATAGAAGCTGGCCAAGATGATGAAACTTCATCACATCTGTGAGATTTACTTAAGACATGCGTTGACACACGTCAGGGGAAGTACTCACGGGAAGCTTTGAACCATTTCAACGTCAGCAATAAAATAGCTGAGACAGCTTTGGAAGTAATTTCGCGATGCCGGGTCACATCGAGGTCGTCGAGTGTTGGTGGTGGAGCGGGGGGTTGCTCAGGAGCTAATCAACATAAAATTACGATCAACGTTTGGGAGAACGGATATAGGGGTACACACGGGATGCAACACCGGGAGGGAAGACCGATGATGTTGACGACTGAGGAACTTGTTGTTGCCCGGTCCCAGCGGATACAGTGGCCAAAAGGAGTTTCAGCAAAACTAGTACCCATCCTGATAGGACGGGTAATACAGCGCTCTAAACGCAGGTGAGCCAGTGGCGATATGACGCTGAGCGGACTTACATAGATTGCTTCCACCCTCTTCAGGCGCATGAAGTCTTCCTTTCTTTCCCTCGCCTTGCGCTCTTGGGCGGGGGAAGCGGCATCTCCTATGGCCGCAACAGCTTCCGTGATCTTCGCATCTAGCAGTGCGACATCTAGCAATGGCTCTGCAATCTCAAGATCCTGAAATAAATTTTCTCAGCAACGGCCATCCAAATTAGAAATGGGACGACATACCTCGTTAGTAATTTGGAGTGGTTCGGCATCCCCCTCAGACCCAGGCATACAGTCAAGCCCGCTCTCGGCAGTCATGCACTCTTCTCTCGTCTTCCACATTTGCCAGAGCGAAAGACTTACATACATATGCCGATTATATAGCTTGTCCGCCTCGTCGATGGCAAACGGTACGAAGCGATCATTGTTAGGGCCGAATCTACTTTTTCGCGAGAAGGGAAACAAAAATGGCCGATTTTGATCCGTCTGATATTGCTGTTTCTTGGGCTTGGGAGAAGGAGGCGGGGATGGTGCAGGTGTTGCAGGCTGAGGACCCGGACGGTATCCTGGATTGGGAACATGTGATTGGAATGGCTGATGATTCAGCGAACTAGGGAGACCGGAGTGCTGCGAGTCTGCATCATCGTGGTGATAGTGATGGCGGACAGGAATAGGAGAATATGCCTGTGCTAATTTGGAAGTGGAAACGGAGGGCGTGGGTTTTATCGGAGGTATATCAACTTGCGTAGGTGGGACTGGAGGCGTGAACGTCGGATATTTCACCGAAGTCTCCTGCCGGAACGTTTCAATGTCAAACGGGGTGCATTTGACGGCCACAGCTGTGATATTCGCGTAAAAAGCGTCAGATAAGCTTTGATGAATGAAAAAGTGACTAGCCTTCGTCGGGAACAGACGGAAGGTTGGCAAATTCCCGGGCCAACTTCTTGACACGTGCAAGCTCCCTGATGCCACCACAACACGCGAGAAGTGTCTTCCAAAGCACAAGGAGTAGCTAATTTTATTTCAGCTTCGAAACGCGGCTTCAGATCTGCTGCTGTGTCAAACCTTCTTGATGGGGTATCCTTTCGCGCTCTTGTCCCTAAGTGCAGAGACCACATTGAACAAGTACACCGGTAACGGCGGGTCCATGCTCACTAACCGATCGGAATTAGCTTGGCAGACGTCTTCCCATTGCAGCACGTACTTAATTCATCTGCGAAGTCATCACGTTCCTTGAATATTTCGATGAGATGGTACATCATGCCGAGATAAACCGAGATTTCGGTTGTGACCTCTTCTAGAAAGTCAGCCTTTTCAGTAGGGGTAATCTGGAAGTGGGCTGTATCCGCATCTGAGAGCGAGCTGTTATCTAAACGTCAGATAACCGACCACGTACTGAATAAATGCATACCAAAGTAGATCATGTTTCTGACTCGCGATTTTCATTGATTCGACGATTGTGCTCAATCCATTTGCACTTCGTACGACCTTGCAGTTCTCGTAGATCCAGTGCAACTGATGCTCTGGAGACGTTGTCTCGGCAAAGGTACCTATGTGAGGAACGTATGAGTACTCGTCGTTTCGTCGCGTATGAGAACGGGACCTTGCAGGACGTAAAAGAGCCGACGAGCGTTCGTAAATCGGATCTCTGCGTCCCGATGCTCGAGACTTTCGAGGAGTACCTCAACGTGTGCCTTCCGCTGTGCAGGAGTAGTATCGGTGCTCGTCCACTCTATGAACATGAAGGTTATGTCTGATTCTGACGTGTGATGGACGAAGCTGCGTACCTCCGGGAAAAGAGCCTTTCCATGCTTTTAGGTTTTCCGCGACTTGCGGCATTTCTACGTACGAGTAAAATTCATCGATTTCATTCATAACCGTGTCTTCATCGTCGTAGCGAAAGTCATAAAACGATTGCTATTTATATGATAATACATCATGAGTACGTGAAACGACGAACAGAGCCTCCGGGAAACATGCCTTTGGCTTCGGCGCGCATGTAACCATCGCCTTGAGCTGTCCTAATGTTATGGAGTCTAGTCCCAGCTGCGATGCGGTATTTGCACCATCTTGTTCCCCAATAGAGTATGAAGGCGGGGCTGCAAAGATCATGCCGCTCATGATGATGGACGTAGCCTAAGCAGTAGTTTATGATATTCGTAACGACGAACATGACTTGTCACGGACTTAGATATCACGTGAGCACGTGACCTACGAATTACGCCAAGTTTACCCCTCAAGTAGTACCGCACGGCATCGCTATCGATCCCCTGAACCTGCCTATAGTGCCTAGACCTGATCTTATCGATGTGGCTTGGGTAACACAACTAAATCTGGCTCGGTGCAGTGCTGCATATGATTCAAGTTAGTAAAGGAACAGCATGCCCCGCAACAACGAAGCAATCCTAAACTGGGTGTTAGACTAGTGAAGTTCCTGACTGAGTTACCAATTGGGGCGTATTCACATGAACCGGAACGCTGAGAAAGCCATTTGGCCTCTAGGTGATAACGATGACAAGTGGGGTTCCAAAATAACGTGGCCAAGTGGATGTGGACATAGAAAGGCGTCCTCGTGTTCAGTCATTTCACGGAACGATTATGGATCAATAGATGATTCGGTTGAGTCATCCACGTTTGTGATTACGGGTGAGCGTGTTATAGCATGTCGGCAGAGACGCAAACGTCAGCAAACTGCGGGCAGACTGTGTAACCTAGGACGATATGAGCATGTCGTGGTGCTGGGTGACGTGGTCATAGCATGAGTCAATGATGGCATCGCAGCCTGGTCGCGGTCAAATTCCTGCGCCAACTGCGCTCCGCAAGCGGAATCAAATCAAAAACGACTGTGAGAAATTATGACATAATCAGAGCATTATAAGAAATTTTGGCTTCTTCAGATTCTTTCAACCACGATTCTGGCTGTGGATCGACTTCGCAGTCGGTCACATTCTCGCCAACTCACTCACCGTTCTCGTTTCGGCTCATCGTCTGCGACAGCGTCGGCTTCGTTGCGATCGATTCGCTCGAGTATCGGTTTCAGATTCGGTTTAAAGTCGGAGACGCTCTCGGTGGTACAAGGTAAATCACTAGCATCCGACGCTTCGATATCCTCTCATCGACAGCTCATCCGTTTTCCAAATTTCAGAGCATACAAAAAGGCACGCCTTCGCTGCGCGTTTGCCACTCATCGCCTTCCATTTTCCTCTTCCTTCTGCTCTTGGATCTGCTTACGACCCATCTTACGATTTCCACCTCCAATTCCATCCTTCGGGAGGCTCTTCCACCACTAGATATCAGAGTCGTTCGCTGCTGCGCGTTATAGTGCATCGGGCGCTCTCTTCTCAATCCTTCTTCATCTGCAGATGCCAGTCCCTGTCCCTTGCCGACCACCGGCGCATCAAGTTCATAAGCACTCCAAAACTGAAGACGCTTCGAAGTCTCACTCGTCCGTCTTCCACAATCTGAAGCACACACTGCCTGTCTCGCCGACTGGCCCACCGCCGTCGTTTGGCAGTCGTGATCAGTGGATCAATTCCCTGCCTTCTTGGAGGAGGACCAAAACTCGTCGCATTTGGGAAGACGACGTGCGCTTCACTTCTGAAGACCAGAGAGAACAGGGTTTTCACCAAGGGTTGACTAGTACGGTCGACGTGCAAGTCAGTAAAGGAAATCATGCGGAGGCATGTCTTCCGCCCCTGAACGCCTTCAGTCAAAAGTGTGCCTTGAATCCATCGCCAAGTGGCGTTGACCAACCAATGCATGACGAGCACAAGACCTCAACTTATGCATCCGTCTGGAGTACTGAGGGTTACCACAGCCCGGATGACTCATCTACGCAGGACTACGTATGGCCTCGGGTCGACAACGCATTCGCACCTGTCCTGGAGGACGATTCAGAAGATATGATCAATGGTGACTTGGGTTCTAGTCCCATCGGACCCATGACTCCTTTTGCAGAGTATGTGGACCGTGTGATTGCCACGTCCGACCAAATCCCGCTCAGACAGGAGAGTTTGTATCAATATGGACTCCAATCTTACGATATGGTCGACTATCAGTACGCGGATCCCGTCAAGCAAGAGTCTGTCGCTTCTGTTGATTCTGCGCCATCTGCGTCGACCAAGTATAAGATGTTCGCGGAGCCCATGGCGGACTGGATCGTTTCATATGTCTGGAAAGTTTGCAAAAATTCAATTGTTCTTCCGCCTGCAGTTTCTCGCTACACGTACGTTAATTTTTTTCTCTCTTAAAATTGCGTAATGTTGACGAAATACGTGCAGTCCTTCGATGAGCAGCCAGCAGCCAGCCCCTACAGCTCCAATGCACTTATCTGCCTCAGTTCACTCTCTTCTAATGTCGACACTTCTACAACCATCGGCTGTGTTACTCGCGCTGTGGTACATCGCTCGCTTACCAATATACTTTAGTGGGGTCCCTTTAGGGTTGGAGCATGTGAAAGAACGAAGATTTAGAGCCGAACTGCTTGATACAACTGGCGGCGTTGACGGGAAAACGTTGGAAGCCAATGCCACGTTCAGACTCATCGTCCTAGGATTTATGCTGGCGAACAAGTGGCTTGACGACCACACCTTTTCCAATAAGACATGGTAAGTATCGCAGTCGCGGTCCGTGTCCAGCCAAAATGACCAATTCCTTTTCTTTTAGGCACACCATCTGCAAACTTCCTGTCCACTCGCTTAACAAGCTCGAATCGCTTGCCCTAGACATCCTTTCGCATGACCTTACAATCTCGCCTGCTGCTTGGCGCCAGTGGCTGGGGCACATGTTCTCATATCATATCTCGCTTTCGCCCCCTTCCTACGCTCAACCGATATCTCGCCCTTCTTCGAATCCTCAATTGATCGTTCGAAAAATCATTGAGGAGATCATGGAAGCACCTCTCGCGCATCCCAGTTCAGAGCCCGTCTTCCTTAGCTTCGAGCACAGGAGCAAGGAAAAACTCAATGGGGCAGAAACGTGCACCGAAGCTTCCCACGAAGCTTATGACATTGATCTCGATGAGGATGGGCCGCTTCGGGAAGAGTATTTGCCAAGGCGCTGCGCGAGCAATGGGAGTGCTATGAGCCGACGCAGCTCAAAACTGGCTTCGAAGGTTGAGGTTGAGCGGAGGGCGCTTCGTGAGTCCACGACCAGCCAGAATAGGAACACGCTCCCTCCTCCGTCCAAATGGAGCCCAGCGGCTGATGAGCCCATCCGCCGGACTGGTGATCGTCCTGCGCTGTATATGCCTGTTCAGCCACCAGCAGTGTGTTGGACCTCCGCCGTCGCTTATGTACCTGTGAAGCTGCCTCCGGATTATTCTAGCGCCTCGTATTCCAAACCAGCTCCGTCGAACGATTACTATTACCCACAATCTGTCATCGTTCAACCCCCTTCGCAGCCGCGTTGTGATGCCGATGCATTTTCCCCACCTAATTCTGGTTACTCGTACCCAATCGGCTTTGACTATCAGTGTGGTCAAGTTCGTGTTTCATTCGATGGAACGGGTTATCCCTCTCAACCGATGGCAAATTGGCCGTCTGCTGAGCCATATGGATTCACCGCGCCTCGAGTCCTCTTTGGCCCCCACCCACCTATCAATTACCAGTCGTCCTGGGTCCGTGCTTGAAGATGTGTTTCTGGACCAGATGCTCGCGCGCATCTTAGATCTCAATTTCTCATGTTTTCCGGCTCTCAACACTACTGCAATCGACTCCGACGGCACAGCCTACGTGCCGTGCCATAATTTCGCTCCCTCTGTCCATCATTTCGCGGTTGTCAATACTGGATCTCTTTCTCTTTGTCGCCGGCATTGTTCTATACAAACTTGATCCCCACGCTTTCAAGACATATCCATCCTGTCTCGGGGACAAATAGCCTGTTCAATCTTCTTGATCTTCATCATTTCGATCGCGTATATTCTTATTTATATGCGCACTCGCTCTTCTCGCTGGCTGGTGTGAAGACCGACGATATCCTTGGACTATCTCTGTGCCATACCGCGTTCATCGATTGAACATTCGCGGCTTTCAGTTCACTGTTTTATCGTCGATGTATCCACTTATCATTCCGGTATCCTCATGCTCCTTAACTAATTACCTTTCACGACTTTTTTTTCCTGCCTTCGGCTTTGGTGTTTCTTCTGCTACGTTTTTCTCATTCGGTACGCATAACGAAATCACTCCAAAAAACATGCAGAAAATTATTAACGCTACAAAAACATTTGCTATTCTCTCATTCCCCATCCTTCCGCTTTTGCCGCTGCTGTGGTAGCTCCCTTTCCTCCTGTCTTACATCCGTTACCCCCTTCGGTGGTTAGTTTAGCTTTTAGCTTTTCTTTTTCACCTTCATCCCGTTCCCGTAGGTAAGTAGTCATGCACCTCCTTTCCCCAGCATTCAATAGTCAAGTACGAAGTCCACACGCCGTACATACTGGTTCTCATACGTACGCCCTGGTACTTCGCTTTGAATGTTATCATCTCTATGTTCCCATGATTGTGCAAACACGTTCGACGTTCACAAGATGCATTCATTCAGACAATTGATACAATACTTGATCGTCTAGCTGGTGGTACATGTGGTACATGGAACTTCTTCACTTGCTTTCAGATCTTAATAAGGATGAAAGGCACCTGCAAAACATCATCAGTAACGACATCCAACATAGTGGTTTTTGTAGCATACCTCGACATCTTCCATCTCGTCGTCCATGAGCATGACTTCAACTAGGAGGTGCTTGGTGTGCGGGGGGATAGGCTTCTTGCTGACGTGCTCTACCAGCTTGCTGAATTTCATAGGCATCCTCTCGGCACTCTAAATGATTCACGTGAGCAACCACCATGGGTCAATGCACACCATTACAAACCTTCTTCTTGTCCGTAAACGAACTCCAGAGCATGCTCACGCCCTGACTGACCATGCTGACATCTAAGTTGTGGTTAGTCTTGAACCAAGCAATGAACTCCTTGAGCGTCGGGTCATTCTTGAACTCCAATCGGTCCCAAAGAGTCCACTCAGTGTTTTCAAATTTGTTCTTTTGGGCAGCGATAGGTTCCGAGAATCCGAAGAAAGGCAGAGCGAGGTTGATAAAACCGTTCTTGAAGTCATCTAACTTGTTCTTCCCATCTATGATCTATAAAGTACACGCATCAGCGCAACTTCCGGTAAGGATAGCAAACATCTTGCCTTGTAGAGTTCCAAACACACCAGACCGACAACGAGCGCAGTGGTGGTGGCGATGGCGGGAATGATTTTACCTGCTATCTGCTTTGTGGAATGACGATCGGCGACGGTAATATTGTAGTTCATCGCACGGAGGTTTGATGCAGCAGTGATGAGGTCGATGTGATGATTAGTGTCATCGTCCTTCTCAAACTCGACAGGAGTGAGACGGTAGCCAGCAAGTGACGAAGGAGGCGGCAGCTTCTTGACCAAGTCGGAGACGTTGTCAGGATCTGAAAGGAATCATGTAATGCAGGCGACAGTCTTAAACTGAGCTAACGTACCAGAAGACGACTGGTTGACGGGGTCGTTTTCGGTAATCTGAATCTTCACTCCGCTCCTTGGAGAGAACTCGGGAACGATCACGGAGTCTGCAACCCTCTTGAAGACTGCAGGATCGGTCTCTCCTCGGAGGCCATAGTTATAGGCATGAAGATTGGCTGCGGCAATGATGAAAGAAATATGTGTGGGCTGAGGGAAATAATCAGTACGTCGAGGTCTAGCAACATGCTGGGTGACGTACATCTGAAGAGTTGAACACAAGTGGGTCTGGTGCCCTCTTTGGCCCACTCCAGAACGGCTGGCCAGTGCTGGTAACATGATCTTTCGGAAGACTGTGAAGAAGCTGCCGGATGGAGTTGTTAAACTTCTCCTCGAATTGCAGACGAGCCCAGATAATACACTCCTCGAAAGTCAAAGGCTTGTTGGTTACCAAGTACGAAACGATCTGGGAGATGTGGTCGTGTGATTGGCCCGAGTATTTGAGGGAGTTCTCAAGGTAGTTGGGCTCCGAAAGATATTGATTGACAGATTCCACTGGCTTAACAAACATCGCGTCAAACTCTTGCCGAGCCCACTGTATTGTTATTAGGCCGAGGCTGGTCAAAAAAAAACTCAAGAGCGCACCTCAATCGTGTGTGTAATGGCATTCGGGAAGTTCTTAACTGTGCATGACAATGTCTGCTTCTCTGGGGGATCTTGCGAAGACGAGTACGACTCAGTGAGATGAGGAATCACAACTTGGGTATTGCCTTTCGTGCCCATAGTGCCGGATTCTAGGAGTGGCTTTTCATACAAAATGCAACGCTGATCCATGTATACACCTATGACAAGTGGCGTCAGACGAAATTCACAGAAAACAAGAAGCAGCCTCACGTGCAGCAACGTTATCTAACGCATTTGTGACACCGTCGAGCCCGGCAAAGAAGTCGTCATCGAAGACATCTTGGGAGAAATTTAGATGCGGACGATACAAAAGATGGGAGTGACCGACTTTCTGTTGCCTGACCAACCGGATCTTGTCTACAGAGAATATGGCCCTTGAGAGCTGGGTTCATTTCTGCAACCGCTGCCGCTGCAACTTCAGACTTAAATTTCCCTAGATCTTTAGCGCGGAAGAGGAATTGCCGGTTCAGGTTACTCTTTTCGATGGTGTCTAAATCGGTGACATGGATCCTAGCGTCGGGCCCGGTAGCGAGACCCATCATGCTCCAGTTCTTCAACATCTCGCACCCAATTGCTCCTGCACCAACGAGGAACTGACGGTGATTGGCAAGCTTATTCTGGAATGATTTGCCAAACACCGCAATTTGTCCGTCGTACCGGCTGCCAATTGGTTGACAATCTTGCTCATCCGGCAGTGTGGATGGCAATGACTCCAAAGAATCGAAATACAGGTACTGGAGCATAGGATGGAACTTTGCAGAGCATGCTTTCAGCACTTCCTGTGCCACGAAGCCACCGATTACAGCTGCGATGGGCGGTAAATCGCCAGTCGCTTGGTATGCCAGTTCTGTGAGAATCTTCTCATCAGCATCAGCATCTATTTTCTTCGCCAAAGCCACAAGTGAAGCAGCATCTTTTGCGTTTCGGGGTCGAGGTAGACACTGGTGTTGCGCCTTGAACTGTGACAAAGCTTGGAACCCTGCATGGAGAGTAGCAGGCCTGTCGAACTTGGCGAAATCTGTCACAAAGAACTCTGGAACTGCGAGCGATTCTCGCAGGGATTTCTAAAGAGAAAAGTGAATTACTATCCGATGAAACTGGTGTGTAACTTACAAACTGGAGGATTTTGGGCATTTTCACTTGGGTAAAGATCCCACCTCGGACATACCCTCCAAGGTCGGAAGTATCACCGATAGTGAAAGTATATGGACCCTTGACTGTTATTTTGCGGGGATGACAACCATTCAGCTCAGTCATGCCCTGCACTTCAGTAAATGTGACAAAATCGCCATCTTCGAGGCCGTGTCTTGATTCATCTAGGCAAGTTACCAACCCTTCCTTGTCCTGTGTAATTATAGTATAAATAGGATATCTAGCTATAGTCGATAAGACTTACTTTTTCCACTGACACGATCATTCCAGTAAGAGGTTGCTCGCCTGTAGGATCCACACAAGTGAATTTGGGACCAAAGTCATTGAAGACGGAGCTGATCACAATCAATAACGTATAAAAGGGAACACGACTGTCACATACCCAAAAAGACCATGGGTCTCAGCTGAGATAAAGTGAACACCATTCTGATGTGTCCAGTCGTTGATCTCAAGTCGTTTCTCGTAGGAGACGCCACACAAGACGACAGCCTGGAGAAAATTAACATCATGATTTGGCTAACCGTGGACAAACTTACTTGGAAGGGCCTTATTAGATCAACTGAAATTGCCTGTCCAGCATTTCCTCCGAGATTCCGGACGGGGACGTAAGCATTCAGTTCGGCTAAGCGAGGTAGGGTGGCCGCTGCGCGCGGCTTTCCGATATCTTCTTCACGTAGGAAGTACTGTGGACAATGGCTCAGTGACACATCTCGAGGCAGTGTGATGCCTAAGCACGCACTTGAGAGCTGAGATCCTGCATGGTGACCGGTTCTGGGTCATACAGCGTGACGGACTTGACTCCCGCCAGACAAACATTCTTGGCTGTTGAAGACATAAGAATAAAATGAGCTTGTTGGGACCGCGCTTGTTGGCAAAAAGGATACCAATCTCAGCTCCAAGTCCTTGCAACCCGACGATCAGTATATTAGAGGCGGCCATCTTCTTCATCGCTGCGCACATCACTCAGCAAACATGAGACAATTATTAACGATACGACGGACCCTCATGCCCTAAAACATAGCTGCGAAATCACGTAGGATTGTAGGTGAGCGATGCGAGTTACACAGGATGGCAGCAACACTTACAGTTGACGAGAGTACAGGCCTTCGTCAATCGCGGCCTCGTCAACATCCATCGTTGCTGCTAAATTGCTTGCGTCTGCCATAATTAATATGTGCGTATGAAAGTAGTAAGTGGTGGTGGTGAAAGATAAGATCGCGGTGCTGCTGAATAGTAATACAGTCACTTATGTTCGCCGATGACTAAGCCGCCACAATAGCCCAATTATGGGACTCTGTTGGCGACGAGCGCGTTAGTTGCTGCATGCCAGTACTTGGGGGGAGTGAGCGGAGCAGGTTGGATACATGCTAACTTTAAGGACATTCCAGGAGATGTACTTGGGCTAGTACGGGAGAACCATGTCTTAAGACTAAGCTGCCAGTGTACCTTGGCACCTGCCCAGAGCTCTTCTTGTATTGTGACCCCTGTCCCGCTACACTCGCCATGTTATGAGCCTAATTTATGATGGAATACCTCGGTCGAGCTGCTCCAGCGTTGCATATACAATATCAATATGTTGAAGGTTATATCTATAAGCTCAGAAATGCTCGAGACACCTCAGCAAAAAAACGGTATCATTGGCACAAATCAAACATAAGTGACGCATTGACTATTCACACCTATAAATAATAGTAAAACCTAACTTATAGCAAGCTCTCAAGTCTGCGAGGAGCCCTTCAGCTTCCCAAAGCCATTCTGCGCAAAATGGTCAACATTGATTGGGATACGAGAAGAGGAAATCACCTCTTTAAACCAGCGGAGTCGCCATTGAACTTGTCGACGTCAGTGCTATCCGATGTGCCGTACTGCCAAAAGGTGGTGTACCTGCATACTCGTCAGACGATCTCAAGAAAAGAGCATAATTATTTGGGAAAACACTTACGACCATCCGGCGGGAAGAGTACCAATGGAAGAGCCAGGGTGAGCGATCCAAAGGGGGTTGGTCGACGCAAAGCTTGCAGAATTACCAGTGCAAGATTTCCACCAGTCCGTAGTAGTGTAAATTACTTAAACGAGTTCTCAATCATGGCACCAGTCAGCTTTAAAAAAATATGGCATAGCATACCTGGATACCTGCAAGAAGATTCATCGATAAACATCTCGATGGAATATTTCAAACGTACCTGGTGGTCGAAGAGTGGTACTGGTTGGAGAAGCTCTTAATCCAAGACACCATTGATGACGCACTCAAGCCATAGCACTCGGAGCCACTCGGATTGTCTATCCAACATCATTATCATGAACCAGGACTACTAACATATTATCTGGACTCACACTCAATGTCAAGCGCCCCAGGGAGGGTGATGCCGTCAGGAGACCACCCGCCACCATGCTTCAAGAAATACGAGGCTTGCGTAGCACCAGTTGACGAGTCCGGGTGAGCAAAGTGATAACCACCGCGGATAAGACCAGTATTGGTGGCACCAGTGTATTGAGAGCTGAAATCAGGATTCGTGTACGCTTGAAACACGTCATAGAATTTCACATAAGTCAGGCTAGCGACTCACTGGTTCCCTCGGTCGCTTTGATGTAGGCAAAGGTGACGCCCTTAGACTTCCAAGAACTCCAGTCAACGGTGCCCTGATGACTGGAAACGTCGATGCCCAGAGGATCTGAGCGTTTGGTAATAACAGGTTCAGCAAGAGCTGCGGTAATACTGAGCAAGAGTGAGAGTAACTTCATGGTGCGATGATTGGCTAGGGATTGGGTCACCTACTGACCTGACATTTATATTGTTTAGATTGTCAGTAGGTACGTACGTCACTAGGAGTCACCCTCCTGGACATTGTCTGATTAATTCTGAATGGTTTGATGCCAAGAGAGTGAATCCACATGAGATTTATTAAATTCTGCTATGAAGGAGGGCCTTGGTAGGCCGCAATTACAACAACATTCATCAACGCTTGTCAGTGTACGTGTCACCAAGAATAACTTCTGCCGGACATTGTCCCAATTTTGAATCCTTGGATACCAAGAGAGAGGGTCCATATGAGGTCTACCAAGTTCCACTGTGAAGTTAGGCCCGCCACAATTACAGGTATTGCATTCGTCAACGCTTGTCAAAGGCGAGCGTAGATCCTTTGGACGTGCTGTCACAAAAAATACTCTTTCAGTCAGATGAAGAACTGGAAAAATGCCAAGGAAATGATCAATTGATCAGTTTTGATACTCCACGAATGATGATCCACATGAATAACGACGACGAGTCCATCTGCGGTGACCCAACAACGTCCTGTGGTATTAGAAGCCTTCCTTCGTCGCGCGGTAACATTGGTCAGGACTGATGCTTGATCTTGGCATGAGCAATTGCAGCTTGTCGCAGCCTGGGCCCTCGGGGGTGGCGCTGCGTCTCTGAAGTGAAGCGCCAGACCCGAGGGTTGTAACCTTCTCGACGGCGCTCGCACACTGTATCGGGTTGGGGAAAACTTGTACGCCGATTGATGACATTACATAATCAAGGGGTGTTGTGAATGAAGCCGACAACTCCAAATTTGAAATCACACATTGCTTTTACGGCGGCCGTGATGTTGTTCGCCCGAGGTACATTTCGTTTGAAATTTGAAGCTTGAAGTTCGAGCCCATCGATTTGTATCTAGAGGACAGCCAAACATCGACAAGCCCCAGCAACGATCACAGCAGCAAGTGAGCAGATGACAGATGCTTCTCAGTACTTCTGTTACTGTAGCGATCAACTCAATTCGACGGTCAACCGGTCACATGCACACGTCACAGTCGGTGGTGTCGGTGTCGAATTGAGTTGATTGCTACAGTAGTCGATATTTTCAAATTGTCAATACACGACATTCTTTGACTCTCGCAGTGCCATATCTGCTTGCAATTCGGTGAACATCGAGTTCCATCATGATCACGCGACCGAGCATGCTGTCTTCAAGCTCAATAAACGGTCTACAGTACGGACAATTCGGTTTTGGGCGGTGTGAACTGTACGTAGAGCATGAACGACATAATCTGTCACGACTATCTCCATTCGTCTAAGGTCTGCCTAGGGGAGACTAGTCAAAACTATCTCTTTCTTGACTTCATTTTCTTGTGTAGAGTGGTCTTTGCCTTTTCGAACCTTGTCTTTTTCTTCAGTCGTGGCCCGTCTTCGTCTGCGCCCTCAAGATCACCCTTCCATGTCGTACGAGATCTCGATAATGCGTCAGCTTTCTTGCCCCTTTGCCTCAGCTCTTCATATCCATCGCCGAGCACACCCGTCTTCGTGCACCCGACTGAGTGCAGCACATCCGCAAACTCATCCTCCAAGCCCCGACCTCGCTTCCTACCCTTTCCAGCACCCGTACCCCCGAGAGCCAAATCCTCTTCATCTTTTCGCCGCCTACGCGCATCTTTCTTCTTCATGACCAACCGAGTGAAGTTCTCCTCCTCGAAGTCTTTTATACGTTGGATCTCGCGAGCGCGGTCAGACGCGAGGGAGGGCATTGAGCCAAGGCCGGATGTACTCTCAATGTGCGGGCGCGAGGGGTCTTGGTGAAGGAGGGTAGAAAGTGCCTTAGGAACGGGCTGTCGTTTAGAACGCTTGTCAGCGGCAGCTTCTGTATAGGGCATGGGCGCAAGCTTGGGAGGGCGGTAGATTCCATCGGGGTCTTCGACATCTGAACGAGCGTCTTGGTCCTCGTCGGAGTGTTGCTCGTTGTCAACAAGATTTTTGGGATTTGGACGGAAGGCGAGGGGATCTGAGAGTGGATATCGGCTAGGAGTTACTATTACAGCACAAAACAACATACCTTCGGCTACACCTTTGCTAGAAGGCACTTCTTCCGCAACTCTGACGAGTTTTTCGATCTGGTATCGCATCCTGCTTTCCAGGACTTTTATTTTTTCGAGCACAATACGACCCTCTATCATAGAGTCGACAAGATCACCAGCACCAGAGCCTCGCGCCTCTCGATCGACAGTACTGAAAGGAGAACTGGCTGGTGTTCTCTCTGTCAAGGAGTTTCCAGTTGCTCGGCGTGCAGAGAGCAGGACAAGTGACTGCAAGTACGACAGAAGTAGGTGATGTTTGAGGGAAAGCAAAGAGATTCCGTCCTTCATATCCATGTCATCTGCAGTTTTAATCAAGTTTTAATCTGGAACAGTGTCAATAAGAGCTCGACTGTCATGGGCGCAAACTTTTACTTTGCTTTAAGGGATTGCATCAACTCTCGCACTGATGCCATACTACTGGTCATCTCATCAAGTATGTCACAAACGACTTGCGAGTCCGCCATTTCGAGCAGGGTGGTGCAGCTCGCTATTGCTTGGACACGATCGTTGGGCCAGGATGTAGAATGTCTGAGCCGATGCTCGACTCGGATGAGGTCCAAAGTGCTTATTACTAATACTTGATTGTGAGTCAACTAGTAGTCACATCTAATCGATGCTCAAAACTTTAGGCACGAAGGCAAAAGCCGTGGCGTTCCTCATCAGATTCACCCGTTCCACCACCATCCTTCCTAACGTGAGGCCTCTTGCAACCATGGTCTCGTCGCTGCAATCTTTACCTTCTATTCTAGGCACGGACCCCTCGTCCTGCATTCTAGATGCGTTCCGGACGGCGATTGCAAAACGTGTCTCAGATGCGCTGCCACCCCTTACACTCGAACAGGCTTATACTGGTGTTGACTATGGAAAGAAGGGAGTTGATTTTACGGTTGCTCTTCCTCGGTTCAGGCTGCCGGGCAAGCCTGACGAGCTAGCAAAGAAAGTTTTAACGGATGTGAGTTGGTTGATCCTTTCATTGCTTCGCGTCAGCTTGTTCCGTATGCGGGTAATGCAGTTGAGATGATAATTGCATGTCTCGCCTCTTCGATGTCTCTCGTTTTTCTCCCTTTGCTCTGCAAGCGCAGCTTCTGATGTTGCCTGCTGCCAGTTCCAAGCTGATGACTTCATCTCGTCAATCACCCACGACAAGCAATTCCTTCATTTCCAACTCAACACGGCCTCCCTCATCCGCGAAGTGCTTAATCAGATACATACCCTCACCTATGACAGCCCTACAGGCAAGCCGTCATACGGTACAAACACCTCTGGCGCGGGGAAGAAACTCGTCATCGAGTACTCGTCTCCTAACATAGCCAAATCTTTCCATGTTGGACATCTTCGAAGTACGATCATAGGCGCGTTTTTAGATAACTTGTATAAAGCATGCGGATGGGAGGTTGTTTCTCTAAATTACCTGGGCGACTGGGGCACACAGGTGAGCGCATCTTTACAATTGTTTCCTTCCGAGAGTTGATCTGATTTCGTTAGTTTGGCATGATTACTACTGGATTCGAAAAATACGGTTCGCAAGAGGAACTCGAAAAAGATGCGATCAAGCATCTCTATGACGTCTACGTCAAAGTCTCCAAAGATGCCGATTCAGATCCCAATGTTAAAGTCGAAGCCGCCGAATGGTTCAAGCGGATGGAGGATGGTGACGAGTCGGCACTTGCGAACTGGCGAGTGTGGCGGGAGATGAGCGTCAAAAAATACATAGAGGAATACGAGCGATTAAACGTGTCGTTCGATGTCTACACTGGAGAGAGCGAGGTGGGTAAGGAGTGGCAAGATCGGGCTCTCGCGCGCCTCGAAGAGATGGGTCTCATCAGCGATGCCAACGGTGCCAAACTCGTCGATCTCGAAAAGTGGAAACTCGGAAAGGCTGTGCTCCGCAAAGCTAGTACGTATAAAATCCAACCACCTCATATGCATTTCTAATCTTCACGCATAGATGGCACTTCGATATACCTTACTCGTGACATTGGCGGTGCGATAGAACGATGGGAGAAATACCACTTCGACAAGATGATCTATGTCGTTGCATCGCAGCAGGACCTGCACCTCTCGCAATTTTTCAAGATGCTGTCATTAATGGAGTTCCCATGGGCAGACCGCCTCGAACATGTCAACTATGGCTTGGTGCTCGGGATGAGTACCCGGAAGGGAACCGCGGTCTTCTTGGATCAGATCATCCGCGAAGCCTCGTCAGTCATGCACGAGCAAATGAAGCGGAACGAGGTGAAGTACAATAACATCGAAGACCCTGAGATGGTCGCTCGAGAAGTGGGCATCACAGGAATTAAGATCCAGGACATGGCTGCCAAGCGGTGAGTGTCATTTTATTTATTCGAATACTGCAGCTTATCTAGCACTAGGATCAATAACTACACCTTCAACTGGGACCGCATGCTTTCCTTCGAGGGCGATACCGGACCATACCTGCAATACGCACATGTCCGACTCACCTCCATGGAGCGGAAAAATCCAGAACTTATTCCCCTGCCGCCTCCATCCCAAATCGACACTTCCTCTCTCGCTTCCTCCCAACACGCACGCGACATCGCTATCCTTCTAGGATCCTACCCCGATGTCGTGAAGACCGCATTGAAGACCCACGAGCCCAGTGGCGTGGTAACTTTTGCTTTCCGGCTGGCGCACGCAATTTCGAGCGCTTGGGAGACGCTCATCGTCAAAGGGGAAGAAGATACGGAGAAAGCTCGCGCAAGACTGTGGCTCTACCTTTGCGCGAGGGATGTGTTGGGTGCTGCGATGCGGCTGCTGAGCATCAGGCCTCTGGAGAGGATGTAGTGGGTGTTTTTTTACGTGTCTGCATTTAAATCAATCAATACAGAATACGCGATCGTAATTGTAGAAGGTCGGGCGCACCGCGCGAGGCTGATGTTTAAGGTAAAATAGATCAAAGGTATCTACAATTGGATTTGTGAACTGAACTCCGCAATATGTATCGGTTTCAGACAGCACTGTGGCCCACCGTGACCTAGCAACCCGACAACGTTGAACGTCTCACTCCGCGTACTTCAATATGTCCAAGTCCCTGATCTTCCCGGTTAGAAATTCCCTTGCGCCGAGTATACCTTGCAATACGTGTCCTATGAGAAGTTTCCGTACTGAACAGCGAGGACTGTGTTTCTTCATGCATATCCCTAAAATTGCAGCAATGGTTTCATGATGTCGCAAGAATCTTTGGCATCTCTGGCAGGTGAGCCTCGACATCGAATGAGCTCGATTCCATCTGTTCGGTCACTGGCTGCGCTGAGAGCAACTAACTAACTAGTCATCTATATATGAGCATTGTACCAACACACTAAGAGTCATCACTTGTGCGGTGTCAACTTGCGAGGATCGGATGTATAACTGTACGGCGACAGAGCATGAGCTAGGCGCCCATATGAACGAGAAGTCGGGCAGGAGATGATGGTCATATAATGAACAAATAAAGGGAAGTTACACTCAACAAAACCACAATGAGGTCAAAAAAAAAACAGCATAGTTGTCCATCAGCGATTGTTGCCAGCGGTGCAGAGGCAATAACTTATTCAATAAGTCCGCAGCCGCTATGTTGCACTGCAGAAGTCATGTGATCTACATAATAAGTCGTACAAGGCCTTGCTTAGTTACACGATCTGTAATTCCCAAAGTGACTCAGCGTCCGACGCAAAAATGGCTTTACATTGGAGAAGACTAACTCAATGTGGTATAACAAGAAGCGACAACTGTATCAGAACGAACTACGTCAACAGCAAATATCCAAAACAAAATGATCGATCATTGGTAGCAAAGGGTGGAAAGTCAAGGTGCGCGAGAGACGTATAATACACGCGAAAAGGTAAGAGGGCCCTATATCCACCACCCAGGATGGGATTTGCATTGGCCGAAGCCGGCGCGCTGGCGCGGAGTTTGGCGGAGGCTGCAAAGGGTGCTGCCGACTTGTGGTGCCAATGATCTCGTTAAGATTCACCCCGATAAACCATACACGACAGAGAAGACAAATCATACTGGGGGCGATGGGAGAGCGAGGGAGAGCACGGAGAGGATACGAATAAGATGGAGTGAATGACGTTTTATCCAAGAGTGGTCTGACAAGGGCCATACCGACCTACAGAGTGGGCCAAACGCGCACCAATGGTGCTCAAAGGACCGCCAACTGCAGCACCCCAGGTCCCTTGGGTGATGAATTCCAGTAAATCCAACGCCGTCGTAGGCTGCCTCAATTCAGGTACAACATTGTGACTGCCCGGGGCAATACCCATCGTCCGAAGATTCTTGTTGACGATGGGGTCTGCCTCAGGACACCAATCACTGGGGTCCGGGAGACAGGTCAAGGGCTTAACCGGAGTAGGTGCATGGATCACTGGAGGGTCCTGGCGGAGCGCTGCTGCAGTTTTCTTCTTCCGGCCGCGGTATCGGATAAAAGCCACGTTAAAACCTGTGGCTTCAATAGCGAGCACGTCATCAAGAACGCGAGATATGATGGCGCTATTGTCGCCAGAGAGACGGCTGGACGAGGTACGAAGCTCAAGCACCCAACTATGCAATGAAGACCTGGGGATGTACATGATATAGCCGAGGGATGTCAGCGCTGTCGTTTCAACATTAACGAGGGTGGAGGAAGGAATTGCAGTTGTCTTGGCCCTAGATAGACGTTCAGCAGTCACATCAGTACATAAATAGAATGGCCCCACGCACCATGTTTTACTAGGGAGGCAAGAGTCGTTGACCAATTTGTCGGCCAGCCTTGCAACGATGATGAACGCGGAGAAGAGAAGCTCATCGAAAGTGGCCGCGCCACAACAGTGGAGATGGTTAAAGATCGAGACTCCTAGAAAATCATTCCCTTGCCCTATTTCTACCATGGTAATCCTAGAGATGTACCACAGCGCATGAATGGCAACCATTTGAGGGTTGCTGACGGATTCCAGAATGAACCGAATACGAGTGCCGATAATGGAGGTCACGTAATTTCGCCCATCAAGTTCCCTGCTCATTGAATGAATAATCAAGTTGAATGCCTCGCCAGATAATGACTCACGGGTCAGGGAATATCTCATCTGCGCCGGCTTTGATAGCTAAGGAGTACATGAAATGCGCGGAAAGGCTAGAGAATGCAGCTGCAATGCCATCAAGGTCCGGGTTTTTGGGCGCTACGACCCGAGAGATAGCGCTGCTACCCGAACGTGCAGAAGTATCTGAGGAAGCTGTGACCACCCTGGCGACACAGTCCGAATTGCGCTGAGAGAGAAGACTCTCTGTACCGTTCCTCCCTTTGGTGACGCTAGAAGAAGCAGCCGGGGAAACGAAGCCAAGACGAGCGACCGAAGGCAGAGGAACAACATGACCGAGACCGGGAGGGACCATGGGCGCTGAGTTCCTCAGCGTGACATCCTTGGAAAGGGCACGTAAGCGAGGCGGCAAGCGCGACGGCTGAGACGTGTTGGGCATGTCAGGCAGACGGTAATTGAGCGAGGAGGGCCCGCTCCCACAGGAGGCGCTCGCAAAGTTGCCTCGGGCAACTTTCGAGGAACTGGCAGCAGCAAAAGGGAACAATCCAAGCTTTTGTAACTCCGTCTGAGGTGAGCACGCTTTTGCGTCGTGTGGGGGTGCCGCAGTCTCTTGCACGAGGTGGGGGTGATCAACGAAGTGAAAACGTGTTGCCCGTGAATGGGCGAAGGGGTCTTTCATTCCTGTAGTACTGAGCGCTTGCGGGGCCGCGATCGTGCCCCTGCTGGTCTTCATATTTCCGGTGTCAAAGATCGGTGGCGGAAGGGTGTCTGCGTCAGGGGCACAGGTCCATACGGGCTTTCTGAAGTACGGGTCATAGAGAGGAAGGCAACCCGAAGAGTGTCTTGGAGCAAGAGTATCTCTGGTAGCAGTCATTATGGTCAATACAAGTGTGAACAGGGATGATGAATGCTGGCCAAGGGAGTTCAGATGAACGGTACAAACCCAAGTAAAAGCGGAGCGCCTTTTGTACCGCGCCCCCCCTCCCCGACAGGGCAACCACAGGTGCAGCTTGAATGTTCACAAGACGTTCAAGCGGTTTTGACTTCCGATTACGATTGTGGCGCTCTCGACGGCATTATGGACAAAGTCAAAGCGAGCGGTGTTCACCGCCGCGGCGACGATGTAGTGGTGAAGCTAGGACAATGAAATTGTTGGTTGAGGATTCCATCCACTCAAAGCGCAGGGACAACTACAACCCTGTCGGGACAAAGACAGTTGAAGTGGCGAAAACACCAATCGAGGTTGTTGGACATAATTTCGTGTCAACACAACTTGATCAATTCCAAAAATGGACTGTTGTCAAGAAACACGTTTACAACTTACGCGAGAAAAGCTGTTTGTTGTTATAGGTGTGCCCAAGTTTCACAAAGGGTTGTTTGTTTTGAAAATCTTCTTGGAAACTTGTCCACCGAGGACTAGTTGAGTGGCGAATTAAGAGTCGGCAGGGAAACATAGACAAATAACATTACATTGAGGAAACTGCAGGAACGATACATATGCCACTACATGCTCGAGATCGTCTACTTCCGATAGAACTGCAGCAGTGAATGAGCATCGTATGCAGAAACTAATAATGGAAGAACCCACATTACGACGGAAATTGAACCAAAGTGAGAGGCATCCTCTATCAAAACTACTTCGGAAGCCCCTGTGCCAGCACGTTGAATATTGGCGTAACAGAGACAGGACGCGAGGCTGCTCACCGTTTATGTGAAAACTCCCACTCCCGATTAACGATCCTGAAACCAATGTCTTCATATGGAGGGCCAGCGCTGAAATGTAACAGCACGGTGTCCTCATTCCCGGGTTCCCTGACGATTTTGTACGTAGGGGCTTTTGATTTGTCGATCAGATCCGGGTAAAAGATGTTAAACTGAAGTATGGCGTGAGTTAGAAGTCAATTTGAGGGTAATCAGTACATACTTTATAGCCCTGAACAACCTTCGGAGGCGGGTTGTCGACGCTGATTAATGACGTCAAGATAAGGACAAGGGAAAGGAGATAGAGAACGCACTCATAGTGTGTCTGATTGTACTTATTCCACTCGTAGCCAGTATGCACACGGTTGAAGTATCTAGGTTTCCGAGGTCGGTACTTGTCCTCCCAGTTGTATGACGTAGGATTCGCTATGTTCTCCTCAAGGTTGAAGAGTTCCTCCTCTTCGTCGAGCTCCCTCTCTGCCTCAGCCCTGTACAGAGCTTCGGAGGCGAGGTCAGCACCGCTCGCAATCTCTGGAGCTTCAACTTCAACCATAGGTTGAGCAGCCTTGGGCACAAAGCGCGAGGCAGCGACCGTACGACGTTGTTTTAGCTGTCCAACAATAAGCGGAATTTCAACCAACGCGAAAAATGCCTACCAAAGCACGAAGGTCGTCAAGCTCTGTCACTATATCAATCTCGCGTTCATCTTCCGTCAACTTCCTGATGTCTAACAGTAGCGGACTCATAGACCTATCATAAGGTTCTATGTCCTCCTGCGTGTCTGCTTCCGTTGTAGTCGCGGGTGCGACATAATTTGCGTCCTTCAGCCCTTGAGCTGCGGATCGAGCAACACCAGCCAGAAGCTCCTCCTGCGCGTGCAGAGCCTCGTCGCGCTGGCGCTTTCGTAACTGCTCGAGTCGATTGCGAACAACAACTTCGTGCAAGCTTTTCAACTTAGCCTGTCATAAGAGGTTCAATTGCGGTATCATGCTTTTACGAAAGAGAGGCACACCTTTGCCTTCCAAACCAGCAGTTTCTTGAGGAGTCCTTCCCAGTAGTCCGTATCAATAGGTTCGCCGCTTACAAGCTTTGCCTGGATCTGCTTTTGAAGCGTTGCAAGATGATCGTAGCTTTTACCAGATAAAAGTGCTGTGATTTCTGCTTCGACAGCTACTGCCGCTTCTACGCCCATGCGTTCACTGGCTCTGATTCGGTCAATACGATCTTTGCAGACTACCATCATATTCTAAGGGACACAATCAGCCAAGGCAAAACAACAGATGCAACCAACAAACCGTCCAAAAGTCGATGTCCACCTCAGAGGTCTCAAGTGAGAGGTAACGCTCAATATCATCATGAAGTTCATCAATTTGGTCAGGCGAAAGACTCTGTGGGACCAATTAGTTGCATAACCTGTACTTTTGAGGTCTGACATACGTACGTCAAGAATGTTGTACGGTTCGTCAAGGTCAATTTCGAGCCCGGCATCATCCTCGGCATGATCTTCGTCCAGCGGATGCGCATACTTCAAGTTCAAGGACAAGAAATCGATAGCTTTTGCCCTCTTTTCCCTTATGCGAATGGCAGCCCGGCTTCGTTCCTGCTCCAGCTGGAACTCCCCATCCTTCGCTATCCAGTCCGACATCTGAGCAGACTCTGCCATTCTTGCCATACGCGACTCTTCCTCCTCCCGCAGGCGTTGCTCTGCTTCCCGTTCCGCTCTGCGTCTGTTCAACCTCTCGAGCTCCTCCTTGGCATCTTGCCTTCGAATTGCATCCTTGCGCTGTGCTTCCGCGAGGGACAGACCTTGCTTACGGTCTTTCTCATTCTTCTTGTGCCAGCGGAACTGCTGCCCGAGGTTGACGTCGTGGAAGGGATTATCGGTTGCGCTGTATACACTAAGTTCAGCAACCTGACGAGCTTCTTCCTCCTCCTTTATGCGCAATTTCTCTGCTTTGCGGGCCCTGCGCTCCTCGGACTTGTCGCGCTTGCGTCTGCTTCTGGTTAGTGGGGCACCGACGCGAATAGAAAACAAATACACACTTCTTGTCCTTGCGCTCTTCATCTCTGCCCCTACTGTTACTTCGCTCTCTCTGTCGGCGTGGGCGGTCCTCGTCGTGATCCCTACTCCGGCTGCGCCGCCGCTTCCTGTGCTCGTCGGGTGTGTCCCTTCTAGAAGAGCGCTTCTCGTCTTTGGCGTGGTCTTTGTCTCTTTCCGGCTCTCTATTGGAAGGGTTCCTGTAACTGTGATCTCTTTCACGATCATAGGAGTGAGAGCGATGGACCATGCTTGTGAGTTCAACGATACTCGGGCTAAGTTTCTGTCTCCAAAGGCTTGGATTACGGTGTTTGATGTTATTTGCACAGACCTGATACAGATAGGCAGCCGAGTGTCTGCTCCCTTATGTGATGAGCATCTTGTGAGATTTTGTTGTCCATTGTCCATTCTTTCATTCTTTTGTAGACTGTCACTTTCCTGGGTCGCAAGTTGTATAGTAGCCGGTGTGAGCACTGATTTTACTGACTGCAAGGAGCATGCTATCGAGGCTCCCGCACACCTGGCGAGTACACTCCTTGCGTGTTCTCTCCCGCAATCTCCAGACGCAGGCACGATACGAGTATCCCTCGCGTGATGAACAGGACGACACTTCATTTCTGCCACGATCTGGACTTGCGACGCCACGGCAGGTAATAGCCATCCTCGCATTTTGACCAAAATCAAGGCTCACAGCTTGTCACTGCAGCTTGTGCGATACCTCGATGAATATGTAATTGGGCAGGATATTGCGAAGAAGGTGCTTTCCGTCGCGTGAGCATCTATACGTATTGCTTTGTAGCATGTGTCACTGATGCAGTGGAAAGTGTATTCAACCACTATACCCGTGTTCGCGCGAATCTTGCCGCCTTTAGCGACGAGAGTGGTACGGACCCATGGTCCGAAGCAAGTGCGGATGATGGTGTGTTTTTTTTACATTTTTCATTATCCAAAAAGGATGCTAATGAACTCAGCACAATCTGGTGTGTCATCTGCACATCTACACCCTCACCCCCAGCGTGCCCTCCCGCACCAATTACCACTCCAACCTCGACAACCAGTCTCCTTATTTGAGAAAAGCAACGTACTGGTAATGTACGCAGCATCACCTTCATATTCAAGTATGCCCTGCTCACACAAATATTATCTGCCACAGAGGGCCAACAGGATCAGGGAAAACCTTGCTCGCGCGCACACTCGCCCGCGTCCTTGACGTTCCATTTTCCGTCAGTGACGCGACATCTTTTACGCAGGTGCGATGACTCTACTGCCCTTTTCAGCTTTTCACCCCTTACTATGTCGAACTAGGCTGGCTGTGAGTCTGACTGATAGCCCCACTTGAAGGCCTGCTGATGTCTTTCCAGATGTTGGAGAGGATGTTGACATGTGCATACAACGATTGGTACGCGCATATAAGCTTGAGGCGTGTGGACAGCTCATTCGGTATCGCCTAGCTGCAAGCAGCCAATTGGGACTCGTACCGCGCCAGGTAACTCCCACCTTCACTCTGTCCGTAGCTTTTGTTACCGGTTTCAGCTCTTCTCGTCGTTGTCTATTTCGCCTTCTTATACCACTCAAAGCACAGGTATCGTTTACATTGACGAAGTCGATAAGATTGCACGAAAATCCTCATCTACGACTGAGAGTTCACGAGATGTCGGTGGAGAGGGAGTGCAGCAGGCTCTTTTGCGAATGATGGAGGGGTCCGTTGTCAGTGTGCAAGGAAAACCAGCGTCACTGGAACCCCCAGTACCCACAGCACGAGGGCGGGGCTCACCAGCTGCTGCACAGCGTAAGTCTCATCAGAACGTATGGTTTGCGTGATGAATTCTGATCTGTCAAGCAGAGAGGCCTGATACGTATCACATTGATACTTCAAATGTGCTGTTTATCCTTAGCGGTGCGTTTGTGGGGCTTGATACCGTTGTGAAGCGGCGGGTGAGCAAAGGAGTATGTTTACATTCTCTCCTTTATTCCACTCTTATTTATTGACACCACTGCACATGTAGTCCATTGGTTTTACCGCGAATCTCGCACCCAAGGAGGAAGACTCAGACAGCAAGGGTTTTATGCCATTCTTTACATCGAACCGCCGATCATCAGAGAACTTACTAGAGATGATTGAACCCACTGGTAAGTAGTTTTTTATTATTACCAAAGAATACCCCTTCCATGGGCCACAACTCAACCATGTGCTTTCAGATCTAGTGAAATACGGGTAACTCTTGTCGCATGGTGTTCAAAAATCCAAATTCACTTTCAGTTTACCTGCATAGCTTTATTCCTGAATTCATCTCTCGCCTTCCAACAATAACTACGCTATCCCCACTAAGCACCCAGGATTTACGACGCATTCTGACCGACGTCCGTGGGTCGCTTATCGGCCAGTACACTGCACTCTTCGGACACTCGGACGTAGAAATTCGGTTTACAACAGCTTCTATTGAACAAATTTGTTTGCGAGCTGTTGAACGAGGTGGAGGGGCGAGAGGGCTGAGGGGAATCATGGTAGCTTTTATTTATCTGGAAAATTCATTGGTGTGCTCATGAAATATCATAGGAATCGTTGCTATTAGATTCGATGTATGAAGTCCCGTGAGTTACCAACCCTCTTATTTTTGCTTAATTATGTTGATTGTTTTCTGGCGTTTCACCAGTGGATCGGTGTGATAGTTTCTTCTCCTGATCGCTACTACGCTAATGGTGTTTAAGAATGTCCGCTATGTTCTGATAACAGAAGATGTGGTACTAGGCAAGTCACCAGCTCTTTATTGGATACGTGGGGACGGCCCGGCGTTTTGGGCGGCCTGGGCGGACGAAGAGCAGCGAGCGGAAAGACAACAGGTGTAGGTGCGTATTCAGCACAGCGGATTTGGAAAATCTGCTTGCTCGATTCATGTGGTGAGAGGCATCTCTCTCTTGGAATGTGTTATCGTGTATGTATCATAGGACACAGGATTCATCTGGGACTCTTCAAATCCTTCGTCTTTCTGCCATAAATTTCGATTTCGCCAGGTTGAACATAGATACGGTCACGAGACCGCGTGACCGCGACCAGGTGAAGTTCATTCCCTTTGAGATGAAGGCGGAACTGTCTCCCATCGTGATACATTGCGATGAGCTCTTTCCAGTACATGTCGGATGAAATTCGTAAAGCAGGGTAGGTAAGTGATCTACATTACTTGGTCAAATGAAATGGCAGCGAGGGGTGGTGTCGCGGAGGCACTCGTGAAAGCAAATTGACGGGTAGACGTCACAACAGGAAATAGGCTTTAAGGAGAGACGAAAAAGTGGCTTCGTCCAGTACATCATTATTCATTCTTCTCTTCTTGCAATTCCTCTTTTTTCTCGGCCACCTCTTCCACCTCTTCCTCCTCCTCTGCTTCTTCTTCCTCAGACTCCTCAGCAAGTTTCTTCTCATCAAGAGAGGAGCCGCTGTTTATCTTCTGTGTCAACTCGAATTGACGCTTGAACTCATTGGCATTATCAGAGTTTGCGAAGCGGATGGCCAGGGTTTCGGCGGTTGGGGGTTCTTCAGTGTAGTCAGCAGCAACCTTCCACACCCAGCTCCTGTCAGAGCCGATATTAGGCTGAAGGCGCATTTCGGCAGAGACTGTTTTTCTCTCGGCATAAGCAGAATCAAGGAGGACAAAAAATCAAACTAACCGTGGTGGTTGGCGCAAACCTTGAGGGTCTTGTCGCGTCTCATTACGAGACGGACCTTCTTCGTCTCCTTGTGCTGAAGAAGTTTCACATCGCCGGTGCCCCGCTCTTTCCACTCGTTTAAGCCACTGTCGAAGCGGAAGAGCTTCGCTCGCCTATAATAACGTTAAATGATCGTAGTCAATGGGTCAAGGGGTACGAGAACGCACATCTTGAAGAGCACATCCTCGTCCTCCTCGTAGGTCTTTACCTCCACTTGTTCTGTGAGCTTGATAACAGGCTCAAAATGAGGATCAATCTCCTCGCCCTCTGGCTGATTACATCGCGCCACAATACCGCAGCTCGTCAGTTGTGAATCATGCTGGACTGGTCTCGTGCAAGAGACTCACCTTTGGTGCGAGCGCATCAGAAGTGTCTGCCATTGTGATTAATTTGAAGTGCGTCTAGGGAATCTGGTTTGGGCAGACAAAATGACTGGGACTGAGATTACGATTACGAGCAAGATCACAGAGAACACTGAACTTTGCAAAGACTGATTCGATTTCTTATCGGGACCCTGAGAACTCCCATGATCTGAAGGTGCACGGGGTCTTGTTAGTTTCCTAATGTGGACACAGTTTTCTCGACACACCTTCTGCTCAACTACTTGCACGACTTCCAAAATGACAGTACTGCTGTCGTGGCGACATACACCATGGCTCGTCCTCTCGATATTGTCCCTAATCTCTCTTGCCTCCGCCCACATGATTCAAGTTACAGCTTCCAGAAAAGAGTGCTTCTTTGAGGACCTACACGAACATGACCAAATGACAGTCACATACCAAGTTGGAGAGGGTGGACACCTCGACATTGATTTTTGGGTACGCCTATTATATCAATATTTGGTACACTCGAGAGCGACCTTACTGATGCCATGCACATAGCTAACGGATCCAGAAAATAATGTTCTCGCTAAGCACATCCGTGAAAGCACCGGCACGACGTCCATAACAGCTGAGAAGGATGGCCGTTACGAGTACTGTTTCTCTAACCAGATGAGCACGGTGGCGGACAAGATGGTTAGGTACGGCTTTCTATCCCCGCAACTTCCCGGTATCCATACTTATGGGGTGTGCTTAGCTTCAACGTTCATGGTATCATATACGTGTCAGAAGAAGGTGAGTCTACCTATCTTCAGTCACACCTGCCAGACCTTGCTCACCTTTCTTTTTCTCCCAGCAGATGTCACTGCTCCCGTTGAGCGCGAGATCCGCTCCCTAGCTATAGGTCTCACATCCGTCAAGGACGAACAAGAATACATTGTCGTCCGAGAGCGTAGGCACCGGGACACAGCAGAAAGCACCTGCGACCGTGTGAAGTGGTGGTCTGTGCTCCAAGCACTTGTACTGTTCGCGGTAGTCGCGTGGCAGGTGTATTACCTTAAGGTGCGTTGTAATTTCTCGTTTGCTGACTTCTGTATACTGACTTATGACTATAGAGTTTCTTTGAAGTAAAGCGCGTTATATAGTGCATGACTATGGAATATAATGCGTTCGCTTCTACTACCTCAATCTGTCTCACAATCATGACATTCATAATCCAAGAAAGGCAGATAACATCAAGTTCAGTGCCCGGCCATCTTTATGCCCATCAGAAAGACACAAACGACCAGTGATAGCTGGCAAGACATTCCATGACTCCCGAGCTGAGTTAAATACCTATTGTAGAGCTTTCGGTGACGTAGTTGGCAAGATAAATCTTGACAGAATTCACTGTTCTTGGATTAGTGTTCTTATGGACGAGGAGCAAATGACAGGCAGTCGAATCAGTAGCCTCGAGCATTGACCCCAAACTGTCGATATGGCGTACGTTAGGCATCCCCCTCGCAATTTCCTGGTGAGCTTGCAACTACATTCTTGTATCGCACGATCTGCAACACGCTTCCTGTGGTCGTGGAACCCGTACTGGGCGTCCAATAATATCACGGCACAGCTGACCGTCGTCATACACGTAACATACCATATGCATACCTCAAGTAAGTACTCCCGGCATATTTCGATGACTTCCATGTCAGGGCAACTTTGATTATGCAAACAACAGAATAGCAGGTATACATAGATCAATGTAAAGTAACATGATAGCGGGTAGCATGCAAGGGAGATATGCCCCTCCTACATAGAAAAGAGGAATAGACAACACAGGATATAGCGAGACATAGCGAGGTATAGTAGGCATGAGCGAGTCGTCATATTCGGCATGATAGCACAAGGAGCGATACAGTGTAATGCACAGATAAAAGTACATGAGAGGCGCTGCCTCTAATGAACAGAAGATACAAAATGCAGGGTTGCTCATCTCCATGTAGGCTTTGAAGATACTCTCATGCTTGAATCAGGCAGAACACTCAGGTCCGCACTGATATTAGCACTCACATCGCTACTGGGTAGCGGGAGAGTTGCCATTACATTGGGTCCCTTCACCCGCAAGGACCTTGATGCATTGGCAAGAAGGGAAAGTCTCTTTGGCCTCTTCGCAGGTGAACGCCCAATCGTTTCTGTCCGTCTGGGCCCACTCATGGACTCGTGCAATGGAGGGTCTTCGGAGGGCTGGGAGATCATGCTGGATCGTCTCCTTGCCTTCTCGCTGCGCATAGGACCAATGTTCGAGCGCCGTCGGGAGCTCTTGGATTGTGTTGTCGTACGGGGGGTTGAGGTAGGCTGGCGTCGTGTTGGGCTAGCATCACGCTCCCTGTATTTTGGAATGTGCAGAGTCTCTGTGTCTTGCCTGTTCATGCTTCGGTCTGAAAGTGGTGGTGCACGCCGCATTGGCGAATCTTCGTCTGCCTCCTGAAGACAGCCAAGGGATGATGCGCCTTTCAGTTTGAGGAAGCTCGGGTCAAGGCGGCTTGCTCGTGGGCGCTTGCTTGTGCTCGACTGAAGGCTCATGGAAGAATTGAACCTTGCCGACGATGAAGAGGATGATGCAGGAAGTATGATGTTGCTCATGTTGAGACTGTCTTCTGTCCGCTCGTCTTCCCATTCGCTCTCAGATCCAGCAACAGAATGACTGCGTCCATTAACACTTTCGCTGCTATCACTGGATGTAACAAGAATGACTGGAGGGGATGGGCTGTTTCCCCTATCATCCAGTGCACCTTGTCCGGCTTCATCTTTCCATTGCACCACCTTCTTCTCCTTCTCCTTGTCGGAGACACGACGGTAGGGTTGACCGATACTGGAACGCAGGGAGCGTCTCGGTGACTTGTGCGTCCGCCATGGAGATGAAGCGATAGCATTGTAAGACATGGACTTCCTCGAAGCTTTGACAGGCTGCGGTAGTGCCGAACCTGATGGCACACGGAACGCATCAAGAGCACTCGTCCCCTGAGCGGCATATGCCGCCGTTGTCTGTCCCACCAGGGCAGCAAGTGCGTCATCATTTTTCTGCGCCGCACCGCGAAGTGCAGATGCCATTCCCTCAAAACCATGTTGTGCTTCTAGAGAACGAGCCGTCTCTCCTAGTACAACCGTGCACCGACCGACCATACCCAGGAGGCTGATGATCATCTCCGATTGAGCACCCACAGACTCCCGGACTGCATCACGTTCTCTTTCGGCTCGTACACGCTCGACCTCTGCCTTGCGGCAGCGTGCGTCTGTCTTGATGCAGTCGATGTGTAGCTCCTCTAGTTTGTCAGATCGTCGCTCGGAGACTGCGCGTAAGGTCGCCTCAAACATGTTGCGGGAGTTTTGTGAGCGCGTGAGACGAGTTACGAGGGGGGAATCGGGCGTTGTCACGGACTCCTCGAGGCGAGCGAGAGATTTGAGAAGGGCACGCTCCGCTTCGAGGTCTGAGGAAAGCGGGAAAGAGGCCATTACGTCAATCTCTGCAAGCCGAGAGCGGATAATGGCAAGTTTCATCTCTGCTACAGAGATCTTTCCAGCACACGACGCGCCCTCAACTATGCTCGCCTGAGTCTGCTCCATCTTATCTTGCATATCTCGCTTAGAGCGGTCAACTTCAGCAGCAGCCTCTGCTCTCTTGCGCTTGAGAATGTCGTTCTCAGCGCCGAGCTTGCCAGCAAGTTTGGATTTGAGCTCGGCAACTTCGAGGTTGAGTCTATTAATAGCCTCGACGTATTGGCCTACGTGTCTGTCGACATTGACGACGTTACGGGTGACAACCTTGGTCTTGATCTTCGTGGCACGTTCAGCATAAAGTAGGGTGTTATGCGTATCATCGAAGTGCTGCGACGTAGGGGCAACACAGACGACCATGACGGTCTTACAGTTTCCACCAAGCGAGAACTTTAGTAGTCGGGTAAGTTTGCTGTTGCGATAAGGCACATGGCGGATAGCGCCGCCGCTCTCACAAAGCGCGTTAATGCAGTTGCCGAGCGCGAGAAGTGACTTGTTGATGTTAGCACCCTCAACCATGCGCTGTCCCATATTGGATGTTGCTGCAGCACGCTCACTGCCAGCAAGATCAATAATGGAGAGCGTCGCCATGGTGCGTTGCTCAGTCAGAGAGGCCGTGCGAGGCGCTTGAGTGACATGCACTTGCAGGACAGCGTGCGACCGGGACGATGTCTCATTCGCATGGGTCGGGGATTGTGTCCTCCGCGAGTTACCCTGGAGAACGATTTGCTTGACTTCCTCTGCGCTCGTGGGACGGAGCTCAACAAGGCCCACGACCTTGACAGATTTGTCTTCGCGGATTTGCAGACCACCACGCGGAGTGGGAACGCCAGGTTCGGAGAGTAGATCTCGAATCTCTTCGTTGTAGATTTCGAGAAAAGTAGCAACGACTTCTATGTTCCAGTCATCCTTTCGATCCTCGATGCGTTGGAAGAGGTCCGCCATTGTGAGGTAGATGATGCCAGGATCTGCTTCCGTCCCGCTGATGGTATGTGTTTTGCCACAGCCTGTTGCCTATGGTACATCATCAAAAGTTACTCGACGGTCAATATGGAAATTTCACATACCCCATATGCGAATACAGTAGCATTGTAGCCATCCAAAAGGCCATTTAATAGTGGCTTCGCGGTGGCTTCGTAGACGTCAACCTGTCTCGCCCCGCTGTCGAATACTCGATCAAACATGAATCGCTTGTCCTTGTATCTCTTTGTCCCAGGGGGCACAAACCCGCGCTCGACAAACGCGCGGGTCTTATCTCTCTCCTCTGGGTCAAATGTAAGAATACGGTCATCGACAATTTGCACGATGTCGCGAAGGGGTGCTGACTGGGTTACAGGTCTTCCTGGTGTTGCAAGAGTGCCATCACCGCGAATTGTGGTATCATATGAGGGTTCTGGGAGACGCCCAGCTTCCCATGTTGTGGGAGGTCTGACACGGACTGGGCGGTGTTAGATTTATTAGAGGCAGGTTATCAAAGAAGTAGCTCACCGGCAACAGTGATGGAGCCAGCGGCAACCATGGCTTTATTAGGGACTGTCAGACTATATAGAAACAAAATGGGTGGTTGTCACTGTAGGCGGTCGCGATGAACGATGTTAGCTCGACGCAGCGAGCGATTATGAATGGAGTATAGAAGCAGGATTTTGCCGGATGCCTCGTTTCGTTCAAAAGTCAACTTGACGCGTCCAACAGCATGCTCACGTGATCGAGCCCCTCGTGACTTTGAGGGACGGGTGCTTAGCCGCGCGCTTAGCGCTTAGGCGCCCGTACCGTATACCATCCGAATGTCTCACTTACTATTCCGTCCGTTTCCACAGATTCTGACATGTCTTAACCAATGTCGTTCCCTTGACACTTTACTATTGACCTTACAGTTATATCTACCCCGAGTATATACTATTCTCCCTATCACTTATTGTCTTAATCCTAGTTCACCCAATCATTGGGCTCTAACGGCACCGAAACACCTACGATAAATACAGGCTACCACTCTCTAGTTAGATACTCTAGTGTTTCTGGACTCGCAAATCCCAGACTTTCAATCTGTCATTCAACCGAGGGCACGCTTCCTATCTGTGTCGTTGTCGAGCCGCTAACGCTAAATCGTCAACGTCATGATAGCAGGCCGGCAGTTGCCACTGACCAAGAAATATGGTTTCATTGGTATGTGGTTACGATATGCAGCAGAAGTAAAAACTACTTGATCTAGATTATAGACACACAAAACCTTTACTGTCGATCGAGGACTCTCCTCTGTTCGGTGTGTCGAATTGTTTGAGCAGACTTCAATTGCACTGCAATAAGTTTGACGATGTGCAAAAAACTGCAGATTCACGTCGTTATCTCAATATGAACGAGATTTACATACTATCACTCCTGGGGTTCTGCAACATTTTCAATAAATCTTTTGTAACTCCTCAACCACATCATATTATCTTCTACAGATTTACACCAATATATATTCGTATCTGCTCTATACTATCCGTTACACTCTATTCGTGACGGTCCGCAATTTCGTGAGTCACACTCATGTCACGAATAGTAACGGACAGTCACACTAGCCGTGCTCACGTGCTCACGGATTGCAGCTGCAATGAAACACTGTTAAATTTAATGTCCGACGTCGGCAGCCACGGCAGGTGACATCGAATCGTGATTTTTGCTGCTGTCACGCTAAAAACACGATCTCCACCATTTCTCAACGTATTTGTTTCGTTTCACTTGGGATATGGTAGTATAGTACGTAGAATACATACTCAATGAAGTAGCTAAGTAATTACTTTAAAATTGAGTGCTGCAGACAAAAATCACGAAATTGTGGACCGTCACGAATAGAGTGTAACGGATAGTATGAATCTGATTTTTTCTTATTTTAATGATTTTGTGGTGGAGTGTCGGATGAAGACCGAGAAAATTCAGGGTCTGACTGGTATTCTGCAAAATATGGTCACGTCGTGTCACACGTCGGGCACAGTAGCGGCACGTCAACTTTGCCGTAGAGGAGATTGAATTTCTTACACAACTCTCCTATCTGTTGTCACGCTTTCATACATGTCAACAATCCTTCGTCTATAGCATCTTAGAACAAGAGAACGACCTCTATCGAAATTGTGTTCTGACACCCTGATGAGGTGTTTGATAGACTCCAAGTGTAATATTTTGAATATCTCTTTAGGATCTATGGGATCTGGATCATTTGTGATTATACAAGGTTGCAAATCACCACTATTCCGTCTCTCGCAGCTGCAACACTCGAGAAATTTTTATTCTACTTGGACAGTACATCATCTCTAAGTAGCCTACATGCGCCTGAATTTTTTCGAGGTGATTCAAGCAGCGCGTTGAGGTGTTTTGAACATTTTGCATATTACATGCCAGTTGCAGATTCCCAGGAATGATAGTACTAGCTTGGTAGTCATGATATTTTTCCTAGTCGGATTGTGGACTGCAAGGCTAGGATCTGCGAGACCATGAGCTGTGCATTAACATGTGGCATAGGAGGGCACGATACACACCAAATACACACTGCACATTGCAATTGGTTCGGGACGCTCCGTGGCTTACAAGAAAATATTACATCTTCTTCTCAGGCGTTTTCGGTTCAGTGGTTAATCGACATGGATAAACACGGAGCTGTGGTACCAACAAATGACCAAAGATGGTTTGGTAAGAAGTTAGAACTCGGCAGAAAAAAGCACCTTAATGCGTCATTGTGATACTGCTCAATATCCCAAAAGTTCCATTGACGAGGTCCAAGAGCCCGCCAAGCAAGTGTCACATCTTTAGCCTTCATATCCACAGCAACCCGAGAACGGCATGCCAGCAGTTATAGACTCCCGTGTGTAATCGAGGCTTCTGACACGACTGTGATGTAGGCCGTGACATCATAGCGCACTGGATGATTAAAGGACGCCTGCGTTCATGACGAATCCTGTGACAAGTGCTGGAACACTCAGAAGCACATCGCTTCTACGTCATTAGCGATCCGTTCACTGGTAGTCCATGAACGGCGTCCCAAAAAGCTGTAACGACTCATCGCGCTGCAAAGGGCAATCTAAGGAGTGGATCTACTTGCTCAGCAGTGTCATACCAATGTCTCTACAGCGCTCACAAAGTCATTCGACGAGCCAACGCTGTACGTTCAACAACTTCTTCTTTGGACACGAGGGTAGTGGCTTGCATTGATGACGTCACGCACGCGTCCGGTGCATGAGACCGCGTGGACAAACCCCAAGGGGACTGTAGGAACCAGCTTCATTAATGGCCACGGATAGGTGAGATGCAGCCCATTGTCTGATGCGGCCTCTTCAAGCTCCTTCCCGACGTGACTTTGATCCGAATAGGTGGAACAAGATACGCCTTTGATGACCATTGTCATTGATCAGTATCGTCTGATGAAACACCCACGAGGCACCTCAAGGCACCTCGGAGCCGGCATCGCAAGTTTATAGCTTCAAATATTACATTTATGCCTGAAGAAGAGAATGCCCATAAAATGGTTGAGGCAGTACCTCCTGGCAGTGCAAGGCTGCAAGCTGTGACAAGGCTGAAAGCGCCCACCAGTGAAGAGCAGTGCTCCATCGGAAGATTCGGAATTCCTAGCTGCGCAGAGGTCCACTGTGGGCATGAATGATCTCCAAGTTAATGAAACAACCGCCATGGGTGGTTACACTGTCTTCATACGCGTCTTGGCACACGACGATAGAGCTGTGGAGATATGGTCCGAAATTCGAATACCGCTGCGGTCATGAGCAGCAGAAGCAACAAACGTGACTTGAGACTTTCTGCCCTGCACAAGCCCTGCCTCGAAAGGATCAATAAAAGACACTGGTCAAGGGACCAAATGTCTCCAGACAACAATATCCTCCTCACCGTAAATTTAGGCTCGTCGTGTGACCAGATCAAGGATTTCTTGTTATAAGAAACGTGGTGATAACAACTTGGACTCTTGATACGGTCATTATCGTAATGATGGTAGCGTTCACCGGAACCGATTTGCCTGCTTCAGGTCAGTTCATAATCCCTGGTAACCCGCTGTTAGGCCTTGTAGTGACTGAATTAGACCAAGCTAAAGCTCTGCGATCACCGTTGCAGTCAGCTGGAGATACCGGGGCGATTTTATCGTATTACAAGTCTGCTGCGGCTAATGGAGCAATGTCAGACGCTAGTCTAGCTTCTAGTTCAGGCCCTTCATCCATCTTTGTTTCCCCAACTGCTTTTCATTCCCGTTCGATCTCGTCGACGTCTATTGGTACCCAATCTTCCTCAGCTTACTCTTCTGAGTCCTCAAAGGCACGGGCAACTGCTCCAAGCGCATATAAACCTCCTCAGCCGCGACCTGCCTCGCCACTTGGGTTGAACGGAGCAGCACGCCGCTCAAGCATACCGTCCGAAGGTGGCGCAGACAGACGGCGCATTGCTGTCGTTGAGATGGACATGCATGTTAACGAGCACCCAAGGAGCGACACCTACCGCGACACGAGCACTTCTCCTTCGAGCAACTTAGGTTCCCGACGAGGCAGCGAGGCACAACTAGGTGGTCTCGCCCTTGTTGCACCGCCAGACGCGTCGCTACGAACGTGTATCGGGTTTACCCATCCACTCACTTCGCCTGTTCAGCCTCCGTCTATCCAATTACAACCCTCTTCGAGCACTGCACCCTCTCACGTGCGCTCATCGTCAGAGACGGTCACAGTTTCTGGACGAGTTATGGGGCACACCCGTAAGTCATCCCGCGAGGTGGCTGTCCTAGGCACACTCTCTCGCCCAACCAAACTATCAGATCAAGACTACCCATCCACTGTCACAGAAGCACTCAAACCACCCCTATTCCAAACGCCCCAATCCCGTTCACCTTCTCCTGGAACACCTGAGACATCCGATTCAGGGAGCTCCACTACGCATCCCAAGAGTAGACAGAGGAAAGACGCGCTCTTCCCTAGTGTAAGCCCAATTAAAGAGCTGAGAGAAACTCTGTCTCCCCAAGCAAGCCCTGTACCCGCTCCCGTGGTTACGCCACGCATAGGAGAGAGCAAGGGTATTGGCGGCCGTGTGGCTGGTCCTGTCATCGTCAATATCTTCCCCGAGTCACCCACACCTGTTAATGGGAAGCACATTATGAGCGTACCTAAGACATCTACCGCCACACCTGCTACTCCCTACTTGTACTATCAGCCTGGTCTGCATGCAAAAGCGGGACCACTACCTCCTCCGCCCATCTCTGTCTTTAATATTGATCCCAATGCGCCGCCACCACCTAGACCACCTCGACATCAGCCACTGAAGAAGAAAGGTGACATGGAAGCCGTGAAGCAGGCATTGGCCCTCCCCCCATCTGTCGCTGCTGCACTCAAAACGCGAATTCTTCTCACGGAGCCCAAGAAAGAAAGCGGAGCAATTACCAGCACCAACTCCCCACCTTCGGAAGCAGTGAAGGAGCTTGCTCCGACTTTGAGCCCCTTGCAACCAGCGGCTTCCGAATCCCGGCCGGAGGAGCCAAAGTCTCGGTGCGCCTTTCTCTTCTGTGTTCCTGCCCCGTATTAAATAGTCCTCTTATAGGCCTAATACCTCATCCCAGGGGAAGAAAGAGTCAGAACTTCCTGAGACGCCAGCTCATGTTCGCGAAGGCGCTTTTCCCCCCTCACGTGTTTGCACCACGGACTTAAATTGCACTGTGTCCCCAGATCAAACGGTTGTTCCTCTTCCCCGCCATGAGTCTATGGATGACCTCGTTGCTACAGTCGGACACGCGATTGATGACATGGGTATAATTCGTTCATCTGACGTTCCTCCCCCGACTGTTCTCGAGCCCTTACGGCGCAACGAGAATCGGGGCAACCGATCTGGTCTTGACATTCGCCGCATTTCCTTAACACCCACGCCGCCACTAGATGATGATGGCAGCGTTGAGAATGAAAGGGGACCTGAAGTGCTTCCGCCCCTGCCGGCGAAGAACGAGCATCAATCTCCGGACGAGCGAGTTAGAAGTGCACTTAGTATTAAGCGGTTTTCGTCTCTTCCGCGCACGCCCTCGCCAATGTCGCTCAACCAACCTTCCGGGGGAAGCAAAAGCTCTTCGAGGACGCCATCACCGTCTTTGGTGGTCCATCGTCCAGTACGAAGAGTACTGCCTCCAGTTCAGAAGATCAAGTCCACGTGGCCACCAGCTATGCATTTCGCGGATGTAATTGTGAAGAAAAACGCCCTCGATCGGTCGGTGGGGTATGCACAGAAGATTAATGAACTTTATATGTACGACTGTGGATTGGGCGATTGGATTGTAGAGACAAGATATAAAGGTAAGAGTTCCGTTGGCCCCCATGCATACACGCGCTTACAGCATGATTAGCTGCAAATCCCCCAAAGCGCACCCCTGTGAGAACGAGTGTCCGTGTTCCATCGACACATTCTCCCCGCACGCAAACCCGTAATATCTCAGAGTCCTCGACTGGCTCCGAAGTTACTTTTCCTAGACGCCCAGACGCATACTTGGCTACCGATCTGTCGACACCTCCCTCTGCTGACTCCAGTCCCCCCAATGCACCTCCTCCGCTTCCATACCCAGGGCTTGCTTCAGCGCCACGCAACGGGTCAAATAGGGCATCCACTATCATTGCTAGCTCATCTTCATCCTCTGGTCGCTCACTGACTTCCCCTACCTCATCCAACAAATCCCCGGGAAGCTTCTTTGCGTCTTTGGGACGGAAAACAAGTCTTAAGAAAGATAAGAGTTTGGTATCGATGGCTCCAGTAATCGGAAGGGTGCTATCCAAAAGTCCACCGCGACCAGTAACTATTCCGAATTCCCCATCCGTGCCAGGGGGACCACGCGCACCCCCTAATCGTATGCAAAGGTCCCAAACCATAGTCATTTCCCCTCAGTCCCCGTCAAATGGCCCAGGTCACCACCGATCAAGCACAGTTGTTATACAACGACCTTCACAACTCAGTGGCCGCAACACATTTTCTGAACGCGGATCACCCACTGACCCAGATGACTTCGCACGCCAGGTGGACAAACTTGCTGCTCTGCTCCCGAAGGCCGATAAAACTGTCCTTGCAGGGTATCTTCGTAGGGCAGGCCAAGATATCCTTGCCATTGGCCAATATCTCGAAGACGAGAAGAACGGATCTTTACGTTATGACTAGTCCATGTTATGTTTGATCTATCGGTGCTCATTTATGCTTTGCTGTTTTCACTCGCTCACTTTATACCATTGTGCAATACTACATCCTGATTCGTCTATATGATACATGTATTATTTGTTTTCTGGACTACACTACTGCTGGACTGAGAATATACTGTTGCTGTGCTGAGATTTACCTCGCAGGTCTGAATCCATGTTTAACGGCCTGGTTGCTACTGAACTCTGCGAGATCGGTGTGTTCAGAAAGGCTAAGATGCTGCCACAAGGCGGTCAACTCACGATGCTGCTGGGCAGGCCGAGGTCTAGCGGATGAACTTGCCCCACCCCAACCGGACCCGCCCGAACCACCAGATGGCGGAGGAACCTTGGAACGATTTAAGTGTGGGAGGAGGATGTTTTCAACTTCGTTGGCGCTATCGGAACGTTCCGAGATGGAGTTTGTCCTATATGAACGATCGTTGTTGCTGAGAGCAAAAGGTCGTCGCTGCACGTTGGTGCGCTGCTGAGGGCGAGTGACCTGTGGCCAAGCGACGCTTTGATGAGGTCCGAAAGGGCCAGCCATGGTGCGATTAACCAACGGAGTCCTTTGTATCTAAGGCTGTAATAAGCAAAGTCAGATTGGCAAGTATGGATCCTGTACCCCATTCGCATCCATTCCGCCGATTACTGCACCGATGTCCACGCCAGCTCTACCTTTGTTATGGTCTTCTTGAGGAGGTCGATCAAACATGTTCACACCGCTGACGCCCTGTCCAGTCGGGGCTGTGCTCGGAGCAAGTAACGATTTACGTTTGGCTTTGTCGTATTGGGCCTGACGCAGCTGTGAGTATATCAACGCCTCCAGGCGATTGTCGGAGCAACCTTGAGTTTTTGATACTCTTTCTCTCGTTCTCTGGAAGAATCTTGTAGCTCGTGGACCTTCCGCCGTTCCACTTCCATGTCGCGTTCCAACTCTGAGACAAATGAAGCCCATGTCAAACTGTGAGAGGGCGCGGTCCGTCATACCTGCGACCTTGTTGCCAAGAAGATTGATTTCCCCATTCGCTAGAAGGTGTGAGTGAAAGGAATCGAACGCAAGAGGAGCATCACCTTCTCTGATGACATTGTCTAGTTGCTTCTGTAACTGTGCTTGCTTATCATTGAGGTTGCGGATGACCGCTTGCTGGAATGAACTAATATACCGATACGACACCCCTACTCCACAAGTAGCATGGCACTTACTTCTCTTGGTGGACCTGATACTGCCAAAAAGATAGAGCCCTTCACAAGATATGTTAGGGGATCCAGTCGGCTCTTAAAAACACTACGCTCACCGGCTGCATATTTCCATGATTAAGGACGGACTGAGGCCCGAAAGAACAGACTGCCGACACTAAGCTTGGTTTCAATGAAGAATTTCGCGCATATATTCACCGTTTTGTAGTCATTAGTTGGATGTAATGAGCACACCTGAAAACTATCAGAAATATAAACCGGAACGCAGTGTGCCAAGTGACTTACAACCACGTCGTCTCTTCGTGACATTATAGTTGATAAATTCGCCTTGAATTATAGTATCGACGAGTGACTTACGGTTCGGTAAGTGATGTTTCACAAGCTAGGACGTGAATCAGAATATAGCACACAACAAAACGACAAAAACTGACCAGGACATAACCGCGAGGCATTGAACAATTCGTTTGCACAGTCAACTGGTGGAACCGCAAGAGTCATTCCGAGTCAGTCTAAGCGCATGATGCGTTTGTGAGGCCTTCGTCAGATCTTACCGCAGAAAATATGCGAGCCTAGCGCAAGACAGTCATTAATAAACCATAAATTACGTCTGATTGCTTACATGTTGTCTGGAAGAATCAGAATCGTTGTGGACATAGCAAAAACGGAACAGGGAAGTGATGGGCTTACCACCACCGCCTTATCAATGAGAGTCTTGCGACACGTCAGTCGGTTACACCGCAGCTCCGCATCCATCCTCGTACGAGTGAAAGATGGTTATTCTTTCGTGTCAAGCTTCAGGCCTTCGGATTTGCGGGGGTTCTGCCGCGCGAGTTTCACGGTAAACAAAGCAATTGCAAGGGGTACAGTGCAAAGTACAGCCTGAGTGTGCTGCTAATATTGCAACATTGTGGATTGTTCATAAAAGGAAATTAAGCGCTCATGGAGCCAATCGTACGTGCCTACAATGTGCATTATAAACCAGAGCTGCAACGTCAACAAAGCCTAAGGCCTAAACAACACAACGAATACATAACAAGAAAACTGGTAGTATCAGCAATTGTGTATTTGATCCATGAAACACGAATATAATAGTTAAGAGTAGATGAGGGAGGTATCGAGAGTAGAATCAGTCCAATAATATGCGAGTAGAAGAAATGTAGGATTATCATGGCCTCCATAGATTATGCCGAGCTGGGGTGTTAGGAATGCTTGTTCGAGGTCGATATGGTTTTGATGGCGTTACTGGGCGAAGTGCGTCTGGATCTGCTCGCCTCATAAACTGAAGTGGAGCCAATGGAGATCCCGATGATGGCGTAGACTTAACTGAATGAGGGCTATGCGCTCCTGGCGTCGAGATCGTGAAGGAAGGAAGGAAAGGACCTCTAGGTTCGGGGGTACGAGGGGGAGGAGTGACAAATTCAGGTGCTTCGAGCAAAGTCGCGGAACTAATCCACTTCTCTTCTCGAGACCCAAAGCGGGGAGAGCCGAATTTGGGAGGAGACTCTTGAGGTATAATACGAAAAATATCTGCGAAGTGATCCTTGATAAACCTATACATCACGTTAGTGAATCGTCCGCCCAAGTCTCTCCGCGTACTTACTTTGATAATTCTTGCCAACCACCACCAACACGCACCATAACAGTCTGTGAGCGCAATATGCGACAAAAGCACAACTTTGGCTCCTGATCACCAATCCAGTACTTCCCGCTTTGATCCTTCCAAGTGTCGGCGACTACCTCGATATTGATGTTGACTGGTAATTTGTTGACGACGTCTCCAACTGCGACGTCCAGCTTGTTTTTGGGGTTAGCAACGTAAGTCTTCCGCGTTTGTAGTTGCGTTTTCTTCGGAGGCGTCTGGACCACGTTTGCGGTGGGGAATGACTGCCGCGGTGCACGGGCCCAAGTGGACATAGATGAGGACGACCTTGAGTGACTCGCGGTGGATCGCGCGACGACAGAAACTTCTGAAGGTGTGGGCGAGGCCCTCGAGCGTGTTTGCGCCCGGGGACGGGTAGGGACGGGAGGTGGCTTCGCCGGTATGCTAGGAGGCGCATTACCAGATAGACTAGTAGTGCGCTGACGAGATGCAAAGGTTGAACTGTGCAGAGAAGACGATGCTGAGGGCGTTGCCATCGGCCCTGATACTGATCTTGAGACGCTACCTGTAGATAGCATAGAAAGTTTGCTGGAAGGCCGAGGTCGGGCTCGGAAATCGCCAGACGCTACTCGGCGGGGACTTGGATGGGCTGGAGCTAGGAAACGCCCATTGGCAGATCCTCGTACTGAGAGACTGGAATAACCACTAGCCTTCCTGGTATGACCAGTCGCTCCAGAACTGATACCAGATGCACTGCTATTTCTACCAGAGCTGAGGGCACTAGCAGGACGGGATTTCTTGCCGCAAATCCTATCATTGGCCATTTCTTCCAACTCAACCCATGTCTGCTGAATGCGTTGGTGTTCAGAATCAGCGCGAACATCGTCCTTGACCGATTCTATATAAGCTGCTACTTGAGCAACAGTGCGCTTCGTGAAACCAAGGCGAGCTCCGAGTTGTTCTTCTGGGGGCAAACGAGGGGTCGAGACATGCGTGCTAGAGAGTAGTCCAATGGGAGGAGAAGGGTAGCTGTCAATATGCTCAAGCAGGTCACTGAGAGCCATATCGCAGCGATGAGCGACGTCAGATAGGTCGGCCAATTGTCGAATTCGTTGCATCAGCTCGGTAGATGCTTCCACTTCTGATTTGACTGATCGCAACTCCATATCTGCAGCAGGTGACGATATCGAAGAAGGCAGTATAACAAGTTCGGATAGTTCAGAGACTATGGTCGCAAAGCGAGCATTCATCTTCCCGTATTGCTCCAGAGTTGGTAGATGATTGGAAGAATTTGAGTTTGCTGCGGGACGTGCGACCTCGTTGATGCCGATAGAACGAAGACGTTTCCTCAGCGAGACGACCTTATCCAGCAGGTCACTTCTCTGGTGGGTTTTCGTCGGTGACGGAGAAGGAGCAATACGCAACCCAAATACATCTACACAAATGGTTAGAACTTATTGGCAAGCACCAAAGACCGACCCTCTGACCTTCAAATGGTTGCGATTCATCGTTTTCCTGCAGGTCCCGCCCTTCCTTGACACGTTCGGTTCCCTGTAGCTCAATGACCACCTGTCTTTGAGCCTCAGCTTCAAGACGTTTGCGTTCTCGTGCCTGATGCTCCGTCTCAGCCTGCTGTCGCTTGGCCTCCAAACGCTCCAATTTTTCCCGCTCCTGTTGTTCATGCAGTTCCTTCACAATCTTTATCCTTTCTTCTTGTCTGCGCTCTTCCTCTTCTCTTGCTCTTGCTGTTGCCTGTCTGCGTTCTTCCTCTTCTCCTGCTCTCGTCTCTGCCTGTCTGCGTTCTTCCTCTTCTCTTGCTCTTGCCTCTGCCTGTCTGCGCTCTACCTCTTCTCTTGCTCTTGTCTCTGCCTCCCTGCGTTCTGCCTCTTCTCTAGCTCTTGCCTCTGCCTCTCTGCGCTCTGCCTCTTCTCTAGCTCTTGCCTCTGCCTCTCTGCGCTCTGCCTCTTCTCTAGCTCTCGCCTCTGCCTCTCTGCGTTCAAGTTCAGCCAGACGCCTTCTCTCTTCCGCTTCTTGTTCCTCTTTGATTTTTGCCGCCTCGATACGCTTTGCCTCCATAGTGAGCGCAACCGCCAGCTCGCCCCGAAGCATAGCTGCATTATCGGCCCAGGTGTTCAACTTGATCTCAAGGTTATCCACCTCCCTTCTTCGGGACATGATGAGAGTCTCGTAGATACGGTGATCGTGCGAGCAAGGTAAGGATTCCATTTGGCGTAACGATTCACGGATGAAGGAGAGGCGACGCGATAAGCGAGAACGGTGCTGTGATGAATGTCTGTCAAGCTGCTCTGATAGATCTTGCAGCGAAGTAAGCTTCTCATCTGCTCGAGAGATGCCGTCCAGTAGTGTTTTCAGCAAGCCAAGCTCTTCATGGACACCACGCAGGTCATCAGCTACCGAGGTCAATTCAGAATCAGTATCTTTGGCCATGCATGCTAGCTGAAGATGTCCAGCCTTCTGCTCGAGGCTTTGTACATCCCCTGAGAGACGCATGACTAGCAAATTGGAGTCTCCTCGGACGACGTCATCAAGGCTGCGCAACGTAAAAGGAGGTTCGACGGCGGCTGGGACATCGAATGTGATGAGCCTAATGTTCCCGGCTGAAGAAGACCTTTTCCGAACAATGGTAGGCGCGTTTCTTTGATCGGAGGTGTGTTGAGATAGGAATGGTATCCGTTGAGTCGCGGTGTTCGTAAACGCATCGGCAGTGCTACGGAGCGCATCTGACTGGTCTTTAAGCCGATCCTGCGTGTTAGCCAAGTTTACCCCGCTTAGTTGGCAATTGAGTACTTCCTCGATGGTCGCATCATAATGGATCTTGAGGTCCTCAACCTGAACCTGGAGCTCATGAATGCTGTCCTGAAAGGAGGTCATGGCTGCAGATTGTGACCGAATAGCATCCAGGAGGACGACCATCTGATTCACGTTTTCCAAGTGGCCAAACAACCCTTCAGAGGTATGAGAGAGGAATTCGTCAAGGGGCTTCTCGAGCATTCCAGTTAAGGTGGCCAGAGGATGCATCACGTCATTTGTGAGGGTCTGGCGAACAACCTCTAAACGACCAAGTATTTCGCTAGACGACACTGAGGGTACAGGAAGGACATCTTGCGGTGGCGTCTCCGGAGTCAGAGGTTCTGCACTTCGACCGGTCTGCTGTTTCCATCTTTCTCTCTCCATTAGGTCGGCGAGCTCGCTCCGCGTGTCCTCCAGTTCATCCAATACACCATCCATGATCAACCAAACTCTCCTAGTTACACGGAGTCTGCCTAGCCTTGCATTCACGTCAGCGCAAATGTTAGCGGCCTTGTCGCGAACAGCAAGCAAAGACTCAATCTGAGCGGCAGCATTTTCCTTGAATGTTTGGTCAATACCGGGTCGCTCCACATTAAGAAGTGCCACTCGAAAGGCCCGCAGTAAATGGTCGGCTTGAGTGCATGATTGCTCCACCTCTTGAGTGATTGATGGTAGGAAAGTGAGAAATGCGGAATGTGCCGTAGGATGCAAACAATCCTCTGACATGAGACTAGGAGGGGTGCCATCACCATCACAGGCAGTGACTCCATTTTCAAGGCGATCGATGGCGGAATTGAAGATTGCCATTAACTCGTCAGCAGATCGGGACAAGGACTCGACATCCTTCACAGCTTCATAGCCGACTCTGTACTCCTTAGCAAGGGAATCAACTTTGGCGATCAGATCCGAAGTGGAAGCAAGTTCTGATGACAATGTTTGACTGATGAGTTCGTTGGCTGACTGTTGATCGGGAAAGAGAGCGTGGAATGGTCGCGGGAAGGTGCTGCCACTTGATGTAGGGTTGCCCCTCACAGCAATCCTTTTCACAAGGGTCTCTGCGCGGGAAAGGAAGCTGGTACTCTGGCGGTAAGTCGGGTGATAAAGCTTCGAGGTTTCGATTTCTTCCAAAAGGTTTTGGGCGGAGTTCTCATCTTTCATTGTCTCGACGTAGATTTCATCAGCTCTAACGAGCAATTAGCGAAACAACCATCAAAAAAGTCAGAAGTCTCACTTCCGCCATTGTGTAACGAGATTCATAACGAATTTGCCGATGTGCTCCATCTCGTTGATGCCTTTGTCTTCAAGTTTGTCCTGTTCATCCAATAGCTCCTCCGGAACAGCCCTGCGACTGTTGTCTATCAACTTGTCCAGAGCTTTTCCAGCTGCAGCGATCTTTCCGTGCCTAAGAGACGATACCCTGCCGGCAAACTGTGCCGAATCCCGTGACAGGAGTTCTGCAAGCTTGAAACGGGCGCTGCGAGAGAAACCAGCATTCGATGTGACAGACGTATCTGAAGCCATAGAAGCGACAGAGCCGCGACGATTTGAGGGTTTTTCTTCAGGTTTGACCATGAATTCGTAAATGGAGGGTGACCATCTAGCACGAGTGATGAGGAAGTTCTCGATGTCTGCAAGGATCTTCTGGCGGCTACTCCAGGCTGCGCGGCGTTGCTCTTCCCACGTCAACCTGATACCCAGAAGATCAAGGTTTTCGGAGCGGTCCCGCAGAAGGTGGAGGAGCTTGTCAAGTTCAAGAATGGTCGTAAGCGTGAGTTCAATAACGTCAGTGTCTTCTGGCGAAAGATGCCTCTGTGTAGCCGCTGTTACCATGGTCAGCACTTATTTCCATGAATGACAGGATACCACGTACCTTTAGTGAGTGCCCTAAGTTTCTTGAGCTCCCCAGAGTCGAAAATTTCCGTCTCCTTCTCAATCCTGTCGTGTTCTGCGAGCCATTCCTGCAGTTGTTCGCGCGTGGGTAAACCAGGGATATGGTCTGCAGAAGTTCGTATAGCGTCCAGCCCGACGAAAACCTCGATGGGCGGAAGTGCTTCCAAGAACTATGGGACCAAGAACAATTAATTTGAAATCAGGGATAAGAATGACATATCCGCACTTTGATTTTATCCTCTATCCAGGCTTTCCGCTCGCTAAATGCCTGAAGCTCAATGACCTCATGAGTCTCCAATGCTTGTTCTTCTTCATTTTGCGAGACTTGAGTGAGCTCCAATTCAGAGCCAGCGAAGGCCTGTTGTTGATCGGGTGGAGGCGTGCCAGACGCCATATCTGGAGAAACACATGAAGCAGCCGCTGGCATGGCTATTGGCGCCTCTGAATCGGGCGACATCCAGTATGATAAAGACCGACAAATATATGAAAGTTATTAGCCAGGAAAATGCAGCATTGCCTGCAGACGTTCGCAACGCTGAATAGCAGAGTCTTATGACCGTGCGTTCGCCTGCAGAATACAACGAGGCCTGGCGCCAGCCTGCGGAAAGCCGCCAGTCACCGGTGCGATAATCATTACCTAAGCCGTTCGGTTCAAGTGACGGGAGAAGATCCAGGCCGCCCTGAGGCTGTACTGTCAGCTTCCACTTTGTTCTGTTCGGCTCTTCTTCATGACATGGAGAGTCCATTTAAAAACACTGACACCGACGCTTCTGCCGCATCCACAAACGTCGCGCTGGATGTACGAACAAACTTCCTCCAAAGACATCCGGCCATCACTCATTTCGCAGTGTTAGCACTGTTTTTGACACCACTTGCTGCAGTGCCATATTTGCTGTCTAAGAGACGCATCTCCGCTCTGTCCAGCAGGTTGGACGAACTCTCAGCTACAACTACTGTTTTGCGGAAGGAATTAAAGACTTCTGCGACTGAGAATGCCACGCGGAAGATGGAATTACATCGCACATCAGCCTCACTTGAAGCTGCAAGATCGGAATTCATTCAGCTGCGTCGCAGCCTCAAACAGCTTCGTATGGAACGCGATGCGTCAGAGATAATGACGCAGAACGCTCTGAAGCAGCTTCTTGAAGAGAGAAAGTTGACCAGGCAAGCGGACAACTTGGATTGCGTCATTACATGATACGCCATCCGTCGCTGACAATATTGTTTTCTTGCAGCGAACGCTTGGCACTTCTCCCGCAGCTGGGTATCTCGCTAGCTGATGTCGCCGCATTCATGTACGAAGCCGAGTTGCGCCACGGTAGTGTCATTGATGCTCATGGCGTTGAAAGGCTTCGCCGACTTGCGCTCGAATTCCACATAGCGAAGTCGGAGGGGCCGAGGTAGGCACCTATGTACAAGCATCAACTAGATACCCTAGCTTCAACGGGGGGGGGTCGTGTGATGCTCCCTGGTTGTGATGCACTCGGAAGTCTGTATAATACATTCCATGGTGTCCCAGTACTGTATTATTATTTTCTGCGGGCCATGCCAATACTAGCGAGGTCAAGTTAATGCCTCGATGATTATAATCTTCACCTTTCATGCGCACGATCAATATCAAGCGCTAGCGTGTCCGAAGAGTATACAAAACTAGATTGGATTCCGAAACTACAGGCCATTGATACTCGTACCGTACACGTATAAAAATACAGAAACATCGTCGATGAGATAAAATATTGTAGATGAAAGAGATGAACGAAATGAGGGAAAACGTGTCCATAAGTCACAAAAAGAGACGGACATACCGATAAAAGGAAAAAGAGGAGAAAAAAAACATAGTAAATCGAGAGACTGACATGGCGAAGGAAATGTAAGGGATAGATTGTGTGAGACCGCGGGAAAGGGCCTTCGACTTCGAGTCGTAGAGACGGGAAGGGGGCCGTTAATATTGTTGCGGCGTGTCGGAATTCGGTCGTAGGGGACCTCCGACATCGAAGAGTGCAGAGATAGGGGCGCGGTGATATAGTTTGTGCGCGGCCTGTGGTGGCCTTCAACCTCGCGGGCAGTGAAGCTCCGGTCGTAGGGGACAGCGAGGGAGGTGGTTGCATGTCTTCGGGATTCGGTCGTAGGGGACCTCGGGAATAGTGTTGTCCGTGAGTTCGAAAGGATCAGTCTTGATGAATTTCGTGCGAGTCTTGATGCGGAAGCGGTGTTCCTGGCGACAGCATGGAAGTCAGTCCGAGCTGTGCCATGGCGGCAGCCCAGCCGTCGACAGTATTGGCCTGGTCGACGAGGAGTTCGGCGTGAAGTTGTTCAAGTTCACCTGTTTGAAATCAGCAAGCGAAGCAGCGTGTCATGAGAAATTACTTACTGATGTAGTCGAGTTGCTTGGCGTGAGTGGATATGATGTTGTCACGGACAGAAGATTCTGGCTAAAAATACAATGAGTGTTATTAATAATTTACTTCATAATGAGTCCGTACCTTGTGTTTACCCGGGGGGGAACTTTGATAACGCTCAAAGTCGTCATCGTTGTCAACGAGGGTGACATCAGAATCCATCGAGAGTCGTTTGGGCCTCTGCATTGGTGACGAAGATAGTAGTGGTGAGGGTGTAGTTGCATTTGTGGGTGTCATAGTGCTGGAGGAATTCGAAGAAAGTGAGATTGCAGCAGATAAGTTGGATTCGGAGGAGTATCCGAGCAGGCTTGTGGGAAGCTAAAAGTAGGACCGCCATATTGAAGCACAGTTCCGATACCACGAGGCCCGCGGTTACGTTCTCGGCTTCTTTGATTGCCTTTGTTGTGCGGTCCACGATAGTCCGTTTGAATAAGAATGCCGCGAGACAGCCAGAGACGGAGACATGAACGGCGGCGTCAACGATAGTAGAAATCATGATGTAAGGCGGGGGTCGTTAAGAAGATGCAGGTAAGTCGTGAAAATGATGCAGTACGCGGCGGGCACTGAATGGGGATATCGTTGGCGGGCGTCTGATATTTATACCATGTCGGGAAACAATTGCCGCGCAGAAAACAAATCCGCACAGCTTTTCCGATAAAGACACTCGGCAACGGTACACGACTTTGTATGTTTGAATCCTAAATTTGTGTATATGTGCATATTTTGTGTGTGAAATTGTTGAACAGATACGCTGAGCGCCATAGATCCAGCGCCATAAGGCCATAAGGTCGAGTAAATCCATGGTATTTTCATTACAACAATATCTAGGAAAGCATTTCCAAAGCACTACGTAGAACATTGAGAAATCGATAAACGACGAAAGCAACCATCATACAAGTTGATGCAACATACAACTACATAGTACTACATACATTCTAAAGACACGACGTCTAAGATACCCGACAGACCAAGGCTAATACGAGTTTCACACAAGAAAGGATATACGTATACATACAATAGCAAACGCTCACGTAGATAGCCATAACTTCCACCACTTGCGTTTCTTTGGAGGAGGGCTGGGAGGAAGTTCGGCTTTGGGGGGAGGTATCCTGCCACGTCACAGAAGTCAATCAAACGAAGACCAATCCTGCCAATATGACATACTCATCTACATGTACAGAATAGTCTCTGGTAAGAGAAGCTATAGCCTGGGTTATCTGCGCCTGATACGCTAGGCGTACATTACTCGGGACCGCAATCTTGCGGCGCCACATAGCCAGGCTGTTGCCCGACTTGGATGGGAGAAATACAAAAACGACCACCAACGCAGAGGGGTCGTAAGAGGCCACCGACTCTTGCAGAGTACGATCCATGGTCTTCTGTAGTTCCGGGTATGTTAACCAGTCAAAAGCTGGCTCATTGGGTGACTTCGAAGGCCGATAATCGGCATTCACTATGAGAGCACCGCGCTCTCGCGTTTGCAGAAATTTATGCAGCTTCCATGACATATTCAAGACGTCGAATAATCAGATATGGAGATTCGACTTACGCCAAACGAGCCCAGTCCGTATGATACCGACTGGATCCATGCCAACAAAGAAGCGACGCGCTCGTCTTTGTCAGGCGGGAACATCCAGTGGAAACGGTCCTTCGCCCTGCGCGAATGACCGAAAAAGGCGCTTGCCACAGGATCTAGTGCAGCCCCCTTAGACTCGATAAAGCCTGCAAAATCTTGCGTATTATTGCGGGCTGGGCCATTTTCCATGGATGTCGCCGTTCCGTGGTATGCGTAAGTGAGTGTTTTCGATGGCGTACCGTACGCCGACAAACCGAGCTTATTTGGAGGAAATGCATTGACGGTGAAGTTTTCCACTACTGTCGATGGAGCAACGGAAGGAGCGGTGTGAGGGGGTGAGAAATGTACTCGTCGATTCCATGCATCGTCGGAGTCATCGGCATCATCTTCAAGATCTTGCCAACCGCCGCCCAAGTTCCAGACATCGTTATGATGCTGCTGCTGTTCCTGTTCTTGCTGCTCCTTTTGCTGGCGTTTCTTCTCCTTCTTACTCTGCTTGTTCTCTTTGTCCTTCTTATTCTTCTTCCCTTGGTGTTGCGGTTGATTGGGGCTCTGATGGTGTTGTGGTTGGTGGTGTTGTGGCTGGTGGTGTTGCGACTGGTGGTGTTGCGGCTGGTGGTGTTGCAGTTGGTTTGGGTCCTGGTGGTGTTGCAGATGCCTGGGTAAATTTGCATGAGCTAAAGCGTAAGCTTCATCGTGTTGCGGCTGATTCTGGTGGTGTTGTTGCTGCCTGTGCTGACTCTGCGCAAGCGCTAAAGCGTGTGATTGGGCTTGTTGCTGCTGAATCTGAATCTGATGCTGCTGCTGCTGAATCTGGTGCTGATGCTGTTGTTGTAGTTGTTGCTGCTGCTGCTTGTGCTGACTCTGCGCTTGAGCTAGAGCATAAGCTTGCTCTTGTTGCTGCCGGAATGCTGCAGACATGACGGCTTGCTGCTGGGACCACTGTGTATTACCAGATTGCTGCTGAGGCGCTTGTGCATTTGCGCCTTGCGGCTGGAAATAACCACCAGTACCTGGGGGCGGATTGGCAGCGGCATACGGTTGTTGGCTCTGTGGTGGCTTATTTAGCAACGGTCTTAAATTTGGGATCGTTGTAACGGAGATAAGTATGATGCCCCAAGTGAAGCTCAAAGAGGATATGATAGCGGAATCAAAAGTCACCTTGGGTAATCTTTGTGCCTCTTCGCCCCATGTCTGCCAACTGCTCTGCTGATTCGGTTGACGCTGAGCATACACCTGTGGTGCATGAACAGACTGCTTCTGAGCATACGCCTGTGGTGCGTGGGTAGGCTGCTGTTGATTCCACGCCATCGCCGGTGCACCCCATTGACCGTCCTCAGCGGCCCATTCATCTTCCTCGGTTTCCGAGGTATTTCCGCCCTGTTCCCAACCAGCTTCGTGGCTCCAATTACTCCAGGCAGGTTCATCCATAGCGCGCTGAGTGGTTTGACTCATGTTACCTTTCAACATCTGCTTTTTCGCTGGTGCCGGCGTCCCTCCAGCATCATCCCAAGCGCCGCCGCCGCCTCCCCATCCATCGTTATCTCGCGATTGTTGGTGCTGTTGGTGTTGACGATGATGCTGATGCTGCTGCTGTTGATGCTGCTGCTGCTGCAGTTGCTGCTGCAGTTGTTGATGGTGCTGCTGCTGCTTTTTTTGAGACTTAGTGTTGCCACCGTCCTTCTGTGGTGGTCGTGGTGGCATCTGTGCCTGGGAAGGAGCGCTCGTCTCCCATTGCTCATCATTGGGCCAGCCACCGTTGCTATTTTGAGGATCGCTGAACGCCCAACCGTTCAGATCCTGTGGGTCATCGCCGGCGTCATGCATTTGCTCCCAAGAATCCTCATTAAGGTCACCGGCATCCATATCACCTTCGTGGGAGATAACATTCAGAATCCTGTGGCCATACATATGGCTAAAAAGACTCACCGAGTCCACCAAAATCATCATCCTCTTCCTCGATCGTGTCTATGGTCATTATCGGAGGAGGTAGTGCGGGAGGTGGGGGAGGTGCAGGCGGAGGCGGCGGTGGGGGAGCAGCTGCAGGAGGAGGTGCAGGTGCTGCAGCAGGAGTCTCCTTCTGCTTGCCCTTCTTGCTATTGGTATTCTTGGGCATTTTACCCCACACGAGCTACGCAGATTGTGAGACTCGTGTTTAGTGACGCACTTACACGCCTAAGGACAAGAAATTAAAGACTCGAGGATGCCGTTCGGTTGAATGAGAGAAGATTTCCAAATAGCGTAGATCGATAACCGGATAAGCAAGATATGAGTGGGAGATAGATGAATTGAACAGACACGAGTCAAGAACATGAGGCATGTGGGAACAAATATCCTATTTCAATGTGTACATTAACCCCTAACCTTAACGTAAGGTTACACAACCGTTATATTCGCTTCGTCACCTCATCCACAACCTCGCTCGTCTTACTCTTGCCTCCCAGATCGGGTGTCAGAACCTTGCCTTCCCTGAGCACAGAATCCACTGCTCTTTCAATCCGATCTGCGCCATCTCCATATCCAATGTGACGCAGCATCATCGCCGCTGAACGAATGGCTGCCAATGGGTTAGCGATATTTTGTCCGGCAATATCTGGTGCAGAGCCGTGAACACTATGAAAGTCTATCAATGAGCTGAACCCTAGTAGACGTTGTTGCTTACGGCTCCCCCATTACGAATGAGTCTCCTGCGTTGACTGAAGGCACCAGACCAAGCGACCCCACCAACGCTGCTGCTGCATCCCTGCACCAACCAGGTCAAACAGCGTGAAAATCTGACTGAAGACTGACGTACGAAAGGATGTCACCATAGAGATTGGGAGCGACCATCACGTCATAAATTCTAAGAGATATTTAATGGCGATGTCTAATTTTCGAAGACAGACTTACTCGGGCTCTCGGAACAATCTTTGAACACAAGACAGGTCATCGCGTGTTGACAAGAAAATCGTCTTACGCACCTGTACACAGCGCTATCTACAAGCTGCTCGGCAACTGTAACATCATCATACTTGCCATCCACACCAGGTAACGTTGGCACCGCGCGGACCGTCTCGCGGAACAGGCCATCGGTAATAGAAAGGACGTTCGATTTGTGAATTACGGTCAGGTGCTAAGATGACATGTCAGCAGAGATGACTGAGCAATGACTGACTGAGTACCTTACGGGGGCGCTCCAGTGCCATTTTGAACGCCAATTCACCTATTCGTCGGGAAGCCCGTTCTGTGATAAGGCGAGTAGCCCGAGCCTCTTTGCCATGTTCCCCGACGGTCTGTGTTTCCTGCTTGACATACTGTTGCGCTTGTAAGTCGAAGAGAGATGTCACACCAAAATAACACTACCAGGCACTCGGTGTTTTCGCGAATGACAACAAGGTCTACACCTGACTTCTCTCCAGGATTAACAGAAACCTGGGGGAAATAAATGGACAGGTCGAGTAACAACAAACTAAACACACTGATTTCACCGGCCGGATATTGGCGTATAGATCCATCTTTTTACGAAGTGCGACGATTGGTGATGAATACCCAGTCACTTTTCGAGATGGAGAGCTAGCATCATCCACGAATGTATTAGACTTTATTTATTGCCTGTGAGATGTATATGTGCATACCTGACAGCCCCAAAAAGCGCACAATCACATTCATTTTTCAACACCTGGACAGTCTCTTCAGGAAGTGCGGTTCCCGTTTTCGTGAAATACTCGAAACCAGCGAGTAAGTCAATAAACTCTGTCTTCGGTATGGAAGATCCAAGAGCCAGAATGGCAGCCTTCGCACCCTGACAGACGTGTCTATCAATATGTACCAGTGGAAAAGAACAATACTTACAGGTAAAACTTCCCTGCCAATTCCATCAGCTGGGAGCATCCCAATTTTCAACGACTGCCGGGCAGCCGTCGCCATCGAACGAATGGGCGCTCTGAATACCATGATATTTGTTCGTCAGTTGAGACAACCACACCGGTAGAAACTTCAAGAAATTTAGGAAGGGTAATTCGCAAGAGAGCCGAACTTGCTCGCTGTACCATGGTTCGGCTTTTCGGCCGCTAGTCAGGTAAAGGTTAGTCGCGTAGCACGTGATGCAGCGCGACGCGATTATGAACGCTGCCTGCCACGGCCCACCTCATACTAACATCGTCCAAAAAACTTCTTCAGATATGCTTGATAGTCTCGAGGCTCCTCGCTGTGAAATTTTCTCCGATGCTACCAATGTTCGGGAGAGCTTGCACTTCCACGCATCTCAGCTTCCAACACCAGTTACACCACTAGAGTCTGATGGCAAGCCAAAGCGCCGTATGTCACAGTCTGACGAAACACCTACAAAGAAGCCGAGACTGATGGTTGCGGAGTCGAGCAATGACGCAATCGACGTTGACGTTGAAATGGACGATGTTGTCGTCAAAAGACGAGGTTGTCGCCGTACAGCATTTCGAATGTTAGGCCTAGCCTCCAATGGTCATCCTACTGGACCTCATCGAAACATCTGTAAGTTATACAGCTATGTTTTGCATATCTCTTTGAGTAACCTCTGTAGTGCCATCTCGTAACATTCTGCAGTCGTTTGTGTCCTCACAAATATCGGATGTTTTCAAATGTTTTTCAAGAACAGTTGACTCTTTCGTCACACCCCCTTACGCCTGTGCATACTCCAATGGCATGACTTTCCTTTTTAAATCCTTATTGTGACTAAATCTCATGCAGGTGCAAAAAGTGGTGGCGTGCCCCTTCTTGCCGTTGCTACAGAGCAGGGATCCATCGCCATACTCGAAACGACCAAACGGAAAGAATGGGATTGTGGTAGGTTTCCACCGTGTCACTTCGGTGGTGACCGGTACTGACCTGAATGAAGAACCTCCGCAAGTGAATCTCGAGCCCCATGACAATGGTATCTTCGATGTCAAATGGAGTGCGGACGACGCTCTTCTCGCTACGGCATCTGGAGATAAAAGCACCAGAATATCCTCTGTTGAGACGCAACAATTACTTTCCATTCTTGATGGTCATACCAGCACTGTAAAATGCGTTGCGTGGGATCCGACGCATCGAGACCTCTTGACTACAGGTGGCAGGGACGGAATGCTTTGCTTGTACGACTTGCGTGTCAACAACTTATCTGATGAAGATGAAATTCCCGCAAGAAGCCCTGTGATCACAATCACTGCTGCTCACGGACAGGATAAAGCTTCCGGTGGCAGACAAAAGCTTCGACCTTTGCCCAGGGGCATCACGAATATCATTTACCCCGATGACCGGCCTCACGGACTAGTCAGTAGTGGATCGTTTGATGGGTAAGGAGATCAGCTTTTCACTCAAGTGCGCGGTTAATCGACCGTGCAGCATCTTACACTACTGGGACCTTCGCCTTCCTTCGGACAAGTCCTCGAAGCGCAGCCCTAAAAAACCGTCATTCAAGCCACTATTTTCCTCTGGCATGGATCCGACTACATTCCATGGTGCTCGTTGTCGAGGCATCACAAGCATGTCTCAAGGATCGGGTCCTAGCGCAGGCCTCCTCTTCGCTCTCGGTGCTGATTCTCGCTTGTACACATATTCTTACCCCACCCTTACCCCGCTTCGCACTGAAACACACCCTAATCTGCAAACGAACTCATTCTATGTCCGACTAGCCACTTCTCCATGTGGACGCTGGCTCGCAAGTGGCAGTACAAGCCGAGCTGGAAGCTTGTTCCTTTTTGACATCAGCAACGCTGGCAAAGTAGCGCCATCGTACGGCAAGGGTGCTGGTGAACCAGTTTCCCCAGCAGTCCGTTTCCGTGGACAATCGGGTGAAATTGGAGCAGTCGACTGGGCAAGTGACATGGTTGCGAGCTGTGCTGATGACGGGACAGTACGAATTTGGAGGCCTGATGTGGAGTTGTATCAAAACTGTATCACCAACTCAGAGGAACATAAGTGGGAATGGATGTGGTCCACCTAAATCCATTGGTCTACCTTTCTTGACGTGGGTGTAGTATATCTCGTTTGTTGTTATTGAAGAAATTTCTTCATCATTAAACCTAGCGATATGGATGTTGCTGAGCTTAATGTTTCATCATGATGGCTTGCAGTGCGGTGACCTTTTCGTTTGCATTATTATGAGCGTCTGATGAATTGATGGTCCGCGCAACACCGAAGGGAGACGAACAGGAGGCTGAGGAAATTATTGAACTTCAGTTGAAGTGCTTGCTCAATTCGAGCCTTTAATAATTGTGCACTTCATCACATCAAGGAGTTTTGGTTATCATAATTTGGTGAACCTCTCCATCCCAACTGCGATGCTGCGGGGTTGCGGGCCTGGGCCCTGCTATTTGAACGTGGCCATAGACTACTTTGACAAGTTATTACGAATGAGAAAAAATTCACGACGAGGCAGATGAGCCGGAAACATGAATCATAGGTATGGTTGGAACAAGGACGTGTTCCTTTGACTGATTTCGGATTGATTTTCGGGCATTCAAGCTACGAGAAACAATTCAGTCAGCAAGCTAGTATTATAGACAACCCCCCAATGTAACTTACACTGCGAGCATCGAGTTGACGTTTGCTGTGCGGATCGGCTTAAGCAATCACATCTGATCAGCGTACAAGAAACGCACATTTACACAGAATAGCAGAGGGAAACCCGGTCCAGTAACGTGCACCCTGGGTAAAGTACTGGAATGTTCCAATCAGGACAATGGTCACAGGTGGTGAATCCTGAGTAACTTGCCAGCAGGAACCACACAATAGCCACAAGGCTGGTTTGAAAATAAAACCGATCAAACACGAGTTGAAATATTTACAGTGAAAAGAAACATACGATGTGATTACGCCCATCTGCACAGAAACGACGACGAGCTATTGCATGTGATTGTTTGTGCTAGATGTCATTTAGGTAGCATATCGGGCGCTCAACTCAAGCAAATTGAAATATACCGTTTGATTCCGCTGCGTGCCGGCCGAAGATAGAATAAGAATGATACAGATATCATAACATCGCAGATCGCGCTCGCTGCAGCGTATGGGATTTCAAACTGTCACAGCGATACTTGTATGAGTGGCTATTAATTCATCCCATACCAACTCAGGACGTACAGGGCAAGTGAAAAACGAAGCTGCACTTCTCGTTCTGGCACTGGGACCTTGAGTATTTTCGAGTTCATAAGGCAAGAATAGCGAACGCACGTTGTTACCATTATTGCTTTGAACGATGAAATCCTGAGTGCATGCCCATAAAACATGCCCAAACAAGGCGAACGCACCAATTCCGAGCCCTGTGATTGTCTCTCATCAACCTCACAGCAATGAGAATCTTGAAGTGCGTCCTCACCATATTGCCCCAGGGTAGTCACTAGGACCGAGCCCACGAGTTTCCAGTTCATGTCGCTGACTGGGCGACTAATTAAAAGCCGTTTATGACAACCTCCAAGCGCGACGCACCAATCCAGACTCGATGGGCGTAAAAACTTGAAAAAAAAGCCTCCTGAGACATCAGGCCACCACTCTCACTAGGCTGATTACATACCACTGGACGATGACACGAATCGTGGCCTACAGATAGAAGTGAGGGCAATTATCCAAAGAGGTGCAAATTTCTCATTACACTGAGGAAGATACCAGCCTATGATGAGACCAGTTAGTCGTGCAGCATGAGCATCCATATGTCATTCTGGCACATACAAACATTTCCCTACTGCGATTCAATATCCAAGTAGTCACGCCTGATAATACATTGTAGCTTACCATGGAAGAACCTGACATTCAGGACTAGTGTTGCGACGGCAATTTACCAGCAGCTTCCGAAAGAGAGCGCTAGTACAATATGTGTGGAACATGTCCAGAACACTTTGGTCAACAGCTGTCAATCAGTGACGAGCCACTAATCTTGAAAGACACGCACAATACAAGAATCACCTATGGCACAATTCATTGAGCTGCAGCCAAGAACTGTAGCCAACTGCACGTACCACCACTTTGATACGCATGTATTCACTCACAAAAGCCTTCAAATAGAAGCCCATTTGACTAGCAGCTATGCCGGACATCCTATCAGTATGTCCCGTTCAGTAGTATTTTAGTCGCAATGCAATGCATACACAAGACTTACCACAGAGCAAAGATGTACCCTGATATGAACCGTCAGTTGCAAATGGGGGTTTAGAGAGGTAGGAGTACTGACCGATTACTCCAGGTCCCCATCCTGCCACGTACGCGTCGTTTCTTTGTGCTAAGTCCATCAACAAGGCCAGAGCTATGCAGATCACGGTGCAAGCAGAAGAATGGTCAACCGGTCACGGTTTGCCACATTCATATGGGGTGCCGATAGAACGATATTCTATTAATCCAAAAACATCAGGTCCTCCTGCCGACGTGCCGCCGTCAATCTAGGGTGATAACGATCTTAGATCTAGAACCCCTGTCGACTGTTAGGTCCCCCACCCTCGACACCACTCATCCACTAGATAGAAGCGTAAGCCCGGCCTTCCTCTAGCCTATAGCATAATCGAACACATGCCTTGCATAGCTAGTTGCTAAGACTTCTAGAAGTGATCATGACTTCGACGACAGAAACCCACACCTAATTAAAAAGGTAAGTCACTAATCGCACTGACAGCGTCAAAATACTAACTTGACTGAGTCCGAAACCATCGTTTCCAACACGCCAAAACATCGTGGCCCACTCAACTGAGAAGCCCCTAACCGTCCGACTAGTGTCTTGCTGCCGATCAATGATCGCACTTGTCTCGGCAACAAAAGCTAATTAATTTATAAGCAACCCGCTGGTATAGTGACATATCAAACCCACTAGAGAGTTGCGCCGTTGTGGAAGTTCCTCTGCTCCTTAGTCAAGGATAATTTCGTGGTTTAAATCGACTTAGTTTGGAAACATGGAACCGGATTGTTCAGGCTTGGAAGTTCATCCGACACTGACTGGCAATTGAATGGGATATTCGAAGAAAGCTCTGTTTGAGGGCCAAGCAGAGCGGTTCGTGTGGGCGGTATGTTTGCATATTTAATTCGTGTAATTGTGCGGATTCGTGCAAACCCAGCGCCGGGGTCGTCCAGAGAGGGATTTTACGGTCATGATTGGGATTCGTCTATGACACAATAACGGGGTGTCTTTAGAGACACAACGACCCTGCCAAAAAGACAATAGGTTCCGTCAGGGACACAGCGCCACGAGAGTGGTCAAATAAGCCTCAGTCATCTATCCTTCGTGAAACGGAATCCAATCTATAGGGCAAATTACGGGACAATTATGCTTGCTGTACCAATGGGGTATACCACTGTCCAAAGACGACGGGAAGAAATATGCAAGAGACGGTGAAGATGTACGTCCGCGAGAACGGGCCGCATATTCTACTTTTTCTGTATTGCATTCACTAACCTGTCGTTCGGACATGTCAATTTCGTTAGCATGGGAGAAGGCACGGCACTGACCAGTCTAATCCTTCTTCCAGGCCTTGCCCCTCTGTTGCACAGCTCCCACGCACGCTCCATGGTCTTGATGTCTCGCGACCTGCGAGACCCAGTTGTTCGCTGATATCTTCAGGTTTTAGCGCACCTTCGACGTCTTGCTTATTGCAGAATACAAGGAGTGGCACGCCGTTAAGTTCATCTTCCGAAAGCATGGTCAACAGTTCACTCCGTGACGTCGTTAACCGTGCATGATCGGATGAATCGATAACGTATATGATGGCAGATGTGTTTGGGAAGTAACATCGCCAATATGGCCTTCGAGCACTGGTCAGGTATTGCTGACAAACTTTACTAAGCTGTACACACCGTATGCTAGACTGGCCTCCAAGGTCCCAAACTTGGAACTTGATGTTTTTATACTGAATGAGATTGTCAATAATGTCAAATACAGCTTTTTGTTCAGGAACACACCTGGACTGTCTCTACATTGAAGCCGATTGCTGGGTTGTCCCCGATGAGCCCCAAATTCCACAAAGCCTATGATGACATACTCACTCGGGATTGTAGAGACCACTTCTCCAATCTGGGATTTTGTTCAGACCTGGACAGCGTATATTTTGAACATCACTCACCTGTAACCGGTACAGGATTGTCGTCTACGAAAACACCAAACCATTGTAAACCGAATAACGTCATATTTGCAAGTCGACATACCTTTCCAGCCGAATCGAGGCCGAGCATGAGTATACGGACATCCTGGTCTTTGCTCCATCGTACCAGCGATGACAACGACGTGAAAAGGGAAGATATTGTGAGACCCATGGACCCCAGTCAGTATGCGAATTTTGCTTTGTAGTAGTAGTACTAGTAAATAGTGTAAACACAGGGCGTTTAGCTGGCGAGCTTATCACGTGAACGAGTGAAATCACAACTCCATCCAGAATCCCAAAAAGGGTACTCACTAGATATGTACACGCGGTAACCTTAATCCTGTACAGTGCAGCATGTCTGTAAAAGCTATGGGGGACGCATCGCCCAAATCACACACAAAGTCCAAGTCCGCGGACTCTCATGCCAAGGATGTAGGTCAAGAACGCGTAAAGTCGAAGAAGAGAAAGCATAGAGAGGCTATTAGTGATGTGTTACCCACCCCAAACGATCAAGCAGCTTCTGCGACCCAAGATTCTCAGAGCGCGAGTAATCCCTTATCTCCTCCAAGTACACCCTCCGCCGCAGGAAATGTCGCATCCAAAAATGCCCAGCTAGCAGACTCGGCAAAAAGTGACACGGAGCGAACATCTAAGAAAAAGAAGAATAAGAGCCACTCGGAGGACACGGCGCATGAGCAGTCCAAAGAAAGAAGTGACAAAAGTAAGAAGGAGAAAAAGATGAAGAAAAAGCACTCGGACGAAGGCAAGCAGGAAGGAACCACACTCGATGAACAGGTCGTACATTTGAACGATACCAAGCTTCAAACACTGGAAGATGCAGCCTCAGAGAAGTCGCAACATACGAGGAAGAGGAAGGCGAAGGAACAGTCGGAAGAAACCCCTTCTGATAGCAAACCACGCAAGAAAAAGAAAGGCCATCGTCCACCAGATTTGCCTTACCCAGATCCTAGTGTGGACGAGTCTCTGTCTGATCAAAGTCAGAAATGTACGTCGCAAAATTTGCGTATTTATTACTGAGCATAGAATGATTTACAGCGTTATCGTATGCATATGCACGATTCCAGGATCCACCAAACTGGAAGTTCAATAAAGCCAGGCAGATATGGCTCATCAAAAGATTATGGTCGGAAGAAATGGCGAGTTTCTCCTGTGAGTTTGACGATTGCAAGGCTGATTGTGGTTTTCTGTCCCAGATACCCGAGAAATATTTTGCGCTAGTGACTAAATATCTCGCAGACGTAAAGGGGGGGATTCGAGACGTATGTTTTGGACATCTTGTTTGAAGACCGAGCTTATGATGCTTTTTCTCTAGAACCTCATACAAATGTGCAATTCTGTAGTGACTTCAGTGACAGCGGATCCTGTGACTTCAGAGCCGTCTGATCTCTCGAATGAAGGGTCCACTATCACGACTAAAATGGCGAGGGCTCGTAGCTTACTGGATGCTCTGTCGGATGTACAGTAAGACCAGTTCAGTTTGACGTGGCGTGTTGCAGCCATTCGAAGTGCCAGTGCAAGGATTACGGGCTACATGTCACCTTGAGCAGACAGGTACAACATTAACAAGAATGATGGATATGACCACACTAGCATTGGAATATAGGTCATACTTAATATTCTCCTAACAAGCATCAAGCCGAAACCGCGACACTAGGCGCGACGGGCACGTCAATTGTATTGACGGGAGCCCGCGGCGCTTTCGCTTTCTTTGACAGAGCCCCGGCAACGTGCTCAACAGCTCCAGTCAACAACGCGGCTTCCACCTTCCTCTCCGTCTCGCTCAACTTGACAGCTCCCAAAAGGTCCTCAAAGCTCTCCCGAACCACCTGAACTGCATTAGCGTCAACCACAGCTGTATCTCCATCGTGCAACGTCTGTGGTTGTCCAGCGGTGTTGATCTGAGCGTTGGTCCAGATGGGTTCAACGTTTTCCTTGCCTACGCCAACGTTGGCACGTCCACCCAACTTTGCCCATTCGCTGATCCGGTTGATGTTGAGCTCCGTAAACACTGTATCCATTGCAGCAATCAAGCCATCCATCTGCTCTGCGGTGTGACGAGGAGTGACAGTGACGCGAAGACGCTCTTCGCCCACGGCAACGGTAGGGAAATTGATTGCCTGAACGTAAATACCGTGTTCGTGAAGAAGTTTGTCGCTGGCTGCTCTTGCGAGGCCAGCATCACCAATTAAGACCGGGACGATGTGAGAAGGACCGGGGACGACGGGTATATCTAAAGCAGCGAAACGTTCCTTGACAGTGCGAACATTGACTTGCTTCAATGCTCGATCACCAACATGGTGCTTCTGGTAAATGACGGAAGCGCGAGCACCAGCGACTGTAGCGGGAGGCAGTGATGTAGTGAAAATAAAACCGGGTGCGTATGAACGAATCATGTCGATGAAATCGCGAGACCCCGCAACGTATCCGCCAACAGTGCCGTATGCCTTGCCAAGTGTACCTGCCCAGAAGGTAAGCGGAGCCCGTCAAATAGATGTCTATGATGGTGACTAACCAGTAATCATGTCAATACGATCCATCACGCTATCCTTGACCGGCTCGGAAGTTTGACCGGCTCTCTGGTGAGCTTCCCAGTCGAGATGCTCGGCAACGCCCGCACCGCGAGGTCCGTAAAGCCCGACAGCGTGGACTTCATCAAGGAAAGTCAAGGCGCCGTACTTCTTAGCCAGATCACAGATCTCCTTGATAGGTCCGATGCTACCGCACATAGAGTAAACACTCTCAAATGCGATGATCTTGGGCGTGTCCTTCGGATATTTCTGCAGTTTTGCCTCAAGGTCATCCATGTCGTTGTGTTTGAAAATCTCCTTCTTCGCACCGGAGTGCCGAATGCCCTGTATCATGGATGCGTGGTTGGAAGCATCCGAGAAATAGACGCAACCAGGGAGTTTGGAACCGAGGGTAGATAAAGTCGCATCATTGGCGACGTAGCAAGACGAAAACACGAGGGCGGAATCCTTGCGATGAAGGGTAGCAAGCTCATGCTCCAGACTGAGATGTGTAGCACTATTTCCAGCTATGTTTCTAGTGCCTCCTGCACCCGCGCCGTATTTGTCTAATGCCCGACTGCGTGAGAAAAACGTTAGCTTGGGACCAAAATCGAATGATATCAGAAGCTATACGTACTGCATGGTTTCAAGTACAACAGGATTATTTCCCATTCCCAAGTAGTCGTTAGCGCACCAGACTTGGACTTCATCCTTCACACTAGCAGTGTGCGCAATTGGAAATTTGGTTGCGAGCCGGTTAATGTTGTTGAAGTACCGGTAGGACTGATCCTTGTGCTTCTTCTCAAGCTCGGCCGCATAAAACTTGTCGTAGTTATAGGTGTCTGGAGCAGTAGAAGTAGTCTGACTTTCTGTCATGCTGGGCAATTTAACGGGTTGTTCCTTTGCGGCAGCGGCAGCCTTGTGGAAAGGGCATCCGGCAGCAGCGGCCCTCTGAGCCGTGCTGGGGACTTCCTCGGGTGTCTTCGCAGTAGAGGCGGCAGCGAGATCGTCCGCCATGCGAGCAGCGGCCCGAGCAGCGGAAGCGTGAGGGCATTTGGCAATATCCGCCTCGGAAGCACTGGTTCCGGGAAAGACACCTTTGCTGTGATGCATTTTCTGGACGTCAGCCTGGCCAGCGATGCTGGCGTAACCAGCGACCATCTGGGTGGAACGCATCACCAGAGCCGGACCCATGATGGGGCAACCCGTGGCTCGCTCAGTGAGCTGAGAGATCGAGGGGAATCTGGGGGAAATGGTGCTGCTGAGGGCGCGGAGGGTGGAAGTCTTAGTCCCGCCCAAAAACGGGCAGGAACTCTTGAAACGAGCCAGCGAAGAGAGCTTTTCCATGGTAATGGGAGCTCTCGAGAAAAGGTCACAGTATATATGGCCGGATCTGAAACAGTCAATCAACAGTCAGTGACACAGGCGATGGAGACTAGCACAGATATGTAGGCTTACAAGCAAGTACTAGTCAGTGAGCGCAACCGGGAAAAATATGGGAGATCGGGGATTTGAAACTTTGAGAAACGTTATATTGACTTTTGACTTGAATTAGGAAAGCTTTCATTGGCTGGTGAAATATAATCACGTGTCTTTTAATTTATGAGCTGACGTGGAAATACAATTTCTTATGAGACGACACAGTCATCAGTGTGTAACCAAAGTGACAACTTAACCCCGCAAAGACGACAGGCACCCTTCAAGCACGTCCATAGCTATATCCACCTCTTCCTTGTTGACATTTAGAGAAGGCACGAAACGTACTGCATCTTTCCCAGCAGTCAGCAGGAATACTCCACGCTCTCGCGCTAGCTGCACTACTTCTCCAGGATGTGAGATGTCATTGAAGCCAATGCCTCGGATGAAACCACGACCGCGCACGTGAGGCTGTAAGATGGCTGGGAACATTTTCGGCAAATTTTCAAGCCGACTGTTCATGTGCGCGCTGATATCCTTCATACCAGCGACGAACGCACGATCACTTAGGCGGTTCAGAACGTGATGTCCAACTGCACAAGCCGTGGGCGACCCTCCAAACGTCGTCCCATGAGTGCCTGCCAGGAACCTGTCAGTTCCTGTGATCGACTCAGATGACATGTAGTTCTCACCTGGAGTCATTGTAGATGCAATGGTATCACGTAGTAATACGGCACCAATTGGATACCCGTTAGCGAGTGGCTTCGCCATCGTGATGATATCAGGATGGCAATCAATCGGCAACGCCGAATGCGCCCAAAGATTCCCAGTTCTGTACAGCCCGCACTGCAATTCAAATCAGAATGTTGTGTGACAATGTTAGAAAGTAGAACAAACCTGAATCTCATCATAGATCAAGACTGATCCTGTCTCGTCACAGCGTTTTCGGAGATTCGTCAGCCACTCTTGATTTGCGGCAGCAGCGCCTCCCTCTCCCTGTATGGGTTCGACAATAACTGCGCAGGTATCATCGGTGATAAGCCTATGGAGGCATTCCATATCATTGAGTTTGCCAACGCTGATCCCAGGTATCAATGGTCGGAAGGGTATCTGGTACTTTTCCGTCGACGTCACGCTCAGAGCACCCATACTTCGACCATGGAAAGAGTTCTCAAAGCACACGATCTGGGTCTTAGGACACGAAGGATCGTCTGCATTTCCACCGGTGGCCGCGGCCCAGCGGTCCTTTCCAACTTTGCGAGCTATCTTCAGCGCGCCTTCATTCGCTTCGGTGCCCGAGTTGGCGAAGAAGACCTTGGCCCCGTGGGCCCCGTGCTTAGCGGTTGATGAAGACGGGGAGGTGCTGCCAGCGGCGTAACCTAGTCCACCTTCTTTTTCAGTGAGTGTTACCAAAAGCTGCGCTAGCTTTGGTGCCCACTCGTTGTAGTATACATTTGAAGTATGGAGAAGGGTCGATGATTGCTGCTGTAACACCTGTGTTGGTATAGTCTCAGTTCCCATCATAATGCACGCTCTCATCCATTATGAAAAAGAAGGTTGGAAATGTAGAAAATTACTCACCTGTGAGACACCCGGATCTGCATGTCCCAATGCATTCACTGCGATACCTGCGCTGAAATCAAGAAATTTTCGGCCATCTGCGTCCCAAACCCAGGAACCACGTCCATGCGAAAGCACGAACGGAGGGCGTGAGTAGACAGGAAGAAGGTATTCATCACCAAGCGCAATAGTAATTTTGGTTGCAGAGGACTGAGTGTGTGCAGAAAAGTCATATATAGGCTTCAAGTAGCGTGTACTGGGGGTTGTTGGAAGCTACGTCTCTTCGCATTTTGTAAACAAAAGTTACAAAACACACGCTGGCGTACCTCAGATACAACATTTGAAGCATGCCGCCTGGGTGCTGCTGATGGGGTCGCACTAGAGCCTCGAGCCAAAATTTGCAGCCGGGTAACTGGGAGAGGACCTGACAGACGAGTCAGACGCGCAGTGGATTGCATGGATGCCTGCAATGTAGTTGAACCAACTCTCGAAGCAGGAGATGTAAAAGGAAGAGAAAGTACCACACCACAGGAATAAATTGATGAGCAGTACTATGAGTCACTGGCACACCAACTCCGAGTCTGACCAACAGCAGTAGTGTGGTACACAATTTAAGGCAAGGGGAGCCGACTAGTCAGCGGTAATTTCATAGGACCAGCGTACGTATGTAGAGCCAGTAGCATTAAACTTGCAACAACAAAAAAGTCCACCAATCACAATGCAAGACAGATATTTGCAGCACAAAATTTTGTACAAAATACAAAGCAGAAGCAAAGCGGGCAAAAGCCTCACGAGTCATAACATCCGGATAAATAATAGATTCTGGGTGCTGGCGCTGGCATCTTAATCTCTGGAGCGACTGCGTCCAGTGCTCACGGACATGGACGAATCTGAAGAACCTGAGCGACCACGTCCTGTAGGTCGCGGTGATCGCGAGGCATGTCTCCCACGATCCTGGTCTGTTCCATTACGGGGAGGAGGTGAGAGCTCTCGGTCTTGCCGAGTTGGAGATTCTGACCTATCCCGTCCACGTCGGCGGGGCGGTGTTTCTGAGCGATCACGGCCACGACGAGGAGGCGATTCTGAACGCTCACGCGGCCGTGTGGGGGGTGGCGATCGCCTCAGTGGTGGTGTTACAGACCCAGAACGCCGATAGCCTGCTCGGCCGGGGGAACGAGACCGTTTAGACTGCACAGGAGACGGAGAGCGCCGACGAGGCGGAGGAGACCGAGAAGGTGACCTGCGGCGTCGGACGTCTCTGTCACGTCGCGGGCTTCGGCTCCTGCGGTCACGCTCACCATGAAAATCTCTGGGTCGATCCCTGAATGCAGGAACGGGAGGAGGAGGCATTCTCTCCTTCCTTCGGCCGGTCTCCTCCTTCTCTCTTCTTACCCTATCCTCCTCCCTTCGACGCAAGCGATCGCGCTCCCTCTTGTCTGCCTCCCACTTCTGCTTTTGCTCCATCACTCTCAACCTATCTTCCTCACGTTTCCGCTCGCGCTCTTCTCGCTCAACCATACGACGCATCTTGTTTTCCTCCTGTTTTTCTCGATCAAATGCATCGCCCTCCGTGTAGTTACTTTTCGTGCCAAATGCTCGGGCCATTTTGTCGAGTTCAGCCTTTTTGGCAGCTGCGATACCATGCGTGTCAGATGGTTTTAGTTTTTTCGCGGATGGAGCGAGTGATGCCAAATCCTTGTTCAAAGTTGTGCGAAGTTCTTCAACTCGCGTGTTGATTGTGTCTTCATCCAGACTGTTCAGACAAAGGTCAGAGAATCGCTAATGCAAACATTCAAGTCCACGTACCCATCGTCCTCTAGCTGCAGTTGCAGCTCCAGACATTTGACTTCAACCTTTCTCTTTCTCTCGTGTTCCAAAATAGCCTCGTCCGGTTCCCTGTGTTTTGGGGGAGCCACATCCCATGCAGCAGCTCGGTCTGCGGCAGTCTCGTGCACACGAAGTGCCGAGAGGTTACGCATGACATAGCCATTTGTGCCGCTGTGATACGTCATCAGCATGATGAATTCGACCATGGCCGAAAAGAACGCACCTTCCACGGGGAGTGGTTAATCCGATACCGTTGTACATGGCGTTCCAGAGATGAAGACGATGTAATTGGGTTGGGTTCAAATGATTGAGGACAACATAGAATCGGAGATTTAATATGGTCCAGCCGAGATCGGCATGGCATAAAGATTTGTCATGACTCTCCCGTTTATAGGACGCGTCGTGGTAGCGGCAGGGCGACTGCCTCAATATAATTACATTACATAGCACGCACACCCTTCTCCATAATAACCCGTTCCTTCTTACATTCTCCTTTCTTACATCTTCCACCATTTCAGCGATTAACCTTCTCCGCAGGCCACCAGGCGCCATGTCAGCTTCAATACCAACTAGTAGTTCATCTACCTTCCTCCCACTTCCCCCGGCTAAGGATATACCTGTCACCTTTACGGCGAGCTTGAAGAGCTGGTAAGTGGAAGGAAGGCTAATACACGTTGCTGTGTAACCCTGACGATCCGAGCCAGGTGGGCTGCTGGTGACAAGCAGGGTACTGCATCCGAGGAGCGGCTACTCAGGTATGCAGCATATCTCCATGAATTGAAAGCATGCATATGACCTCATTGCAGGCGGCTTCCATTCTTCCAGCCAGAGAAAATGGCTTCCTCAACGAACGACAGTCCCGTTATCGCGCACAGGGAGCGTGTGCAGCTCGCGGCACCAAAGCACTTCCTAAATACCTTATCAATCAAGTCCACCAATCCGTCACCGACTGCGCCACCCCCCGCCGTCGTCCTTCATGGCTACGGTGCAGGTCTCGGTTTCTTCTTTCGTAATTTCCCTGCACTCGCACAATGGGCAGGGCACCGCGGCACCGACGTATTTGCTGTGGACTGGCTGGGCATGGGCCGCTCCGCCCGCGTACCTTTCACCATCAAAGCAAAGCGTGATGACATCTCTGGGCGTGTGAACGAAGCCGAGTCCTTCTTCGTTGACTCGCTAGAGGAGTGGCGAGCTAAGATGGGCCTCGAGAAGATGACGCTGATCGCACACTCGCTTGGCGCTTATTTCAGTGTTGCCTACGCACTGCGGTACCCCACTCGCGTGCACAAGCTCATTCTCCTCTCCCCTGCTGGCGTTCCTCATGATCCGAATAACCTCACCATGCCTTCGCGCGAACTAACTGATGAAGGTGACTCAGGAAGCATGACATCGGCGACTCATTCTGCGGTCGCTGCATCCACTGGGGGTGTTAAACGTATACGAGAAGAGCAGAAGGCCATCAAGGAGAAGGAGAGCCGGTCAAGAAGGCTCCTCACATACCTATGGGAGGAGGGTTGGAGTCCCTTCCAGGTTGTACGATCGACCCTTTTCTGGAGTCCCATGCTCGTAGGAAAGGTTCGCAGTATGATATTGTCAAGCAGAGTGGGACACTAACGTTTCTGCTCTATGAAGTATTCAAGCCGCCGTTTCTCCGGTTTGACAGAAGATGAAACACGCGATATGCATGATTACATCTTGAATATCACACTTGCTAAGGGTTCGGGAGAGTATTGCATATGTAATTTCTGCCTTTTCGTTTTCAGTCCGTCATCTAATATGGTTTCACATAGCTCATATCCTTGCCCCCTATGCTCACGCTCGTATGCCGCTTGTTGACAGAATAGCCGCGCTCAAATTACCAATAACTTTCATTTGTACGTACCATCTTTGGCTTCGTCCTTGAACGATCCCTCAGTGATCATTCATTCTCTTAGACGGCGAACATGATTGGATGGACCCACAAGGCGGGCTGCAGTCTCTCGAAAATTTGCGCAAAGCCGGTAATCATCGAAGCAGGATGTACAATATACCATATGCTGGTCACCACGGTATGTTTTCCGTCTTGTATGCCTCATCCAGCCATCTGATCCGATGTCATCAGTATACCTGGATAATCCCACGGCTGTGAACGAGCTCCTCGTCGCCGAGCTTGACGATGCCGGGGAGCAGTTGTATCTCTTCGCCGCCTCACGGTCATGATAAATTAATTACTCGCCACGGTTTGCTTAATGTCCACCCAAAGACGATTGTTCATCTTAGTCTGTAGATTTTCACGCATACACCTTTTTGTATAGATTTTGTGTACTAGAGGTCGTGTTTGAGCACCACAAATTACAACAGTTGAAGGCAGGGTGCGCATATGAATATTATATTTGGCTATCTACGCGTGTCTAAATATGTGGACCTCTCAACAAACCGAACGTCTCGCCATGGTCGATAGTTGCGGCTGAAGGTAAAAAGATTGCCCATAAGCTGAATTCCGCTGCGCTAGACTCTAAGCCCAGGCACAATGTTTCAGCGCTGCAAGGCGACGTAGATATTTGCTAGGATTTACACTTGCATCAAGTATCTTCCGTTACTCCCAGTCGTTCTTCTCCGATTTTCGGAATCATTCTAGGAGGTATCACGAATCTGACAACGTAGCACACAAGACGGTCACTGTCAGCATTGCGAATGAGTGCATGCATGGTGACAGACGATCTAAAAGTCGTTCAGCGATGTCTGTTGTAGGGAACAGCTTTGTGAATTGTATAAATATGGGACAGCATCCAATAAACTAAATAATATGCTCGTAAACAGCAAACCTAGCTTCCTTGAATGGCCTGTGGGCAACATCGAGAACAGGTAAGTATATATTTGAATTTGGCGGTTACAGACAAAAATTACGCCGCAGAACATTATCCCTTGATACGGCTCACAGTTTTTCTTTTGGTAGGGGTATTTCACCCATGATAGCATCGAGACACTCGTATTGAATCCAGTGTCCAATTCCAATTAAAACTCTGGCGTTCAACCTCGCCACGTCACAAGGGATATGCTCCAAGAAACAGACACCACCAAATGCCGGATCTGCTGCCAATATGGTGGTCTTCACGTGAGATGGGATGTGTTTTAATAGGCCACTGAAAGACCAAGGCCTGTTATGCTGTTCACAGCAACAGTAAAATTGTCAGCAATGCTTCCCTTTTCGACACCAGAAATATTACCTCAAATATCCGCTCGACAACAGTGCGATCACACATGTGGGCTCCTAGCGCTCTTAAAACGCTGTCACCTCGAGACCAAGCAGGATTCTCAGCCATGTGCTCGTCCGCAGTTCTAACATTCGTAACTTCCTTCCTAAACGATGCTTTAGGTATTTCGATTCGCTCCTCTGTAACCTCGACGGGGGGATCGAGGAGTATGACGGTGGTTTCTTTCGCCTTGGGCAAGAATGGCAAGAGCGATATAGTCACTAAGCCCCCAAGAGAATGACCTATAATCACGTCGTAGGACGTGTCCATGACAAAATATGGCCGGAGGTCCTCTGCAAGGGCGGACATGCTATAGTCGGTGCCCCGTCTCCATGCATGGCCAAGGAGATTCGGTGCGACGACAAAGAACCCTAGATAGCCTGTTAAAAGCAAAACATCATAATAATATTATAAAATTGACCTTCTGCTACTAATAGTTGAGCGATGCCCTCCCATGATTGTGAGGACATAGTCAATCCATGAATGAGCAGAGCCCGTCTAGAAGCGGTAGGGGAACCCCAGTTGGACGCTGAAATGGATGTGTACATAGTACTCGGACGACTCGGACGTGTTCAGAGATATTTGCGAGCGGTGAAGCTGGTGGGAATGAAAAGGGACTCAGTCTTCACTTAAATATTGAGGTGTGAATGAACTGAAAACGGGAAAAGCATGTATAAACTTTGGAAGGTGGTCATTGGATTATCCTTACTCTTCTGTGGAGATATTGTCTGGCTATTGAATTATCCTTACCTCTTTGTGGTGATGTTGACCTCGGGGGACGGCCCGGATTTGAACGTGTCGGGCAGCTACCAATATCGCCATTGCATCAACAGAGCACCATGACTGAGAGTAGATCGAATGAGGATGATTCATGACCCGTCTGAAATTTACCTAGCTAGATGTGAGAGTGAGGCATGTCGCCCAATAAGTAAATGACAGCGAAGAAACGTCCCCAGTCACACTAGACGAATACGACACCTTATCCAAATGCTCTGAGAAGAAAGTGTAATGGCAATATCAGCTGGGAAGTAGGAAGAGCAAAGGAAGAAGCGCTTTTAGCCTCGGGCAAAAAGAGAAACTCGACCTTGCAGTTACGAGTTCAATCGTGCGCTAACTTGACTCTTGAAGGCATAACGGCACAACCGTGCCAAAGTTAATCTATTTGCAATGCACTACAACGCGAAAACGGAAAACAATTACGACGTGTATTGCAGGCGCAAAAAACGAGAAGAATAACGAGTGAGGATGCGCGAACTATGCCAAATTTGCTGTTGATGGTAGGAGGAAGAAACGCACCTGAAAGTGTGGTACCGGAAAACTCCGGCAAGCTACGTTTAATACTCGGCATGGAAATATGTCGATCCCATTTAAATACCGTATCAAGCCCTATAGCGGAATCTGGCGACCTGACCAGGAGCTTTTTATGAAAGACGTGCTCGGAAGGATCATGCATGATCATCAGGGCCAAGCAGAAAGTATACCTTTTCAACAAAACCACCTGCCCTCAGACACAGGAATTCACGCCCCCTCACGCCTGATGCATCCTCCGTGTCAAATAGTACTCCAGTATTACTATTACTACTAGGTGAGTTTCAACTGACACTAAGGACTACGGTCGAAACTCAGGCTGACAGACTAGCTTATACAGTAGTATAGCACCACAATGATATCATTTATGTACTTAATGGAGAGTAGTCTTCATAAACACAGACAGGCTGTCACAGGCTGACTCTAATGTGTGTACCTGTGACTAGCTCCGGTCTGTATGACAATTTCTTGTGCTTGAATTCGCCGCTTACCAGGGCCATGACAGAGACCTTGGTGTCCTCGCTCGCTGATGGCTTGTAAAATCATGCTGCTGTTGCCGCACCCAGTGGGGCTTTTTGCGAGGATTGCAAGATCACTTACCTGGTGCGCTTCTGTATTCGTTCGACTGTTCTTTATGCTCGCATCCAATCATCTGGTGCACGATATCATGTCGCTGCCACCACCATCATCCAATATGATTCATAGGTCGTTGTCAACATCCAGTTCAAGTACACATCCATCGGTCCCGACGATATCCGGCTGGACATACTCAACCAAGTCTCACCGCACTGTGTTCTCTTATTGTTGACACCAAATGACATATCATATAGGGCACAATCAGGTTTCCTTTCGCTGGTGAGTTTTCTCATGATCACCGGTAACATCCTTCAATTGTAACAACTTTTTGGACATTCGGACACTGCGCTAGCATCGAACACCGGGTCGCGAGGCTCTGATGTAGGTACTCGCTTTCAACATACTATGTTTACCGTTACTAACACTCTCATAGCACCTTTGGATTGTGTTCGTAACACAACTCATTTGTACAATATTTGTAGCAGAGGATAATTACCTTTTTCATCCAATTAACTTCCGAAGTTCCACGACATTGTGATTTCACCATGAAATTGCACTCTAAGTAACTGTAAGGATGCTCGAGTAAATATCATGGACAGCTAGTGGTGGGCTGCCCACTTAGACTGATCAGACGATGTCAGGCCTGGTCCGAATAATAAACCCTGGCCAGGGTTCTATCTCAACTTTCAGGGCCATTGAAAATTGGCGATCCAACATCATGAGCCGTATCAGGCTATGTCAGGCGATTCTGATTTTTTTGAAAAATTGCAGCTGAAGGTGAGGTAAAAGATTGCCCATAAGCTTATTCCGCAGCGCCAGACTCTGAGCAGTGGCACGATGTTTCAGCTCTGCAGGGCGACGCAGATATTTGCTAGGATTTACACTTGCATCAAGTACCTTTCGTTACTCCCAGGTGTTCTTCTCCGATTTTCGGAATCGTTCTAGGAGGGGAGGTATCGCGAATATGACAACGTAGCACACAAGACAGTCACTGTCAGCATTGCGAATGAGTGCATGCATGACGACAGGCGTTTTGAAGGTCGTTCAGCGATGTCTGTTGTAAGAAACAGCTCTGTAAACTGTATAAAGATGGGACGGCATCCCATGGACTAAATAAAATACTACATTGTGCTCGTAAACAGCAAACTAGCTTCCTTGAATGGTCTGTGGGCAACATCGAGAACAGGTAAGTGTATATTTGAATTTGGCGGTTACAGATAAAAATTACGCCGCAAAGCTCTTACTTTACACAGCTCACAGTCTTGCTCTTGGTAGGGGTATTTCATCCATGATAACATCCAGACACTCGTATTGAATCCAGTGTCCAATTCCGATAAAGACTTTAGTGTTCAACCTTGCCACGTCACAAGGGACATGCTCCAAATGACAAACAGCACCAAATGCCGGATCTGATGCCAATATGGTGGTCTTCACGTGAGATGGGATGTGTTTCAATAGGCTACTGAAAGACCAAGGCTTGTTGTGCTGTTCACAACACCAGTAAAATTGTCAGCAATGCTTCCCTTTTCGACACCAGGAGTATTACCTCAAATATCCGCTCGACAACAGTGCGATCACACATGTGTGCTCCTAGCGCTCTTAACACACTGTCACCTCGAGACCAAGCAGGATTCTCGGCCATATGCTCATTGGCAGTTCTAACATTCGTAACTTCCTTCCCAAACCATTTTCTATGGATTTCGAATGTCTCCTCTGTAAGCTCGAGTGTGGGATCGAGAAGTATGACGGTGGTTTCTTTCGCCTTGGGTAAGAATGGCAAGAGCGATAAGGTCACTATGCCCCCAAGGGAATGACCCATAATCACGTCGTAGGACGTGTCCATGACGAAATATGGCCGGAGGTCCTCTGCAAGGGCGGACATGCTATAGTTGGTGCCCCGTCTCCATGCATGGCCAAGGAGATTCGGCGCGACGACAAAGAACCCTGGACAGCCTGTTAAAAACACAGCATCATAATACTATTACAAAATCTGACCTTTTGCTACTAATAGCTGAGCGATGCCCTCCCATGATTGCGAGGACATAGTCAATCCATGAATGAGCAGAGCCCGTCTGGAAGCGGTAGGGGAACCCCAGTGGGACGCTGAAATGGATGTGTGCATAGTACTCGGATGACTTGGACGTATTCAGGAAGACTTGAGAGCGGTAATCCGATGGGAACGAAGAGGTTAGGGACTCCGTCTTCACTTAAAATACTGAGGGTGTGAGTAAACCGAAAACGGGAAAAACGCGTAGGAAGAGTGGGTAGCCTAAGATGATTTTCACAGAAAGGGTCATAAGATGACTATGATTGAATCGTTCTGTGGAGATGCCGTCAATCAGACTGGGAGGACGGCCCGCATCTTAAAGTGTCGGGCAGCAACCAATGTTCAAGTTGCGACTGCATCGACAGAGCACTGGGAGCCGCAGATTGAAAACCGATGGACGCGTGGCCCAGTACGCAAATGTTATCGAAGAAACGTCCCACTGGAGGAATATGACTGATGATGTTCTGAAACAAAAGATGAAGAGGAAAGGAAGAAACGAAACCCTTTTAGCCTCGGGCAAAAGGAGAAACTCAACCTTGCGGTTAATTGCTCAGATCAAGCTGAGAGCTGAAAAATTGGCTATGCGACATTGAAGCGAGGGCAGCCCACGGAACGCCCTAGTAAAAGGCGAGGGCGTTGTCTGCTTGAGTTACCCTCTGTCGCTATACAAATAAGGAAATTTTAAGGTGGCGCTAACAGAAATTTGCATTTGCTTTGGTAGACGGGTTTTATTTCCATACCCATCTTGGGAATATCATACATTATCCCCTTACCACTGTTCGCCATAACACACTTGTCATCATGAGCGATGATGAATTGTCGCTGCTGGTATCGACAGGCTTGCAGACCTTCCTGACCTCAGGCAGAATCTCAACGCCGTTAACTTCAATGGATTTTCTTTTGGCTCTCATATCCTTCAGGCTCTCCACATCTGCCTCAGGCCTCGCCATGCCACGTCTAACTGATCTACCCCGTGTAGAAAAGGTGCTCGAGGCCCTCTCATCGAACTGGGATCATGGCTCCATCCTGCTGTCACACGAAGGCGGCGAGTTGCATATCACGGATGTCCATTTGGGAAATCATCGTGTGCTTGAGGCTATCAATCCTCGGAAGCGCAAGCGAGCACCCATAGACGAGGATGCAGACTCTGCTGCTGGTAATAATCCTGACGAGATCTCATCATCCAACGGAGAAAGTGATTCCTCCATCTCCATGAACACCCCCTTAGGAAGTTTAAGTAAAGCCTTGAAGGAGGTCTATGCAATCCTCCAGAAGAGCACAGCAAAGGGACGGTTACTTGCGGAACGCGTGCGTGTACTACTGATGTCCATGTGCTGTGTCATGTTGAGCATTCAGCGCTAGTTTCGATCTCCCAACGGTGGGTTCGAACCGATCTGCACCTACATTACCAAAGTAGACTGCGCCAAATCCCGCTCCGAAGCTGATCCTTCTAATCCTGCTACATTCTGCAATCTCCTGCACTTCCGCCCTCTCATTCGACCCCACACAGATCCCAGCCTTGGACATTGCTCCTACCTCAACACGTGCTACTCTGAGCCGACATACTCACAATCACCTTCAATTACTCCTTTCCCTCCCGGCACGGGAGCGCGTGTGTCATTACCGTCTGGTCTTGGCGCAGGAGGCAGGGGAAAGGAGAAAGCGCCATGTCGGTATCTGCATTTCGAGATTGATTGGGACGAGAAGGATGGACCCCTCGCTCCAATTGATGCATGGAGAACCCAGAGGTTAAAGAAACCTTTCAAGATTGAGCTGGGGATGGGCCCTGATGGAAGAGACATGCAAGTGGTAAGCACTATGGCTGCGTTTCGACATCCTTGATGGTGACGTTGTTCGGTCAGCTCCCCCCCCAGTGGATCAACTGTGACCTGCGTCGTTTTGACTACTCAGTGCTAGGAAAATTTCACGTCATTATGGCAGACCCTCCATGGGATATACACATGAGTGTGCGCGTCTCAATAGGACCATTTCATTGTACATGAGTCTGAGTGAATTCTTTTCAAATAGCTTCCGTATGGTACCATGACGGACGATGAAATGCGTGCCATGCCGATACCAACGCTCCAGGATGAAGGAATGCTCTTCCTTTGGGTCACTGGGCGTGCAATGGAAGTCGGTCGGGAGTGCCTCCGGGTATGGGGGTACACTCGTGTCGATGAAGTAGTTTGGGTTAAGACTAACCAGGTACATGCCTTATAAACCCTCTCAACTCTCCTATCTACTTACATCCAATAGCTCCAGCGGGTGATCCGCACCGGCCGAACAGGCCACTGGCTCAACCACACGAAGGAGCACATGCTTGTCGGTGTCAAAACGCGCACAGACGCTGCGGGGAACCTCACTTTCCCTTCCTGGGCGAACCGTGGACTCGACACTGACGTCATCGTGAGCGAGGTGCGCGAGACGAGTCGCAAACCAGATGAGGTGTATGGGCTGATCGAAAGAATGTGTCCTGGCGGGCGGAAGATTGAGATTTTTGGAAGAAAGCACAATACGCGGCCTGGGTGTGTGGCTGCGAACGATGACATGGGTTGTGGTGTACTGACAAAAATGCTCTGCAGGTGGCTAACGCTCGGAAATCAGTTGGGTCAGGACCAGATATATGAGGAGGATCTAGCAGCGCGGATCAAGGCGAGATATCCAGAACGTTTCATGACCGTGTCTAGTCAGGTTTTGCATCACTAGATAGTCTGCATTTTGCTCGATGGCAGCCTTCAATCTCGTCTCACTCACCTGAGGCCCCATTTTTGTGAGGTGGGTTATCTTCTGGGCAAGTTTTACCTTGCAAGGGGCACACTTCTCTACACTATGAACACAGATTGCTTCTGGTCATGCCATGTGCGCTTGTGTTTCGCGATATTTGCGCGATTCATGGTGCGTCTACCTTCCTGTACTTGACGCCCGATGCACACTTTGTAGCTTTCGTTTGCAACCGTCACAGTCAATCATACACTTGCTATTGATCATCCCCAAAACTGTGTTAAATTCCCGCTAGATAAGTTTACACACGAAAATGCAAACTCGGGACTTACTTGATGGGTCGGTTTTGCTCTCACTTCTCTGTCAACGCATGTCAAATCGTGGCGGCCTGAACCCCACATTCAGATGCGGATCACGCTCTGTTTCGCACCAGTAGGCATCTTTGATAGAGTGATAGGTATATTTACTGATTTAGAATCTAATCTTTAGTGCCTTATGACCCCTGTCAGATCTCCCTGACACCGTTTACACGGTCACTTCTTATACACTCATCATCCACGCCTCCCTTAGCTGGAATAAGCGCCGAACCTCTTCACCCTCCTCGAACACCTAAGCTATCTGAGTGTGCAAATGTCCAATTCAGCGTCCCAGTGGGGTTCTCCTACGGCTTCCAAGCGGGCTCTTCTCATTCATGGCATGACTATGTGCTCGAATTCATGGGAGGGCATCGCTCGACTATTGGTAGCAGAAGGTCAGGTTTACAATACTATGTTGATGATCTTTTTAACACGTTGGCCAGGTTTCTTCGTTGTAGCGCCGAACCTCCTTGGGCATGGATATAGACGGTGCACCAACTATAAGGTGTCCGAGTTTGCAGAAGACCTCCGACCATATTTCGCCATGAATACGTCCTACGACGTAATCATCGGACATTCTTTTGGAGGTCCAATCACCCTGTCGCTCTTGCCGTTCTTGCCCAAACCGAAAGAAACCACCGTCATACTCCTCGATCCCGCCCTCGAGCTTTCAGAGGAGCGTCTCAACTCTCAGATGAATGTGTTTTTACAATGGACGGCGAATGTCAGAAGCGCGGAAGAGCACATGATTGAGAATCCTACTTGGTCACGACGTGACTGCGTGTTAAGAACGCTGGGAGTCGCAATGTGTGATCTCAATACTGTCGGGGTTTTTCAGGTAATGTTGAACGTGTTGAAATGGGAGGCATCGCTGACATGTTCTGACTTTGCGTCGAACAGCGAAACAGCCCATGGTCTTTCAGCGGGATGTTCAAAAACATCCCGCCTAACGTCAAGATCACTGTGCTAGCATCGGATCCGAATCTTTTGGAACGCATCCCTAATGGTGTGGAGAGACTGACCGTCAGAGTCCTTACCGGCATCGGTCACTGGATACAATACGAGTGTCCGGATGTTATTATGGATGCAATTCCCCTACCAAGAGCAAAACTGTGAGCCGTGGAGAGTAGGAATGGCGTTCTACAGCGTATTTTTTCTACAAGTGTCACATCCAATCGTGTACTTGCTATTGATCTTTCTCCAGACTGTTGGAGACTCGGCATGTGGCAAGAGCATTAGAATATGCCTCACTTCAGCTCAACCCAGTGAACACTTGGAGAATGCCGTGATAGCTTTCACCACTTTTGCTGATCCATCCGATGATTCCAGCACCACCACCCCAAGGCCCATCAGCGCTCGGAGTTGTTCCCCATACGATGAGGCATGTGAGTTATCGTTTTTTCTTCTTGACTGGTAGGCAGTTCTAATATTAGCATGATTGTTCTCCCGAAGTAGTAGGACCTGAACGCTGAGACCAGACTGCTTGAGTCTCTTCACGAATCACCGTCAGTCAGTCTACATGTAACCCAACCGCAACCTGAACACAGTGCCTTCGACTAATACTAGTCCTTGGTTTAAATTCTCGATCCATCGCACGCGTCGCGCAAGCAATTATACATTGACCTGACTCCTGAGGGCGAAGTTGACTCAAAACCAGGGCTAACGACTTCAAACATAGCGGTCAAAACACAATTTGCTGTCACAAGTAGTGGTAGCACCATCCACGACCGCACTGAGGTCTCCGTTTCGCGGCAAGCCGCCAGAGTGCTTCACAAATAATTAGGTGCGAGAAGGTGCGCTAACGCGGAAGTCATGTGGTCAGGGCTGCCTCTAGAAAACTTTCTGTGGAGACCACTCTCGTAAGTATTAAGGCAAACATGACACGATCCCCGGACCGGGTTTGCTGGCAGACGCCTGAGCGGCGCAGACTGTTTTTCTTTCAGCAACTAGAGATTCGTGGCACCTCTCAACAGATGGATAAGTATAGTGATTTTCATTCTAGCCTTCAGTGTCTTATAGTTATTTCAGTCAGGATATGATATACGCCCTATAAAGATCCGCCATTTACTACGTGCCGCTTCCTGTTCTAGCTCCTCCCTCAACCTGTAAAGTCAGGATTGAGTTGCGAACCTCGTCATTCATACGTGCTCTCCTCGCGAGATTTTTACCACATCCAAGCCAATTTAGTATGTACTCGCCCAACTCAGCATCTCAGTGGGGTTCTCCCACTGCTTCCAGGCGAGCGCTGCTCATTCATGGTTTGACTGCGTCTTCGGATTCGTGGCAAGGCCTCGCTCAGCTATTAGAAGCAGAAGGTCAGGGTTTTCTATCGTGGTGATGCTGTGTTTTTAACAGGCTACCCAGGGTTCTTTGTCGTCGCGCCGAATCTCCTTGGCCATGCATGGAGACGGGGCACCGACTATAGCATGTCCGCCCTTGCAGAGGACCTCCGGCCATATTTCGTCATGGACACCTTCTACGACGTGATTATAGGCCACTCTCTTGGAGGCACGGTGACCTTGTCGCTCTTGCCATTCTTGCCCAACACAAAAGAAACCACCGTTATACTCCTCGATCCCCCGCTCGAGGTTACAGAGGAGGATTCTCAAATTCACATGCAACTTGTTAAAGATGAGATCATGAATGCCAAAACTCCCGAAGAGCATATGGCTGAGAATCCTACTTGGTCACGACGTGTCTGCATATTGAGAGCGCTGGGAATCTCCATGTGCGATCGCACTGCTGCCGAAGGAATCTTCTTGGTAACTTTTCGAAATTTCAACAGTGGAAATGACAAACCTTGCTGACAATGGAAAACAGCATAACAGGCCAATGTCTTTTAGTGGGCTGCTCAAAAACATTCCCATTAACGTGAAGATCACTTTGCTGCTAGCAGATCCGAAATTCGGCGCGGTTTGTTTCTTGGAGCACATCCCTCAAGGCATCGAGAGATTGAATGTCAGAGTTCTTCCGGGCATCGGTCACATCATTCAATACGAGCATCCGGATGCTATCATGGATGCAATCCCCGGGCCGCTACCAAGAGCAAAGCTATGAATCGTGCGAAGGAGAAGTGGGTATTTACTGCGGTAGTTTGTCTGCAACTGCATTGTGTGTTTCAGGTGTCACGCTCAGAGAAAGACAATAGCTTTTCATACATCATGTTTATATTTTGTTTTCGAATTGCGCTCGTCGCTCGCCAAGTGCAAGTTTCCCACTGCAGTGACATGAAAGCCGCCGAAGTATTAAAATTAAGCTCCTATTGATATTGCTTGCGAGTGGGCCACGGAGCTCTGGAACACAGAAACCTGGCAGATGACGGCGAGGAAATCCAATATGTCTTACAGCATAGTTTATGTCCATACTAAGTGTTAACGTTGAGCGCTGAGTCGAGGTACCCATAAAAACTGCGCTCGGTATCTGAATTGCTCCTATTAGAGCCAACTTACCTCAAGTCCTTGATCAATCTCACCATGGCCACTGTCCCGTCTGCAAGTCAGTGGGGATTCCCTACTGCAAGCAAGAGAGCACTCCTCATACATGGCTTAAATTCGTCTTCGCACACGTTCCACCGTGTTGCATCGGCTCTGGCGGCCAAAGGCGGGTCTTCTTCGCTCATGCCTTTTGACAGCGCTAATATATCAACAACATTGTAGGATACTTGGTCGTTGCTCCAAACCTTCTTGGACATGCTCTCAGGAAGCCTGGAGCTGATTTTCTAGTCCAGACATTGGCAGACGACCTCTTGCCCTACCTTCAGGCTGCTGAGTATGATATCGTCATTGGCCACTCAATGGGCGCGCTCGCGGTATTATCGCTTCTCAAGTACCTGCCAAAAACTAGGCCTACTTCGGTGGTTCTCATCGATCCATCTGTGGAGGTGACCGCAGAGCAGATGGTGGATCGGAGGGTTAACTTTGCTAGCGATGTCATAAATAACCCCACCGCAGAAGATTATATGGCATTGAATCCTCTATGGACGAGAGACGATGCCGTTTGGAAAGTGTTGGGGACCCATATTGGCAGAGACACCAACTCTGATGATCACATCGACGTCAGTGTTTGCGAGCTTGAGTGGCGTTCCAGAATCAACGGTGCTGATGGTTTTCTACAGGGCAATGTGCCATGGTCATTTTCGCATTTGTTCGCCGACAGGCCTGCTGCTGCCGCATTGACGGTTCTGATCGCAGATCCGCGATTTTGTGGTGCTTTGAAGCTGGAGGCTGTTGCGAAATTCAAGGACATTAGAACAGTGATTGTTCCGAATGCCTCGCACTGGATACAGTATGAATTCCCGGAAGTGATTGTTGAAGAGGCACTAAGGAATATCAAAGAGTAAGATGATGGGCAGTAAAGACTTGCATGATCCCAATACGATGTGTAGAAATGTACAAACTGGAATGGAAATCAGCTTTAGTCAACGAAAACCTCTACATCTTCATCCCATCCAAATGTCTCTGTTGCAATTCCAAGCTGTCGGAGCATCGTACCCATGGTGTTCCGTACTTGCTCTTCATCTTCTGAGAGGGTCTTGTTGGAGTAGCCTTCGTCCAAGGGATTCTCTGTAGCAGTATTCATCTCGTTCTCCGGATAGCCTTCGCGTTTGATGCCAGGGGAGTCCCAACCCCAATTTGAGTCCCGCGCCATATTGCCCTTGCTTGCGCCTCCAACCCAACCCCCGTCCCCCTTGTTCGCAGCATCTTTCACCGAATCCCAAAGCTCATACGCGACTTCCCTCCCTGCCTCTGTCCATTTCTTGATTAGCCCGACGAGTGTCTTTTCCTCATCATTCTCTTTCACTTTGACCGCGCGTTTAAGAAGTTGTAATTTGCGTTCTAGGGACTGGACTGTAGGCGTAAGTTGAATGGACAATCCTCTTCCGGACGATGCTGAAGCAGAGGAGCTTAACGGAGATTTGAATTGTGACGCCGCTTTGAGAGTGCGAACTCTAGTCTTAGCTGGTGTAACGAACGGGGCTGCGTGGGCATGCTGTGGATGAGGTTTCTGAGGTGTGATAGGCATTTTTGGAGCTGGTGGTGGTGCCAGAAGAACCGACAAAGGACTCTTAAACTTGGAAAGATCCTCTGATGGAACATCTTCATCGTTGCTCGGCATCAAAGGTGAACGAAATGGAGCAATGAGTTTCTTGAACTGCTGCTTCTGAGACGCCAAGGTAGCGCGCTTTGGAGCTGGTGGCAGATACACTTGGTCATCGTGTGTTTTCTGCAAGCATGATCGATTAAATGACAGGGCGTCGTCAACAAATGATAACATTCTAATTACCACGCGTTTGGTCGACCGTGTCTCTTCCAGGCTTGGTGGTACGTCCTTGGCATGCAGGAGAAGGGCACTGATCTAAACAAGCATTTTAAGTCGGCAGAATTGGTTGAGCACTCTGCTATACCTCTTCTTCCGGCCAGGGTCGCTTTTGCGGCAACGGGCTGACTTCCTTCTTGTCGTAAGCGCTCTCGTTCGTTTTTGGGATTCCCCCCTGAATGGAGAGTTCGTCGGGCTCATGCTATAATCCAAGCAATTTATTGTAAGCGGGTTTCCGAAGAAAACATCACAAACCGTTTCTCGCTGTTGATATGCGTCAGTGTCATCGCGATTGTTATAAGCCTCTTCCAAGGTATATGGGTGAACTCCATCCGGAGAATTGGTCAGATCCTGATCGTCTGGTTCTGTTGTTTTAACCTTGGACTTGTCAGCAAATACACAACGAGAAGCACGGCGCATATACCCTGTCTTCAGCTTTGTAATCATCTCCAATTTCATCGAGAGACGACTGAGACGATGCGAGCGGGGACGAAGAAAAAATCTGGGGAGGGCTGGAGCTGGGAGGCAAAGAAGACGACCGTGCGTTATCCAGTGAGGAGTTCGATAGTGCTTCTTCAACTACTTCAGATGACTGAAAGCGAGGTAATTGAGCTGTCATGCTACTGGATTTGCGACGAATGATCTGTAGGTCGCTTGTGTCGGTCAATTCAACATGGGGGATACCTCTCCGCGAGATAAAAGGAGAGAGTGATGCATCGAGGGTCTGCATATGGTGTTAGATTGCTCCACATTGCAACAAAGTATGTACGCCTACTTCATCTCTTTGTGGTGTTCCTTCGTTTGTAGTAATTCCGGACATTTCTGCTGAACATGTATTCGTCGTGGATTCTGCAATGTGAATGGGAGAAGACGATCCTAGGTCAGTGAAGTCAATGCACTCTTCAGTGGTATTGATAGAGATAAATTACCTGCATCACGTTCAGGACCCTCCAAGTCACTGAATGGTGGTAGTGGAGGAGAGAGGTCAGGAGGTAGCTGCGATGCAAGTGATTCTTCACCCGGCTGTGCATATATGCGCACAAATATGCACAAATCAGTAATACGTCAGGCGGGAATATACTGTAGACTTGCCTGATGGTTCTCCAAAGGTGACTGGTCCTCCGCGCATGATGGGTCGATAGGGACCTGTGTGTATGCGCATGGCGTCGGGCTAATTTCATCATGGGAATCCTTGGATGGGAGAGCATCAGTACTAAGATCTGTCGTTGGTTGTTCAGCAGTTGTCTCCATATCTGAATGAATGAAAATATGTAGTTTTATGAAAATGAGCACTGGTGCTTATTGAGTGAAATGGCGAAGAGATCCAAGGACGCGTCTCATCATCAAGACCACGAGAGTGATCACGTGCTCATAAAGTAGCCAGCTATATTTGGTCGCAAGCTTGCACAAAATATTGAAGACAAGTGCAATTGTCGAGCAATATTAAAGGTCTTTCAACAAACACGGAGAGGACTACTTTCGCACAGAGCGGACACGTGGATCGCCCCGTTCTGAGCGTTTTCGTAGCTTTTCTTGCCTTTTGCTGACCGTTTCCTTCTCGCCACCCTCTTCAGCAGGACTCGCACCACTAGACCAACCGAGCATCGGTCCAATAAAGTTACTCCACAACTTGTAACCGGCGTACAATGGGATCTGGTAAAGCAAGATCAGTTTAATTATATGATGAGGCTACGCAGATACTTACAACGAGGTAGAACCACCAGACCCAATCACCAAGGGCCCCACTGCCGATCTGACACGCCCCTGGACATAGACTATGTGTTCAGCCGACCAGTTAGAGCGGCGTTGACTCACATGTAACATAAAGTATATCAAAACACCATTCTGTTACTCCCGGTTGATTAAGGTCTTCTCCGGGAGAGATGAGTGCTCCAGTTGTCGGGTCTCGTCTTGGGGTGCCCATCCTTTCAAGATAACGTGAAAGAAATAAAGCAGGCAGATATGTCACGACATAAATTGCCAGCGAGCCTTTAGATGGAGGAAGAGAGTTTCGCCGAAATAGAAGACGAAAGACTGCAGAGAGGAGAGTGGGGATGAACATTCCGAGCCTCAAATTTCGGAGAGCCTGTTCATTCTGTTGCGCTAAAGAAAGTTATACCTATTCAAAGAGCACACTGAGTTGTATGATGAAATCGTACCAATTCGCTTGGCTGCACCGTGAGCCATGGGTGATGGGTGGTGGATAGTTTGCAAGCCCAATTTGTGCACGCGTCCCTAAAATTAGCTCCCGTACAGACAACCTTATTCTACATAAGTTGTCAATTTCGCCAGCTTAAGCTCATGATGTCGCAGACCAACTGCACGGATGCAGTGAGAGAGGCCGTCCAGGCTAATAAGGACCACCAACACGCCTTGAAAGTATACACCGAAAGACTCGAGGCAGAGCTCCAAACTGTCGACAAACTCCTGGTGCGTCTTATTCTGTATATTTCGCACTTAGTTTCAATGATAGCTTCCAGGAAACTGCTGATGCTGATCTGGACGGCGAGCCAGACATCAATGTTGGAGGCTGCATCCACATCCCAGGCTCCGTCAAGGCATCTGGACTCTTGACACCGAGTGAATTGCTTTCAGAGGTGAGAAAGTGCCTGTCTGCTTTTCTACTGCTGAAGCTCTCTTCCAGGACTCTCCGTTCTTCGAAGAGGCTGCGCGACGCAGTCGATATCTAAGCTTGACAGAGGTTCATCCCAGTGCGTTATCCAAACTATCACGCTATTCATCCCCCTAACTCGTAGCTAAAGTGACCAAAAAGGATCTTGAAACTCTGAAAGAAGCTGTGAGGACCGAAAACTATCGCATGCACGCTCTGGATGCTCAACGAAGGTCCGTTTCGCTCTATATATGATATAATCTTGCCAATCATGCCAAATTCTCCTTCAGAGGCAATCCTGTTTTTGCGAGTTTGAGTGATCAACCATCAAACTATCTCGAGCTGAATAAGGAGGGCCTTGATTGGGATCGCATCGCAGAGAAGGTACATTTAGAAATCCATAATCACAACTGCGTGTTAACATGCTTGCACCAGGTCTCTTCAGCATCCATGTATACGCGTACAGCAAGAGAGTGTGAGATACGCTGGCTGGGTGATCAGCATCCATGTTTCAATCATGGTCCTTGGACACAAGATGAAATCACCAAACTCAAAGGATTCGTTGCCGAATACGGGTGTGAACAAGTGGACTGGGAGGCCCTAGTGGACAAACTCGGGGTATGTCGGCTTTTCTAATTAACAAAAATTTAACGACGATCTATACTTGACAGACCCACCGAACGCCGCTGGACTGCATGATACACGGCACAACGCGAAAAATTCATTTGTGGACACCGGAGTCCGACGAGCGCATGTTGGAAGCTGTTTCTACTTTCGGTCACGATAACTGGTCTGTAGGTATGTGTCTTGCGACATTACGCGATTGTGTTCATGTTCATCAAATATACTGTACAGTCGCCTGTCATGTCTCAGAAGATGCTACTCCTAGCCAATGTCAGAACCGCTATCAACGCACTCTCGACCCTTCTCTGAAGCACAAAGCATGGTCCGATGAGGAGGACTCACTCCTACGTCTCGCAGTCCAAGCGCACGGTACTTCCTGGGTGGATGTCGCGACCGCCATACCAGGTCGTCATAATGATCAGTGTCGTGATAGATGGAACGATGTCCTTAACCCTGCAATAACCAAAGGGAAGTGGACCAAAGAAGAAGACCAAGATCTTTTGGCCATAGTTCAGCAACTGGGTACTTCGAGCTGGAAGGATATCAGCAATCGACTGGGCAGCGGGCGCACTGACAGCATGGTAACATTAAGCGCTTCTGAGGCGCATGTCTCTGACTTTTTGCTTCAGTGTCGAAATAGGTATAATAATCTCCAACAGCCAAAAATTTCGAAGTCAACCAAGACGCAATCTCAGACAGCAACCTTCAGCGTAATCGCTCAACCCTCTATGGACGTGGTCGCAGAGTCATCTCGAGCAGCGTCTCGAAAGAGAAAAGCATTCACTCCTGTTGATGAGTCCACCGACATGAATGAATTCGTGCCCATCGAGGAGTCAAGTTCTGCGCTACAGCCCAGATCCCCAAGTATACATGTGACCACGCGGACCGCTGATTCGGCTATAATGTTCCTTGATCCGATCATCAGCGTCAATCCTGAAACTCACAAGAAACGCACTCGAGAAGTTCTAGGGATGTCTAAGAGCAAAAAACCGGAAAAAATGATGAAGTCAAAGGCAAAGGATCCTGATGCTAGTGCCACCGCCAAGAACACTCACAACCCATCTATCTCTACCAACAAGGGGGGGCGGAAGAAAAAGGCTCATGTAGAACCCGCATCCGAAGAAATGCCAGTCAAGAAGGCTCCCCGTCCTAGAGCTCGACCCGTTCGCGGAAACAAGAACGCTGCGCCTGGTACCATGGTTTTGGATTTGGGGGCTCCTTCTGTTCCAGGTACGTACTCATGATACCATGTTGTTCTTATGTCTTGACTCTCTTCAACGCGCCAGCGGGGAACAATAACGGGGCTAGTGATCAAGGTGGGCCAAGCGCTATAAATCCTGGAGGCCCGGGACTCGTAGTCCAGTGCTGTCATGTCAGTGAATTAGGCTTAAGACCGCCGTCGCCGAATCGAATGGGATAAGTACTCCTGAACGCTAACGTTTCATAACGCTTTCGTTCAAAAATTCTTGTGAGCCTGAAATGGTAGATTGTGTCACAATACACGCATATAAGGTACAACCGTGAAATTGTATGATACGGTTCATTCCTTGACACTCCGTGTTCGCGTGTCCCTATCAATATCTTGCTCCTGGTCAATCCGCTAATATCACAAACGCTATCTACTAGCACCCAAGGCCTCTCATCAGTACAAAGGCGGGGACATTACGAGACTGCTAGCGCGATGTCCTTTGTAACTATAACGAAGGGTCAGCATAATTCTCGCCAACTTCGTACTTCAATGACTGACCCTGGATACTTTGCATCTATGCACTGCCGGCAATCATCCCAGTTTCGAGTGCAATCCCTGCACATGGGAGATGAGCAGGTTTTGCATGAGTACTCCGCCTCGGTCCATCTACACCGATGGCAGTAGCAGTGACCACAGCTCGAGCACCTCGATACGCGGGGCACGCAGCCATCGCAGATATGGCGGCGGCATATCCCGCACTTCTCGGTGAACCGCGGACATGGGAGTAGAAGTTGTTTCGTATCATCTTCAGGCTCCTCTTCAATGCAGTCATCGCATAGTCTTGTGCTGCTGCAAACCGTACAGCTTTGGATGTATGCACACCAGTCCTGGCAATACACGACTTTGCAGCTTGGGCATTCAACGAACGGCGTCCCGGATGAGTCGGATGAGCATAGCCCACATAGCCACGTCCGTGAACATGCGCAGGAACGCCCTCCTGGTGCACAGTCTGAGCAGACCATGTCTCGGAAGCGATTCCGATTACGGGACCAGCAGTAAACATTGCCACACCGGCGCCACGCTGAAGCATGGCCCTGGCGAACGCATTCTCGACAAGGAGCGATCCTTGGAGGATGCTCGTGGCTGATCGACTGATGGTCGTCCTCCGTATCTGGGTCTCTGATAGGATCAATGATTTCAAATGCTGTGTGGTTAGGTCTGGGAGTCCACTGAGCGTCGCCTTCAGGCCGTCCAACACACCAGCTCAATGACTCCATGCAATACCACTGAGAGCATATTGGACACTGGCCAGTTTGAGGTGTCGCACAGGAAACGCAGAGGAACTCTCGGTCGTGGTAAGAGCAGCCTACGACGGAGACTATGGAAGATGCCTTGCAGCTTGCATTCTCGCACGCGTGTACACCGCAGACACGACATCGGATAAGGTTGTGGGAACACAATGGGCACGTAGTAGTGGGGGCATCACGTTCCAGCACCTCTGGATCTACAAGGTCCAACTCCACGAGACGCTGCAAGAAAACCTAAAGGACATGTGATTATCATGGAGACTGCAGGAATCTACTAGCGAGTACCACGAGTATCGACTTACGATTGCGTTCTTTATGCGACGTTCCTGTTCTTGCTTCCTCTTATTCTCATGCTCCTGCCTTCGTGACTCTTCATCCTTCTTCCACTCGTTAACTTGTTCGGTTACGAAATTCTTCAATTCGTTTTGCACGCCCTCGTCTGCGGGTAAGGGGAAGTCCGGGATGCCCTCGGAGCCCTGGGTGACATCCCTTACCATCATATTATTCAGATCGACTGAAAAACATATAGTCTTCTGGCGTGAGAAGGGATCGAGCCTGGAAAGATGAAGACCGGAATGTTCCAGGGCACCAGTAGTAGCATTTAATATAGCAAGGAAGGACGAGTGCGAGGGTAGCATCTCATCCGGAGTTTCCACGCCGTCTACGCTATCGCGACTGGCGAGAGCTCTTGCAATCTCCACGATTTTAGGATAAATTGTGTGGTCAGCTCCAACATGGCGGAACTGCATAGTGTTCAGTTTATGGATTGTGATGTTGATGACCGGAGGTGGCATGTTGGTGGTCAGAAGGATTGAGAGCGTATTTTAAATCATACACAATGACATTGGGTGCTAATACTGGGCTTCACGCCAACTTCACGCGCACGTCATGGAGAACCCTTAACCTAACGTCATTGAGTAACATTGGGTCAATCAAGGACCAGGCCTGTCCAACTTGAGACAGGGTCATAGCGATGTTGAAATGGAGATCATTCAATTGGCACAAACATGACGATGTGACGCCCAATGCAAGGCCTAAGTATACACGAAATTAAATGGTTAACCTGAAACTTTCCACCGTTTCCGTGGGTACGTGGAGGCTTCCCAGTTTACGATATGACCAAGCAATTCGCCGTCTTCTTGTCCGAGATTATCCTCCGTAGCCGTAAGCAGATTCTTCAGAGACTCCTGAACCAGCCCTGCAGTTTTGAGTTTTCTTTCGAGTGAGGGAAGCGCGGCTTTTTTAGGGGGAGAGGCCTTTGAGGAACAAGTTCAGTCAATACATCTGAAGACACGATGATGGACGTACTGGTGTTCTGAGATACGTATGCTTTGGTGGCAATGCAGGGAAATGGGTTGGAAGCTGGCGTAGAGTCCCTGGCACGGCGGGCGGCATATTCTCGTCATCTGAAGGAAGGAGTTCGGGTGACTGCGATCGTGAAGGCGGCAGTTCGAAAATTGGTTCGGCTGGTTCAGCTAGATGTACGGTCAAATATTCAAGTCGGCATGGCTTGACATTCCATACCAGAAACTTTCATATATTCTGCAGCGACTGCGCGTAGATCCTTTGTTTTCAGATCTCGCTCTTCGCAAGCCACTAGCATATCCTTTGCTATCGGTATTGCGCGATTGGCAAGGTTAGCGTACTGGTGGGCGCGTTCAAATAGTTCCTGAATGACTGCTCTCTGAGATGTGAGCTCAATAACGGACAGAATGAAAGACTGCGTACAGACTACGACTTCTATCTCTAATCTCTTCAACGCGGGGGGTTCGATCGAATCATATTCCGAGGTCTGCAGCTGGGCAAGGATGAGCCGTTGCACCTCTTTGGATGCTATTTCTGGAGAGATAGCTGGTATGATCTCAGCGACTGCCACGCTTGGCAGACGTGGAGGCTGAACATGAAATTGATAAGTCGAGGCCACTGCTTGTGGCGGCGGCGGGAATCGAGGGGGATAATGCGCCGCCGTTGGCTGAAGCAACTGGGGAGGTCCTGAACCAGTTGCATATACGATGGGATAAGGCTGCTGATAAGTTCCATAGCTTTGCTGATATGGAACGAAATTTGACATGGTAGTAGCGTGTTGGAAGACTAGCTAGATTGGTCATGCTCGCCGTCCTAACTATTTCCCTCATAGCCGCATGATGATCTTTGTCTTATATGCCGTGCGGCACCATCGGATAGCTGATAGCTAAGCATCGTGCGCTTGCGCAAGCTCTCTTCTTCACATGTTTGGCCTACTGAGTTTTCTTATTTCTTTTTTCAAAATGGGCGATGTAGCCGCCGTAGCTTCTCCGAGTGTGTCAGACTCCAGTAAGGATTCTGCGGGGCTTGATGTTCCAGACGAATCTTTCCGCACGAGTAGGCCAGATATCGTTGGGCCCGACGTTCCAGACGTCCCATTCCCAATTAAATTGTCTGGTCCCGTGCAGCATGGATTCGGCAGAGGGAGCAAAGACCTCGGATGTCCAACTGGTATGTTTCCAAACTCAATCTTGGTCGAGCTGAATTGACGGTGTGAACTACAGCGAATCTTCCTGATGACTCCCTCCCACCCATGATCAATGCTGCAAAGACAGGAGTCTACTACGGCTACGCTCAGGTTACCCCTTCTGAGGGAACACCGTCATCATTATCTAACCAAGACGTATGCGTTTTGCCTATGGTCATGAGCTTTGGGTGGAATCCTTTTTACAAAAATGAGCGCATGACTGCGGTAAGTCTTCTTCTGCCACTTTGAACTATCCTAAATCATAACGCGCAGGAGATTCACATAATGCACGAGTTTAAGACCGACTTTTATGGATATAATATGAAGGCTTTGGTATTGGGATATATCCGTCCGGAACTGCATTACACTTCACGAGGTGGGGTTGTCTTTGGACCGCTTTCACCCACACTGACGAGTTCCTATTCATAGAAGCACTTATAGAGGACATAGAGTTCGACAAGAAAGTCGCGTTCAAGTCACTGGCAAGGCCAGCGTACGAGAAATACGCATCGGACCCATTCTTCACGGTCTAGGCGACTGATTGAGTCACTAGACCTTGCGCTACGAATAGCACACAACACTAGCGCAGCACGAGGTATTTAGAGCGTTTTACGGTAAATAGTTGTACCATGGCTGTAACAAATAGAAATTTTGTCAGTGGGCGCTGATATGTGTTGCACTGTAGAGCGAGAATCAATTATATTACCATTGGCTAGATACGGTGGAGATCCTTGTCGACAAGCACTCCCTGCCTGTAATAATGGTCAGTGGGTTGCGGATCTGAGCAGACTTGTACAACTCTGCTTGGGAGTGCGCGTGCCGCGAATGACGATAATCAATTCAGCGGATACATCACAATGAGAACTGGAAACAGCACAATACTATAGTCGTCTTGCTTTCTTTGCCCTTGTCCCTCCAATCTTTATAGGTGTCCTGTCCTCAACTACCACCACTGACGACCGGATATTATCCCCCTCAGAAGTCATGAACGCCTTTTGTACCGCTTCCCTCCCCCACCCGAACCCTTTAAACTTCAGCGCAAGCGTGACAGGCGACACACCACCATCTTTGAAGTTCGGACTAGTTATTTCCTCCTCGATGCGCTTGAAAGCACGCACGGCGCATTGATACCCTGCTTCATAGCTGCTTTTATTCGCTCCTTTGAAACCGCACGAACCACTCGTCCACCATCCATTCTTGACGAGCTTGCCGGACGGATAGGTGAAGACGACGCGGCAATTGTTGTGTGTAGTGTATACGTGAACGTGGTAAGGTTTTGGACGTTCCACGACGTCCCTCTTTGGTTCCCTCTGCATCATTGCAGTCATCGGGTTGTAGTATGTATTTGGGCCCATTGGAGGCCCATCTAATGGAGGAGCAGCCGAGTCTCCGCCTCCCCACATGTCATCGACGAGACTGGTCCCGAAGGAGACAGGTCTTGAGAAAACTGCATTTTCATGCAGGCGAGCACGATGAAGGGATTGCCGTGCAGCGTTGAGCACTGATGGCCTCAGTTGAGCGAGTGAGACCATGTCTAATGCTTGAGTTGAGCAAACGCAGGAATTATTGCAAGACGTGTCTGAGGACCGTGGGAAAGCAAAGTCCGTTGCATTTTCGGATTGCACCGGGTCTGAAACCTTCTCATTCAACTAGCTGCTCTCAAAAAACCATGGCTGTAAGTCGAATGCATAGTCAAATCAATGATACAACGCTAACTGGGGTTCCTTCTAGCTCGCCAACGCGTTCTACAACACATTCGTCAGGCGCAACAGTACGTGACCCGATCCTCTCCAGGGCTCATGGTTATGCACAACTCGATTGACCACGTCAAACCTCCAGGCGTCTTCGTCACTTCCATTTTCGCAGGAGCCTTTGCGTTCAACGTAGGCTTTGACGTCGCTGTGACCAGTTTCTGGGACCGTTGGAACCAGGGGGTAAGTAACTGACATGTATCTAACGCCGCCCGACTCCTGACTCCGCTGTTGATTTAGAAACAATGGAAAGACATTCGCTCAAGATACATCCAGGAGGAATCGGACTCATAGTTTCGTCCCGGTTGACCAGCGGCATGCATGCATAATGATCATATTCCCCAATTAGACTTCTTCCTGGAATTGACTTGTCGGTGTGTGCTAGAACGTTGAGAACCATGTCTCATTGGGTGATTTAACCGTGAAAATTCGGGGCTGTTGATGCGCTGATTAGCTCTGCGTATCTGCTTGCATTTTTCCATACAGACGGCACTCTGGCGACTTGGCACGAAGAGCCACCGTCTGCTAATCAAACATCTGGCCAAGATCTCTACTCCTTCCTGAACTTTACTTTTGGGAGCGTGCTAGAACGAGAAGTGCATATTTTGGTTTGATTTCATCGTGAAAAGTTCGGTGCTGTTGATGCCCTCAGCACCATATATTCATCCACCGATAGTACAAACAGGCTGGGCCATTACAATGAGTTCTATTGGCAAACACGATGAAGTAGGATTCAATATCTACGTGTTTGAATATGTGGAGTATGCGAGTGTATACCTCGAAACGTGGCGCTACATGAATGCAAATGAGGGTGAGGTACAGTGCTAGAATACGACGCTGAATTGTAAGTGCAAATGAGCATTGGTCTACCGATGATGATGATGGAAAAGAGACACAGTCAGACAAACAGAAGGCAGTCGAATGGAAACATACAACGCGATAGATACCGCATCGGCTTAAAAAAAGGTGTCACGGGAGGGAGGAGAGAGAAGGGATAGTATCAAGTAGAGAGCATGCCGGGGTCTTCGTCATGCTCTAAACGGCCGAAGATTTCATCAAAGATCTCTTTGCCATCAGCGGATAGAGGAGGAAGCTGATTGGTGTCAGCAGACGGATCATCCCGCGAAGCCTTGATCCTGCGGATACGTTCTTCGTTCCAGATGTTCTCAAGGGTCTCCGTAAGGCTCTTCAATCCGAACAGAAACCCACGATCAGGCTCTTCGGGAAAATGAGGGGGAAACCGAGCATATATCAGCCCTGTTTCTACATCCACTTCAGCTTGGTAACCCTTAGAGCTCGACACCTGATGGACGATATCGCGATCTGCTGGCGGGGGATAGGGAAGCCAGTCACGCCCAGTAGTTGTATGCGCGAAATCGACGATGCGAACGTTGACTTCGCCACGCTTTCGCTTCCCGCTGGAGCGCTTGCCAACTGGGCCAACAAGCAGATCTTCGCTATGGGTACGGCGCAGTAAGGGTCGTTCGTCACTAGTGCTAGACCGCGTACGAGACCGCTCCAACGATTCTCCGCGCTTACTGCGGGATGAAGGATGCTCAAGGGCGCACGTTCGGAATGCTTCTTGCGCCTCTCGATCTCCATCATAGATAAGGAGGAGACTGCAGCCATAGAACCTGAAGCCCTTCAAACGATTGATGATCCTAGCGAGAGCATAGAGCTTCTGAAGAAGAATGGGAATCTGCCAGACGAGGAGGCGTTCACCATCTTGCAAGAAGGACGCCAAGACCGATCCAAACTCCTCAGCTGTTACGTCTCGGCCCCTGTACTTGTCTTGGGTCACGTAGGCTTGAGTGGCGATGTTCCACACCTTAGATGTAAAACAGTTTAGTTGACTCTGTACTTCTCACCCATCTATGTACTGACCTGCATACCGCAGACCCGGACACCTAGGGGCCTGCTCGTCGTGCGGTCACACTTCTTCCGTTGACTCTTCTTCTTAGCAAGCGTCGCATCCATCCCATACTGCCGTGTTCCCATCTTCAGGTCAAGAACGCACGAGCGCTTTAATCGACCAGTTAGATCCTCCATGCAAATGAAATGATTTTGGCGCGTGATCGAGTCATCAAAGTTGAATGTAGACGGAGGTTTACTGGAAACTGGTGTTACAGGGGTAGAAAAATCGAGAGATCGTGACCGACTCCGATGTCTTGTGAGGGAGGGAGGGAGGTCGGATTGGTTCTGATCTTCAAGCGTAACGGAATCCCTATCGCTGGTACTTTCTTGCGCATACATCGAGTCCATAGCAGACTCGCTCTGGACACGCGGAAGCACTGAGGGGAACTGGAGAATCCCTTCCTCTCCTTTCAGCCTCTCCGCTTGTCCCACAGGGTACTTCCGACGATGCGAACGAGCGCGTCGAGCGGAAGAAATTGGACGACCTTCGTGATCCGCCATCTCGCCCTCATCCTCTGTCTTCGTAGACCACTTCGTGCGATTTCGGCGCTGGAACCTGCGGAGAATGGTGTTAAAGACGTGATCCTTGAGTTTCGTGTTGACCATCGTTAACCCTGTTCCCCCGAACCAACTAGGGGTTCCCTGCTGCTGCCCAATCACCGACTCGGAATGGAAAGGACGCAAGGACTGCGGGGGAGTCCCCTCCGGCACTAACATGCGATGAGCTGAATGGGAGTCCGCAGTTAGTGACGTCGGAAGGACGCCTGAAGAGCATTCTGGTGAGTTGGAAGGCGGCGGCGGCTCCCCCTCCTGAAGAAGGATGGTGGCCTGACGCGAGAGAGGGCTGCACTTCACCGAAGAGGACTCTGGTCGCGCAAGGTCAGGTGTTGACGCTATCATACCGCGCACGGACTGGAGATGTCTGGGAGCATCAGGAAATTTATGATAAGACGGTGGGTAAGAGTACGACACGGGACGATCGTGTTTCGGCCCGTCAAGATGGAGAACCCATTCAGGAATAATGTGACGGTTACGGTCAAGCACTACTTCGGGCATTTCATCAGATGTTTCATGGCTCGACATATCATCCTCTTCCAGAAACTGGGTGGGGCACGATGGCGACCCCTGAGTGTGATGAGGAGGGTAGGTATTAGATGTGCGAAAGTCAGGACGAGGTGGGTGGGCGGAACGGGGATGAGGAGTATGCGCATCAGGTACATTCAAGCTGGTGGATGGTAACGAGGCTTTGGCTACGCGCCGGTAAGTGACGAGCATCACGCCGAGATAACGTGGAATGAATCCAAGTAATGGGGGTGCTTCTCGCTCAACAGCTTCATAAAACTGATTCTCTCTCGAAACCAGAGGCTATATAAGATGTCATAAGAAACGGATCCCGACAGAACATCGCCAGGCATACCTTGCACACAGCGCGCTTGGTAAATCTATAGATCGCGCTGTGGCCACCGACTTGATTGTGGAAAGGACGTAAAGGGATGTGTGGAAGACTCTCATCTGATGCACCAAATGTCATATCCAGGTGGCTTTCGTTCCAGGCAATTGAAGCCGACTGTGCCCGGCTATGCATCAGCTTTGACCTGTTGGAAAAAAGACGAGCACTCGACGACAAGTACTTCGTAGATATTAATCCTCGTGCTGTCGGTCGTTGTGAGCTGTGGTCCGGAGTGACTTGCACAGCTAGTTGGTCGGGAGCAGAGTTTTTGAAGAATGATGAATGACGATATGGACGAGACACGTGCTTTGTCGACTTGTTGGAATGATGACTAAGCCAACAGGTCTAAGCACCGATGCACCTGTTACAACTTATTTCAGCACGAAATGCGGATAATTCATCCAGCGACCAGCATCTTACCTTGTAGGAATGAAAGAAGAACTTTCAAACGTCAGAACGGACTTTTCTACTCAGCGCAATCACATGCGGTGCCACGGGTCCTATCGCACGTTCGCTGGCAAACGTACTTCTCCAAATCCTACAAAACCACCTGATCCTCACCAAATGAAATCGTAGCCTGGACCAAACCGAGTAAGCTTTGTCTTCGCCGCAGTCGTCCCACCATATTTACCACCAACGGCGAATAAGAGCAAGCACGGTCTTGCACTGCCTGCAAAGCATGTATACTGCGCCCATCTTTAGCCGCACCTTCTCGAACCCAGCTTAAAACGTGGCCTTGTTTTCCCACCGATGGGCTCACACATGTATCGCGTTTTCCGCTCTCTTCAATGGCTAGTACGTGTACTAATCAAGGTGTGGGTTGTTTCCGAACTGCTGGCACCTTGGAAGCAAATTCCCCCGTGGGGGACCGATTAGTGCGATACCAGTAAGCTCAAGATTTTGCAAATTGATGAGGAATATTCCGAATGCCTGTTTTCAGCCAAGCCCAATCATGGATCGTCACCAACTTCCGAGTTCGGCCACTGGCACCGATTCCTATCAGTGTTCTTTCTGTCAGATTCAATGAATTCATTGACTCGTCCGGCGCGAGGGCCTATCAACAGCCTGAGAGTCTCAGCAAAATGGGTGTTTCCGTGCAGATAGGCTCCATGGTGCTTTCTCCACTGGGGGCGACACAACCGTCATTTCATTCATATCCAGTACCCCATTGATGCTGTCCTTTATCTTCGCCTCGATTTCGTATTCAGGGCTGCTTTCATTCATAGCTGCGAATGCTTATGATCACTCACTATCGATGTGATAAGTTAGTGTTTGAGATATCGTGAATGGCGAGTCGTATCAAGATCTCTGGTTGAATTTTGACATATTCTTAGAGCGGACCGGTGTTGTTTATACAACAGGATTCGAAGAGGAACGGCACAGATTGGAGACGAGGGGGTTCGAATATGGATGGTACATATCCGGGAAATGTTGGGGAACCCTTGCTGTCATTACACTCAGGTAAATCACATCCGTAGTGAATTCAACATGAAGCTGACATTTTGAATGATTAATTAGGTCTACGAGGGGGATCCTGACTCTGACTTGCCAAGTATTTACACCGAGAGTCTCCTGTAGAAATTTATATGGAAATTTGCACTCACTTCACATTGTATTTATAGGGCTGTGCCATGGCTGAAAGATAGGGGTACTACAATGATGTTCTGTTGTCTGTAAGCCAGGCTTTTAGCCTATGTACACATATAAACATTGCTAGACACGTGTTTTCCTAAGCTTATACACTATATTGCTATCTGCTTCAGACTGTGAGTTTGTTGTGTTTTGCATGGTCTTTCATGATTTTCCATTGTAATGTGAATTAACACTACCTGAAATAGATGGGTAGTGGTAAACATACAGGAATCAAGCACTGCTAAAAACCTCCATCATCATGTCATAATATGTTAATCTATTAGAGGCAATACATGGTGGAGGAATCAGGATCAGACAGACATACAATGTTGATGTGATACACAATAAGCATCCTTCCACCAGTTACTGCCAGTTCCAGAGTACTAGCCACTGAGTAACATAATGTATTGCTTGGCATGAGAATAGATAAGAATCTTCTAGAAGGTTAAGAACTTAGTTTGGTAAATGAGTCATATTGCTAATTAATTTCAAACTCCGACCGCAGGACTATAAATTGGGACATGGGTCCATATTTTATTGATTTATCTCTCAACCAAGTGCCACCATTATCCACAACTTTCTCTTGTAATGACACATCCTTCAAGCAGCCCTTCCTATGATGGTGGTGTTGGAGTACGTTCTTCACCTACTATTTCCAAAGTTTTGCCTTCTATCATTTCTGGAGCAAATGTCCAGTCACAGAACCATCGTTCTGCTGGACATCATGTACAATGGTCAATTCCATTAGTGCATACCAGAGGTATTCCTGCAAGGGAATCTCATGGGATTAATCCTGTATTAGCTATTTTTACTCCCTCTATTGTCTCTCATCAGTCTTTCCAGGATGATACTGGGACCATTGCAGGCGCCATGCAGGGTCTCAATTTGACCCCTGCTACTCCTAGTACAAGTACCAGTTTACCTGCTCATGGCAAGCTACCATCCCAATTTTTCCCATCATTATGTCACCAACCCACTAGCACAGCCAAAGGTGCTCACCAAGGTTCCTCCTTAATCACTGCACCCATGGATCCAAATTTGCGATTCATTTTTGAGCGCCGGTACCAAGCTGCTCGAGCAAGGGAACTTTCCAATCCTGTATGCTCTAGTGTCATTAATGAGAGCCCTGCCTCCACAGGTAACCTTAGCATGCCTTCATTGATATTCTACTCTAAACTTCACATATCAGAACCCCAAAACCCAATGTCAGAAGTGTCTGAGGTAGTGCATCACCAGCCAAATGGCACTGTGGACTCTATTGATGATGTCATTGGAACTCCCCCACCAACTTCCACTGTCATGGAAGATGCCATTGACCTCACCCTTGGCAGTGATGAGGGGAGTAGTCCTTTGCAAAAGCAACCCACACAGAAGCAGAAAAATGTGAGCAATGCTAGTTTTGATCCGAGCCCATCAATAACATTCAGACTCAGATCCTGTCCACGTCGATCAAAGTCAACACAGCCAAGCGCCGTGTTGACTCAGATTCCAGTGATACCTCGGAAGACGGTCCTCGAAAGCGCCGAAAGAGAACCGGAGCGCTGCCTCGTTCTGACTCAGACTCAGCGACGAGCGACACTGACAACGAACGCAGCCACGTCCCGCCACAGCGCTTGTCAATCGAACCACCGTCGTCGAGTAGATACTCGACCAGCAGCGTCGAAGTTACCGACACTCCGGCGAGCGGTCCAAGATCTATAGCGGACGCGTACAACAATGGTATAAAGCCTTCCGTCTCTCTTGATGACGCACCAAGGCACTCGGCCCAGGAGAGTAGGGTTTCAGTAGTAGTGCGCACTCGCAACAGGCCGAACACTGGGAGTGCCGTGGCGTCGAGCAGCAGGGTCAGGATGGAAGACATGGAAGTGTCGGACGCCGAGGCCAATACCGGTGATCCTCAGCGAGCACGGCTCTACTCGAGTGCGATCTCTCGAAAAGTGCGTTTGTGGGCAGAAAAACTGAAAGGAATCCCCCGCGCGCATTTGGATTCCCTGTTCGACGACAGCGTAGTGGGTGTTTCTCCGTTCTCGTCGTATTATCTGAGCACTAACCTACGCACCTTCCGGAAACAGGTGGTTATGTCCAAAGCCGAGATTCTGGAGTTGTTGAGAGAGATTGACGAAGACAAGAACTGGGCTACTCGTGCGGAAGTCGAGGATTCTCGTCTTGAAAGGTTTCTGGTCGCCGTCGTGACTGAACATCTGGTGAACGGGACGGAAGCCTACAGGCTCGCAATCCGCATCCTCGATAACTTTGCGCAGAGGTTCCGCGGCCAGAGGTACCCGCAGACACGTAGGTGAAGGGAGAACAGGTTGACGGGATGTAACTCGTGAGATGCTGTAGATGGCGTGGACGTGGAACGAGTTTCAAAATTTTCGCAGGTGCCAGCCATGGCGCTCATATTCTAGAGGGGTAACTTGTCCGTTTTTGGCGTGTGCCGTTGTCTCATCGTCTTTGTGCGCTGTCTCACTGTCGCTATCTTTGCTTTGTTGTCGTGCTTTGTCAATGCTTTGTGAACGTTAGAACGTTGACGTTCTTTGCTCTGATATTTTTTTCTTCAAGTCATCATGTCGATAACCCCTAACGTATATTGATAACTCCCCTAAACACAAACTCTTTGCATTAGCTAACTTTTCATGAATGCGTACGCCCAACGACTTCTGTGTAAATTCTGATCTATAGTCCTATGAATCGTAACCATGCTTCCATGAGTGTCGTATGCTACTGCTGAGTAAAATTATTGCATGAACTATAGTGGGCTGGTAAAAGTAAGTCATGAAATGGTGTAGGAACGAAGACGTGAAGTCACGTATGCAATGGGTGGTGATCAGGGAGTGGAAAAGTAACAGTTGATGAGACGCCGATGCTAACAAGCCATGTCTATCCGCCGCTTCTTCATTGCCGGGCCCTCATCAGCCGAGTCAATGTCGTCCACAACAATGATAGGAGACTCGCTGCGAGGGGGAGGTATGGGTGAGGTGATTGGCACAGGCACGGGAGGCTTCTCCGCGATACTGAGAGGAACGCTCTCAGCGGTCGGTGGATGGGCGGCTGGTGCTTGGGTCTGGGCACTGCTGAAATCCGGCACTGTCGCTGGTTGAGGCGTCCGTGATGGGAGCGGCGCAGTGGTAAATGGCCCACCTGGCGGGGGCGCTTTGTTGTCACGAGACCCGGGTGTACCTCCACGGCCGCCTCTTGCGCGTTTGGCCCGTCCGCGTCCGCGCGTCATTTTCTCCTTGAGATATCGCACGATATGGCCTTGTAGAATCTCTAGTGCCTTCTGGGCGCCAAGCGCCTCGAGCTCTCGGAGCTGCTCTGGAGACAGATGTGAAAAGATTGTGGGAGACAGTATAAGGGTATTGTTATGAAGAATAATAGGTTGTGCTTGCTCAGGGTTTGAGGATGAAGGATGCGAAGGAGGAACAGGCCCGACGATGATGGGTAGGCAAACAGATGCTGGTAATGCTGAGAAGGGTGCAGATGCAGCGCTAGATGCCGCACATGCGGAAGATTCTGATGAAGGAGTCGCTGCTAGTGCAGGAGCCACATGTGGAGATGCGGCTCCTGGTGCTGGATGTATTGTTGAAACGAGTTTGGGTGCCATGAGAGGCTCTGTCTTGATCTTAGGTGTGGTTGTGAAAGGACTCGTGAGAGGGGCTGTTGTCATCGGGTTTGACTGCAGTGTAGAGGAATTAGTTGACTTGAACGGCAGCGGCATGGATGTTAACGGTGGCGGAAGAGTGACGCCTTTGATGTCGCCCTTGACGCTGCGTTTGAGTGCAGGTTCTAGAGGCGTTGCCTTCTCCTTCTTCCTGCCCTTTCCGTCTTTACCACCCGTACTTGACGATGCAGCTTGTGATCTGGCTTCCTGCTCCTCGAAGGTGTGTTCATACTGTTCGTCCACAGACCAATAAAACCCCTTCCCGCGCTCTCCGGAGCTCCTCTCCATCTTCTTGAACGCACGGCCGGAAGATAAATTATGTCGAACAGAGTTCTGAAAAGCAGGTGAGCCATTGTACTGTCAAGTGCTATATCGGAGATAAGGCAGCTCACCTCCCACCCTGCACCCTCGTTGTACCGATACCAGTCATAATTCTCCATCATCCACGAACATATATCCTGTAGTGTTGCCTTACCGCCCATCGCCTTGATAGCTCGATAGCAGAGTTGAGCGTAGGTAAATTGAGGTTTGGGGGGCATGACCTCCGGCTTTGGTATAAGCGCAAGGTCTGATTTCTTGCGCTTCTTGGGCGCATTCTTTGCCCTGGATATACTGTTCGTATTTGGGAGTTGTGGGTCGGGTGACTTTGGTGGCGGAATCGGTACGGAGACGGGCGGCGGTGAATTCGAGGGTAGAGAGGAAGGTGGCGATATAGACGTAATATCGACAGAGGGCGACCGCGCGCGCTGCACTGATGAATTTGAACTCGGGGATGGCGAGTCCTCCGGCGCTGGAGGGGGTGGGAGTACGAAATGGAAAGTCCTCGAAGCTATCTGAATCTGGGACCTGATTCGTGGTCAAACGAGCCCCGGCTCATGAGAAACGAAAGACCGACCTTTCCCCCAAAGGAACCCTACTACCGCTGCCCGACCAAACACCGTCCACCCAAGCGCCGTTTCTACCAACGACGACGAGAACAAAGCGCTCCTCGTCCTCCTCGTACTCGATCTTTGCATGGAGCCTGGATACACTCTTGAGGGGTCCCAAATCGACATCAACAGGACTGTTGTCGCCGGCAGATGTAGAAGCGTTGGGTATGCAACGTCGTCCAATAGTTACAGTCAGGGTCTGAAGATAGAAAGTGATGTTTGGGAAGACAAGAGAATAATATGCGCTGATCTTTGCTGTAGAGTCATCTGGAGATAGTGAATTGCGAAGAACGTCGATGTTGTCCATCTGAGAGTCCAGCGCTGCGAGGGCTGTTAAGGACATTATTGTTGGAGTCGGCGGGTGTCGGTGAGACTGACTTGCTTTCGTCAACACGGGGTCAAAACAAGAAAAAACGACCCCTCCATTATGTAATTTCATGCCACTACTACGGGCCTACTACTAGTAGACTAGGACGGTCATGTCGCGAATGACAGAGAAAGCACAGGATGAAATATCATCTCTAGCCGACAGAAATGTAGATAGCACAGACTCTGATCTGCGTTACATGGCATATGCTGCTCGTCTCAGGACTGCAGTGCGCGCCGGCAGTCGCTATATCGCATATGTACGTTTCCTCCCATCACTCGACTTAACTTGTGTTCGTGGTGGTGACTGATCATAGACCAGTGATGTCGGAGAGGCATTTCGCCCGGTAGTACCTCCTGCCATAGTTACTGCATGTTATGGTATTTCATGGCTATATCTCGCCGGGTACGTGCCGTTTTATCGTCCTCTACTGGCTTGTAACATCATGCCATCCAGCGACGTGAGTTATGAGGCATATAAGACTCACAGACGCGGTCCAAGCCCAATAGAAGCCGCCCATTTCTCTGAGCCGACAAGAGTAGGGATGGTAGCCGTCAAACGTGCGGTTTTTCAATCCGTAGCATCAATGTACGTGCACGTTCCTGACTATTACATCCTTTCATCGTGAATGCATTCTATTGCTCTCATTGGATATTCACCATCACGTACAGGGCTCTTCCCGCATTCACTATTCATACCGCCGTCAACCAAGCAAAGAAAGCTTTCACGAACGTGCAAAACAAGAGATTGAAGACATGGGGTCCGACTATCAGTGGACTTGCTATTGTTCCTTTCCTGCCATACATATTCGATCACCCCGTAGAGACGGCAACAGACAAGGCCTTTGAGTGGATAGAGAATAGGCTAATTGAGAGCCAGGTGGCTAGAAAGAAGACAGGATCGTAATCATATTTCATTTGTGTTACCCACTCCTCTAGCTCACTGTTTACCCTCTGCATCGATATGCTATCTCTGTAGCACATATATTATTTGCCACCATGGTCAGAGTTAAGACCCCCCCCTAACTGTGATCACTGAGAGGCTTACTACTGCTGATGTTGTTCGTCATTGCCTCAATGTTTATTGGTTTCACACCTTTCTTTGTTTACCTTCAGATACCAAATTCAGTCTCCTGGGACCGGACCATTAGATTCCGAAGTGAGACCATATGACCATGCTGGCGTCGAACTTTGAACCCTGCACAATCAACGCACAATCGGACGCATATTAATGGGAAACCAAACACAAATATTATTATTTACACATGGACTGCATGGACTGACTGGTGTTGGCACACGTATTAATGGACCAAAGCAGCATGACATCTATCCAATTAGATCGTATGATTGTAACTTCCTACCCGTGAACGTACAACAATCGTGCTATGTGCGGTATGTTACAGTGTAGTGCGACCGAGTGCGAGTGGAATCGAGCTGATGGAGCTGGGCGGAATAACTCCGACTTCTGTCACGACAGCTGTGATACTCGACGGAGGTGTCAGGTCGTAGAGCGGATTGAGGATCTCTAGATTGAGCTGTTTGTTGAGGGTGAGCGTATCTTTTGACCGAGTGAGGGGGAAGGACGAAAATATATCGCCAGCTGGCGCTGCAGCATAATATCGGATGAGATCAAAGGCAACAACTGCGGGTAAACGTACCGAGCTCGTTCTTGGTAAAACTATCCAGCTGGATTGTTTCCGCGAACTTGTATGTCTCGCAGCAAACGACGACAGGAACGCTGTGCTGTTTTGCCATCATAGCTACTAGGGCTGTGCCTGCACGAGAAAATACGGCGCCGTTTGAATGTAGGGAGTGAGCGCCCACTAAGACTGTCGACACCTCTGTGATGACAGAACCAATCGATGGCAGAAGGAGATAAGTGCAGGGAATACCCATGGCCGAAAGTACGGAGAGTAACTTCTTGCCTATTCCGTAGGCCAAAGCGTGAGATTACAAATGGGGACTACAATAACAGGACCTCTTACCCTCTAGCATTGGCCGGGAATCGACGACGATAACCGAGAATTGCTTCCCATCTTCCCAAGCACCAACCAGAACTTGCTCCACAACTGAAGATCTACACGAAATAACTGTCAGCTGGTGATAACGGGAAAACGGCGAGCCTTTTTACCGAGCATAGGTCAGAATGACGTCTCCGTCTTTGATCTTGGTTCCTGCAGTCTCTTGGATGACTTGATCTGCTATGATAATCCGTTCGCTGATATAATCATCTATCTTTTGACAGAGGGAGTTTTTCGCCTAACAGTGTATGAGCGCGTGTGCGAAGGTGACGAATATATTAACACTAACATCCTGCTCCGGAAGGTCGATATCCGATCCACTGATCTCTAATTTGAGCTCCCGGATGGCATTACCCATAGTGACAGACATTGGGCGAGCAGAAACAAGATGAGTAATTTGAGGTGAAAGATGTGTCAAGAGATGTCTCGAGAGCGTATTGTTAGGAGGAGTGACATAGTCTTGTATGACCTTTAATAAAAGTCAGCGATGTTCGGTAGACCAGGATGATCGCAATGTACAGTTTTAAACGCAGTGAGTGTCGCAATACAGCGCGCATTCGCCCCTGCAATCTTGAACTCCGAAAATTGCAATCCGAGGCGGATGATAGCGGGGTGTATGTCTCCCTTGGTGGGGCCAGGGGGTTTGGGAAGGCCAAAATGGGAGAATATCCGCAAACTACGAGCAGAATCATCGGATGCGGTTTCTTTTGTCTCCTTGGTCGGCTTGCCATCAGGACCCTTTCCACCCTTCTTAGCTGAGGCACTAGTGCTTGCAACAGGTAGTGCACCCTTCTTCGCCTGGGCAGGATTCTGAGTAGATCCGCTAGGATGCGGACCAGCTACTTTGGTAGCAGCTTTTGCAGCTCTCTGACGTTCTTGTTGCTCGCGTCTCTCCGCTTTTGTCATCTGCTTTTGTGACTTCGGGGGCTGAGATGATGATGCTTCGCCATGAGATTGAGCAGGAGCGAGCTTGATCGTGGATTTGGAAGGTGGAGCTGTCATTGTGATGGTCGCAGTTGCGCTCATCGTATTAGCAGAATATTTAACAAAGTCCAAGCTTAAGCTTGGTTAAGAGCAGTAGACATTACATTCAACTTTGATTGATCGTATTCGAATCATCCGAGTCATAGTCTGGGGCACGTGGGAATTTTACTTACATCAGCTTAAGTTCTCACGACCATCATTTTGCTTTGACACACTCCAACGCCGAACGCTGCAGTCAACGATCACATTATAATCTTCATTTATTACTGCACAATGGTATGTTCCACAGAACTACTGACTTCAGGCTTTCATTGACCTTGGTTATAGGGTGTTCCCGCACTGTTCCGCTGGCTGAGCAAGAAGTATCCGAAAATCGGTGAGCAACCCGTGCTTCACTTGTGTTTGTTACGCTAACAGCTACCAGTAACATCTGTCGCTGAAGCGGAGGAGGAAGAAGTTCTCGACGCAGCCGGCGATCCTATCAAACTTCCCGTTGACATTACACAGCCTAATCCCAATGGCGCGGAATTCGACAACTTATACCTGGATATGAACGGTATCGTGAGTGATGCAGGTAATTACGGTTTACGTGGCTGACCACCCGTACACACACAGGTTCATCCTTGTACTCATCCCGAAGGCAAAGTACGCATGTATTGCTCTACAAACTTTGTTCACTCGCTGACTCGTCTTCCGCAGCCGGCTCCCGAAACGGAGGAGGAAATGATGCTCGAGGTCTTCAAGTACACCAACAGAGTAGTTAATATGGTGCGGCCGCGCAAGCTTCTTTTTATGGCCATTGGTGCGTTTTACATTTGTGTTACCTTATACCACGACCTTATGCAGAGTTCAATTAGACGGCGTTGCTCCTCGTGCCAAAATGAATCAACAGCGGAGTAGACGGTTCAGGACCGCTCAAGAGGCAAAAGACAAGGCGGACGCTCGTAAACTTGCTGTCGCTGAGTGGGAAGGTACGTCGTTCTCAGAGCGAACTTACGCTAGGTTTCTAACCCATTTCATTATCACAGCTATGGGTAAGATCATTACCGACGAAGAGAAAAACAAGGAATCCTGGGACTCTAACGCTATCACACCCGGTACGCCGTTCATGGACCTTCTAACAGCGTCGTTACGGTACTGGGTCGTGGAGAAGATGAATACTGATCCAGGGTGGAAAGATGTGCGTAGTGAGCATCTATTAGAGACCCCTTCTGATCTATCTCTTGTACAGCTCCAAGTCATTATCTCGGATGCAAGTGTGCCTGGAGAAGGAGAGCATAAGATTATGGACTACATTCGCAGACAACGCACAAACCCCGGTCATGACCCTAATACTCGACACGTAATATACGGTTTGGTGAGTCGATTTCCAGGTCCATGCTACTCTCTGTTATTCACCGCATATTCAGGATGCTGATCTCATTATGCTCGCCCTCGCGACCCATGAACCATATTTCCGAGTACTTCGGGAAGATGTGTTTGCGCAGGACAAAGGTTCCGGGTGCCGTATATGTGGACAAGAAGGTCACTATGCCGCTCAATGTACAACATTGAAATCAGAGATTAAAAAGCCCCCTCCGCCGGATAAAAAACCGTTCATTTTCCTCGATGTCGCCATTCTGCGCGAGTATCTGGAATCCGAGTTGAATGTGAACAATACGCCATTCCCTTTCGATTTGGAACAGGCTATAGATGACTGGGTGTTGCTCATATTCTTTGTCGGCAACGATTTCTTGCCGCATTTGCCGTCGCTTGAGATTCGCGAAGGAGCGATTGATACTCTCTTGAGGATCTGGAAGATGGAGCTGCCCAGAATGGGTGGATATCTGACGAACCATGGTCAACTAGTGCTTAGTCGTGCACAGATCATATTAGAGGGACTGGCGCGACGAGAGGATGAGATCTTCCGTAAGCGACAAGAGAGTGAGTATCTATAATGTGATCTGTCAACGCCTTAGAGACTTACCATCTCTCAGCTGAGCAACGCCAAGATTCGGAGGCGAAGCGTCGTAGGATTGAAAAGTCTGGGTCTGGAGAGAATGCCGCGAGCGATATTCAGATCGCCACCCCGTCTGCGAAGCTTGGTCTGACTGCATCCACTACATCTCTATCATCTCTTCCCCAACGTGCGGATAATGCTTTTGCTGCCAAGGCCGATTCGATTGGTCTCGGAGCGCCACGTAATGCTCAGTCTCTTGAAGTCGCTCCAGTTGCAGCGCAAGCACTTGCCGGTTCAAATCGTGATGTAGTTGCCAATCGAGCTGCTATACGGATGGCGAATATGAGTGCTGCAGAGATGCTCAAGGCAGAGCTATCTGGACTCATCCCTGTGAAAACGAGTGCTTCTGCTTCTAAACCTGAACCGGTTGTTTCGAACCCTCCACCCAAAGCAGACGCTGAGCTTATGGATGACGGGGACATCCCAGGTCTTGGGAATGCTCCGTCAGCACTTGAATTCGTTGATAATGGGGCTGGTGACATGGATGTCGAGCCCAATAATCCTGTTACTCTTCCAGTTGATGAGCCAGTAACACCTGTCGCTGGCATCAAACGGAAGCTCGAAGAGATCGAAGGAGATGACACTGATGAAGTGGCTGGCATTGATGAGGAGTCATCTGAAGATAACGAAGATGCGTCTTACGCCCTAGTAGTCAGAGCAGATGGCTCAGTTGAGCAGGCCGATAACGTGAGGTATGAAAAGCTGTGGAATATCCAATGCTGTGAATAACATTTCCTCAGATTGTATGAAGCCGGGTATAAGAAGCGATACTATCAGCAAAAATTTGGCCTATCAGAAAATGATGATGATTTCCGAAGAAAGTGGGCGCTTTTGTTATCGATTTCTGAACAAACCTGGCTGACTCTGCTGTGTAAAGGCTAACAAAACACTATGTAGAAGGTATTGCGTGGGTTTTGCATTACTACTACCAAGGGGTGAGCTCCGTCCGCCGATTTGCCTTTCTTTGCTGACTCGGTATCAGACCCCTTCATGGCAATGGTATTATCCATATCATTTTGCGCCTTTCGCGTCGGACTTCGAAGGTTTGGAAAACATGCAGCTGGAGTTCAATCTCGGACAGCCATTCAAACCTTACGAGCAACTTATGGGTGTTTTCCCCCCTGCTAGGTACGTTCGTATTTAGTAATGATTTGACCTCACGGCTAACCAGTAACGCCAGTCGCAAGCACATACCTGAATCATTCCATGATCTCATGATGAACGATGAATCCCCAATTCATGATTTCTACCCAACAACCTTCCAGATCGACATGAATGGGAAGAAGATGTTGTGGCAAGGTGTTGCTCTTTTGCCTTTCATCGATGAGAAGAGGCTATTAGATGCGATGGCCGAGCACTACCCCAAGCTCACTGAGGATGAAGTCCGAAGAAACAGCTGGGGTCACAACGTCATGTTTGTCGCTGATGAACATTCATTGTACCCATTCTTCGAGGGATTATATGGTAAACGCAAGGAGAAACAGGTATGTGGTTAGTTCGATTGAAGCCAATCTCGTTATTGACCACGACTACTCAGCCTCAACCCATGCCTACCAACCTGTCCAAGGGCATCAGTGGTAGCGTTCTACCGAACCCTGATTGTTTACCTGGCTCGACGTATTACTCTCCATTGACTTCTATGAACCTGCAAGATATTAAAAATGATCGCTCTCTCTCCGCGTTGTATTTCTTCCCAAAGCAACTATCTCCCCATCGGTCAATGTTTCTTCCTGGGGTTATAAAACCTACAAGACAACTTACTGGCGAGGATCTTGCTCGGAGGGGTCGAGGGGGTGGCCGAGGGGGCGGCATGGATCGTGGCGGCCGCGGACGGGGCGGCTATCAGAATGGCTCTTACAACAACAACGGACATGGGTACGGCAGCACCCATGGCCAGTCGCACACTGCGACATCATATGTCTCGTCATACACCTCACAGTCTCGGACGCCGTACGCTCAAGGGCCCCAGCAGGGATTCGGAGGGTATGGCTCCAATGGAAGGCCACCAATTCAAAATTACGGTAACAATTATCCTGCCCAGTCGCGTGGTGGTCCACCCCCACGGGGAGGAGCCCCTCCCTCGCGCGGAATGCCACCAGCCCGCGGTGGCCCTCCCCGTGGTGGTCCTCCCCGTGGTGGCCCTCCTCGTGGTGGTAGTTCCGGGTATGGAGCTTCTACGTCCTATCCTCAATCCGCTCATCAACCGGCACATGGCCGTGGAGGCTACTCTGGTGGGTACAATGGCGGCAGCGGAGGGTATGGTGGACAGGCGACTGGTTATGGCGGCTATGGAGGCTACGGTGGCCAGGCAAGCCGAGGTGGCTATGGTGGTTCAGGAGGACAAGACAGCAACAGCAGCTACATGGGTTATGGAAACCAAAATGGCGGACAGACTCGTGGTGGCTATGGAGGCGGCTACAATGGAGGAGGCTACCAGAATCCTTCAAGGGGCCGGGGCCGAGGATTCTAGAGTAACTTATGGATACGGCCTTGCGTTAATATTTTTTCTTCGCAGATATTTTGTATTTTAGACCATCGATATATATTTTGTTGGTTTCTTTCACTGCTGCACAGTCCCGGTCGAGAAATACTTGAATGACGCTCCCAGATCCCATCCCTTAGTAATTCAGACTTTTTTTCGTTCACTTTCCCTGCAAGCGGGCCTGAGCGTCTCTCATAGCCGTTGAATAGAAGATTATCGAGCGTCAACAGAATGGCAAGCTTGGATTCTCGGAGCCTTATGTAAAATGACCCAGTACTTGTGGACCTCACACAATTGAATATTGAACTTGACGACCTCGACCGGGTAACAAATTGATTCGCAGTCCGTAGTATGTAGTACAATGACAATGACAAGATTAGGTATCAACAAATTCGACGTTACTGGATTCATGCGCTGCATGTTCTATTAGCCATAGTAAGATCCCGGAACAGGCATGTCGCGAGGCGCGATGTAGTTCAAGTACAATGCGTACTGCCTCTCGCGTTCCTTGACCTTTTTCCTGAGCTTCTTTTCCTTCTTGCGCCACTTCTTTTCCTCCTTCTTCTCTCGGCGCCTTCTCTTGGAGTCTGCAAGATCAACGCCGCGACCGTAGTACCTGTCGTCCTCAGACTCCGAAGAGAGAGAAGAAGAATCAGACAAGTCTGAATCAGAGTCGAGGTCAGGCATTGGAAGTTGGTTGTCCAGAGTCCCCGTGTGCGGACCTGAGCGTCGTTCGCGGCCCTTGTACAGGACCACCTCGACGCGACGGGCACGGAAGAAGGAATCGTTCCACAGATTGATCAAATCTGCAACAAGTGAACTCCGCTTAGGGGGAGCTTCACCCCTGGAGAACTCATGAATGGGCAACTTGCCGGCCCACGCAAGAGCAAGATCCTAAAGTGGAAAGTGAGTTGATATGTCAATGAATACACGTTTGTAACCACATACATTCATGAATCTGATCCAATCCTGGTGGTATACATCATGAGTATCGAGTACAAGCGGCATGCGAGGAATCTGTTCGTAAAATTTGTCCATATCTTGGATCCTCATCACGCCGAACGGAGTGTAGGGCTGAGCGGCATTTGGCGGACGGGAGAACGCCTCTGGAGCAGCAAGTTGTTGCAACGAGTCTCCTCCCGTGGCAGCGCCGGGCATACGGGGCGATGTAGGGAATCCTGCGTTGGGCATGCGGGGAGATGAAGTGAATCCTGTGCTAGGCATTCGTGGGGATGAATTGAATCCTGTGTTGGGCATGCGTGGAGACGAAGGGAATCCTGGCCCGGCAGGCGCACCGGGCATTGGAGAAGGTGCTCGCGACCGAGGGGCCGCGATAGGCTGTCCCTCCATTACATGCCCACGGGGGTATACTGAATGAATTTGCGGTGGGGGCACAAATGGTGAAGGAGCGCGCTGAGGATAAGTCGATGCCGCCTGTTGACCATGGTATGGGGACGGTGCGCGAGACGGAGGGCGTGCGTATGGGGAAGGAGCACGAGGCCCCGGTGGCATTGGAGAAGTAGAACGCGCCGCCTGCGGCATTGGAGAGGGCACTCGAGCGCCATAAGGAGAGGGTCCTTGGGCACCATAAGGAGAGGGCGCTCTGGCACCATAAGGAGTGGGCGCTTGGGCACCGTAAGGAGAAGGCGCTCGGGCACCATAAGGAGCGGGAGCTTGGGCACCGTAAGGAGAAGGCGCTCGGGCACCATAAGGAGCGGGCGCTTGTGCACCATAAGGAGATGGCGCTCGGGCACCATAAGGAGCGGGAGCTTGGGCACCATAAGGAGAGGGTGCTCTGGCACCAAAAGGAGATGCTGCCCTCGCCATGGGATCCGGTCCACCAGGGTACGTGGAGGATGAGAATTCTTGCGGCCTTACATTTGGTGAAGTTGAGAAAGCACCCACAGGTCGGTAAGGAGAGGCCGCCCGGTTGTAAGGGCTGGCGCTTCCAGTTGTAGGATAACCTGTTGGACTGGTATACGTTGCGGGAGGGGACGAGTACGCCCCTCCACCACTCTGAGAAAGCTTTCTGGGCCTCGCACCGAAGGAAACCTCCTTGCGGTCGATGTCGAGATCATTGAATCTGCGGTCAAGATCTGAGCTGCTGTAGGCACCGTATGCAGCGGTCCCCGGCGCTGGATATCCAGAGGGAGGTGCTTCTCCGTAGAAGCTCCTTTTGCGTTCTCTGACCTGAGTATCCCTCTCACGTGCCATGCGGATCTCCATTTCGTCCCTTTCAAACTGTTTCGCGATGTTCTTTAGGGATGCCTTCTCTTCTTTTTTCTTGCGCTTCTCTTCAGAGCGTTTCCTGAAAATGATGTAGAGAACGGAGCAGCATGACATTGACTGGACCGTACCACTTTTCAAGCTCCCTCTCGTCTTCCCTGTTGAGCTGGCCGCGATTCCAGGATGCAGCAAATTCCTGATTCATATGCTCAACAGTGTGGTCATGGGCAAAACTCAAGCTATTTGAGGACTCACTGCATTGGCAGGTTGAGCGCCAGTTGGCAAGATCTGTGTGGCTTCGGCAGGGACCCATTGGATACCATGTACAACACCTTGGGGTGTCTGATAGCTGCGTATCATAATCTGATCAGGCGGTGCGATCTTATCAACGTCGCAACCACACTTGCCTAGCAGGCACCGCTCTGCATGATCGATGGGTTACGATAGAGCTAGTTTGCAAGACAGATGCGATCATACCTGAAAGGATGGTATGTAACCTGGCCATCCGCACTAGTGGACGTCGTATAAGTGATAGATCCAGGTGCGATCTGGCCGCCAGACGGGGGTGAATATGGCTGGGGCTGCTGCTGGGGTTGCTGCGGGGGCGCAGTGAATCCTCCGGTTCCGCTCATTGTGCAGTCTGATTCTGAAGATGAGGGAAGGTGGGAGAGAAGGGAATCGCACTGATAAGTGGCGATTGTCGCCTCTCATCTAATTAATTGACCCTGTAGCCCTACCCTGCCTCGTGTTGTGCTATATCGAGACAATCACTGGCGATGGCCGAGTTTTTCAGCGCTGATTTTGATCGGATAGCGCGGAGCGAATGCATGCCGGTCGGATTCAGTACCTTTCTTGATCATTTGCCCCTCGACTTACCTGAGACCTACGTACAAACTCCATCTTGGATGTACTTAGGTATAACAGCTTGCATTGTTACATGATGTATACCCATCCATATCCAAGGAGCGATGGCATAGCAAGAACTCCAATTGACTTCAGACTTCAGTAGTCGCACAATCATGACAACTATACTTAGCTCATGCTCGATATTATCGATGAGCTTGTATCGCGACTGGATCGAGGGAAATATCATGGCTTGAGATAAAGTTGGATGACTCTTACCTGATCCTCTCAGGCTGGTCTGCACGCCGTTCTCGTACAGATAAAAGAGCAATTTTTGTCGCATTGAACTATCAGTTTAATGATTGCCCACGCAAGAAACGAAGCTCTGCCAAAATGAATCCCGTAAGTGCATGTATGCATGATAATCAAAGAAGGACTGGGTCAGATGCTTCCAACATACCAAGATGTCATTATTTTCCGTGAAGAAGCTCCAGAAATATAGGTTCCTCTTTGTCTCCCAAAGCCAGATGCAGCATTGCGTGGGTCCAGTTTGACTGATTACCGAAGCGACGAATCCGGGGGTATACGTCAGGATCTGCATCATCTGCCTATCCATCATTAATGATTTATGATACTGGTGGTAGAGGTGGTCACCTTTAGCGCCCCTTTGGGAATGAAGTATCCATGATAGGCTCATAAACGTCTTCCGAGGGCAAATCATGTATACCATTGCTTGGACTTTGATGTATCGATGGCCTGCTTCTCAATAATACCACGGAGAACCACCGAAGCGCTTCATTTATGAACTTGAATACTTTCACATACGGCCCCGGGAGATGTCCCTAGGTCAGGTTGTTGGCAGCCTGTGCTTGTTGTGAATTTTCGGGATGAAGCCTGATAGGTAAGAAATAATGGTCTACAGAGGTCAGTTCCTTTGCCATCACATCGCAAAAACGACTTACAGTATCAGCTCCCCGTGTACAAACGCCATTCGTCTGGGCAGCCTACTGCAGCGTTATTTGGGCCTTTCTCTGAGCACCTTTCCCTCAAGCAATCAGTTGCAGTGAAAAATCGAGAGGCAGCACCGTGAGCTAGCAATACTTTCAGTTCGTTGACCATTTCCGACGAAGAACTTGAGGACTCTTTATGGAAAAACGCTCCAGGGTGTCAACAGCGAAGGTGCCTAACTGGTTACCAGCCGTCAAAACCATTGCGTGATGAAGATAAATGTGCACAGACATACATGAAAAATTCACTAGATATGCGCGTTGGAAGTCTTGTGATAGTAAGGCTTATTCTCGTCCTCGACATCGTAGCATTGATAGTCCGTTCTGCTAACCAATGCATATGATCACAAAACTCGTGGGGTAAGCGCGCTTTAGGAAACGGCACTCCTGGCGTCCATGAGTGCATGATGTTCAACCAGTGCCAATAGGTACGGCAAGTTTTAGGGCGGCGACACTTTAACCCGTTGCCATATTGCGGCAAAACATGGGAGTTCTTCCATCATCTACAAAATGTCACGATGCAATGATTGGTTCCGCGGAACCAATTTACATTATGATATCGTCGCCCAGAACAAGTGATGGACGGTTCGAGTAGGAAAAGCTGCACTTTTCGAGTAGATCTTTCGCGGGCTGCACAGGTTTGATAAGGATCATAACATGAACCAAGATTATTTTCACTGCAAGTTGCGCAATGCATCAGCCATCGGCTATTTGTAGGCGATAATTTCCTCTTACCATCTTGCTTCCCCAGACTGAATGTCAACGTGGCTGAGCTGAATACACGGTGATGGAGGCTGGTCTCAGCAACTGCGGTGTTAATGCATACTTCATCAGATCCGGGGCCCTTGAGTATCAGGGTACACAACGATTCTCCCTTTCTAACTTCTGGCACTCCAGCCGCGAGAGGAAGCGGTCGGTTAGCGAATAACACCACTGGGTAATGTCATTCAGTCCTCTGTAAATAGTGGTCGACTTCCCGGAAGGATTCGGTGATGTTCCACGACTAGGCGAGTTTGCCTGGAAACGCGGCTCCTAGGAAGCACTTGACTTCCTTTTCCGTAAGACTGACTGTGCAGGGATAAGTGCGTTTTACGGAAGTGGGCAACTCACATCTATTTTTTCTCTGGCGTCCAAGCCTCTTCGCAGTGATGTCGAGATTTGTATTCAATTTATAGACATGATAGGAGATAAACCAGTCAACTGGAAACGACGGTACATGCCACCGAGTTGTCGTAGCGATTTAAAGTTCCATGTGGTCAAACGAATAGCCTTGCGGGAAAGCTGAGGACCGGTGATGCTTCTGATTGTCACGAATCTCCGCCGAAAAATCTGGTAACGTGCCATTGATTTCACTACGACGGAGATGTCGACTATTGCTCGTAGATTGCACATTGCTCCCAAAAAACTCACTCCTGTAGGAATATCGAGTCGCTTTAGGCGCTTTGCGACATGGAAGACAATATCCTTCAGGAGGGAAATGAGTAGCATGATGCGTTCGTCATTGACACTATCCGATACTTTCAGTAGCCCCCATGTCACAATATTATTGACAGTGTAAGAGGGTACGAACGAGGAGATCGTGCAATTGGCGTCAATGTCAATTGTGTCGCGTTCTCATTGTACTTGACCAGCAATGCGAAGGGGCGAGGAGGTAGATGACACTCGCTGTATATTCCACGATTCAGATGGCAACAGAAGATACGACATACTGGTCCGATGGGATGCACAATATTACAAAGTCTTGCAAAAGGTAATAGATTACTTTGCCTGGATGACAGTTTTCCAACTCTTCGCGGAAGGAGCCCGAATGCAGTTCATGAGAACCGCCACCACAATACGATGATAAGGATAAGTGCCACAGCACCAAAGGGTGCATATTGTCGTATGAGCGCCTGAATATTGATGTTTCTTGCTGCCTTGCGGTACTTCTCCGATTCAGAACGCAGGGAAGTTGACAGATGCGACATTCCTGTAAAGCGTCAAGATATCAAAGAAGAGCCTCAAAGATCTCTACACTCACTATCTAACGAGTCCCCCCTCCATAAAAGCTCCTCCATATTCTTGGTCATGATTCGAGTAACGTCTTGCAATTCATTGTTTAACTTGTCCAAGTTTGATGATCCAGCATTATCAGCTGCACGTGTATCTAGATATAGCCGTGCTGTTTTCGACATGAAGGTATCTGAATACAGCGCGAATGAGTCTTCGGTAAAGATACGTGCAGAAGGATCGCGCACCAAACCCGACAAAGGCATAAGGTTTCCGCACCGACTCGACTTTGGGTCCGTAAGATACGGAGAATTCCTTTGAAAGTTCTTCTAAATACGAGAAAGCAAGCTTCCGCGGGTAAGATTTGTCCGCAATAGTGAGATACACGACATTATCCGCGAGGAGGTAGCTATAGCAGCCGGCGGCTTAGAATGCGGAGCCTGATCGAGATGGGAACGGATGCTCACTGAAGCGTGTACTGCCCACTTTCGATGGAACACCGCGGTTCCGAGTTGGGTGTGATGCGTCGAAAAATCAGTTTCGACTGTTGCTTGTGCTCCTGAAGAGCTTGCTCGGTCTATTAGGGTATATGAACCTCCTAAGTAATTGATACAATGAAGAAGCTGACCTGTTCATCATCCACGCTTGCTGCCATTGGCAAAGCATCTGTTGCGCGGACTATTATTGTTGAGCGGACCATGGTGGGAGATGACGACGTTTCAAGATGTTGTCGTGGCTCACAAGTGGTATAAGCACGTGACCGGCGGTGAATTGGTCGATAACCGAAATAGGAAACTTCTGGCAGCACTGTGGTGTGTACGTGTTCGAACGTCCAAGGCCGAGTTCTTAAAAACCTTCTTCAATTCTATCAGTTCGATGGGCCGGTGAAGGCGAATCTCTTACCACTGTCATTCACAAAAAGTCGGGCAATATATAATGGACAAAACCCGAGGAAGTTCTCTGCTCGGCGTCTGCCGCCGGCAGTGTCTCGTTCCGTTGGGGCGTGATTCGTCACTCCGTGAGTGTTTTATTTAAGCATGTTCCAGGGGCCAATTTCTGTTTCAAATCAGCTTTCACAACCACCATCATTATGTCTCCCTCCTTGTTCGACGTTCGCAAACAGGTGCGTACCAAGCGTTGACCATCATCGACTTTACCTGACGTTCGCCTCAACAGCTCGCATTCTACGGTTCCTACCATTCTAATCCAGTCAACGTCCTCATTCACATCTTTGGGGTCCCAGCTCTTCTATGGTACGTCGCCTTTTCATACGTGGAGTGTGGATTAGGTACTACATTGGTCCAATTCAGGAGTGCACTGCTGTTGGCAACTCGCATCCAGACTCCCGCTTTCTTGCCAGAGATTCGCTATACGTTCAATGAGTACCTCGTATTTGATATGAACACCCCCGCGATGGTCACCGCTATCTACCTCCTGTACTATCTTATCCTGGAACCGATTGCTGCTGTCAGTCTCTCTATCGTATCTGTAGCGCCACCTGACACTAGTCCCAGTTGTTGTACGCGCCGCAGATGGCGGTGACACTACTGACTGCAACAGCTCACGCACACCACCCTGATGGTATTCGAGACGCGATTATCGTCCAAGTTGTCTCATGGATTGCGCAGTTTCTGGGGCATGGACTTGCTGAGGGTCGTGCACCGGCCCTTCTAGACAACATCGTTGGCGGTAGGTCATCTGTCTGGCATTTAACCTCTGTGTATTGGCTGCTAATAGTCCTTTCCAGCCTTTGTACTCGCTCCTTTCTTCGTCCACTTGGAATTGTTGTTCATGCTAGGATATCGTCCCGTCCTGCACAAACAGCTGCAAAACGATGTCGGCGTTGAGATCGCCAGGATCAGAAAGGCACAAGGCGAAAAGAGGCGTCGTGCAGAAAAGAAGTCCAGTTAATTTGATCGATGACGGGAGCCTGATATCAGATCTATAATCTTTGAATCTCCATGTTGTGTATTTTTCGGCTAGTTGTCAGACCTTATTATTCCTAGCCTGTGGAGGTTCTGGGCTGTACATAGTTCGTCATCGTCTTGTATCATACATTACATTGAAACCGGTCTCCACTATCAGGTTGCATATTTATCAGTTTACCCTTCAAATGAGACTGGCGGGAGGTTGGAGGGCCGGCTCTCCAGTAGGGGTAACATAGCACGAGGTGAGGCCTCCGTCGACCTTGAAATCCGTACCCTATTGACGTGGCATTAGACAAGCATCTCGCATTAATTGGAAAGAAACACACAGTCATATAACTGCTGTCATCGCTCGCCACTGCGTATGAGATAGTAAAATCAGATCAGCCGGATAGCGTCACCCAAGCAGAGACGTACGGAACAATGCAGCCTTGGCGAGTTCAACGGCCTCACCGAAACGACCCATGGGGAGGTGAACGAGCCGGCGCTCTTTCTTCTCCGACGTGTTGAGGAAATCCATCAAAAGAGCTTCAAAACATTATATGTCAGCGACATAAATTTTGGTGCAGATGTGATGTGCACTGACGCGTCTTCAGCGGTCCGCTGCGAGTACCAAGGTCAGCATGCAGCAATGCAAGTCTCACTTCAGCTTACGGGCAAAGGGAATTCAGCCGAATTCCTTCTCTCGCATGCACCATTGCGAGCTCTCGTGTCATGGATAACACAGCGCCCTGATGTCCTTTCAAACTAATGTATCCTAGCGAAAAACTATTCTACTTACCTTGGATGCAGTATCTGAAAATCATCTTTTAGAAAAACAAAAAAAGTGCAGTGTGTTCACGTACATGCCAACTGTGGGGTAGCGGCACCCATGATAGCAACAAAGCTCGCAGTGTTGATGATGGAGCCCCCAACACGGAGGCCCTTCTCCTCGTCGACAGGATTTTCCCGCATAGCCATAATGGCATACTTGCAGCCCCACCAGACACCTTTCACGTTGATTTGCATTGTCAAATCCCAAATCTTCTCCTCTGTGTTGAGGGCGTGATCGTCTGCTGGGTGCATGATACCCGCGTTGTTGAACTGCGGACTCGTTGAAACACCGTGCAGATAATCATAAAATATGAATCCTACCATTACATCTAATCTACCGAATTCTGCAACAGCGCGATCAACCGCTGCTTTGATGTCATCTTCCTTCCCGACATCAGCGCGAACGGCCAGCGCTTTGACGTTCGGGAAGCGTTGCTGGATGAGCTCAGCACCTTTCTGCGCAGCTGGTAGATTGATGTCGACCAGCAAAACATTTGCGCCTTCTTGAGCGAAGAGCAGAGACGACTCAAGACCTATCCCACTGTAATCGTATTAAGATAAGAAAATGCGATTTGTTCTAGCAGACTCACGAGCCGGCTCCAGTAATAAGAGCAGACTACATCAAAATTTTCGTCAGCAGTATGTCAGGTTGCAAGGTATCTATGTTGGATTACTTTGTTTGCAAGGCGTCCTGGCATGACTAGGTTGATAAGTTCAAGTTGTGGTTGGTTCAGGAAAGGTCGCGGTGCTAGAGCTGATACTATCAGATAGGATAATGCTATTTATAGCTCAGGCTTGTGATTGTCGATCCAATAAACCTTAATTTATGTGCACCTTCCGAAGTCAGCCTCAGCCTCAGCGTCGACGATGGCTCATTCGAATACTGATAGGTCGCATGATGGGCCATGGCCAGTAACTTGATCAGCCTGAGACATTTGAGTCCAGCACGTCATCATGTTTTCAATCAGCCTGGCCTATATAAAACCCCTCAACTTCAGTCGCCAGTCTCTCATTCACTTTCTATCTACTAACAGGTGCAGGTTGCCTTTCCACTACAATTATTTTCTCTCGCTTCATTTTGACAATGACTTTCACTATGTCCCTTCGTCCTAAGACCTACACTGCTCGTTACCCACAATGGATGGTCGGGAGGCCTTTGCTCTATATGTCCTCCGCCCTTGCATCTCTCGGCGACGCTATGTTTGGCTATGGCCAAGGCAGTATCGCCTCAGCTCAGGTTCAGCCTTCTTTCATCCTCCGAATGTTTGGCAAGGAGGTCACCATGGCGCAAATCCAAGCTGGCCAGACCGGTGTGAACCCCTTCTTACAAGGTTTGATTCATTTTTGTCCCATCCTCGGGTCGCTCAATCGCCCCTTTTGTTAGCCATAGCCGTTTCTTGTTTAAACCTAACAGCGCTGCTGGCTTCATTCATCGCTGCCTACCTCTGTGATCTTCTTGGCAGGCGGATGTCTGTTCGTATCGGAGGCGTCATGTATTTCATTGCCGCTCTTATTCAGCTCTTTGCTCCAAACCTCGGCGCCCTCATCGCCGGCCGATGTATCCAGGGCCTAGGTGTCGGCATACTTTCCATGACTGTTCCGATTTTGCAGTGCGAAATCGCCCCCGCTCATGCTCGCGGTCTCTTTGTCAGTATCGAATACATCTGCCTCAATATCGGTTACGCTGTTTCCGCTTGGGTCGGATATGGCTTCTTCTTCGCCATGCCTTCTGAGATCTCATGGCGTGGCCCCTACATTGTACAGGCTGCTATCGCAGCTGTTCTCATCGTCTGGACGTTTTTCCTTCCCGAGACACCTCGTTGGCTGGCCCAGAATGGCTTCCAGAAGGAGGCTTTGGTAACTCTCGCAGACTTGCACGGCGCTGGAAACGTCTCCGACCCCAAAATTCTGGCTACCTACGCTGAGATTGTCGGTGCTGTCGAGTACGAAGCTCACTTGGGTCAAGCTTCCTGGCGTCAACTCTTCACGCAATACACTCGTCGATGCATCGTCGGCATCACCTGCCAGATGTTTGCTCAGCTCAACGGGATCAATGCCATCTTGTACTTCTTACCATCCAACCTCACCCGTGCTGGATTCACGATTTCCCGTTCCCTGCTCTACTCTGGTGCTTGCGCTCTGATCTATTGTTCTGGAACCATTCCCGCGATGTTTTTAATCGACAAATTCGGACGCCGGGTGTTCTTGCTCTTTGGAAGCTGTGCGCTGGCTGCGTCCCTTTCCATTGTCGGTGGTCTCCAATACTACGCGGACAGTCTTCCTCTGGGATCTGCCCGAGTCTCTGCTGCCGACGCTATCTTTTTTGGTATGCTGTCATTTTACTTGCAAGAAAAACATGCGCTGAAGCTCATCCCCCAGGTGTTTGTCTGTACCTATTCTTCTTCGGCGCCACCTGGGGTCCTGGCCCCTGGCTTCTTGGTGCTGAAATTTTCCCTCTCCGCGCTCGCGCCAAGGGCATGTCGCTCAGCACATGCACCAACTGGTTGTTCAACTTCATTATCGCCTTCATCACGCCCCCGCTTTTCGACGCTATCAAGGCAGGGTACTACTTCGTCCTCGTCGGCTTCTGTATCATCTCTCTCCTCGTCGTCTGGTTCATCTATCCCGAAACCGCACACCATACCCTGGAAGACCTTGGCGAGGTATTCGGCGACAAGGTCATGGACGATGAAGGTCCTGCGCGCGAGAAGGCTCAGAGGAGTGCGAACGAGATTCAACGGGAACGTTCGGGTTTGCCTGTCGCCACCGATTCAGAGGTCACTCTTCAACCCAGCATGTCTTCCATCATGCCAACGTCCAAGGATGACGGTTCAATTATCATGAAGGAAAGGTCTTCTGTTGCTACGATGGAGTCGGACGTTTAGCCTCTGACCCAATGGACTTAGTAGACTACTGAACTTGTATACCGGACAATAACACTAAATGCATAAGTGATTCAACCAACGTCCATGTGCATATTAATCCAATGACTTCTTGTCTGCTCTGCTAACCAATATTAATATCCGACTTAACTTTTAACAACGCAGGGACTCCGGGAAATCGTCAGGGTAACTTCCATCGCCCTCCTGGAACATCTCGAGGAATTCTCTCACTGCCGGCGGTGGGGTTCTTGAAGGTAATAAGAAACATCTGCGTGGTGCTGGGACACTCATCCCAGCACCCTGCTGCATTAAATCGTCCAGTGAGGAAGTGTATGACGGATCAGGTGTTTGTCGCTTTCTGTAGGGAGAAAGTTTGGCAGATTGGTTTGGGATGGAGGCTCTAGTTGTTTGAGGCCGCTGAGTCACGTCTTGCGGTTTACAATTCGCGATCTCTGCTGGGAGAGCGACAATCGGTATTTCTGATTCTGGCTCGGTTTCGGAATCGTCATCTGGACCAGGTTTGAGCACTTCTGGTTCTGACTCTGGCTCTGTGACAGAGTCGTCTTCCTGAGCGGGGCGAACATTATCCATAGACTCTGTACGCTCTATGGGCTTCTTAAGGGGAGAGATCTTGTCTAAGACGCGACTTGGAGTGCCTTTCAAAGGCCTGCGAGACGGCGACGCAACAAACGAGGATCTATTTCTTGGAGATCTATATGCCAGGAATGAACCAGAGAATCTTCTTGGCGGTGAAACAACAGGCGATGTGGCAGGACTTGACCCAAGGGAAAATTGGTGCGGTCGTTTGCGCTCACTACGATTGAAATGGGCAGCGTGCGTAATGGGACGCGGCGTTGGGAGGTCGGCTTCGATTCTGGAAGTTGCTGGTAAGTAAACGAAGAACAACATGGACATGTTTTGCTGACCTTGCCAAATACAAGTTGTTCAACAAGCTTCCGGATAGAGACGCCATGCTAATCGCTCCCTCCTCCTGCGACTGTGAGCTTGGGACAGGCTCATAGTTGCTGATTGACACGGGTTTTACTACCCGTTTGCGACTCGGCGTCGCATCTAATGCAAGCAAGTATTGACTTTGCGAGGATGGGATGAGTTCTTCGACTATAGCAGGAGCAGACTGCAGCTCCTTAAATGGTGAATCTGGGGAAGACACAGGGGTCGCATGGACCACGTCGCTGTTTCGGGGCGCGCAGGTAAAAGGGTCGTCAGGATCTATTATCTGTCGTATTCCATGGGAGGTATCCGTGAGTTTCCTCGGGTGGGCGTCTAAGTCGTTGGCTACTGGGACAGTGAGCTTCATAATGAGCGGCGCAGAAGCTGGGGAAGGGCTCGATGATGCATGAGTGCCAGACCCATGCTTTATTCTGCACGGCGACGTCGCGCCAATAAATGTGTGCAAACCGGTCGGTGCATGCATATTGCTGGGTTTACGCACGTTGGTCTCCGGAGTAGGTAAAGACACAACGGCGGGAGCTACGGTAGCGCTCCGAGGGAGAGGGCGAACTACCGCAGTGCTTGATACTGCCAGCGTCCGCTTCTTTGTTTGGTTCGTTGGGGGAGGAGTGGCTAGAGATTGCTTTGCAGTGCTTGCGAGATGCACGGGTTCCTTGACACTGGAGAAACATGGTGCATTTATTCTATGCGAAACAGTGTTCGAGCTGCCCTTCGCCGACCGAGAGCTGCCCGCAACCGGCCGCTCGGGTGACGAGTCAATGACCACTACATCGTGGGATGGTCTGCGAGGTAATGGCCTCTCTCGTCGGCTGGAGGTCGACGCGACAAGAGGCTTCGAGGGAGGAAGCTTTGTTTGCTTCCTAGTTTTCTGCGGCCGTTTGGCGCTACCCTGAGCACCCGTATGCACATCAGCAGAAACTGCTGCCCGCTTTGCTGGACCTCCCCTGTCGTCCGCAACTGGTGCGAGTTTCCTCTTCTTGGTTTGTTCTGCCACTTTCTTGCCCTTCTTATCTCGCGCAAAGTAGGATGTGATGGGGAGTTCTTGTTGCGACAAGTTCATGCCAAGAGTTACTTAAGCTTAAGGTTGGTTTCCCTTCACGAAGATCGCTGGATGGTAATGAGGGCGGAGTTGACACGCTTTTAAAACTCAGAAATATACATCCGACGCGTCTCGTCACGCGCTTTTCTTTCACAAAGCTCAATAACATTATGGGAGACACTGGCTCACCGCAGCTCAAGAAACGCAGGATGTCCGTGTCCGACAGCGCAAATCACGACCCGCTCACTCCCACATCGCAGTTGTTGGTCAAGAGGCTCTCTGACAAGGCCAGAATTCCTACTAGGGGATCGAGTTTGTCTGCGGGGTATGATTTATACAGGTGAACACGTTCAATGAGCAGACTTGATGATCTGACCCAGAAATACAATACAGCGCAGAGAAAAAGGTGATTCCAGCGCATGGTAAGGCACTGGTTGACACTCAGCTTTCCATTGCTGTTCCTGTGGGCACATACGGACGGGTTGCACCGCGCAGCGGTCTCGGTAGGTCATGTTTTGTGTGCTATGTGGTGCCTGACTCAGGAGATTCTCTTTCAGCATCGAAATTTATGATTGACACGGGTGCTGGTGTCATCGACGCGGATTACAGAGGTGTCGTCTTTGTTCTGCTTTTCAACCTCTCAGACAAGGATTTCCAAGGTTTGTCAAAGGGTGAACCTAATTATTGTGTGTTACTAATCGGGTCCGAAGTCGAAGAAGGCGACCGGATAGCTCAATTGATCATGGAACGTATTTATACGCCCGAGGTTATGGAAGTAGATGTGCGTCTTGCTCGCTCGCATTCTGAGTTGTGTGATTGATCACCCAGCAGAACCTCGATGAAACATTACGTGGAGCAGGAGGGTTCGGCTCTACGGGTGGGCACGGCTTGCTGTAACATATCATACCTACTGTGCGCCTATGCATTACCATGAGACCTGTTTTTTTTTTTGCGACGGGATCGATATTCATTACGAGTTGGCATAGTCCAGTATGCAATTGTTGAACGTAGATGCTCCGTGGATGTCTGCTGATTCCTGAATATCTCAGCATTTTGTTGGCCCGTTTCAATGTCGTACTCACCTGATTATATGATAAGTATACAATGCTGCAAAACCATGACCGGAGCGTTCATCTAGAGCGATCTGTCTCGACGACATACATCCCATTCGCACTACGACTCGCATATGAAAGCAGCTCCTGGCCTCTCACATCCTCGTCCTCGCGTGGTGTCCTATCGAGGGGTGTCCCAGACCCTTCTGCTATCACCCGCCCGTCTGGGATGCCTATGTTCCCCGACTCCTCCACTTTGATCAGCTTCGTGGCCTCCACAAGCTTGATCAACTCCTCTAATTCGTGCTTTAGCTTTGCATACTCTGGTGTGCCTTCTTCGGGCGGTGATAATGCAGAGAGTTCATGCAATCGTTTGAATGTGGCTGGTGATATCGTCGGAGCTGGATAAGAAGACAACAATTCCTGGACGGACCAGGTGGGCTTGAGAGGTATACCATACGCGTCGGTTTCTACTATGGCTCTAGACGTCGAGTACCGCAGTGGGACATTCAGAGAACGATACCATGCATGACCTGCTTGTATGACTGAACGCCGTAGCATGGTGAAGAGTAGTACTAGAACAGCGTGGGAACGTTGTGGGAAACTGCTTCGGGTGTAATAGTTTGCATTTGCTCAAACTCTTCCGTGACCGTCTGCAAGTCAACATGGAAAGGGCAGTACGCGCTATTCAGGGCCTATTACCGAGTACACTCCCCCCATCTCTACGAACAACACCCGCAAATCTTTACCAGGTGCTTTCTCGAGCTCCCGGAGGTGGCGCGGGCCAGCGTGTGCACCAGATCCGATGGACAGAAAAAGGCATACGAAACTGCTACTGGCAGGTAACGCGAACACGACTCAAGCTTGAGGGGAACCACGGAAAGGCATGGGGGAAGCTGTACTGGAGAGGTGAGTTCTCACCTCGCGAAGCAGACACAAACTTATCTGCATATGCAGGCAAACAAATTAGTGAACAGGAGGAGAGGATAGATGGTTCGTTAAAATACAAGTGGTCAACAGGTCCATCTTAGCCAATGGAAATGTACGTGAGATTGTACTCCGTTGTAGAGTTCATGCTCACGCAGCTTCCAAGATTACCGTGCAGGCAAGCCGGCACACTGACGTTTGGGACGGTTCAAGTTAGTTACCCGCGTAATGAACATCGCCTCATTAAAACGTCCTCTACCCATCATTATTTTCGACAACCATAGATTATCATCAAGTGAATTTGGCATTGTTACCCGTTAATGACTTTTCCATTTTCGAAGATTGTCACTATTCATTCAGTGTTTGGACTATGTATATGTATATGATGTAAGTGCCAAGTGTGACTATGGCTAGATCTAATGCAGGCTTGGACAATATCATCGCGAGCCATGACACGGTCGCGACACGAGCATCTGGACTGAATACCAAGGTGGTCGCCAGATGCTGCCCTATTTAAAAGCCATTGAACACCCCGAGGTCCCCACCATCACCGTGCAGGATATTATGGCATTGATGGAGAGCGAGGAGAATTTCTATGGGAGTTCCTACCACGACGTCAAGCCCTCTGTCCTTCCTACGTGGGTCGCTGCTCAAACGCAAACTTCAATCATACGATCAGCGAAGGTGAGTAGACGGAGTCCACGAACATATCAGCGCGGTAAATATTGTCTGCAGCTCCAGAAACCCTACTTGACCATACACGACTTGCGAGTAGCAAAATTGAGTGGATTTCACTGTAGAGCAATGAGCTAACTTCGAAGAGTGACTATAGCAACGATTCAGACGCTGAGCTGAGATTTATATTGTTTGTAAATGAATGATGGCTTCCTGTTGAAGAGCGCCAGTCTCCTATAGTTAGTCAGACCTTAAAAGAGACATCACGTGACTTCTCGCAGAGCCGAGGCGTAAATTTCTCGACATAAGTATCAAGCTCGTGATCACTCTAACTTGTGTTGATTTCAACAGTTGGATGGAACTGGGTGGTGGCACGTCGTGATACAATGATTGTACGTGTCATCGTATTGATAATGCGTGCTCTGGTATCAAAAACGCTCGCAGTCTACCTGACAATCAGTGGCCTGTCTTGCACCTCCCGCTCAATGATGAAGAGCATACCCAAGTTATTTGTCTCTCTGTTACATGACTGACAATCAGTCAGGTAGGCTCTACGCATGATGACCACCCTCGACTAAGTACTTCCCAAACAGGTCACTGCCGGACAGCGTCCGACGTCGCACAGGGTGGTGAAGAATTCATCAGAACGCGTAGCACGTGAATAGTCCGATGCTTTCTATCGTGATACGAATTCCGGCTGCTTATCCTTCTAATCCGATCCTGACCTCTCCTCCAGGGTCGGGAAGCCCTTTTTTCTATATTCAAGTCTGTGGTGTCTACAAACGCCTCGAAACAATGAACCTTTTTATCTGGTTCAGTATGAACATGTACTAAATCTAAATCCTAGGCATCGCAAACATCCGAATACGAAAACCAAAGTCCCCAGGCCTTTTTTTTGATGACGCACGACTTACTTCGCGGTGGTAGGTAGGCACAATGCGCATCCCATCGGAAAGTCAGCTGTCCACTTTTTCGCCGTGACAGATGGTGATTTACCAGTAAACGTTTTCCTGCCAAAATGTGTCGACTCTCTGGAATGCGGATTGCACCGCAAGGTCGTTGTTGTCTCCATCTCTTGTTGTCAATTTGATAAACTTGCCGACTTCTCTTGGATACCATCGATTGCACCGGAAGGTAGTAGTTGTCTCCATATCCTGTTATCAATGCTTACCTCATTCTATGGTGTTTCCTCTCATCAAATACAGCTGTGATAATATACTATCACGGAGTCCACATTGATACATGTCCAGTCGTAGGTCTGGCGAACCCAGATGCCCAGATTCAACTGAATGTGCATTTTGGAAATTTCCACCATTGGTCACTGCCAACGAACGGTCCACCTTCTTGGGGTGGAGATTCACGACTACTCATGATCTCTCACGCTCGCTTGTAGGTTTTCACTGAGACCGATTATCTCTCTGATTTTAGCACTTCAGATAAAATGAGCCTGTGCAACGTTGGAATGTGATATACCTAGGATAATACCTGAGCCCTATCCTGGCATGTTATATCGTGTAATGACTATATAAGAGGCAACACACAACCTCGTTCTTGAGTGCTCATCTCTGCTTGTAATCCATGTTAACGCTTACCAACGTCGCTTGGCTGAACCTACTATGTCTTGCTGGTGTCGGAGTATATCTGCTACTGCGGGTATTCAGCAAGAAAAACCCTGCACCATATCCCCCTGGTCCTGCAGGGTTGCCTCTCGTTGGGAATGTCCTAGACATGCCTCAAATCAAACCCTGGCTCATCTTCACAGAGTGGGGCAAGAAATATGGTGAGCGTCTCGTGTTTTGCCAAAATCATATATTTCAAAGTCTTGTCTACAGGTGATATCTCACATGTCGAGGTTCTGGGTCAGCATATCATGGTGGTGAACTCTGTCAAGACTGCGATGGACATGTTGGAAAAGAAGAGCATTGTGTACTCTGACCGTCCTGTTCTTCCTATGACTGGCGAACTTGTTGGCTGGAAGCACGCTTTGCCTCTTCTCTCTTACGGCGACCGTTTTCGCCAGTACCGCAAGAACTTCCACCGCATCATTGGCAGTCGTGCGGCATTGGGGGCGTACAACCCGATAGAGGATATTGAAACTCGCCGATTCCTTAAGCGTGTGTTTGAGACACCCGACCAACTACAGGAACATGTTCGACAGTAAGCATTATTTATCCTTGCATCGACATGATCTTGAATTTTCATAGCACCGCTGGCGCTATCATTCTGCGCATCTCTTACGGTTATGAAGTGAAAGAGAACGACGATCCCTTCGTCAACCTTGCAGGACGCGCCCTCGACCAATTCTCGCGTTCCACTAATCCTGGTGCCTTCATGGTTGATTTTATGCCATTCTGTAAGCTATAACATTCAGACGTTTGATTCTAATGGCCTTATGATGTGTAGTGGCCAAGGTCCCCGGGTGGTTCCCTGGTGCTGGCTTCAAGCGCCTAGCGCGTGAATGGCACGAGATTGTCGAAGAAATGGTTTCTGCGCCCTACCAGTTCGTCAAGGATCAGATGGTGACCGACATTCGTAGTTTTGCGATCGTGCGTTGACCATTGAATGATACAGGCTGCTGGCATTGCCCCGAAGTCTTTCGTCTCAGATCTGTTGGAAGGCCATACTCTGACTGCAGAGGAAAATGATATTGCGAGATGGTCCGCTGTATCTATATATGGCGGGGGCTCCGACACGGTCGGTCCCTACATATTCAAAATAATATTTCAACGAGACTAATACCTAATTTCCCAGTCTGTTTCTGCAATCTACTCGCTCTTTCTAGCTATGACCCTTTTCCCTGATGTGCAGAAGAAAGCTCAGGCTGAAATAGATGCTGTTGTTGGTCCTGATCGCCTTCCCTCCTTCGCCGACTTCAACTCCCTCCCCTATACAGAGGCGCTTGCCAAAGAAGTACTACGCTGGAATGTTGTCGCTCCTATAGGTACGTGTATCTCGTTTATCGTGTTCTTTTGTTGCCGAGCGATATCTCAATAACAGGTTTCCCTCATCGTGTCACTGAGGACGATATTCATAATGGGTACTACATTCCAAAAGACTCTGTTATAATAGCAAACATTTGGTTGGTACCCCCTTTTGCCGTATTCGATATTTTCACAGGTCATATCGACAGGTCCATGCTCAATGACCCGGAGACATATGCTAACCCCTCGGAATTCAACCCTGAACGGTTTTTGGCCAATAACGGAAAGAAGCCTGAGCCCGAGCCCCGCACGATCTGCTTTGGCTTTGGAAGGCGGTAAGCATCAAATTTATTTTGAGAGAAAAACTAATTTTCTGCTCCGTAGTATTTGTCCAGGTGTGCCCAACTCATAGAAATGCCGATATATATATATATATTCTGACATTGCTTTATTTTCATTTACAGGTCTCCTCCTCGCTGAAGCCTCCGTTTGGTTATCCGCCGTGAGGTCACTGGCTGTGTTTGATATATCCAAAGTCGTCGAGGACGGTGTTGAGATCACCCCCAAAGTTGACCAGTTATCTCAGGCTGGCACGATCAGGTATGTCGCGTATCTGATTACGTCCGCGGTACTATAGACACACCCCCAGTCACCCCAAGCCCTTCAAGTGCTCCATTAAGGCTCGCTCTGCGAAAGCCATTGTGCTCATTGAGCAAGATGCTAACTACTAAGCGCTCAAAGATGGATATGCAGGCAAATTCCTCACCCTGGGCGGTGACTACTTCAATTTTGTTTTTATTTTACGTCCCATTTGTTATCTTCATGGAGGTACGCCCGATGTAGGCAGTACACGCATTATGCTACGGTTGTTCTTGTGGTTGTTTTGTTTAGTATCGTGAATGACATGACTCGGTGTTATGAACCGCTGGCTCGCGCCCTGTACGTAGGTTTGAGGCGGCATAAATCATGGGAGGCGTTGACTTTCACTCGGAATTATCTGTCATTATTTGTATTTTGCGCTTGGAACGGGCCGTGGCACAGCACGAAGGTCGTACAATCATATGTATTGCTTCATCTATATACATTGCAACGGATAATTACACACCGGCAACAATATTACCTTGCTTTCGTCGCCTTGGTTCAAAGTGCGACCAGACCGCCCCCGCCAAATTCTGGCATTTGAACCGTGCAGCCACAACTAGATCTGTTGATCGCGTACTTACTTGAAGGTCCGTATTGTAATATTCATTAGAAAATTTTAAATAAGATTGGTAGCAGGGCAGTCCCTTATCTGATGGTATGTGAGAGCTCGTCAATGAAAATCATTTCATCCTCGTCGAACAAAGTTAATCGGATGACTGTAATACTGATAAGCCTTACTCGGTCTTGGTCTTGGAGCCCTAAGTAGATCAATAGAAGACTTCTTACTTTTTAAGCATTAAGTTCAAGGTACACAGATGAATATCAAACGCAGAATAGATTATTTCAAACATTGAAAACCAATTGCAAATATATTAATCTGTATACAAAACAAAACCACAAGGCATGGAGTACTAATAAGTTAGCAGTAACCATGCAATGGGTGATTAGGACCACTGACACAGCATAATCTGGTGAACGACCAAGAGGGGCCTGGGATGGGTGTTTTCTATGACGGAGAAGACACGAGAATGTTATATAGCAGCAAGTTGAGTAACGATTGTGGCTGGTGTCGCCAAACTTTGATGAGATCATATATAATATCATGCATGACTCGGACCCTGCACCGTCGCAGGAATATGTGGCTCAGCGTACCCATACGAGGCCCTGAGGGTGTTTGGGTTCGCTATGTAGGGAGATTATGTCAGCAGATATCACTGGCGTTAGTAGCCTAAAAAGGTAATGAAACATTTATTCTAACCCTTAAAAAATTTAAAAGTTTATAAGAGGTCAGATCAATTGCAAATTGGATTCAATGAGTATTTATTCTAGGCTAAACTGGCCTTTTTTGATTTTATTCTATTCTATTTCGCAGTCACCAGTGGCCAAAGTGGCCAGGTATTACGTATGGAGTTACCACCGTGGTCGCACAAATGAAACTTGCCGTCCGCAGTCGTTGTCCTCGCTCAGACAAGCCTGTTTTCTATTAATGTAAACCTGCATTATATTCACCCTGGTCCCCCGGGGTGCCCATTCGTTGGCCACGTTTCAGACACGCCTCACATCAAGCCCGGTTGACAGCGGGGAAAAAAGTATGGTGAGTGCCTCCCGTTTTGCCAAAATCATTTTCATCCTGAAACAATTTTCTGCAGGTGATATCTCGCATATTGAGGTTCTCGGTTGGCGCATTATTGTGCTGAACTCTGTCAAGACTACAATGAACATGCTGGACATACAGGCACTATACTCTGACTCCGTTTTCGCAGGTACCGCAAAAAACGCCACCGTATCATTGGCAGCCACGCCGCATGGGGCATATACGGCCAGACCGAGGAAGCTGAGACTCATCGATTCCTGAAGCGCGTGCTTGAGAAACCCGACCAACTGCATGAATGTTCGAAAGTATGTATTACTTATCCTTGCATTGATACCTTACCATGATGCAGCCTGTCTGGCGCCCCCTGCCAAATAATGAGGATATTAGCTCTATGTTCTCGAACTGACACCTCAGTCATGCTTCACGCATCGTGACCACCCTCGACTACTTCAAAAAAAAGCTCTCTGACAGACTTCTCGTGCTGACTCGGAGTTCACCATCTTATAGGGTGGTGAAGAACCTCGTTGTTTTCGATTCAACCGCGGTGGCCCAAGCCTTGTGAACATTAGAACCTCGGTTTCCGTTGTCGCTCGTTGGAGCGCATAGCACGTGACTTGTGCTTCTAGACTCTATTGCGACCCAAATCCCTGCCGCTTCATAATTTTCCGATATGATCCTGATCTCTCCTCTAAAATCGGTTTGGAAGCGCTTTCGTATATTCAACCAGTCTATCGTATCTGAAGACCTGTCTGTTTACTAAAAACACGTTCTAAATCTAATCCCTGGGCGTCGCAAACGACCGAACATAGAACCCACTTGCTTCGCGGTTGTAGGCCCTCACATGCTGTCTCCATGTTTTGTCATTAAAACATACCCCACTCTATCGCGTCTTCCCTCATCAAATATAGCCCGTGACAACGTACCACCACGGAGTCCACGCCGACACATACCGCTGTGGATTTGCGGACACATCTCACTTGAATGTGCATATTGGAAATGACTACTCATGTTCTCCCACGCTCAGTCGCATGTAGGTGGCTGTAGGTTTTCACTGGGATCGACCATCTACAAACAAGTCACTGGTACCAGCACTTCGCTTCGGCTCTCTGATTCCAGCAGTTTGGATACAATATGCCAAGGATAGGACTCTATCCCGCGCATGTCACGTATAGTGCGCGACCATATAAGAGGAGGCTCTTCTTGTTTGATCGCTCACTACACGACCTCACTCTTCAGTTGATCTACCAGTAGACTATGATGACACTCACCGTCACTTGGCTGAACCTACTATGTCTTGCTGGTGTCGGAGTATATCTCGTAAAGCAGGTGTTCACAAAGAAGAACCCAGCACCATATCCCCCCGGCCCTCCGGGGTTACCTCTCGTTGGGAATATTCTAGACATGCCTCACATCAGGCCCTGGCTCACCTTCACGGAGTGGGGCAAGAAGTATGGCGAGTGTCTCATATTTTTCCAAAATCGTGTTTTTCAACCTCGTGCGTGCAGGCGATATCTCTCATGTCGAGGTTCTGGGCCAGCACACCATGGTGCTGAATTCTGTCAAGAGTGCGATGGACATGCTGGATAAGAAGAGTTCGATCTACTCCGACCGTCCTGTTCTGCCTATGGCTGGCGAACTTGTTGGCTGGAAGCACATTTTGGGTCTTTCCCCTTACGGTGAGCGTTTTCGCCGGTACCGCAAGAACTTCCACCGCGCCATTGGCAGCCGCGCCGCAATGGACAGCTACAACCCGATCGAGGAGATTGAGACTCGCCGATTCCTTAAGCGTGTGTTCACGAAACCTGACCAATTACAGGACCATATTCGGCAGTATGTATTAAATTGTTCTTGCCTGGCTCAATCTCGAATTTTTATAGCACTGCTGGCGCTATCATTCTGCGAATCTCTTATGGATATGAAGTGAAGGAGAACAACGATCCATTTGTCGACCTTGCGGACCGTGCTCTGGAGGAATTCTCACGGGCGACTGCTCACGGTGCCTTCATGGTTGACATCATGCCATCCTGTAAGTTATACATAGCATTCAGACGGTCGCTTCTAATGGCCTTACAATTTTTAGTGGCCAAGGTCCCCGAGTGGTTCCCTGGTGCTGGCTTCAAGCGCCTAGCGCGTGAATGGCACGAGACTGTCGAAGAAATGGCTTCTGCACCCTACCAGTTCGTCAAGGATCAAATGGTGATCGACATTCGTAGTTTTGCGATCGTGCGTTGAAGTTTGAATGATACAGGCTGCTGGCATTGCCCCGAAGTCTTTCACCTCAGATCTGTTGGAAGGCCATACTCTGACTGCAGAGGAAAATGATATTGCGAGATGGTCCGCTGTATCTATATACGGCGGGGGCTCCGACACGGTTGGTCCCTTCTCACATATACCAAATTACAATGAGACTAACACCTGGTTTCTCAGACTGTTTCCGCAATCTACGCGCTCTTTCTAGCCATGACCCTTTTCCCTGATGTGCAGAAGAAAGCTCAGGCTGAAATAGATGCTGTTGTTGGTCCTGATCGCCTTCCCTCCTTGGCCGACCGCGGCTCCCTCCCCTATATAGAGGCGCTTGTCAAAGAAGTACTGCGCTGGAATGTTGTCGCCCCGATCGGTATGCATTTCTCGTTTATCACATTCTTTGGTCACGGAGCGGTATCTCAATGTCAGGTTTCCCTCACCGTGTCACCGAGGACGACGTCCATGACGGGTACTTCATTCCAAAAGGTTCAGTTATAATGCTAAACATTTGGTTGGTACCCCCTTTTGCCGTATTCGATATTTTCACAGGTCATATCGACAGGTTCATGCTCCATGACCCGGAGCGATATGCTAACCCCTCGGAATTCAACCCTGAACGGTTTTTGCCCACTGACGGAAAGGAGCCTGAGACAGAGCCTCGCACGATCTGCTTTGGCTTTGGAAGACGGTAAGCATGGAATAGGTTTCCAGTGTAATGCTAATTTTCTGCTCTGCAGTATTTGTCCAGGTGTGCCCAACTCACAGAAACGCCGATAAACAAATATATTCAGACGCTGATTTCTTTTCATTTACAGGTCTTCTCCTCGCTGAAGCCTCCATTTGGACATCCTCTGCGATGTCACTGGCCGTATTTGATATCTCCAAGGTTGTTGAGAACGGTGTTGAGATCACCCCCGAGGTTGACCCTTCATCACTCACGATCAGGTATGTCGCACATTCTTATCACGCTCGAGGTGCTGGTATCAATAGACACGCTCCCAGCCACCCCAAGCCCTTCAAGTGCTCTGTTAAGGCTCGCTCGGCGAAGGCTATTGCGCTCATTGAGCAGGATGTTAACTACTAAAGGCATGAAGACAAGATCCTAGCCATTTCGATTTGTCATGATTTTCATGAGACGTGGAGTGTCGTAGCGTGTGTTGTATATATTATTGCCTTATCTTTTTCAATTACTGATACTACTCGCAATCTACCTGATCACTCACCCATCTGGCTCCTCTTGTCCAGTGATGAGTAGAAACCTTAAGCCAGTCTTCCGCCGATTACCGGTACCCCATATAAGGCTTTGCGCCTTGCAACTACTCCGACTTCATCGCGAAGTCCGGCCAGACTTCCCATGTGCACCAGCTCGCACTGGTGGCATGCTGCAGGAAGTCCCACGCTCCTACCCAGCAGATGTCTCAAGGGTGGGGGCTAGTAACGAAGGCCGAGCAACGTGGAGCAATTGTCCAAATTGTTACATTGTGCGTTCATATGTTCAAAACTGTGACTTAACTCCACACATTAAAAAGAAGTTGTCCTCATAAGTATCATGCCGCAAAGCTTGATATGCATTCATAGAACACGCAGCAACGAGTCATTCACGCGCTCGCACGAATGTGCATGTCGACTAGCACTCATCCCGGGCCCCTGCAACGATTCTCAACGCAATCCGATCGTTGTCGTGTGAGAGCGTCATACGCATACAGGAGATGGGCCAGATATTGCTTGTTGGATACGTATATGACAACTTCGACGTTGATTTGAAGACTCATCAGCGCCAGTATACGAGAAGGGATCTGGTTTTGTTGCGGATTTAAATTTTTGAATATACTTGACGTGAGGTACGACGCCAATCCTAAGTCCTTGTAATCTAAATCTAGTAACATGACGGACCAGGCCATGGACCTGTGGCTGCGCTGTTTACCTATGTTTTTTTGGCTAAATTACAATTTTATTTTTCTAGGACGGGAACCCAGCTGCAGCGTGACCCCCCTCGAAACGTCCACTGGGAAGGAGCGTGTGCAAGTCCGTGAAACCGCAGGTAGAGTAGCTCAATTTACTGGTATGAGGAGTATTTGGACCAATACCACCGGTGCTGTCTACGTACTCAATGCATATGCCAAACGAGGATGGTAGGCCACGTCATATTCAGGATACACTCCACCACTGAAACATAAATTTTACGACCAACTCTTATACTTACCTTATAAAATGTCTAACTCCTACAATCAGTGTAATTATGACATGTCAGTCTGTAAACTCATGAAGAGCATTACACACTTAAGTCCCGTGGCCAATGACTAGGACGATGAGTGTGATTTAGCTTCCTTATCATTCATATTGAAACTACCGACTTGCGTCTGTGCGGTATCGTTTTGGCTGCAGAACCATAAAGCTAAAATTTGGCCATAGGCGTCTTTGATATGACACAATTATGGTATAGCATCCAAAAGTTATAATTCACCAGTAAGTGGCATCCTGCTGCATATCGGTAATTTTGACTCCATATGTCATTTGTTGGAGCGGTAGATATCATGTGGTGGCAGTTAGTTACACCTGGTCTATTCATGCATAATAGATACTACATTATAATCCTAAATGTGATGGCCCGTCAATCTGTCACATGAGTCAAGCTGTAGTAACTATGGACCAGTAGCCAAACTTATCCCCTATTGATATATGTTTAAAACTATGTTTACTGTGGTGCATCTCTTGCACTTGTTCCATTCTGATGTTTTATTTGCGCTGTACCAATCTCGGGCGGTAATCACATCCATTTCATAAACAGTGGCAAAATGTGAAGATTTCCCAGACCCCTCCAGGGTAATATTGGCTATCATTCAATGTCTCAATTGTATGGTTTCGTCGTGTCACACAATCAGGTCTACATGGGGGATACATAATTCTGTGGCAGCAATGTGCCTTTTGTGATGATTCCAGCTTCATCTGTCGCTCCATGCCATTCGTTTGTATTTCGGTTCAATTTCGATGATTCTAGAATAGCTGCTGCGCATCCATTATACTGATCCCACGATGTGAAGGCCAATTTAGGTTCATTGTTGTATATACATATATATATAATACAGATAGGTAGTACGTGTATTAGTAAAACATATCACTGGCGGCGTCTGGCAGAAGTGTTAGCAACAGAGTACTGCGCTACATTCTGAGGCAAGTAAGTAGACACATTGCGAGCCCCAAAGACCGTTCTACAAAGTGTAAGAAATGTGTGAACAACAGCAAGCTTACAACACACCCACCTGTTCCACCAAACAAGAAGGGCGTCAATGGAGGCTTTGGCGGCAGATGTAGGTGGTTGCTCAAAGTAGTCGATGATGTAGATGTAAAACTGACGATGATCAAACTCGTCATCGATGATACGCCAGGCACCGCAGCTTGACAAGGCAAATCGTAACTGGGGTCCCTTCAGTTATCCTCGCATCTGAGAAAATTATTAAACATACTTGGACTGCTGAATACGCGATAGCTCGCGCTTGAACTGAGCGCATTCCTAATATCGTCGCAATGTTAGACCGGGTGCGCCGTTCGCCTGAGGTCCTAGACCGCTTGTGTGATGGTTCCTGATAGCCCAGGAGTTCTTCTTCGTCGGGTTGTATCTTTCCAGCAGAGCTGGGGGACGTAAAAATATGTTTGAAAGTCTGTCAATAGGTGAGCACAATACCTGAAAAATGAGGACGCATATGCTAAAACCCACCCTGACGAGCAAAACACTTTTGAACAGCCCTTTCATCGGGTTGTCACGGTCATATTTGCCGTTGCTATACAAAAATGCTGGCCATGAATGAGCAGTAACTTGGAAGTCAGGTTCGTAGTTTCGTATCCCTTCCTTTGTTCTATGGCTATAATCAACATGAGGAGCAGCAAGCCGGTCAGTGAGGTCATACCTTGGATCGACCCAATTGAAATCCACAGGACAGAGAAGTTCCCCAGTTGTATCGTGATAAAATCCACGTCCAGACTTGTCGACCGAGGTGATTGGTGGGTCGGGGGTAGGACGGCTCTCATTAAGCCACGAAGCCACTGTTTTCTTCAAGGAACTAGCATCATCGCCACGTGCCGAATCAGCACCTCTATTGAGCTGAATTGGGTTCAAGCATTGATGTGACTACTTGTGTGATGGACGACTTACCTTTTGAAAAGCAACATTGAGCTGATACCCGTCACTTTGAGAGTTGAGAAGGTTGCGGACACATGGAACCCAGCGAAGTAGCTGTTGAAATGACTGATAGAGTTGTTCCTCCCTAGAATTTCGCAAATGAGATTAAACCATCCAACTGAAGTACTCAAGCACAATACCCACTCTTCTGTGTGTTGGTCGTCTTCATCACACAGAGAGCTCCTTCGGTCGTGCTCTCCGACGAGGTCCTCGATTCTATCGGTTAAGCTCACGAGGCGCCGGATGGCTCGGCCAGCAGTGACATATATATCACCGCGGCTATTGGACACGAGCTGCGTCAGATACATAGTATAGCAATCCACATTAGTACAACACCTATTCTTGCTGCGGCTTTCTCCCTGCAGCTCAGCGTTTTGCTCTTCTAGAGCAGCAATGCGTCGTTTTAGAGCGTTTTGGGTTGCATAAGGTGAATTGCTGTCAGAAGGACTTGGGGACTGTGACATAGGTAATAGGAACGTGAAGGAAAAGATGGGGGTGATAGACGTACTCGAGATGATGAGCTTTTCAAGCACTGATACTTGAAATTGACATGGAGCAAGATTTACGCTCGTTGGAGCCGTCCACCCTGTTTGGAGTATTAAAATGGAACATACCATCATGTCGTTATATGAACCCTTGCAGTGTTTCCGAAAAGAACGGAGATATGGTGTCAGGAGCAAAGGTACTGAGTGCGAGCCAAACTCTGAGTCGGATCTCATCACGGAACTTGTAGCATCATTGTAATGTCTGAAAGTTGAACAACAGCTCCTCACTGACATCAATGATCGAGGGTGGTGGTATGTTGTGGACTTGACTCTGATCGTCCAATTCAGTGTCCTTTCAAAATTGTGACCACATGTCGATAACTGCGATGCAAGAGGGCAGGTGAGTATGGTGAATATTTAGATGTACATGCAGTGATTATCACTTCACTTCAAGCATCCTCACTGAGATTGAAATTGAAATAGACCCATCAATTTCGTACCCCACCTTGGAAGCCTTTATGGTAAAGCTCGACAATGATGAGCCAGCGCGACAATGGCCAGACTTATTCCTCACCCCTTTGAAACGGACGGGAGCGAGGACACTTGATGATGTTGTGGATATGTGCATCGTGTCACCCACAATGCTCTCCGTATTTTTTGGGCTGTGCCCTATGATGATCATGGATTTTTATGTCCATGTCATTGACACTATTAATGCGCTGCAGCACACAAAGTTAGTATAATGCAAGACTGAAAAGGTAAGAAACTTCACCTTCAGAAAGGATTGCGCACTGACTCCTTAATATTCTAGACTAAAATAGTGTAGATTAGCGCAAAATTTAATCAAATGTATTGGGTTTATACTGAACCAAAAATTAATTGGTACAGTGAACCGTCCCCACTTCTCATCAGAGGGACCTGCCAGCAAATCACCAATTATTTGACCACCGCAAAGATGATCCTGTTAGATTTGCCATCTCAGTTCTTGCTCGTCTGGTGGCTGACCTCCACCTACCCCCACATCTTCCGCATCATCAACTTCTTCCCACACCCATTTGATGTCTTCTAGTTTCACCCGTTCTTCTGGCACAACCAACAATTCTTCCGTGTCATCGGCATGATTTGATAGCAAACCTCGGGAGGATCCTAGCAACAATCCATTCGCAGTTCAACTCAGAGGCTGTACCACAGTATATCTACACTCGAAACCAAGATCCTCAATGAAGACCCTGAAGACCTCGTGGATGAAGGTCGCATTGTTCCAAGGATGAGGGCGTGAAGTTAGTGATGAAGACCTCCAGCTGCGTCCAGCAGCACAAATGGACGAAATTGATCTCAAACCATAAATGGTATGTGACTCTTCGATCTTCATCATGATATGATTGATTGAAAGTATGCAGAGTCGCTGAGATGATGCATAATCTGATGGAGATCTCCCTTGCCTTGAGCATTCCGGCTTCCCTCCGTGTTATCCCGGGCAAGTACAATATCATCATCCATTCCATAAACTCCTCAAGGCCTTGAGACGTGCCTCTTTTTTTTCCGCCCTAGCTTTTGAACGCCTCCAAGATTTTATATATTAGGCTATGGACGTATAGCTTCAGGTATCTAGTCTATAGTACATATGTGTGTAGTGCTTCGGCACTTTGTGACAAATACTACCACAGGCTCATCCCATCACTTGCTACACGATCCCAAGTATCACGAGGGCTCTTGGCATTCACAATAATACAAGGATCGTCAAGACCATGCTCCAGCAGCCATTTCTCCACAGTGCTAACTTCCTCTGTCACACGCAAAACCAATACCTCCAGGATAACACAATTTGCAAGGATCATTTGGAGTGAGGCTGGCGCTGTCTGCTTCGTGAAAACTCGGAGGGAAATATGTGTGAGCTGGGTCAGGCAAGGTATGCCGATTGGAGAGCCCCAAAGCACCCAGCCTTCCAACAATTCAAGATGAGTAACGTGGCTGAATATAGGGATGGATGGCAGAAACGGCATGGCTGTCCCGCGGAAGACAGTCGATAGTTGAATGGACAGCCATGACAATGGCAACCCATTCAATGCCTCCAATAGAAAATCCGGCATAGCATGGTTATCCCCCTCTGGAAGAATCCAGAGGGCAAGGCTGCAAACACCACTACAAAGGTGCATGACCTCTGCCGCTGTTGCAAGCTGCACTGTACCGCACAGGCAGAGTGATTTGACATTTTTAGAAGCAAGTGCCAGTCGAGAACGAAGTGAATCAACGAAGTGACATGCGCGTGTCTCGTTCGTAAGGATGATGGTGTGATATATCAATCCTTCAGTCCTATCCGCATCCTGTAAGTAGCGACTTCAGAACATTCCGGGACTTGTACTCACCAGTTTTGAACTCGCTGGGCAACCAGTAAACATGAGCGCACATCATTTGCAGGGTGCATGCATGCAGCAAGTCGGAAGACTTTTCGTTCAATCTCGTATGGCAGACACAGCATATCAATGTCAGGTCAATGTTCGAATATTCAACCGCTTGGACTCGGAAATACTGGTTAGTTTCATGTGTAATCCTGACGCCCACCTTGACAATTCACAGCTTCCGACTCGGAGTCGATTCAATGCGGATCTTGTATCAATGACACATTCCCGATTGGAAATTCCACTACGTCCTACCTAATTGCACTAGTGCAGGGCCAACCCCGCAATGCGTGCAAGCCTAACCACACCTGAGCGCTGAGCACTGAGCCGTCAAAATCATCATATCAGCCTTATAAAGGCGACGTTCCACTAAATGATATCATTGTGGTGCTGTGCAAGCCGCTGTTAGTTTTGACCATCACCGGCAAACCTAGTACTACTCACATACTCATTCATTGCGATGCCTTACTATGATCCAGACCAAAGCTCTGAACACAGCTCACGAGGCTCAGGTTACAATGACGGTGCATCAGAAATCCTGGGAGTTGAGGACAAACATCGTGGAGGATGGCGCTTTCCAGCCAATGGTCAAGGAGCACCAGCAGACTCCCAAGGAAATTACGTCTACACCCGTGAACCACTGGAAGGTCCTGGTGTTCAAGGGGCTTTAGATTCTGCAAAGTCGCGCTCACCATCATCAAAGGCACCCAGCATTGCATCACTGGCAGGAGACGACTCGGAAAATCATGCTAGTAACCAGGTGCGTATGCCGGTACCATTTCATAAATTATGAACTGACACAAAGAGGCTCGAAAACCATGTTTCCTAGCATCCTGTCAATATCCCACATCATAATTTGAAGCGTGCACTGTCAGGCAACGAGTCAAACTCTGATGTGAAATCCGATGCAGTGAGTCTTCTCTTACTCCGTTGATATAAATCATCTGCTCACACTTGTGCTCAGAGCCGGCACTTCGCTGACAATATCGCGAACTCCCTGCACGTGCAACCACCCACCAAGAAGCGGCGGGTCACTTTGTCTGACAGTAAAACTATTAGCAAGGCTGCGGATAAAGTGGATGAAGTCATAGAGAATCGAAAAGAAATCGTCGCGGTGCTTCGGGAACAGACTGCTGTCCTGGCACGGCTAGTATGCGTTCTTGAAGCCGTATCTCGGTGATTTAATGGATGCACCTTGGTGGTCAACACTGCACAATCATATTGATGTATTATATTGTTTATATCTCCACGTCCTCATCGGAAATGATGGAATCCATGCACCATGCAAACCCTTGTCTTCATGGCATACTCGTTTGATGACGTTCATTGACGACGGGAACACATTGATGAGACGCGGTAGATATATCACACCGTGACAATGACCTAGCGCAAGACTAGCGTATTGTGGAATTTGCCGACTGAGTTTGAAAAATGTGTAAATCAAAAATTCGAACTTTGGTTTTTGTTCCTCAGGTAGTACCATAGGGATTATCAGTCATGCTCATTCCAAAGACCGATACGAGCACCATGCGCGGCTCCCCATCAGCGGGACACTTTCAGCTGCTTAGGCACTGATCCGCGAACATCAGCCGTTAACTTGTGTCTTTTAGGTCCCTGAGCAGGGCGCCCTGGGAATCCTCATTTTTTCTTTGCTGTGGGTGAGGCTGCCCTGCTATGGCTGGAGGTCTCCATGCGAGCTTCGATGACCCCGCAGCAATGATTTGAATACTTTCTGAATTTCACGCCAGAGTAAGTAGCTATCTACTCTCCCTCCTTGTTCTACAGCCGCTAACACCTCTTCGCACAGTGTTTTTTCAACGCTGTGGGCTAGCCATGCTGACTGGGTGAGGTGCGGACTAGAACATATTGTTGAGTGCGTCCTTTCTGTTCTTTTTAAATGTGAACTCACTTGAACATTCAGCGCCGCCGCCCAAGACCCCGTCCTCTTCCACTCCAGCATAGGCTACTACATGGATTACAGCCAACCCAGCACCATCACATGCCCAGACAGCACCATCGCATGCCCAGACAGCACCATCGCATCTATGTGGGTGGACCAGATGAGCGCGTCCGAAGATCCCAAGTCATTAGGACACGATATAAACGACAACATGTTGTCGTCTCACCCCTTGGCACTGTCTCGCATCCCCCTCGTTCGATCATGCCGATCTTTCCCCTCAGCAAGTTGCGAAACTCATGTCAAATCTTCTTTCCGAGTCCGTTGCTGAGACCCCCATCTTGGACCCCACGCAGCATCGGGTGCTTATTGCTGCTGTGCAGGCAAAGTATGGGCCCGAAATCGTCGCTCTTATCGTGCAGCGCATTTTCCCAACGTTGAGGTAAGGGCAGCGCGTTTACCACTTCCGTCCCATAATAATCCGAACCCTTTTGCGCAGCTTGCCTCCTGGGACTTCCCTGGTTCAGACGCTGATTCCGTTGGGTCCTGACATTACAAGCGATCCAGACACTGTCTGCGCTCTGCTCCAGCGCTTTGGCATTTCGGATGCTAATCCTCCTGGAGACGCTCAATTGGTGGAGATCGTGGGCTCGATTGGCCGCGGAGGGTACAACTCTATGTGACGTTGGAGCTTTGGTGAGGGTGTCGAGCAGCTACGTAAGTGTCGATTTGATCGAGATTTGCACATACTCACGTGTATGATTAGCACATTACTTTGAATTGGGCGAATGTTACAGGACCTGCCATTCCCGAATATGTCACCAACATTGACTCCTGCCGATGAATGGGTTTGATCCTACTCGTATGCAGGGTGAAACCCAGGTCATGCCGATTGGGCCTACACCGGCAGCTGAGCCTCAACGTGCTGTTGGGGCACATTGAATCAATTCTCTCGAGCTTGCAATGCAGCTTGTTGACCGTGCTGTCCGGGAGGTTAGTGACTGTACATTGATTTTCGCTCCATTAGTCTGAGGTGTCCCGCAGATCATTGTTCCAGTTGTTGAGAGGTCTGTGACGATCGCTCTCATCTCGCTACAAGGTGCGGCTGTGGGGTTTCAAATGCTGCAAAGGTTAAACTAATGCTGGTCTGCCCACAGTTCCTTCATGAACTGCCTTGCGGGTTTGATCTGGAACAGTTATCTTTGAAGGCGATGAGCTAGTGCATCGTTCTTTCCACTATGTGACCTCAAGTATTTCAAATATATCCAATTTCACGCCTTCACTACGAAAGTGGAGCTATTACATAGAGTGGCAGTGTTTCCCAGTACCTACTTCTTGATTCTCAACCGCTTCACCACTGACTATAGTCGACTGTTGGGAAATGATTGACTCGAAATGAACAACATTAGATATATCCTCTGCATCGTTCTGTGTCTGGCTTTGTGTCTTTTTACAATGGACCACCACCGCTGGGGATGTGGGACACCCTGTCTACGCCAGTTCTCTGACTACACGGGGCTTGGTCGACACCGTACGACTTGCAACCATTACAAGCATCGCGTGGATCTACAAGCCCAGAATTTCAAACGCCGAGCTCGTGAAGACCCCCAGCACGTTAAGGCGTTTAAGAAGATGAAGCCCTCTATAGCGGATGAAGACCAGGTATGTGATACTTATCTTACCGTCCACAGGTGATAGACTGATTGGTATCCAAGACCTCAGTGCCTTCATCCTCGACAATCAACCATACTCCCCAGATACTGGATCAATCCCATGGTATCGCTCCCTCCCCATCCGTCAACGATTCAATCGGCTGCAATCCAACTAGTTCTCCTCCCCCAGACCCTTCCAACACTCCGGACTGTGATCATGGTTCACGCCCAAGGCGCATGCAGCGACTCCCATTGCGATATAGGGATGAACTTCCGGAAGCACCACTACCTGTTGCTCAGGATCCACCAACCTCGCGTCCTACCCGCATAATCCTTCATGTTTTCGACTACATCAGCACATGTTTCAATAAATTTGGTATTGCTCGCCAATATCGTCATCGCCCTTCGTATGATCCAGATGCAATTGTATCGGCTGATGACCTCTCTGACCTACGTCCTGCCGAATCCCATGTTAGTGACTGTGGCATACAGGATGGCGAGGTGTCCTCGGGTGACCCTTCACATCCACCACCCTGGCCTTGGAAAAACATGTCAGTCTGGAGGCTGATGTCGTGGTTGGTGACAGGAAGCGATCGGAAGTCGATGGCAGAGGCCAAACGTCTGGTCAATGACGTGATGCAAGCAGAGGACTTCAACGTTGATGATTTCGAGCACTTCGACCCCAACGCTCAGATGAAGAATCTTGATACATCTGAAGATAGCGCCGACACCACGGACATTCTGCAGCGAGACGGCTGGAAGCAGTCAGATGTAGAGATTATGGTGCCATCAAAGGAGAAAAATCCTAGAGGGAATGGGCGTGTATTCTCAGTTTCTGGGCTCTTCTACCGGCCACTCATTGCAGTTATCCAAGCTGCATTCTCGGAGAAGTCTTCGAAATGGTTCCATCTAACGCCTTTCAGGCGTATTTGGAAATCACCAGTCACAGGGCAAGAGCAACGACTTTACGATGAGCTTTACACCTCAGACGCATGGCTTCAGGCTCACGATGAGTTACAGAAACAAAGAAGGGACAATAATTGCAAACTGGAGAAAGTTATTGCAGGTCTTATGTTCTGGTCCGACGCCACCCACCTAACTCAGTTTGGGAGTGCATCAGCATGGCCGATATATCTGTTTTTTGGGAATCTATCAAAATATGTTCGTTCGGATCCTAACTCTGGTGCTTGCCACCCAATAGCTTTTATTCCCACTGTAAGCTTTCTAGACGTCTGTCAACCGGAGATGTGTCATTGATTCGCACCCTGTGTAGCTACCGGACTCAATTACAAGCTTTTTATCCACCTTTTTACAGAGGAAGAACTACAGCGATATACTTACACATTGCAAACGGGAGCTGTTCCATGCGGTGTGGTGCATCCTCCTGGATGATGAGTTTGTCGATGCTTACGAGAACGGCATTGTGATTAAGTGCTATGATGGGGTGTATCGACGTGTCTTCCCTAGGATATTCACGTATTCAGCAGACTATCCAGAGAAGCACGTCTACTCTCGTCCTCATCTCTTTTTTGACACTGACTGGGTGTTGATGCTCGTAGAGTCCTCCTAGCCACCATACGTGATAAAGGGAATCGGCCATGCCCTCGCTGTCTGACTCCAAAGTCAATGTTCAACCGCATTGGATTTTTGCATGACGTCTCGCAAAGAATGAACCAGCTACGGACATATGTTACCGAGAAAGTGGCCAAAGCCCGCAATGCAATATATATGCACGGTGCTCCCATCAAGGGAGCCTTAGTTGAGAGTATCCTGAAAGATCTTTCATTGGTGCCTACCGTTGTAAGTGTGATGCTTGGCTCTCACAACGTGGAACTGACATTTCTCCAGAATAGCTTCGTAGATCGCCTCTCATCATTTGGTTTTAACATTTTCCCCGCCCTTGTGGTCGATTTGCTCCATGAATTCGAACTCGGAATATTGAAAGCAGTAATGACACATTTGATGCGGCTACTCTTCGCACTTGACCCACGGAAGATTGTCATCCTCAATGAAAGGTATGGCGTTCTTTTGGCTCTGATTGATTCTTATTTTTGATGCCTTCGCACACCAGATTTTGGTTAATACCTTCCTTTGGGAAAGGTTCCATTCGTCGGTTCCCCGAGAATGTATCATCGATGAAACAGCGAACGGCTCGACATTTTGAAGATATGCTGCAGGTAAGTCTCTACTATCTCATGCGCAACTCACATGCATTCTGACCAACTTATTCATTCCAGTGTGCAATACCGGCTTTTGAGGGGCTTTTCCCCGGAGAGCATGACCATGTCATCAGGGTCCTTCTGTTTCGCATGGCGGAATGGCATGCCCTTGCAAAGATGCGCCTTCATTCTGATGATACCCTGAACTTGCTTGGCCAGTCGCTTCGAAGACTGGGAGCTCAGCTTCGAAGGTTCAGCAAGTTTACTTGTTCAGCCTTTCGCACTATGGAACTTCCGAGTGAGGTGTCTGCACGTCACAGGAGACAACATAACGGGTTTGAATCTCAGTCCAGACCAAATACGGCTGACCGAACAGGACCTCGACCAAAGTCGTTCAACCTGTTTACGTACAAGTTACATTCCCTCGGTGACTATGTGCAATCGATACGAACATTTGGCACTACTGATTCATATAGTACTCAACTGGTCAGTGTATTTTTCAAATGTGCATACCCGTAAAGCATGTCTCATTTTGGATGCAGGGAGAAGTTGCACATCGCCTCATCAAGAAGTTCTACCGGATGACCAACAAACAGGATGTTCCGAAGCAAATGGCAAAACATGAAAGGCGGCACACACATATCAGACGGCAGCAGCAGGATCTCGAAATAGACTCCGAGGAACCTGTCGAGACATTGCCAGAACTTCACCACCACCTATCGGATTCATGGGTCAATGTTATCAACCTCGCAACATTTCTACATGACCATTCATCTGATCCGGCAGTCAAAGTCAGAGTTTGTCCTTCGTGCACCTCATTTGACAGATACTGATACTGATACTATATACTATACTAGGACTTCGTTCCGAAACTCAAAAATCATCTTCTAACTCGCTTGCTGGGTCTCGAATATGATGGTGACGAGCATCAGTTTTCTGATCCCGAGAGAAATGAGCTGCGTTTCATTGATAACCTCTCTCGAGTCCAGCAACCACGTCGTTTTCAGGTCAATTATACTACCTATGATGTCCGGCGTGACCAAGACTCCATGCGACCCGGATTTAATTGCACTGTCATGACACTATCAAGGGAAGAGGACGAGAACGCACACCCTTTCTGGTACGCGCAGGTACTACGTGCCTTTCGGATACAGGTGTTGCATACTGGATCGCAAGCTCGAAACCGTTCATCTCAAAGTGTCGAAGTTCTTTGGGTTCGATGGCTCGGGGTCGATCCTACTTATCATTGGGGCCTTAAAGAAGCACGCCTACCCAAGGTTGGATTTGTCCCTGAGACTGATGATAATGCCTTTGGCTTCCTCGACCCATCACTCGTTATCCGCGGCTGCCATCTTATTCCAGCGTTTTCAGAGGGGCGTTCAAATACTCTTCTCAGACGGGGTCCTTCTCTCGCAAGGTTTCAGCATGAAACTGATGACTGGGAGTGCTTTTATGTAAACATGTGAGGAATGGCCCTCATCGCACTACAGCCTACACTCACTTTGCTCCATAGTTTTGCAGATCGAGATACTTTTGCACGATTTGCTGGGATTGGTGTCGGACACGAGGTCCAGTACACATCTTCGGCAATCAGGCAACATTCCAGCAAGTATCGGGATGACTCTTTCAGCTGCGGAGATGAATCATCAGACGAGGAAGACACTGTCGAGGATGGAGATGCCAAGGAAGGTGATGTTCAGGAAGGCGATGTTCAGGAAGATGATGGCGAAAGTGATGGCGGCGAGGACAGTAACAGTACTGATGATGAGCCTGAAGAGTCAGACTCGGACGGGGAGGAGGATGGCAGTGATGACGACGACAACCTATACAGATTTTAATGCATAGACTGCTGCTTACAAACTGCTTGGTAAAACTGGTGTCAATGAACTCCTTGACGTCACTCAGTATGTTCCTGGCCACTTGTGTTAACACCCTCTATAGTACTCTACTAGTACTAGTATACTACCTGTAATAAAACTTATCCCTTATAGCGGAAATTGCCGGTTGTGACAGCTGTTGTTTGTTGACAGCCGCGATCATGGATAAGGCTCGGAACTCTGCCGTGTATATATAAGTGGAGTTGACTATGGTGCCACATCAAGCACGCTAGCATGCCTCTCTCACCACGCCGAGCACAGAGCAATAATTTTGGGGGCAGAAAAAATGCAACACCCTACAAAGGGAGTTCTCTTGGAACTAGCTGCCCTCAGCTCCTCAAAAGGACTTCAATATCTCCGGCGGCCCGTTTGACTGCAATCCCATCTTCAAGTCCTATATCCTTGAACCACAAATTTCATGGTTTTCAAGTAACAACACCCCCAGCAAAAGTGCCCAAAGTTGAGATTTCCAAAAAGGATGGTAAGTTTTTCCCTTTAAACATTCACACCTGCCAGTGGGTTGAGCTAAATGTTTGTGATAGTTTTACATGGGCAGATTATCGGTTTTCTCAGAGGAGAAGGACAACCTGAGGACACCAACGCTGATTTCAAGGTATGAGGCCTTGAGGCTCAGACTCCCACGATAATTCCGCATACTTACTTGTCCCATAGATCTTCTCTGACGTGTCAATCGATGATTACGAGTTCATCATCGAGGCCATCGCCGAAGATGATAATAATCAATTCAATCGATACAAGTAAGTCCGTGTGCGATAATCCGATAACCATTAACAACTCTTTCCCGCAGACTATCACATTCCCCGTCATCCAACCAACTGGTCGCAACACTGCCTACTCCACTTCACGAGAACCTTCTCAAGCCGTTGCGCGACACTATCGATGCTGTTCTCGCATCGATGGGTATCGATGAGGCGCTCGGCAACTTTATAATCCAGATGAACACGACGCTCAGAGGGGAGGGAGAGGGGGGGTCTACAGAGAAGGCCCTTGGTACCCCTGATGCGTTGGTAGAGTTCCACGATGGAGACGGAGGCCGTCTACAGCTTTGGGGGACCGAGATTTCGTTTTCGCAGGCTCGGGATGCCGCCATCGCCAAACTCCAACGCTCCGTCATATTCAACAAATTCATGCGGGCTGTCACACTCTTCGATGTCCTAGAAGATCAGCGCTACTCATCACCCTCAGAATCATCACACGCGTTCCAAACACTGTCGGAGACGGACAGGGTTGTACCGTACCGCAAATGGCTTCAAAAGGACGACTTACCAGTCTTTGGCCCAGTCACCGGCTTTACCCACAATTGGGTGTCGTCGCTCACCGTTGTTGTTACTACTTGGGTCCGTCCTGATGACGGACCGTTTGATCTCTATGATCAGGATCCGCGATATTATGCAACTGCTGTGAGTTCCCCTCCCCCCTCATGTGTAGTACTATCTAATTACAATGACAGCAATTGTGTCCTGACACGGACCTCGTGGGCCTCGACAACGTACAGCAATTGTTCCATCGTACATTCGCGAGCATCAGGGACACCACCATCAGCCACCTCGAAGACCTCATGGCAGAAGAGGAGGGATCCAGCGCCGAGTCCGACATCTCAGATGAGTCTGGCGATGAGGGCACATCCCACATGGCAGAGGCATCCGCCATTTCGGCGTCTCCTACCCCTGACCCCTTCCAGCTCGTTCGTACGTGGGTGCCTCCAATGTTGCCTATAGACTGGAAGAAAGTCATGGTCCAATTGCGGAACGCCGCACGACAGACGGGCTATACGCGTTACTCCACCTGGCACGAGAAGCTGATCAAACGCAAGCTGAAGAGGCAGAATAATCTTCCAGATCCTCCAAGAGGACTAGACGTTCACGGTGATGTCATGGTAAGTTTAGATTATTCATAATCGGTCATTCACTAACGCGCGCTCAAGTTCTAGGATCGTGTATTCTACTGTACACTCGAATAGGCTTCCCATCATCAAGTTCTCTGTACGACTCGCCCACTACTACTTGTACTAGTACTGTTGTTTGTTTTGCACCTCATGTTTTTTACTACGTACTGCAGCCATTTTTTACTGTACCATTAGTACTACAATACACATGCATGTAGCTCGTTCAGTAATGTCTAGATCGGATCCGTATCAAAGCTTGCATTGATGCTTACGCCGGAAAAGTTTTGGTAAATAAGCGATAGCGCCAGCTAAAGTGGCAAAGCCCGCCTTTTCTCACGACATGCAGTGAAATCTCGATGCTTAGAGCGTGGATCTAACTGTAGACACTCACCATATGCATACGGAAAATGTCTGAGCAAAAAACCAGTACCCCACCCCTCCACCTCCACCTCCACCTCCACCTCCACGAGATCACGAGCCAATCTCATTAAGATTCTCTAACCGAGTCACTACTACCGAGCGATGGTACCGCACGCCCGATCGACGTATTCTCTTTACCAGATCCACGGCATATCACTTGAAGTTGACGGAAGTTTGATGACTCGCACTTGACCATATTTTGGTGTACGGGTGTTTCTATATGCGTCTTCTTGCACTTTTTATCTCTGCTATCTGGGCATTCATTGGTAGTTTCATGAGAGATAGAGACCAAGAACCGTCAGTGTGTTTTCTCGTTATTTTGACTACGCAAGCTCATCAATGTACTCAGTCTTTGACTGTTCTCACTTGTACCCCTCGTTCTCTCCGTCATCACTGCCAAACGCTTAGTGAATTTACCCCGAGAAATCTGTTCAACTTCCTCTATCCTTGACCTTACCACACAGCTTCTCATTACAAATCCTTTCCTTCTCACTCTCTCCCATGATGCTTCTCGCCATGCTAGACGCATCTATACCATCCATTACCCTGATCTTCCGACTCCTTTTGATCGGTGATGTCTTTGAACCCAATGGGACACTAGAAGGGTATTTTTGAGGGTGGGCGAACTGGGCGATCGTTGGTGCGGTCGGTGTGTGGCTTTGGAGCTGGTGTGTCGCGAAGGGTATGCTATGTACGATTTGTGCAGGTGTTGGCGCTTGAAAGTTTGCCGAGTAAGCGTTTTTTCTTCCTTGGTTTTTGTCTCGTTTACTCATGAGTCATGTCCTAGTCCCGATATTCCAATTCCACTGCCAGGCGATACTCACATCATTCATACCGCTCTCATGTGGGTGGCATGCCCATTCCTTGGATTGATTGCCCCCAACAAATAGGACTCCTTACCCCCTGTGCTGGATTCCACTATACCTCCCGCTCGCTCTGCGTCCATGGTGTCAGCCTATAATCATTGGTTCAGGCATGGCAGTCTCATCTTGTATACACTGGGTTGAACGGAGACCCCTTCTTTGCGAGCGCAAGGAGAACCCGGGCCCTCACTGCCGCTGTCAAGACTGCCAGTGCAGGTCGTTACCGCGAGAAATTGAGGACTGACCATATGTATAATTTTATGTTTTGCGATATCTAAGACAACCGATACAGGAAGATGAGCAACAAACGAAGCCATGGTGGTAGATTGAAAGAACGAGGGGCGCACAGTCGCAGGTAATGCTAGGGGCCCGAAAATAAAAGATCCTAAAACAACCAAAAGAGTGAGGTCTCGACTGATCGATCAGCACTGCCTCTGTCTATTCCAAGTAAAAACGCTGCCACGACAAAATCTGAAGAATCTACACCCAAAAGTTTCCCAACCGATGTGATAAGACCCACTACTCAAGGTAGCGGGAATATTGATCTTCCCACTAAGAAATGTGACGAAACCCCCAGCTTTTCTCATTGGTGGAATTAGCGATCCACCCTTGTCAGACTATCCAATGCTATCTCAACAGCCAGAACAATGCTTCAGGTTTGCAGTTTGAATTTACTTGAAGATAGACTTGGTAGCACTTGGTAATGACAACAAAATTTGGCGCCTGTGTTACAAGGGTATTTCTTAGAGTATAATACTTCACCCGAGAACGACAGATTTTCTCATTAGTGTAATTAGTGTTCCACCCATATCAGACTATCCAATACTATCTCGACAATAGGCATGATGATTCAGCTTTGTAGCTTAAATAAGGCCATATCACGATATCAGGTTTTCAGTGGTGTTCAGTCGTGAGAATGTAATGAAAGAGACATGCCTGTCCAGTGTCGACTCACCTTTAGATCTGACAGAAGGTTGTCAAAGCCAGCTTCTCTGACAATCGCAGCAGCGTCCCACGTGTACGCGTTGTTGTCCCAGGAGCCAGTGGTTAGTAGCTTTCCATCCACGGAAAACGATACGCAGTTCACTGCATTCTCATGCCGGAGTGGAGAACTGATGGGCTGGCCATTGTCGAGGTTCCACAATAGCACCGTCCTGTTTGCTGATGCGTTTGCGAGGATGCGGCCATTGGGAGATATTGCAATGCCCAAGACAGTGTTGGTGTGTGCATCCAGAACTGCAATCTGCTTCCATGTTGTCGTATTCCACGTCCTAATCGAATCGTCAGATGACCCAGAGATGAGCATTTTCCCGTCCATGGTCCAAGCCAGGCAATGCACCCAATTTGTGTGTCCTTTGAGAGTTGCGACAAGCTCGCCTGTCTTCGCATCCCAGATTTTAATTGAAGACTCCTCCCGTCCACCAGTCGCAATCATGGTCGTGTCTGGCGAATACATGGCTGCGTACACTTGTACATGCCCTGTCTTGATTGGCCCGGGTGCCAGGATTGTCTTTCCGCTCTCCACATCCCACTGCCTCGCTGTCCCATCCATAGATCCGCTCACTACCCGCTGACCATCTCGACTCCAACAAACAGACCACACACTACCTGTGTGTCCCGTCCATTTTGCGATGACCCTGCCTGTGTTGATGTCCCACAACCTCACCACACCGTCCCTACTCCCGCTAACCACTTTCTTTCCATCTGGGGACAACTTTATATTGCACACTCCACTGTCTCCGTCCCGCCAGTCTTCTCCTATCTGTTTCCCACTCTCCAGGTCCCAAACCCGCAGCGAGCCATCTTCCGAACTAGTAATAATATGTTGTCCGTCAAGCAGGTGTATGACGCCCCAGACCCAATTAGTGTGTCCTCCAAATTTTTGGCGAGGCGTTATCGCTGATATCTCTTTCAATTTAGTGGTGGGTGAAGACATGCTTCAAAATTCCTACTAACGAGTGCAGCACAGTCTCAGCTTTCATCGAATTCCGAATTCATCTGAATCACTTACGAGGACAGCAGTGACGGGCAGACAGCAGGGCCGATGGGTGCTTCGGTCAGAATTGAGTTCACTGTTTCCTGGTTCATTTTACATGCCGTGTCCTCATATTTGCTTTAGAGCGTATCAATTATCATCATCGCACAGCCAAACATCAGATGCGCCGGTGAAATTTGCCCCTGGTCGTCGTTTCATATCGGGTGAGGTCCGTTACGTGGTTCACGAGAACGATAACCCCGCTTTTGGGTCGTCGGGTTCTGACGTTTGCGCGCCGCCAGCAACGGTCCTCGTGTTGACGAGCAAAGTAAAACCCATCTACACGCTGTGAGTTCAACCTGCAAGGAAAAGTAGAACAATGGCCATGACCACGCAGGTTCAAGCCATCATTTACTTACCGAATTTCTTTGGGTGCACTGATGCGCCTCATCAAATAACAAAAGTCACAACGCAGGAGTTTAAGTCAAATCATTGTGATTGCAATATTTTGCGGGACCTGACCTGACCTGACAGTTCACAGAGAGGGAGAGACTGTCAGAATATGCAAAAATAATTGCACTTACCTACTGACATGCCACCAGCCGTGTAGAGGAGCGGGTGTGTTTGAAAGTATTCCTGTGGTGAGTGGAAGAAGTGAGAACACAGCTGGATCGTGCAAGCCGCGATGGTAATTTTTGAACTTTGCTAGGCTAACAACTTACAAGAGTCAAGTATTCGACCGCCAGGAGGATACAAGCACCATTAGCTCAAATTTCACATATATACATACACGTGCGCCGATGCAGATAGATATGACAAGGCATCTGGTGTAAAAACAGATGATTGGTGATACAGCAGAGTGCGTTGAGCACGTCAACGAGAGGTGTAAAGGCATGTAGCTCATAAGGGATGAGAAAATCACAGACTAATGACGATCATCTGTGTATTCAGGAGACAGACAACCAATGAAGAGCCAAAAGCGAGTCCAAAGTCCAGCGTGTCTTATCATTGCATGAGGGCGCGAGGCTGTTGGCGTTGAAGATGTGGTGATATTACCAATAGTAGGTGTGGTAGACGGATCGAAGACAGCTGGCTGGGTCTGAGTCGCACCACTGGATTGCTGCGTGACATTGGGCTTTGGAGGCCGTGAGCTGCCCAGCGTAGTGTGTAATGTTTTCGTTTTCCGTTTCTCTCTCCCTGAAGCATTCCTCTGCATGATGTCAGGTCGACTGGAACATCTGGGAAGGAGAGAAAACATACACGTTTTCCCTGTGCATACGGGACCTCGGCAACTTCTGGGCTGCGCCCGTGCCATTCGATGCCTTCACCACCCTGTCCGCGCTGTTTCAAAGGGTTTTGTGCCCACTTGAGAGGAGAGGACGGTGAGGTATCATGTGGATCGGAGAGGCTGCGGTTGAATAAGCGGCCAAGAAGTGTGCTTCCTTGCGGTGCTGAGGAGTGGAGGTGACTTCGTGCAGAAAACTGAGACCATGAAGGTCAGGAAAACATCAAAGTGATTGTAAATGACATACGTGAGAACGATCCGATGGGACATCGAAAAAACCTTGGGGAACCTGATGGGCAGGCTGACTTCGCTGGACCAAATGTGGTGAAGAATTGATAGCCTGCAGTTTATTATAAGGTTTGAACGCAGTGAAATCTGTTTATGAAGGTCTCACGTACACGGGATGCTGACTTGTTGGCCTGGCAGAGCACGTTCAGTTTTGAAAATGTAATGAAATGAGATATGCCTGTCAACTCACCTTTGGATCTAATAAAAGGTCGCCGAAGCCAGCCTCTTTAACAATGGTAACGATGTCCCATGTGTATACGTTGGTGCCATCGCAGCCAGTTGTTAGTAGCCTTCCATCCGCGGAAAATATTACACAGCGAACTACATGTGCATGCTGGAGTGGAGAACTGATGGGCTGGCCGTTGTCGAGATTCCACAAACGTGCTGTCCGGTCGGCCGATGTGCTCGCGAGAATGCAGCCATTCGGAGATATTGCAATGCTCAAGACATAAGAAGTGTGCTCATGCAGAACTGCAATCTGCTTCCATGTTTTTGTTTTCCATGTCCTAATCGAGCCATCGGAAGACCCGGAGATGAGCGTTTTTCCTTCCCTGGTCCAAGCCAAGCACAACACCGAATTTGTGTGTCCTTTGAGAGTTGCGACAAGTTCGCCTGTCTTCGCGTCCCAGATTTTAATTGAGGGCTCGTGGTTATCTTCAGTCCTAGGTCCATCATATCCACCAGTCGCAATCATGGTTGTGTCTGGGGAATAGACGGCTGCCAACACTTCTAGATGCCCTGTCTTGATTGGCCCGGGTGCCAGGATTGTCTCTTCGCTCTTCACATCCCACTGCCTCGCAGTCCCATCCAAAGATCCGCTCACTACTCGCTGACCATCTCGACTCCAACAGACAGACGTCACATCATCTTTGTGACCCGTCCATTTCGCGATGACCTTCCCTGCGTCGATGTCCCACAACCTCACTCCACCGTCGCTACTCCCGCTAACCACTTTCTTCGCATCCGGAGACAACGCTATACAGATCACTCCACTAGTGTCTCCGTTCCGCCAGTCTTCTCTTATCTGTTTCCCGCTCTCCAAGTTCCATACCCGCAGCGAGCCATCTTCTGAACAAGTAATCATCCGCTGTCCGTCAGGCAAGTGTACGACTCCCCGGACCCAATCAGTGTGTCCTTCAAACGTCTGGCGAGGCGTTATTGTTTCTTGCGTCTTAGCGGTGGGCGAAGACATACTCCTCAATTTCAGCTACTGAATGCAAAACCGTCTCAACTTTTACCCATCAGATTCAAAATTTATCACTCACCGAGGACAACAGCGACGGGTGGATAGCAGGTTACAATACTATGGTGTTACGGTCAAGTCAGAGTTGAGTTCACTGCCTCTGCGTCCGTTTTGACATCGCTTCACAGCTTATATACAGCATAGGCTGTGCATTTGAAGCGCCCAGGACTTATCTGCCACTCCGTAATTCCTATTACTGTTGGATGGAGGAAGCATTGCAGTTTTGCCTGTGTTCATGCAGAGTGTCCAAAGATGCAGCCAATGGCTTGGTTTCAAGCTGCGTATAATTCCTCTTAAGAAATCTTGCGACTCCTACATTGTAAACCATCCGCTACCGTGATTGCCACTGGGTTGTGCATCGACGGTAGAGTGATCAATCACCATATGGATTGGCACATGTGAGCGTTGCAACAGCGCGTGTATTCACCAGCCTGATATAATACATCCATCGAAAGTTCAATCAAGCAAAATGTATGCCCTCGTCGTGAAATGCAGATAGTAGTCTGTTGAGATGATGAGAAAACACAAAGGAGACAAAACGAAGTCCACTGACTTTAGAAGATCGTCAAGGGTCATCTTGGCTGCCCGCTGTTCCGAGAAACCCGATGAGCTCAGGACTTCTTCTACTTTAGCTTTCATGTTTGTATTGTCATCGATCATCTAGTTTGTAGGAGGTAAGGCCCCATTTTCAATGCACAAAAGTAGAATCACCTTATTTTGCGTTGAGCACCACGTTCTCCAATTTTGTTCCAGCATCTCGATGACGCCTTTGGCCATGAATGTGGCATGCACCATTTTATTTCGCCTCGAAAAGATGATTCTACCCAGCCCATCAAATTCCTCGAACTTGATAGGGGGAGGAGGATCAAGAGGTACCAGTCGGACCACTGACGATTCAACTTGCGGTGCTGGTCGGAAGTTATTTTTCCCGACGTGCATAACCAGGTCCACCTTCGAATAAAGTTGTACGTTCGCGGATAGCCGCGACCAAAGCTCAGTCCCGGGCCGAGCGACAAGCCTCATGGCAAATTCTCTCTGAAACATGAGGATTGCGACGCGAAATATGGGTCGGTGAGAGAGAAGGCGGAAGACAAGGGGTGATGATATTTGATAGGGCGTGTTGGATATGCATACGTCGAAATATGGGAGATCGGCTTTCACAAAGTCTCCGATGATTATGTCGAGTTTTCGTTGTTCCGGTCTTCCGAGGAGTACATAGCCTGTCAGGTGACGATTTTAACAGAGAGAAAGTTGTACGCACTTCCCCTGAACTCGCTTCGTCAATTCAGCCGCCATCCGTGGGTCCATCTCAACAGCGGTGACATTTTTGACTTTTTCAAGGATCTTTACGGTGAGGTTACCCGTACCAGGACCGACTTCGAGGACTTTATCCGTGGGGCGGAGATTTGCCTAATGGCACGGTTGGCATCTATGAGATTCAATCAGCGCACGAACGAGCTGAGGCGAACCTTATCCACGATACTAATGTAGATTCAGCATGAGTGATATTCCACGAGAAAATGTGAGCGTACGTTTGAGCGATCTGCGGATTCTTCAAGATATGTTGCCCGAATCTTTCTGTATTGAATATTGGGTTGCGGACGCCAGCTGAAGTCCCTTCATTTGCACTGTGGTTTTTGGATGAAGATGATGCAACGGCTGATTTTATTGACGGCTGGTGAGTGCGCGAGAAACGCCCTGAAGTTGCACGAGGCATTTTGTATGGTGGTGGGGTCGATTTTACAGAAAAATGCAATGCTGCCTTGTGCTGGAAGTCAAAACACGTGACCAGAGAATGGAAGCACCAATGTGGCAATGCCATTCAAGTTGTAGACTCCAATTGACTTGTCCAAGTCGCCCAACCACTAGAGTCCACGATCGAGCACCCAAAACATCATGTTCAAGAAGCCTTTGGGGAATTTAAAGACTTCAGGTGTGCGATGGTTTCTGTTCATCGACGTTACGACTAATATTCATTGTCATGCTCACAAGCACCCCTGCGTAGCTCTGACAGGCGCAAGCTGAAACAACGCGTTATCCAAGCCTTTTCCCTCAATCCAGAAGTCGGAGAGGAGCTTGTTCCGGACGGTCTGCTGTCGGCAAAATTCAACACACATACCGATGAGCCAGGTGTAAGCGAGCATCATTACAGCCCTTGTTACTGATCACATATCGATGAGACCCGCGAAATGCCTCACAATCACGCCACACTTAGGTGGCTTATTTGGGACCTGGTGGAGACCCTTTGTGGTTCACGCTTGGGATAGGCAGCGAGGACATGATTCCGACTGGTGAGTTGTGCCTCATACGAATCTGTCATCCGTAGCTCAGATGCGATAGTGTATACGCTGTGGAAGAAGCCGGATCTCCTCTCTTTTCTGTCCACACCATCTGCAGTTATTCCCGTTCTAGTTGGTGGTGCAGATCTTATGATTCCTGGAGGTACGTATCACTTGTTGGTTTAAATATGTCCTCGCTCAGGAGTCACTGCAAGTCGTCCAGCATCCATCATCACTTCAAGCCGGACAACTTGTCAGCATTACAGAACACATTCACCATTCGACGCGTATTGGCGCTCCACTTGCTGTCGGGCGCATGGCGGTGGATAGTCATGTCTTGTCTGGGGTTGCCGCGAAGGGCAAAGCGGTGTTTGTCATGCATGCTTGGAATGACCATTTATTTGATATGGGGCACAAAGGTAATCCACCGGATCCATGGGAGATGAGCCAATTAGTGGAGAAGGATGAGCAGGCCGTCAAAGATGAGGATGACGCAGAGAATAACGCAGAGAATATTGCGTCGAAAGAGCCATTGGTTGATGCGCTGAACTCTCACCTGTCGCAGACGCAGTTAGATGATCCTGCTCCAACAATAGAGCTGACGAAAGAAGGTGCGTTCAACCACATTAACTGTGTCTTTAATCCCTTAATTCTGGCAGACGTTTCGAGTATCCTCCATGACGCCCTTCTTCAAGCAATGAAAACGATTTTATCGAGCCCCCAGACCTCCGCGCTTCCCATGCTCGCTAGCACGTTTTACTCGACTTATGTTCTACCCTCGCGACCTGCCCAGTCACCATCTCAGCCAACCGTATCCACACCCATCGATATCAAGCATTCCTCTCACAAGTCACTCGCGTCTTTTCTCAAATCTGCAGAGAAACAAGGCCTCTTAAAGCTTAAAGAAATTAAATCTGACCTGATGGTATTTTCCGTAGCCACATCACATGCAAATGTTGTCGCACACAGACCATATTTATCTCTAAAGGATGTATCTCTCAGGAACGAGAAGCGTGGACAACGAGAGGAGGAGGAGCGGACACGGGTCAAGGAGCTTGAAGTAACAGAGCTTTGGAAACCCCATCTGCAATCGCTGAAGTTCTTTGCTGATGCTGGATTTGAGTAGGTAACAGCGCCATTCCTGGATCATCAAACGCTGACGACATCCCCTGCAGTAAATCAGCCCTATACACCTATACGGATATCAAGGCCACACTCGACAAGTACGTCACCGATCGTCAATTGGTGAACGCGCACGACCAGTCATATATCAACGTTGGCGCGGATGGACTTCTACAGACGACCATCTACAAGTCTGACAATCCAGCGAATACGGAGTTTTTCAAACGCGAGGAAGTGATTGAGCGACTATCAGACAAAATGCAGAGTTGGTACAGGATATGCGCCGAGGGCAGGGATCCTATGCTCAGGTATGTCCGGTCTTCAATCATTCGTTGATTATTGTTTCACAAGCTTCGGGTACAGGAAAGGGCAGATCAAACCAATATCGGTGGTAGTTAAAATCAGACAAGGTCGTAAGGCGACGACGCTCATCACAGGGTTCGAGCCATTCTTGTTGGAGGCGGTTGATATTTCAGAGGAGCTGAAGACGAGATGCGCCTCCTCCACTTCAGGTGAGGCAAACTATTTTGATGTGTGGTGTTGCTGACATGAGCTGGTTAGTTTCACCTGCACCAGGGAAGTCGTCGGGCATGGAAGTACTCGTGCAAGGAAAGCAGATCAAAGAGGTCACAGCGTTCCTTGCCTCGCGAGGTGTACCGAAGCGGTGGATTCATACAGAGGGCGGGGGAAAGAAATAGATGGGCGTCGGTGCTGGCTGAGTCCTTGTGTTCGGAGTTATTGTTTGACAACGAAGGCGTGTATATGTTACGATCAAAAGGGTGAGATCAATATTAAACTAAATATTCACCTCTGCGCGTCTTTCTGTCTCCATTCTTTGGCTTGGGCATTTGCTTCTTGCCTGCTTTAGGAATTGCTTCCTCTTTCGCCTCAGGAAAACCTGGTCCACACGAAGCTTGCAAGGCGTGTGATGTGAAATAATGTCTTGCAAATTAATCAAGTCCTCTCTATTGTAATTAGAAGAGGATCAAACAGAGCTAGCCGCTGTGTACGTCGAGATCCTCGACCGCGTTCAACTTGAATTGGCTTTTGTGTCCGTGAACGAGTCACGAACGCGTCATGTAACGCGTGGCACGTGATCGAGCTTAGTATTAATTTAATGAACTCAAACCCTTCCTTTCTTAGTTCTATCAAGACTAGTACTCGTTTTGTCACTTTGTTTCCGTGCCACTCAATTACTGATTATTCTCGATCGGGCTATCTTCAAGGAGCTTTCTCATAATGCCAGGTCCATGCAACCCGAAAAGAAAGAAGAAGGCACTTGTAAAGAAGAGCAAGAAGAGTACATCTGTTATACAAGCTACGCCTTCGGAACCTCCTCCCCCCGTTCACGAGCTTGAACCACCTCCCAGCGAAATTTCTTGTCTTGGCTATGAGCCTCCACCTAAATTGCCTGCTCCTCATGTCCAGGAATTTCATGAAGAAGTACTACCGATCATCCATGATCCCGGAAACGGTCCGCGAGTTCGCGACGTCCGGGGTTTCCTATCTTCATTCTTTGCCCACCCTCCCTCACTGGATGACCCCTTATGTGCGGAATTTTCACAGGAAGAGGTCCTTCAGATGCTCTGTACCGCGCTGCCGGAGGAAACCGCTATGGTGAGTGAATGTTGTGCGAGGTAGCTAGCGAGCTCACAAATGGATCCCCCCACAGGTCCTATGGTACAATAAGAGTCGTACTACTAGTCGCATCTGTCCATCATGCCGACGGCTTTATCGCCTCGGCGATATTTTGCAAGACCTCACAGACGATGGCGAAAATGATATCAGTGAAACGCGCTCACCCTTACTTGCCCGGGAACAAGAGATATCGGGTCTTTGTATGTACTCTTATCTAAAATTCGATCAGAACGGGCCTGACTAGTTTAGGTTCTCCTGTCTGCTTCATCGTTGCATCGTTCGAGTACCCAAGTGCGATTAAAACGACTTGGGGTAGAACAGCTGAGGAAATAGATGACTTCACGTGGGACCTTCTAAATGGTCCTGGGGATGGACAGGGCGACAAGGGACTTAGTCTCTTACTCAAAATGGCGCGACTGCCTGACCTTGGTTTAGGACAGCTCTGTCTACCTGACATTGACTTCGAAGCGGAACCCGCGGATCGAATCTACTGCAGGCAACATTACGAACGTGACAAATGTTCTTATTAGCTATTTATTTGTTTTCGAATGTGAGTACAGAGCTTGGGAAAGACGTGATGGATGCTAATTGCCTTTAGATCTGCTGTTCTCCTGCATATTCACATCGTTCATACTGTCTGGATCACGGGCCTGCGTACTATTTATGTGTGTCAAGACTGGTCGTCATTTAAATTACTTAGGCCAATGCTGGCCCTGCATGAACCCATCGCTAAAGAGACCGTAGGTCTGCTGTGTGTAAGACGGGCCGTTACATCGTGGGTTTGTTGAATTGGTGGTTATGTCAGCAAGAGTCCGTGCCCTATTCCCACGCTTGTTAGGTGGCTGGCCTTATACAAGGCTCCCACCCGCCAAACTCCCCCTCAGCCAACCTTGCCTGTATAGCTGTACTGTGGTCCCCACCCGCCTAAATCAAACCGTGCTTAATACTCACCGTAGTACACACCAACGGTCAGTCATACATTTTATTTTTTATTATCTTCTATCTGCTTCATGGACATCCTGCGGTGTTCACTGTTGCTCTCTCTACGTCGTTTTACCGTCGTCGAGCTCGTCTAGAAAGTGAAGACGGGCGCCGGCAGTATTTGTTTGGCCATCGACGCGTTGACGCGCACCGCGTCTCCCCGCGTCGCACTCGTTTTCCTCGATTTCTCTCATGTCAACGACGTGTTGAATCGATCGCTTATGCGTTTTCCACGCTCTAGATGCCCAAGGACACCACCAAAACCAAGGTTCGTCCCCTATGCATTTACCTTAGCCTCAATACCACTTTTCTCCATATGTATCATACGTTCTCCATTATTTTTACCTTGTTCAACTTCCATTACGTCACTTGGTCGAGTTCAACAACCACGATACTGATTGATTCAACAGCGCAAGGCTGCAGGCAAATCAGAGGGCAAGGCAACCAAATCCAAGGCTGCTAAGGCCAAGGGCGCTCCTAAACGTGCTCTTTCCGCATACATGTTCTTCAGTCAAGATTGGAGGGAAAGGATCAAGACTGAGAACCCAGATGCTGGTTTTGGTATGCCTTAGATGTTTCTTCCAATCTTTTGTTGTTTTCTGATCCCCATCATAGGTGAGGTTGGCAAACTACTAGGTGCCAAGTGGAAGGAGCTTGACGAGGAGGACAAGCAGGTTCGTTCAAGCTATCTGGCCAAAACGCGGTTGTGCTGACACAATTTAACAGCCTTATATTGATTTGGCCGCCAAGGACAAGACAAGGGCGGAGGAGGAGAAGGCATCCATGGCTGCGGTATGCATATGTCGTTTGTCCCAGTCATGGCACGTATTGATCATATTTTTGCAGACCAAATCTTCGGCAAAAGAGAAAAGTGACGGGGAAGAACCAGCCGATGAAGAGGAAGATTAGTGCTGCGTCTCCCCATCTCCTTGTACATATGAAGGCATTGTTCGCTTTCGTTCTAACATAATTGTCATAAGCCGTTTGATGTCAGTTGAGTATATTAACTTTCTATGCGAAACATGCGACACTCGTAATGCACTCCCCACGAGCCCTCGTACCGTTTGCCTTCCTTTTCATTCGTGTCGCTATTCATGTTGTGTGTTTTGTTACACATTTATGTTCTGCATGTTGTCCCTCGCTACTTCAGAAAAGATTGTATTTTGTACGATCAACCTTTCTGTGGCAAGTTGGAGGAGTTGCTTGAATAATGATGATGGCACACTTTCATGCAGTCTTGTCAGGACTACGTTAATAAAGAACGTGTCTTTCAAGTTTCGACCAGAGTCACGTGATTGTGCTACACATAATCACGTGATGCTTAATATAGAACGACGCGCCCAAAATCGGTGTTCTCCTTTTTTCTTACCCACACCACGTCCAGAGACTTGTCATTGGCCCGCTAAAGATGTCACGGCGGACTGCAAAAGTGAAAATTCCTACTCATGGTCAAAGCAAGTCCGTGTTCCTCAGGATCAGTTTGTAGGCTGACCATAAGCAGGGATCCTTGAATCTGTCCCCGCACCCCTAGGTTCGCGTGATCCACTCGAAACAGCATTGATGATCTTATGCATGATTTGCTATCCCCCGTACAGAACTTGATTCAGATCCAGAATTTAACCCTGGGACCTTTGTTTATGAGACTAGTAAGAAACGTGGAAAGCGCAAAGCAACGGCTGTTGGGGACGCGTCCCCATCTGCCCCCCTCAAGTCACGCAAAAGACGAAGTGAAGTCCTTGGTAATTTTGAGTCATCATACAGAAGTCGTGAGTCGTTTTTATTTCTAAACAATACGCGTTTTTGAGGATTATATTAGTGAAACGCCGACCAATGGATCCAGAGGCATCTCGACTTCACAATCCCCTTAAACAGTATTTTGGTTCGTCGAGTAACTTGTTTTTTCGGTAACGCTTAACACTTTTGTGAACAGATGAGGATCTTGGATTGCAGTCTGCGTCTGATGACGGCGAAATGGATGAAGAAAATCCTGAAGACGGTGACTCGGCAGAAGAGCATGAGTCTGAACCTGAACAACCAGTCACACTAAGGACAATAACTGCGTTCATTCAAGCATCGAAACAGGGGACTCCTATTACGCAGCGAAGTCATTCACAAACTCCGGTTGATGATGATTCTGTCACTGGTAAGTCGATCTTGGGCACATGTATCACGACTGTAATCACTTACGCTTCATTTCAGAACCAGAGTCTGAGCCAGATGTTGCTCAAGTTTCGATGAAGCGGAAGTCACCTGCATCAGAGCAGATTATGCCAGCTTTCAAGTGCAGGAAGATGCCTTGCCCAGATGGTACGCTTAACCTTTTGACCAGCCGGAGTAGACATATCGTGACGCTCGCAACAGATGATTCTGAAACCGAACCCGAGTCCGACGTGGATTTACCGATAGTTTCCAAAGTTTCACGACAGCTACTGCTCAATACTGCGAAGCTTCCAGAATCCGACTCTGAAACGGAGCCCGAAGACGAAGATGAAATAGACACATATCCCAACCCAGTAAAGCACAATCCAGTAATTTGATCCTCATCTACTGACACAGATACAGAATCTCCATCCAAGACCCGGCTTCTCACTTGCTCCCGGTCAGAGTCCTCTGGGTCCTCTGATATTGGATAAAGCCGAGGGTATCACGGTGCCTGCCTCAATCAATACCTATCTGAGAGAATACCAGAGGGAAGGCGTCGGTTTTTTCTGGGATCTATATAAGCAAGGACGTGGTGGTTTGCTGGGTGATGATATGGGTCTTGTCAGTCCAGACGCGTTCTTCTTTTCTTCTCAACTGAACCCACCTACTCAGGGTAAAACTATCCAAGTGATATCGTTTCTATCTGCAATCATGAAGAAGAAGGGGGACGAACGCGATATAAACAGGCGTCGAAATCATGTGTCGAACCTCCAGGATGGACCGGAGTGGACAAAACGTCGCACTTTGCCACCGGCGAACAAAACCTGGCCTACATGCCTTATCATCGCCCCAACATCTGTTGTGCCAAACTGGGAGCGTGAGTTTCAGACGGTGAGTGCTACGATCAAGAAATAATACCACAATGTCTCACCACCGCCTCAGTGGGGTTACTTTGAAGTCGGGTCTTATACAGGTTCGAAGAAAGAGCGGGACGATGTTTTGACTGACTTCAAAATGGGCCGCCTCGACGTTGGTAAGCCCATGAGCGCATCCACTCTATCCGGCTGATATCCTGGAGAAACAGTGCTCACTACGTTTGACCTTGCACGCCGGGACATCGCACAATTGGACGACCTCGCTTGGTCTGCTGTCTTCGTCGATGAGGCGCATAGAGTAAAGAATCCAAAGTCGAAGATCACCTTGGCATACAATCAATTTACATGTCTTTGCCGCTTTGGTCTGACAGGTAGGACTACTCTGCTTCTTGAGGGTGGTCTGATCCAGCGGAATATTTAGGCACAACCATTCAAAATAGTTACATGGAAGCATGGACGATACTCGACTGGACCAACCCTGGCCGGCTTGGAACGAGCAAGCAGTGGAAAGGTTATGTTGTGAAGCCATTGACAATAGGTCAATCTACTAGTGCGACTGAAGAGGAGAGGACAAAGTCTTTGGTGAGTGCGGATATCATATCGCGTGGCTCATTCTAATATCCAGTAGACAGTCGCTGTTATTGTCAGAGACAAAGTACTACCCCAGTTCTTCAAAAGGAGGTACGACCGACGATTTTTCTGCAGATATTGCCTAATTTATTTCCCCAGAACGAAGGACATTATTAAGGATCAAGTACGAAGCATCAACCTGGTACACCATCTTGTGCTGAAGATACCCATTAGTTACCCACGAAAACCGACGAAGTGGTCTTTTGCCCGCTTACGCCTATACAGGTTGCTGTGTACAGACGCATTCTAAACATGCATCCCGTACAGAATCTCGTTAGAAAAGACGAAAATTGCGATTGCGGATCCGAAGAAAAGTTCGTTCTCCTTTCATGTCCCAAGCACGCTGAGAATCGATTTTTGTACAGACGTAAAGACTGCTGTCACCCTATTGAGAAGGGAGGCGTCCTCAAGTACATGTCAATACTCATCAAGATCTCGAATCATTTAGCTTTAATACTTCCAGGTATGGATCAGTGGCTCACTGCCAAACGAATGCTCATACCTACTAGCCCCAAACGATAGCCCAGAGCAAGTACGTGGATGTTTTTATTGATCTAAATGGTGCATAATAGTTATTCTAGACTCTACGAAATCGGGAGCTCGCTGAAGTGGCCTTTCCAGGCCAACCTATACCGAAGTATGGGACAGCCATGCTACTGCCTCAGTACTGCGGGAAGTGGGTTGTAAGTCATTGTTTTGTGAAATTTATCTCCTACACTACACAATGTGCCCTGGCAGGTACTCGACACCCTACTAAAAGAATGGAGAAAAGACCGCACGAACAAAGTCCTTATATTTACTAAATCCGTCAAGCTTATCGATATGTTGGAGTTTCATCTCAACACCAATAGTATGCACGACATTCGTTCCGTATCGGTTGGGCACTGATCAATTGTCAGGTTATGGCTTCCTCAAACTAGATGGATCCACGAAGCAGAGTGATAGTAAGAGACGATCCCTTTCTTCGTTGTTGTTACTAATGCCCGCTTCAGGGATGCCTATGATAGATAGATTTCACCAGGACTCGGATATCTTCATATTTCTCATCTCCACTCTCGCTGGAGCAACCGGTCTTAACTTGACTGGAGCGAATAAAGTGGTCATTTTCGGTGAGTTTAAACGTCCTGCTTTGAATGTTAAGATTAAAACCCTGGATGTTATGTAGATCCCAACTGGAGTATGTATTTGCATGATTTTCGTTTTACATCGACTCATGTCCACGTAGATCCCGCCCATGATCTGCAAGCTATGGACAGAGCATATCGCTTTGGGCAGACGCGCGACGTTTTTGTTTACCGCCTGCTCGGAGCCGGGTCAATCGAAGAGTTGATATATGCAAGGCAGTTGTACAAACAACAACAGATGGCCATTGGGTATCAGGCAAGCGTGCAAACAAGGTATTCAATAAGGACCAGGGTTCGAGCGCATGATTTCAGCTTTCCCCCTAGGTATTTCTCCGGCGTTCAAGGGGACACGTCCAGACAAGGAGAATTGTTTGGAATCAAGAACATTTTCAAGCTGCACGAGGATACTCTGGCAACCAAGATGGCTGTAGGTTGAGAAGTTCTGCGCAGGAGACATTGATGCAAATCTGCCGCAGATCGAAAAAGCAACGATCATGGAGCTTGACTGGGCTCTTGCTCATCTCAACTCCTCGAAGTCAAAGAAACCAGCAAAATCCAAGGCCGATGACTGGGTGTATGAGGCCGATTCCAAGGGCGGAAAGGAAGACGTGAGTCTCCTGTCTACTTGTTTCACGCTATCTAACCATGCGTCAGGCCGACTTACGGGGGCTGAGTGCTCTTCTTTTCGATGATGGTGAGCTTCAGCTGGAACTAGCATGCGAAAAGACTGATTCTTGTGTTTCCAAAGAACCGCCGGAGGTCACAGACGATAATGACATCCACAAGACACTCAGCGCAATAGGCGTTAAGTACAGCCACCGCAATGACGACGTGTTATTACCAAGTCGCATAGAAGAAGAACGCTCTCGGACCGCACTTAAGGTCAGTGTTCGTGTTATTCTCTCATAGGTTTGTTGAGCGAATATGCTGGCAGGAGGCGAAGAAGAAAAGAGCAGCTGCGAAGAAACTGAAATCAGAGCGAAATCAAAGCACCCCTCAGCAATCGAAAACACCTGAACCACAGTGGCCACCTCAACGGAAGCACCATAAAGCACCTCTGTCTCCGCAGTCTAAGTGAGTTCTCAAACAAGTGTTTGAGGGTGTTGAGATTCCTATTCATCGTACAACGTAGATTGGTCTCCCGACAAATGGCGCTGATTGAACTAGGCATGATCAACAGTCCAGCCGACCTACCTTTTTTCGCGCAGTCTTTGTAAGTAAGCCGTATGTTGCCGATAACCACAGCTAATCTATTGCTAGTTCTCGTAAGTCAAGCGAAGAGCAGAATGAGATACTTGGGAGGCTGGACAAACATGTCCACAGTCGTTCTTGAATTTTGCTAGGCTACGATCCAAATGTTACAATGGCAGTCATCAGTTCACGAAAGTGCTAATTAGTTGTAGGACTGATCAATTGTTATGCATACATTGGTAATGATGCATCAGCTCGAAGACTGTGCCAGCAAGTTGTGAAGCTTGAGCGCGAACAGGAGAATGACAACGCATGTAATTTGCCACGTAAGTAGGCGATTCGAACCTCTGAACCGTAAGAGTACAATTGCAAGTGTACCACGCTTCAGAAAAGCTCAGATGGCATTGAATTTGGTAGGCAACCTACGTGAATTTAGGTTTCCTGATGCCAGTGTGCCAGTCCGGGACTCTGGGTCGAATTGTCATATGTTGGCTATTGAGAGATTAATGCGTAAAAAGGCTTGTTATTTTGTTTCCATCTGGGGACACACCAGGCAACCCTACGGACAGCAGATGAAGAAGTCGACTTCATCACTCCAATCAGCATCGACTACACGATGTATTTAGTGTGGTACGTTTCGTATCGGGTTTCATTGTATTCGACGTTGAAGGTGTGCGCTGGCAGCTAGATTGAAGAACAACAAGTCAGGTTTGATGTTGTCATTAAGTATTAACCGCTACGAACATAACTGAAAAGCGCAGCGCTCTCCACAGACGCCGAATCTGAAGATATGGAGCGGCCCTAGCATATATCGATGAAGTTACAGTGAGTGTCAGATCAACTTCTGATTGTGCAGATGCCCTGCTCGCCCAGCTAATTGTTTCTGCACAAGTATCGTCGGAGGTATAGTGAATGGTATGTAAGTGAGAGTCCGGACTCGGAAGAGCCAACCAAGTTTGTTTGTTACGGCTATGTAATGAAACTACAAATGTGGAAGAAACTCGGTCCAATCCACTACATCGTACACGCCAGGAGGCGGTGATAGAAAGCTCAGCATAATTAGTACAAATATTATAATGCGCGCAGCAATATATAAGAGCAACATCAATACTGCGGAGGAACGCCGATACCACAATATTACGGATGCAGGGAATCCCAGAAATTTAAAGCACGGGTCAAGCATGCGGGAGCCAAGCGTAGTCAAAATATTCAGCGGTGTACCTGCCACCGCAAGGGAAGCCGCTCGCCATAATATTTGCTCTGCGGGTCTCTGAAATAAAAAATTCCAACCTAGACAATGTATCCCTCCTAGCAACACCCCACCCCAACCTATAATGAGAATTGTGATCTCACGCTCTCCAACACGCCACCTCGAAATAGCTGTGATCTGGCTCTCGATAGATGGCCCCATAGCGTGACTTTCAGTGAGAGGTGCGATCTGGTTCCTTCTAAACAGCCTCGTGGCCGCTCTCATAACGAGCCGTCTCACGTGACCGCTGATGACGATGAGAGTTATGATAAAATCACCAGGCCCACCATAGCCACCTAGAGACGCGACGCGACGTGAATGGGCAGCACTGGGGGACATGATTGGGCCCATTCCCGCAGAACTCAACCAGGGATAGATGAGATAGAATAGATAACGAGAACAACCTGCGTTGCTGAATCTCGAATCTGCCTCGCTAGAATGTTGGTGAATCAGAGCAGTTTCAGGCAAGCAAATTGGCAAAACATACTCGTAAGTAAAGGTGAAGTTGCTCAACGGCAATGCTTTTCCTTTCCAATGAACAATATAAGGACGTCCCACATCCTTTGGCTTCCACCACCACCAGAGATAGGCAATGAAGGTCAGAACAGCTACAGCCAGGGTATCAACTTCAAGCAGCGATATCGGAAGGTTCTGAACATGACGAGCAACGAGCTGGCAAATGAACCATACGAGCTGAAGAATGGCGATGCCTTTGGATATTATGTCACCCTTGCTTCGGTCTTTGATGTCCGCCTTTGGGATGACAGGCATGTCCACAGATCCCTGAAGAACAAAGTGTAGCAGTTCATCAGGTGTAAGAGTGGCTCGCGGCTGGCCATCGACGTAGAGAATGAATCCACCCATCCACACGAAGAACCCATGAGTGATTGTCCAGTCTGCGAAGACATCGGTTGCATGTTCGGTACTGAAAAAACCGAGTACTGACCTCTAAACTCTGCAGGTCTAAGAGCGCCACTCGATTCTGGATGGTGGTCGTGGGCTTCAGCAGGTTGTGCACTTAAGGCATCCTCTGCAGGTCTAAGAGCGCCACTCGATTCTGGATGGTGGTCGTGGGCTTCAGCAGGTTGTGCACTTGAGGCATCATTGAACCGCTTTGCAATTGCAATAGCGCTGAAAAACTGCCGCGAAGCCCAAGCGATAATGAGTTCTGGGGCGATCAACACCATGGTCATGATGCATATACGACGAAAGAAAATATAGCGTGTCTTCTCTTCCATACCCGGGATGTTCGGATGAATGGCAGTCCATGCGCATGCAAATAAAGTTATGCCACAACTCCAGATGATGTCCCACAAAGTTCTGGTGTTATTGCTAGGTGGACAACCGCTGGTATCGAGTGTAGGGATAGCGGTGCCATTGAGACACATGGGTGAAGCGAAAACAAACGGAATGTATAAGAGGACAGCGCAGTGAAGGCCGAGGTACTATGATTTGTTCACTCAGCTCTCTTTTGAAGGTGTGGCCGCATGTATCAATTCATGATAAGCTGGGACTTAAGGTGTCGGAGAAATATTAATAACAAAATGTGGCAGAACAAATCAGGTTCTTTGACAGAAAAAAGTTCAATTGCAAGTGATCGTACCTTCCAACTCGAACTTTCCGCAGCCGCGGCGTATCATACGTAATGGTGAGACCTCGAGGTACTGCAACGTTGGTAGTTGTCGAGCAAGTCAAATTATGCCAAGCGGATATCGGCAGTAGTGGCCTAAAACGGAAGGAAAAGTCTGCACTAGATGGGCATGCCTGGCTGCAGACCCGAGCTGGAGAGCTTGGCTGCAAACTCATGGAACAAAAGACTGGTTGAAAACCGAAGCGGGGGAGGCCGGCTGTAGATGTGGGGATTTGAATCTCCATGTTTGCTCTCTACGAATAGCCAACGTTTCGCAAGTTTGCTTGAGCCATTCAACCGCCGGCAGAAGCCGATGGGCCATAGATGACACTTGTTTTTTAACATTAACGTTTAACCTCGATCGATCGGGCTCTAAATGAAAACTTGAACTCGCTCGTGATAATTCCACACCATCTTCCTGTGCGTCTTCAATTGACACCTAAAACCTACACCATCACTATTTAAATCGCAACTTGGCTTACGATAAGTTCATCTTCGCGCTCATACAACTACCCCGGGCCGACATGCGCGTTTCTGACAACACGCAGCTTGTCTTGAGGTGACTGTTTGGGCTTCCCCTGCCACTCGGAGACTTCGAAATTCGGTGGCACTCCTTGCTACCTCGCCAGTCAAGTTTCGGATTTTACACATAGTCAGGCAAATTAACTCTTGGTCATAACGCTGAACAGGTCATAACTGAGAGTGTGGGTCGCAATATCCTTCGCGACGTGGGAGCAATGGAAAATATACTGAGATATTGCGCTCGCCAAACGTATTGTTGGCAAGCGGGTTCCTATCTAAGCCTCCATGGGCACCAATTCATGTGTAAGTATCGAGCAATGTATATTGGGTATGGCCGTCGTGTGCTAATCGTTGACGCGGGGTGTTTGAAACCTGTACTTACGAAGAGTTCTCTTCAAACAGACTTCGCACTCATCCTGTCAACCATACTCTTGTTTACCCAAACAGTTCGGGCACCCGCTGGTTCGGACACTCACAACCCTCACAGGGTGGTAATGCTAAGCCACCGCCTGTCTTTAGCGAGCGGCTGCCAACAGCAACGTCATGTCCTCTAGTGGCGCTTTGATTTGTCTGAGGTGTTTAAGACATATGCCATCACTTGAATGCGCTGTGATTTACGATGTATTCCTTCCCCTCCTTCCTTGCGCTCATCCCACTATAACTCAACACGCAATTCGTCAGACCCTATGATGCGTATCTGACCGCCAAGGCGAGACAAATACAGGAAGCTATGGTGGAAGTGCGTCAAAATGGAGATCAAGAAGAAGTCGGCGAAGTGCGTTCGGGACTTGAATCGAATGCAGGAACCATCGGCGTCTTGCTCTGCCCTGAAGGCTTTCCTTCTGCGTCCTGCTATCTTTTAGCGACCGAGTTCCACTGGCGTTGGTGGTGAGGTGAACACACAAACCTACGTGAATCTCAACCTGGTGTTGAAATCAGACAAGCGACGAGTTTTGCAAGTAGGTGGGCTCAGGCCGCTGTGACGACCTAGTACTAGCAACCTGTTCCTGTCGTTGACGCCCGCACAGCCATGAACGATCTTAATTGGCTGCCAGCAAAATGAAAGGCTTATGTTACGTAAGGCGGTGATGCAAAGTACTGGTCAGTTGAATTTCGACAGAACGCTTTTCCGAGTCCCACTGGCGGGGACTGCGCGCTGAGCACGATCCCGGGCCTAATCCCGATATCCAATTGTTGCACAGATCAGTGCCTATCTTACTTATCGGCTAGTGATGTCAGGTGGTGGTTTACTTATCGGGCCTCATTGACAGTTCTATCAGTGTTCCAAATATTATCACATGGCTTACTCCGTAATGCGCGCTCAATGTTCAAGTTTTAGATAACACAAAATGGGTTTGGTGTGGGGCCGGCTTTCTTCCGCGCCCCATCGCTTCTTCTTTTCGACCCACTACCCGCGACATGGAACAACCGCAGCACGCCACTGCAAAGGCAGACGAGGCCCTGCTCGCTGAGCTCGGGTACAAACAAGAGTTCAAGCGTGCATTCACACCCTTAGAAGTATTATCAGCGCTGCTATGTTTAGCGATGGGAGAACTGATGGCGACGACGACCATAGGTTTTTGGAATAGCTTTCAGTATCATTGGCTTACTTCCCTCAATTGCGTACGTCGTACTTTTCTTCGCCTTCCAAGGATGCAATTTATCTCGTTGTTCTGCATAGTTCTGTTCTGTTTTACGCCGTGCCTAATGGTGGACCAGTCTCGATGGTGTGGGGTGTACGTGCTTGCTTCGGGTATCTCCATGCGCGAATTATGCTGATGGATGTCATGCTTGTTTGTCGATATCCCATACCTGTTTGCCTATAGTGGGCAGTTGCGAGCTTGTTTATTCTCTGTGTAGGAATGTCGATGGCAGAATTGGGTTCTGCAGCGCCAACTTCCGGAGGCGTGAGTCTGTTTTTGTCTTCGTTGACGTGTAGCCTCGAGTGACGTGGATGATCTACAGTTATACTTCTGGACACACTCTTTGTCATCTCCGCGGTGTAGAAACTTGCTTGCATGGATTGTCGGGTGTAAGTATTTATAGTAATTTTAACGAGCAGAGGTATAATGACTTGAAAACAGACTCAAACACCATTGGGACCATAGCGTCGGTCGGTAAGACGCTCATTTTCGTCTTATATTATTCTTAGAATGACACACTGCATAGCATCTATCGACTGGGGATGTGCAGTGCAAGTCATGGCTGCTGTATCCATTGGCTCAGGCCAAACTTTCACCGCAACGAGTGCGCAAACTTTGTGCGTAATTTAAGACACCGATTCAGTCGACCAACTTGCTCATAATATCGAATATCTAGCGGAGTCTACGTTGCAATAGTCTTGTCACACGCAGTGATATGCTGCTTGGGAACTGCTGTTCTCGCAAGACTGCAAACAGTTTATGTTGTGCTTAACGTCTGGTTTGTGCTGAAATCGTGCAGGCGCACTCGAGATGCTGAATTACTCCGGGTAGTTTATGTTTCGCCGTTATCATTGGCCTTCCTGCTGCCACCCCAAAGGCCAACATGAACAGCGCAAGCTACGCGTTTGGTAATTTCACAAATTGTCAGTGAACCCATTCCGTTGGCGAACCCGACTGATTCCAGAATGATATCTATAGTGAATGGCTGGCCAAATGGCTATGCATTCATTCTGAGCTTCCTTGCGCCGTCCTGGACCATTGGTATGTTCTCACAGGTTCTTACAGGCGTCATTGGTGTTGATGTCATGTTCAAGCTTCCTTTGACTCGAGTGTGCATATTAGCGAAGAATCGTCGAATGCTGCTACTGCTGTTCCATGGGCCATCGTAAGCTTCGAGTTCCGCATTTATCCAAATGCTGAGTGCATTCCAGGTCAGCGCCATCGGTATTGCAGGAATCCTTGGTTGGGGTACGTATTTATTCATGGTAAATTCTCGAACCCTGCTTACCGTCTAGCAGCAATAAACGTCTCAATCACATTCTGCATGGGCACCGACGTGAACTCCCTACTCAGTAGCCCAATCGGACAACCCATGGCTCAAATTTTCTTCAATAGCTTCGGCCAGACTGGAACACTGGCGTTATGGTCCTTCGTCGTGCTTGTTCAGTGAGTGGACAGTTGTGTCATTTGAACCATGATTGACTGGGTACAGGTATATGATGGGCTCGAGCATGGTCCTTGCTTCATCCCGCCAAACATTCGCATTCGCCCGTGACGGTGCACTTCCGTTCTCATCCTACCTCTATCGCATGAATAGCTTCACGAAGACGCCTGTCAACACCGTCTGGTTCGTTGCGGTCTTTTCCATCCTCCTCGGTGTATTGTCGTTCGCGGGTACACAAGCTATCAACGCTATCTTCTCTCTCTCCGTGACGGCGTTATACATCGCATATTCGATCCCAATCGTTGCACGCTTCGCGTTCAAGAACAACTTCAAGCCTGGTCCATTTGATTTAGGCATCTTTGTAAGTCGGACGGCTTGGTGCTTACGGATCCGTGTTCACCATTGACATGTAATTTGAAGAGCCTTCCAGTCGCTGTCATTTCGGTATCGTACATGTTGATTATTAACATCGTGTTTTTCTTCCCGACGACACCACAAACCGACGTTGCGAACATGAACTATACCGTGGTCGTGCTATTTGGTATACTCTTTTTGTCTATCATGTGGTACTATTGCCCTGTGTATGGCGGCGTGTATTGGTTCACGGGCCCAGTGTCAAACCTTGGGAAGGTAAGTGAGGAGAGCACGTCGAGTATTCGCGGGTCGTCGGTGGAGAAGAATGTGCGTGTGGATATCGGGGAATCCGTTGGGGCTTGATACTAGAAGGATTCCGATATTGGGTCCATAGTAGATTTTATTCGGTTACCCCGTACACTGCTTGCTGTTCGTCGATTGTCTGGTTGAGCCGGACAAGGAGAATGTAAAAATTGCGCTTGATTTACAAACCGATCGCATCACGAAAAACCTCCCCTGCTAATACTGTCTTAATGTCGTCTAATCATGAGGAATTCTTGATAATTAACATTTTTAGGAGATATGATGTATTATGTTACA